ATCTTCTCCTGTCCTTATTCGTCCTGCCATCCTGCCTTCTTCCGGGGTCCTACTCACGGTTATAGGGGATCCTCATGCGCGGATTTTATTTTATACCATAAGGGGCCGGGGGAGCGGCGAAAAACAGGGAGTCGAACCCGAAAACCTCAGGCACCGGTTAAAACCCATTGCCGATCCAGGGCCACCAATCTCTTTACAACCCTTAGCGCACCTCAATATCGTGAAGAGTTGTGAACAACCAGCCCCATTTCCGTTTATGGCACCCTCGTGTACTTTCTGTCGCTCCCCGGAGGCCTTAGAATGAGCATGCGCAAGTTAACCGGAGAGGCAAGAAGCTTGCGGGATGGTAAGGAGAGGATGGACGGGGCGGGACGGAAGGTAGGGGAGGGGGGAGGATGGAGATGAGAGGAAAGGAAGGGGAGGAGAGGGAGGAGAGAAAAAAAGCCGACGAGCTTCACAGGATCTCGAACGCTCGCTGGAGGAGACGAAGAAAGAGATAGAGGCGACACTGATGGAGATGGCGAGGAAGGAGGAACTGAAAAAGCTTGAGGTGAGCAGACGGCGACCAGGAATGAAAAGGGAGAAGCATGACGAGGAGGACGAGGGGGAGGACATGGAGGTGGTAAACGAACAGGAGGGAGGGGGGAGGAGCAAGAGGAAAACCATTGGGACTGCCTGAGAACTCAACAGATAAATATTGCGAAGGAGGCTGATGAGGAGAAGACCAAGCTAACGCGAGAAGAGGTCAGACAGCACAAGCAGGAGGAGGAGGAGGGGAGCGAGGGTCCAACTACCTTGTCAGATGCGGCGGATGGAAGAGAAGCTAGGAGCTGCGGAGAGGTCGGAAGCAGACATGAGGGAGAAGGTAAGACGAGGAGGAGGGGGAGGAGGAGGAGGAGGAGGCGGAGGAGGAGGAGGAGCCGGATGGTACTGAGGGCTGGCCAGGCGAAGGCAGCGGAGGAGAAGGCAGGGAGGAGTCAAGCAGAAGCAGAGGTAGAGGAGGGAGAGCGAGAAGGAGGAGAGGGGCTGAGAGAGGCGGGCGGGCAGGAGGCGAGGAAGGACGCGGAGAGGGTACGGGAAGAGCTGCGGAGAGCAGAGGAGGATAAGGAGAAGCTGAGGAGGGAGGTAAGAGGAGGGCGAGGAGGAGGGCGAGGAAGGGGTTGCTCTATTCTTGACTGGATGGAATAGGTATTGGCGCAAAATTCGACGATCTGTTCGCTCGAGGAGGAGAAGAGAAATGGGAAAGTAAGTCTCAAATATCAGATGGGTGGGGATCGGGGCGTTCTAGGATGGAGATGAGGAAATGCTATTATTGGAGAGGAGGAGGAGGAGGAGGAGGAGGAGGAGGAGGAGAGAAGCTAAGAAGCGTTGTAACAGGTGGCGGAGGAGAATCTTGTAACTCGTTGTGAAGGTGATATGTCTTGTTGTTGATGTGGCTCTGATTCCTTGCAGTGCTTGCGTCGAGTAACGAGGAGAAGAGTCATCATCTGAACAACGTAATAGAATAGATGATGATGATGATGATGATGATGATGATGATGATGATTGCTTGGGTGGGGGGATGGGCGCTGTTCAGATCGGTGATAACCATCTTCCCCTCCTTCTCCCCCTCGCCTCCTGCTGCTCAGCTTCCTCCTCCCGCGCATCATGTAGCTGTCTAGCTGTCTCGGTGATCGATCACATTACAAGTTGACTGTCTGTTTACAGATTCAAAGTAGCTGCAAGCTCATCTTGCAAGATTTCACCAGCGCCATGGGAGAAGTACAAGGCAAGACGATTACAAGAGCCTGCCTTGCTATCTCGTTGACTAGAATTGTGTTTCAGATCTGCAAGAAGAGATTGATGGTCTTCTCAAGATGAGATCTTCTTTCGAGCAAGAGTTTGCAGCGGCGAGAAAATCTTGATGTTTGTTGCATCTTTGCAAGAAAGTTGCAACGTGGGGAGTTATCTTGCAACGATGTTGAATGTCGTCAGAGAGCATGAGGAGGAACTATCCTCGATGTGTTGATGACAACATTGGGATGAAAGAGTATTTCATCATGGGAGACGATTATATGAAATATTATTTCATCGTGGAGAAGAATGAACATATTTTACATCTGCATTTTGCCTCCTTCACAGACCTATCTTGAGAGCAAATTGACGGATAAAACAATACGCTGCGATCAAACCGTCAGGTCCACAACATTCCATCCTTCTCCTCCTCCTCCTCCTCCTCCTCATCATCATCATCATCATCATCATCATTGTCGCCGTCATCGTCATCATCGTCATCCTACCGGACAAGAAGATTCCGATGGCTGGGGCCCAGTAGATTGTTCGCTGAAAGGATCCTTTGAAGAATCCCAGCGGCCCAGATTCAGAGAGGATCTGAAGAAGCTTCAGAGGAAACCAGCAGAGATAAGTAGCAGGAGGAGGCAGCAGGCAGCGGCAGCTGTAGCAGCAGCTTCTCACCTCCTTGCTGACACTTGCTATGTTGACATTTTCCAGCTCCTCGCCAGACAAACCTGCTGTACGTGTTACCCGGAGGACAGATCGATTATGAGACGGAGAGAAGGAGATTGGAGGAGAAGCAGGAGGAGCAGGAGAAAGCAGAAGAGAACACAGAGAGAGGGGAGGCGATAGGGGTAGCCAGAGGTCAGGTTTCAGTTCACAACGGGGTTCGAGGAGGGGAGACGAGGGAGGGGAGGGGAGGGGAGAGGAGACGAGGGAGGGGAGGGGAGAGGAGACGAGGGAGGGGAGGGGAGGGGAGGAAGTGACTGACTTTCTGATTTCGTGATGATCAAAGTTGTGATGATGTCCGACGGAGTAGTTAGGAACGCCCCGATCGCTCCTCCTAATGCTCCCAGCAACGCCTCCGCCTGCTCCTGTCTTAGACACTACAAGAGAGCAGAGGAAAGGAGCAAATCAACGAGGCTGAGGTTGATAGAGGGCGATCGATGACAAGAGCTACAAGGAGGGAGGGAGGGAGAAAGGCTGGCTGGCTGGCTGGCTGGCAGAGAGATCAAGGGAGAAGAAGGAGGCGGGAAGGACCTGGATGGTGTTGACGTCGAAGTCGATGTCAGGAGAGTTGATGATGAAAGTCTTGAGGCCCTCGAAGATCGCGATCTGCAGTCCTCCCATGGGAACGTCGCGCAGGATAGACGACTGATTGTCTCTTCAGCATGAACGAGGAGAGGGGAAGGAGGAGTAGGTGGAGAGGCGTGAGAGGAGAGGAAGGAAGGAAGGAACGAGGAGGGAAAACGGTTCACCTGCCATGCTCGGAATGTGTTTCTCCTCCCTTCTTCCCCTGCCACGATCTTGATCGCTTCCCCTGTTGAGATTCCCGTCTGCACCCTCGTCTTCACGGCCTCGCTTGGGGCTCGGATGACGCTTCCTATGAGCTCCCCGACAGCTCCTGACAGCAGGTAGACAGCCTGCAACCATGACAGTGAGCAGGAGGCAGGGAGGTGAGAAGGGCAGGGGAACAGGAGCAGGAGCAGGAGCAGGAGCAGGAGCAGGAGCAGGAGCAGGAGCAGGAGCAGGAGCAGGAGCAGGAGCAGGAGCAGGAGCAGGAGCAGGAGCAGGAGCAGGAGCAGGAGAGGGCGAGAGCAAGAGTGAAGGAGGAAGGATGAAGAAGGGAGCAAGAGAAGGATAGCAAGGGGGAGGGGAGGGGGGGAGGGCTGCAAAACCAGAGGATATTGGGAGAGGGGCGTGAGGTTGAGCTGTGAGCGAACAGCCTCGTAGATGCCGAGGTACCTGCAGGAACAAAGAAATGAGCCAGAGCAAGGAGAGACAAGAAGGGGCAGACGAGGGGAGGAGGAGAGAAAGGAAGGTCAGGAGAGAAGAGGAGAGGTCATGTTGAGCATACAGAGCTGAACTTGGAGCTTCTTTCATCATGTTGGGCAAGACTCCATCATACAGGCTAACAGCATTCTTGATGATGTTATTTCGATCCTGCTTCTCAAGAGACAACTGCATATCATGGCTGCCCTCCCAGCCATGATCCGCCTTCTCCAACAACATCGTTCCCACTCTTGAAAACTCCCTCTCCTCCACCATGACTTGGCCATGCCCATGGCCGTGCGCGTGCTGCTGAGGAACCTGGCTTGCCGTCAGTCTGCTGCTCAAGGCGAGCTGTCCGTTCCTACCTCATCGCTGCTCGTCGTCAGGTTCTCGAGAACACCACTGTCCCCGGACTGGTTGTCCGGGTACTGATGAGGAGGAGGAAGATCCTGAGAAGGAGAAATGAGATGACGAGAAAATACAGGAAGAAAGTTTCACATCTTGATGAGACGACATGAGCCTGATCTTGATCGTGTCGATCGGGTGCATGACTGCAGTTGAGAACACCGATGCTAGAAACGCGGCTGTATAGCTGAACAGCACGAAGACCATGTTGTCAGCGTACAAAACAAACTTGACAAGTGTCATGCGCATCGTCCTACCTGACCCATGCTGGTTGCTCGTCAAGCCTCTGCAGGAGTTGTTGTCTCTGCAGCAGCTGCCTCTCCAACTCATCCCGCTGCTCCTCCTCCCTCATCCGTTGCAGCAGTCGCTCTTGCAACTCTCTGACAAATACGACTCAATGATCAGATACACAGGGATCTGATACAAAAGATAGCAGCAGTATTCATCAACGGGCATACCTGTACTTTGCATCCTCCTTTGCTCTCTGGACCAAGTCTTCAAACTCTTCCAGGCTTTTGTAGTTTCTCGCCTCCTCCTCTCTAATCTCCTTGAGCATGGTGTCGATCTGTTTGTCGTAGAGGCTCTTCTGTCTCTGCTTCTGCTTTTTCAAGCTCAACTCTAAGAAATCTTCGAGCGATAAGTTCTTGATCGGCGGCTGTGAAATCGCTGCTGATCCTGCCGGCCCAAAGGCAGCGTTTGCTTCTTTGGAGCCCAACACCATCGAAGCCCCCAGTCCTAGCAGAAGCATGTTTCTCCTGCTCATCTTCAGCGTCTCTGGCCTTTCCCTGCTCGTCTCTGAAGGTCCACGAGGCCTATCTCCCCCTTGATCCTGCATGCACAACTTCCCGCTGCCTTTCTTGCTCGTCGGCTGCATCCTTGGGGGCAATGGTCTACTCATCCTACTCAGCGTATGAACTTGGAACGAACATCCAGTCTGCCACAAGAGAGCAGACAACGACAAAAGCAACCATGCTCGCATTGAAACAAGCTCCATCCTACAGCACATGAACCAAGACGCGATGCAAACCTGCGACAATCGTCATTCTTGACTTGACCACGAAGACAATCAAATCGAGAAGAATCGAACATCTGTTCACACGTTCCTCATATCGATCTCTACATTCTATGCATCACTCCAGCACCTGCAGTAGTCTACCTCGCACGAAACAAACCGCTCGGTATCTGGTATATACACGATCCATGGAGCAATATCACTGCGGAGTTCGCAAATCAAGTGGTTCGCGACTCTCAACCATGTTAGCATGCATCGATCAAGGATCTAACACTTGTTCAGACTTCTTGCCTGCTATTATTATCTAGTCATGTACTCGCCCTCATCTACTGCAACAGTCTGTCTGTACATGTAGACCGGTTGTGCATGATACCTCCCACGGCTCCTTTGGACTGCAAACCTTGGAGCAGCTATCTGCTACTTCATAAGGGGGCTCTTGCTTCTTGTAGCACTTGTATCTCATCGTATACAACTAGAGACACGTTCTATCTCTTGCTGTTCTCCTCTCCCCACCTCTATCCCCCTCGTCTCGACCGTCCCTTTCCTCCCCTTAGGATGCGCCAACACTTGCGTCCTAAACCTTCTAAAGGGGCCGGCACCACCGGTACTTGTATGGTAATCTACTGCTCAAAGCACCGGTACTCACTTATATGTTCCAAGGGAGACTACCGGTCATTTTCCCTGTGCGAGATACTTCGCGGAGCTTCCATTTGGGGAGCAACCAGGGGTGGCGGTACCGTGTACTACCCCCACCCAACCGTGTCACAAACTGAAGCTCTTTTGAAGTACCGGTATCTTGAACATGATGTTTTGGTCAAAGATAGGGGTACGGTGACTCTGAATGGATCAGGGGGTAGTGAATCGTAGAAACTTGCAAGAGCCTAAAATATATTATCGACAGGGGTCTTCATAAAACATCTGAGGACTACCCCTACCCCAAGACTCGAAATGAATATTAGGACGATTAGGTGGGACATAGCATGTAGCTGATGAATAGCAATACCCTTGGCTGCCGAAAACAGTTTTTCGAAAGGCAGGAGTCCGACGTCAGTGCGGACTCCCCGGCGGATTCCCGGACCGCCAGGCGGGAGTCCGTGACTGGCAGGCACGGTCACACGGTCACGGCTTGGCCGGGGCCCGGGCCTGGCCGGCCGCCGCCCTCACTGTCAGGGCCTGGTGACCGTCACGCGGCGCGGCGTCGGAAGTTCGGGCCTGCCGCGCGGCTGACGACTCAGGGCCGACTGCCGCAGTGCACTGAGGAGTCCGGTACGCCGTCCGCGGCCCCCCCCCCCGGCGGCGCCGCCCGGCCGGCGCCGGTGTCCGGCCCCCGGGACTGCCAGGCTTGCCAGCCCTCACGGGTGACCGGACTCCACGGTCAATACCGTGATGATACCGTACTGCCAGGCTGAGTGCAGTCGGCCTGAGTGCCGAGCGTACCGTACGGTAGTACGGTCGGTGAGCTCCGAGGCTCCGGAGTACGGTCCGACCGGGTCACCAGTCCCGGAGTCAACTTCCGAAGTTCCGGCGCCGGGGCTGCTGGGCCGCAAACCGTGAACCGTTTCCGACACTGGCCAGGCTGGGCGGCCTGACTCAGTGAGGCAGACGGTACGGTCACCACGCGGGCCGCCGGTGCGTGGCAGTCCCGGCCGATGATCACGGATGACTCCCCGGGCCTGAGAGTCCGAGCCCGGAACCGTTCCGGTCACTGTGTCCGCGTGGCGGCAACCGTTGACTCGAACTGTACGGTCACCGCTGCCACAGTGATACGTGACTTCACCGTGGCACGGTGGCACGGTGTCGGACCGCGGCCCGGCCCGCCGGGCCGGGCCCGCCGCGGCCGCCGTGACGGTTTATTACTCAAATAATACCGGGCCGGGCCGCGCTGAGCCTCGGAGTCTCGGAACGGACTCGCAGGATTAGAAGCTTTTAAAAGTCACAGCGCCTTCTGAATTGCTACAAAGGCCTCGAACTAGAGGCTCTTGAAAAAACCAAAATGTGAAAAGAAATGTTTTCGATTACGAACCGAAACATTTAGATGTGACTACCCCACCTTGATACCGAAAATGGTCACCACCGGTGATGCACATAGCCTCGTGGGAAAACTTCACCAGTTGTGCGAAGCTCGAACCCCGAAAAGCTTTAGCTTGCATGGCCAATGGCGAGCGGGATGGTCGGGTACGGAGGTCCGGAAGCCGAGGAGGAGGCTCCTACTGAAAGACTCGAGCTACGTCCTCTCTTTCTTAGTTGCCTGCTTCCTCTCTGAAGACTGTATCTCCCCCCTCGATCGCCTCTGCCGCCACGACGGTCTTTTGTCATTGCTGACTACCGTGATCGTTGGAGCAAGAGCCATGGGGTGCGGGTCATCTAAACACGTGCGAGAAGACAGAGAGGAGAAGTCAAAGACGTTTGACGACAGTTCTCTACTCTCCGTTCCGAATGGGAACGTCAACGATGTGGAAATCAAGCCAGCGATCATTATTCAAGATTACAATGACAAGTCAAATACTTCACATGTCAAGTCTGCCCTCTCAACAGTCCCAACGCCTTCATTGCAGAAGAGCGTGGAAAAGAACAAAGGGGTTGAAACAAAACGAGATGTGACCAACGGCAGATCTGAGGAGAGTGTAGAAAGGAAGGCACCTGCCCCGAAAGCGCATTCGGCGATGCCATCGGCTGACAGTACACCCAAACCGAGTCAGAGCAGCTTGCCGAAACAAGATGTTGTAGTGTCTCAACAAGGTTGGAGGGCTGATGAAGGGCATCCCTTTGCAAGCTATGGGTCTAAATGTTTCATCGGAGCTGTAGCAGATGAGGTGGGTGGGTTGGGATGGCATAGAGTTCATGGGATGATTATGGTTGGTCGGCAGTTTCTGTCCAAGTTCGGAGGGACATATGAGATGATGAAAGATAACACGTGGCCTGAGTCACCGGAGAAGTCAGAGATTGGTTTGTGAATGTTATTGTGTTCAACATATGATCGTGCTGATTCCTGTGCTGAAGTGGCCGCTGCGATCATGGAATGGGGGAAAGCAAACGAGGCGACTGTGTTTGCCCACTGGTTCCAGCCGCTCGCCTCGTTAGTCATGCTTGCCGTGCTAATCCGATCTCTGACATTTGATGACCTTGTATAGGTCTGGACTCCGACATGGCCAGACAGGGCAAGTGAGTAACCGAACGAGTAAGAAGAGGAGGGGAGAGCTGAGATCAGTCTCAGGTCCATAATCACTTCTTCACCTTCGATGCAGCCGGGCGGAGAAAGTTCAGTTTCAAGTCGGCTGATCTTCTCCGGGGAGAGACTGACGGGTCGTCTTATCCCAACGGTGGTCTTCGGGGTAGCAACACCTGATTTGTCAAGGTAACAAGAGTTGACGAGTTTGCGAGCAGGAACACATCATGCGGGGGCGTACACTGTGATAGACTCTACTTCACCGATGTTCATGATGGAAGACACCATCTACATCCCCTCGTGATGGCGACATCTGACTATGACGCGTGCCTGACGCTCCGTTACAGCATCATGCTTTCATATGAAGGGAAGGCTCTGGATGAGAAGGTCCCCCTCCTACGCTCAGAGCAGGTAGAGTTCAACAGCATGCGGCCTCTCGCCGAGCCTGCTCCTGCCCTCATGCTCGTCCTCCGCATGCCTCCTGCTCTCCTGCTCTCCTGCTCTCCTTCTCCACATGCTCACCCGTCCCGTCCCCCTCCCTGGGTGTTTCTCTCATGCTACTGCAGGCCATGTCAGCTCAGTGCGCAAGGCTGCTCAAGCTCATGGGGCATACGACTGCTGGGGTTCAGTCCAACATCGGGCTGGAGCAAGAGTTCTTCCTCATCCCTCGCGATTCGTACGACCGCAGGCCAGACTTGCAGCAGTGCGGGCGAACGATCCTGGGCAAGATGCCGGTGAGCTGCTGCCTGCCGCATTGATGCTCCTCTGATCGCATGTGCTGCAGCCTCGAGGGCAGGAGATGTGCGACCACTACATGGCGCCGCTGAACCAGCATGCGCTCAACTGCCTGCGCGAGATCCAGCACGAGGCGTTCAAGCTCGGCATCCCCCTCAAGACCAGGCACAGGGAAGTGGCTCCGAACCAGTACGAGATGGCTCCCTACTTCGGCCACGTGACCTCTCAGATCGACCAGAACCTGCTCGTGATGCAGCTCTGCGAGGAGATCGCGGCCAAGTACGAGCTGGCGGCGCTCTTCCAGGAGAAGCCCTTCAGCGGAGTCAATGGGAGCGGGAAGCACAACAACTGGTCGCTGGGAACCAAGGAAGGGCTGAACCTCATGAATGCGGGGCAAGTGGCGGAGGTGACGGGGAACTTGGATATCTTCCCTGTGCTCATAGCTGCTGTGGTGACTGCGGTGGACAAGCACAGCGACCTGATGAGAGCAGCCATCGCTGACCCCGGCAACGACTTTCGCCTGGGAGCCATGGAGGCTCCTCCTTCCATCATCTCGACGTACCTCGGGGATAGCCTGACGGAGTACCTGGAGGGCTTCAAGGGGGGGAAGAGAGGCGAGTACAAGCCCAAGCCTCGCACTGTCGACACGGGATGCGACCTCTTCGGAACCCTCGAGGTCCCCACGGAGGACCGCAACCGCACCTCTCCCTTCCCCTACGGAGGCCATCGCTTCGAGTTCCGCGCGGTCGGCTCGGCTCAGAACGTTTCCATGGTCAACACAGTGCTCAACACCATCTGCGCGGACGCGTTCAAGGAGTTTGCGGACAAGATCGAGGGAGGCATGAAGGCTGATGACGTGGCGGCCGAGGCCCTCAAGGAGCACTGGAAGATCATCTTCAACGGCAACGGCTACTCCGAAGAGTGGAAGGCGGAGGCAGGCAAGCGCGGCCTGTGCCGCATCGACAGCGGGGTGGAGGCGATGGAGCAGCTGGGAGCCGAGAAGAATCTGGAGATGTTCGCCAAGCTCGGGGTGATGTCCAAGGAGGAGCTCTTGGCTCGCCGAGACATCGCCCTCCAGCACTACACCGGGCTGGTGGAGATCGAGGCAGGATGCATGATCGACATGATCACGCAGAACATCGTGCCTTCGGTGAAGGAGACAGGCATCAGCACCGCTCAGATGGAGGCAGAGTGCGCCAAGGTGAAGGCCAAGTACGAGGAGCTTGAGCACGAGGAGGACCCCCTGAAGAAGGCGAAGATTGCTCGGGAGCTCCGCCTGGACGTCATGGCCAAAGCAAGGAAAGTGGTGGATGACGTCGAGTCCATCTGCCCCGCTAAGAGCTGGCCGTTTGCTACCTACCGCGACCTCCTCTTCCTCGATCAGAACCAGGGGCACAAGAGCAGGAAGTTCCTGCCTGGGCGATGACGTTGACAGCTATTGATTTGATTCTTTTCTGTGTGTTTTTTGCATCCTCTCCTCTTCCTTCTCCTCACTTTCTCCCTCTGCTCCTCCCCTCCATGTTCCTCTATTAATACCGCGGATCTCGATAGTTTCCGAACTCGTCGATCTCCACCCGTGAAGTGAAATACGCGTCTGCCTCCTCCAGCTTGTTTTCTCCCTCGAGCATGAAACTCCCGTGCTCCTGTCTGCCATGTCAGCCTTCCACTCTCGTCTCTCCTGCTCCTTCTCCCGTTCCTTCCCCTTCCTCTGCTCCCTCTCCTTGCCTCCCTGCCTCCCTGCCTCGTTTTCCTACAGCTTCCTCCTCGTTCTTGATCTTCCATCCTTTCGTTCTCGCATTCTTGCACTCCTGCTCCCTCCTGCGCCTCACCATCTTCCGCAACCAAAGCGGGAGGCCATCTCCGACTTGATGTACAACGCTCTTTCTCACACGCACGAAAGCTGCTCGCTTGTCCCTGTTGGACTCCATGTCAGCGAAGGAGGGGAGAGTGAGGGGAGGTGGAGGGAGGAAGAAGAGCAGCAGCAGCAGCAGCGGGGGCAAGAGAAGCCGTTCGTCACCTCTCGAGCGCAGCATGGAGCTCACGCCATTTGGGCATTCGATTCAGCTTCTCCTTGACCTCCTCGGAGTACTCCCTGCGGTAGCGCAGCAGTGCGAAGGACGCGACCCTCGCAGTGTGGACGCGGCAATGATCGACGAGCATCTTGAGCAACAAGTTCACACTCTCAGCAGACCCCCAGCTGGTCTCACCGTCCCTCCTGGGGAGACGCGGAAGTTGACATCATGGTACTGGAAGGTGGAGCAGAGCAAGAGGCAACGGCCCCCATGGAGAACCTTTACGCCGCTACCACAGCAGGAGTAGCCCGTGTACACGACGCTGCTGTTTGTAAGGTTGCAGGAACTCTGATATCTGGCCGCTGTGTCAGTTTGAAAGCTCCAGACTATAAACAAGATCTCTCACTTCACAACGACACCGTTGCAAGCTCTCTCATCGTTGGGTCCCAGCCCACCCACATCGCAGTTGTCAATCGCCACTTGACTTGCAAACACGCTGTGCAGTACCTGCCAAGTCAGCGATCAGGTTCAAGGCTGAGCATCCCCCACAGCAACCCACGTCTCCCTGCTTGCAGTAGAGGTTGCAATTCTGAAAGGTCCATGTTCCGCCCTCGATCCTCAGCGTGACTGAGCCGTGGTATGCTTGCCTGTAGAAATCCTGCCATGAAGTAATCAGACAGTTCTTGAACTCGTGGCATGCGATGTTACATTCATGACGTGGATAAAACTGACATGGCTGGTTCCTCCATTACAACCCTGACGGAACCGCCACTGTCCCAAAACCAGACAGTCCCCCTTGTCAGAGCCATGCACATAGATGAACCGAGAGCTGTTGCTCCTGCGGAACTCCTTGCTCGATGGCCCGATCTTGATCTTTGGAGGGATTGCGACACCCCTTGTAGAATTGAAACTCTCCTCTGTCCACACGGAGTGGAACCCTCGCTCGATGAGCAGCTGACTCCTCTCCTGCATCGAGGATGAGACCAAGGGTCAACGAAACAGTCGCGCCCACCTCCTTCCAGCCCTCCCTAGCAGCCGCCTGAAGGCTCGACCTCTTCGGGAAAGTCATCCTACCACTGAACAGGCTCAAACTGGAAGTTCGTGTGTTTCCCTTCGACGACAGCATGTACAACTCGTTCTCCCACTTCTCCTTTATCCTCCCATCATACATCGACAGATTCCTCCCTCGAAGACGGATATTGAAATCCTCCTTCTCCAGCTTGCCCAGTCTGTCCATGACGGAGACGAACTCATCTCCTCCGATGTCACCCTCTGCCATCATCAGCAACTCTCCCTCGGACGAGCTCTCTCGCTCCTCTGCAAGCGGGACAACTTGCGGCTCGTGAGGTTCAACGTCCATGGACTCGTTCAGCTGCCTGCTGTCATATCAGGATGCGGAGCAGGTCTTATGTAGGCGACCTTAGGTACTCTTGGACGAACACGCTATCCTGAAAGGAAAAGTGTCATGTCTCGTCATCATTTCAGCATCTGCAAGAGCTCATATCACATCTGAATCAAGATCATCTAACGAGCTGTTCGGCCGCGCTCTGTTCATGCTCTCCCGTACACTGACACAGTCATCAAAGAGAGGGAGGGGCAAGAGCTTTCTACCTCTTGCTTTTCATCAGAGTGTGTCTGATAAAGTCGATCACTGAAACTGACTCGTTGTGGTTCGCTTCCAAGGAAACGTCCCACAAAAGATTGTGCTTGATGATGTCAATCATCCTCTGCGACACGGGTGCTCTGAGTCGGAAGTCCTCCTGCACCGAACATTCATGTGTCGGCGTTTCTTATTTCCGACATCAAACACAAACCTCTGTCAGCATCGAGATAGATTCAGGATTCCTCCATCCCATCTTCCTCGCCCATGCGATCCTTTGTTGAAGCTGGAAACGAGCAAGCTAAATCGTACCGTCTCGCATCTCATTGCATACCTGCTGCTCTTTGTACAGTTTCGTAGCCAGCGTTGTCGAGTTTTTGTTTACTTTTCTCCCTCCTCCGCGTACTCGAAGCATTCTCATTTCTGTGCTGCATGCGATGCAGCATCCTCTCAGGGTGATTGAAGGCCCCAGACTGCCCTCAGCACCAATCTCTGATACATGCGCATGCGGCAACCAGACCAACACGATGGCTATGATTGCAACTTGCCTCATCATCGTACCATGAACATCACTCTCCGACATGAAGATCCCGAGAGGTGAAGATGGACATCAGCAACCATCTTGTGTCAACGTGCAGGCAACGTGCAGCAAGCATGTCGCTACAACTAAACATTCCCGCTCGATGCGCACTACACATTACAGACGTCGAGCCTCATCTCCCAAAACCGGCCCAACTCTCTGAATCCTACATCGGCCCGGTCCCGGAGGCCCGGTCCGGGGCCCGGAGGCCCGGGGCCCGGAGGCAGCGGTCGGTACTGAAACTTCCGTGAAAAAGTCAGACGTCCCAGCGTCCTCACGGTAAACTCCGACTGTAACCTAAAAAAGAATGTACGTACCGTTTGGGTGTGTGACGTGACCACTCTGCCGTGACTTTTGCCGTGCGAGCGGGATACGTGCCGTGATGACGAGACTGTTATTGTACTGGATGCGAAAATACTCCTTTTCAAATATTCCAGCCTCGATCTCGTAGCTATAGAAGCGATGGGCTTTTACTGTGACCATTGTTGAACCAAAATTTGAAACTCCCTTGGGAGATTTTGAAGAGTCGAACTGTAAAACGTGAAGGGGACCTCACCCCCTTTTGATATAAACAAGGGGGGTGTTGAACCAATACGTATGATACGTGACAGACGAATACCCACCCTCTGGGAGAGATAGAAAGATAGGGGTACCAAAAAGGAGGGATTATCATGACCTCTTGATCTTAAAATGAGTTGTTTCTGAATCATTGTGTTTTCAGCCACAAGTTAGGAGCCCTACCCTACCCTTTCCATACCTCTGTAGGACCCCACCCAGAACTGTTTTAGAACGGGACCCCCTCCAAGCTCTCCATCCACCCCCCCGTTCCTCTTTCATAGACCCCTTTTATCCATGGTCCAGTACGTAGTGGTTCAAAATCCAGGATCAAACCACCTACCCCTGCACCGTTTCAATTTATTACTCATCCCAAGTCCGTACGTACCCCAAGTACCCCCCAATTATACTCCCAAACTACCCCTGCGACTGGGGACGTACCACTTGTCCCGTAAGGCTTATCACAAGTGGCAGTTCCTTGCAGCTCATCTCTTCCTTCCGCTCCTTCTCCTCCACGCACCTCGCTTCCTTCCGATCCTCTCCTTGATCGCCTTACCTACAATCCTCTCCCGCTACTCCCTTCACTTTATTCCCTTCTGCTCTTTCACAATCCCTCTAACCCCTCTCTGCCATCCTTCCCGACAAAGGAAATTGTTGGGGGCGTACCTGCCATTCCCTCAAGCCTCCGTGTATTATTCACTTCTAGCCGTAGAAAATGGGTGCCTGTACATCTAGAATAGATGAAAAAGTTGCAACTATCCTCAGGGAGCTGGATACTATTAAGTTCCATTGTCCTGAGCATGCCAACGATTTGGACTGGGAAAATGAGGAGTCGGTTCTGATCCACAGCTGTATCAACACACTCAAGAACTGCGCTATGCATAATGAGTTGAAGAAAAAGAAGAAATCATGGATCAAGAAGACCAAATCTCTCAGCCCTATTAAGAGAAATGCCAGCCCCGAGCACAAGACGACAGTCGCTTTCCACGAGGGGTACACCGTGATCAACCGAGACGACCATGAATGCGCCGGACGAGACGATATGGAAGACCTGATCATTGACGAGTTGCTGGAGAACGTCAAAGTGGGATCGGGCAAATCCAAGCTTCTACGTCTCAGCGATGCTCTCCCAGTCTTGCAAGACGATTCGATTCGTGCCGTTGTTCTCCACGGCAGTGCGCTAGATATTCTTTTAAGAACGCAGACTTGCGACTGATGCTATTTAGATCTGATAGCTCCATCCCCACTCACTGTAAATGAAGCACCTTTTCTATTCCAAGTTTTGTGTGTATTCCTTGGTAGCAAACTTCCCTGAACCTCGGACTGAACTTTTCAATCCTTAAAAGGTTTTCGAATGATCGTACTCCTGGGGTGACAGATATCCTTCTTCGATGGAAAGGCTGACATCACATGATATCTTGCTTGGACAGTCAATCCATAACAACCATGTCACGGAGTAGTTCGTAAAACTCGATATCCTCTCACAGTAGTCAGTAGTTTCTCTTGGCGCTTATGAGTCGGAAGCTTGTCTGAGGCGGGTCGGTGCAGGATGGAGGACGATTTCCAGTTTGCCTTTTCTTTTTCAGTCAATGAAAGATCAATTTTGGGCAGGTATGGAAGAGCCGTCTAGTTAGAGCGGGAGGGGAAGCGAGTACAAGAAAGGCGAGTCAAGACAAGTCAAGACATAGAGGAGAGAACAGCAAACTTGAGCAGTTGATCACTTGGCCTTGGCATTTAACTATTCACTGAGTATGTGGGGACTACCCGGGGTTTTGCTGGATGGTGTGAAACTTAGCTCTTTCTTGGAATGGCGAATAGCCGAAGAGGAGGAGAATGCATGGGAACAATATCCCATATGCTGTGTACTGAGCACGAGCAATGTACGACCCCTCAAGAGAGTTTTTGATCGGAGAGCGTTGAGCTCCAATGCGAAGGAGCAGCCGACCATTTTACGTCTTGTCAAACCTGACGATGAAGATCAAGAGGTGTGGTGGGTCAGACAGAATGGTGAGGGAAGGAATACCTCGTACCAGCGCTTCTTGCTCCCAAATCTTGTCTACCATGAGGTACGAGGAGGCTGCAGAGGATGTTTGTTGCCCCGTTTCATGCTAACCTGTTGCTTTGCCAGGAAGACTGTGCGTGCATGTGTGCCAATGACCCCTCAGTGGTCCAAGTAGAGGAAGAGCCAAGGATAGTTCACACCGTCAACAACAAGACCTCTATGAAAGTTCCCAAAGAACAGACAGTTTACGATAAATTTGTTGTTGACGACCTGGTGTATGATCCGGCAACGCAAAATTGGACAACAGCTACGGACAAGGCAAGCGAAATGCTGGAGCAATTGATTGAGACTGAGGATGTAGAGTACATGAACGTACAATGCAATGATGATCGAAAAGATCGGCAGATAGAGGCGAGAAGTAATTATACGCGGATATCAAGGAAAGAATTGTTTGGGCGAACCTCGCGCAAACGGGAGGATCCGAAGGCGATGCTCGCCGACTACAAGACAAGCTTCGAATACTTCCACGTGTATGCCCCGCAAAAGGCGCAAGGAGACTTCAAGAGGTGTCTGTCTGACATCGACAAGAAGATGGTGATGACGTGTAGCTCGATCGTTCCGGTCTGATGATTTGCTGGTACAGGCGGAAGATGCAGTTGTCAATAACGTGCGAATGCGAATGAGGACGCTGCAGGTGAGGAACAACGAGAAGTCAACCAGAGACCTCGGGTATGAAGTGGGATACCCTGATAGGCATGTCAAGACCAAGGAGGTAGATGCTGTTTGTGATGAGGGGCAATCTTTGAATCTCATTCTTTGCAGCCGCGGTCGTCTCCGATCAAACTCAGCCATGTCCATGCGATTGACTGTGTTTGCCCCGTCTGTCAAGGGGAACTGGAGTCTGCTTATGAGAACTTCAAGGGGAAGAGACAGTATGACTTGTCGCGAGTGTAGATGGACGTGTAACAGATGTAATTGACAAACTTGTACAATTCGACATGAAGCAAAGGGGCTGGTTGAATGTTTTCACCCAATCTTCTCATTGTTATTCTAGCAAACTCCTCAAGTACTCCTGTGTTGAGATCGGGTCAATGTCATCATGTCTCTGTGCAGCTGGATGAGAAGTTACCTCTTTGATCTCCTTGATCCGCTCGTCATGCTCTCCTTCCAACTTTCTATGATATCTGTGGCAAACGTTGAGCACAAACCACAACCAAGAAACATCGCAAGAGCAGTTCAGCACAAACCATGACCAAGAAACATCACAAGAGCAGTTCAGCACAAACCACAACCAAGAAACATCGCAAGAGCAAAGGAAGATCGTATCACCGGTACTTTGGCATTATATACGGCTCGTTTTCGTAAGACAATCCACTGCGTGATTCCTCAATGTTCATGTCTTCGCTCTCCCCGGTTTCATTTGTTTCTGTTCCCGCAGTCGCATCCGCAACCTTGGGTTCATCCTGATCACCCTGCTTGTCCTGCCCATCCTTATCATCCTGCCCATCCTGCCCATCTTGCTGATCTTGCTCCTCGTCCTGCTCGTCTCGCGCCTGTTCCACGTTCTCGACGGGGATTTGAAGGAGCGAAGCCGTCAGGTTGAAGTCATCCTTCATCTTCACATCTACATCATGCAAGGGTTGCTCGCTCAGGCTGTTCTCTCCAGCAAAGGCTGCAGTGTCGCTACGATCGGCCTCGCCCTCGTCCCCCTTCTTCTGCGTCCCCTCGACCGGGTCGGCGACTCGTGTCTTCTTACCGCTGATCATCTTCTCGATGTGAGAACGGAAATGCACCTTTAAGTTTTTCCTCCAACTGGGCGGATGAGAGATCGAGAGCGGGTTCCACACTCTCCCTCCTCCCACATCCCTCCAGCGGGTTGACTTGACAGACATGGAGTCGTCGGAGATCAGCGTGTTGGTCTCCTCCTCCTCCTCCCCGCCATCTCCCACCAGAGAGAAGTTCGACATGCTCACCTTCGTCCCTACATCCCTCGCCTCCTCTTCTCTCTCTCTACCCGTCCAAGAAGGGATTCGAGCGAGTTGCTCCTGCACCAGGAAACTGCCGTCGAGAGGAGCCGCCCGGTCGTTGCCGAGGAGGCGAAGTCGGGGGATGATGTGACGGAACTCAGTGAACTTGCGAGCGTTGGTGTTCTTCTCACTCCAGGGTTTCCTTGCGTACCCGAAGCCTCCTCCTGTAGCCAGACGGAAACCATGAGACCCGTCCGCGTTCACGTAAGGAAGGTGCTTGACTCGCGTTCCGTTGTTGTCCAGCCTGTTGAGCACCAGGCGACTGCTCCATCGCACCAGCTCAGTCCTCTCGCGCGCTGCCTCCAGCATGGCTGCATCCCTCCGCATCAGCGCCGGCACTTGATTCTCCGGGACAGGGAACTTTGCTTGGAGGGCTGCGACTTTGAGGAAGATGGAGTCGAGGGTTATGGCAGGAGGAAAGAGGAGGTGGAGAAGAAGCTCCTCGGAACCGCTGAAGAACGCTCTTGTCCGCACCTCAGGGATGGAAACAAACGCAACGCAGACGTCGGTGATGAAGGAGCTGCGGTCCTCGCTGGCCAGCAGCGCCTCCCAGAGAGGGAGGAGGTTCCAGAGGGGGAGGACGCGGGAGAAGAAGGTGGTCAACCATGGGCTCACAAACTGCTCAGGCTTGATCTTCAGCTCCTCGAACATCCTCTGCCCCAGCTCAGGGTCTGTCTGGAGAATCCTGTCCTTCACCCTAATAGCAACGGCGCCGACCACGTCGAGGCTCGTCCCCGGAACGTTCTCCCAATGGCGGAAGAACTGACCGGCAAGGCTGACGAAGAGGGAGAGCGTGTCGGCCTCTACCTGATCCAGCCTGCGATGCTTGACGCTCCTCTCTCGATCCTCCAGCCCGTCCCTCACGCCATGTTCAGGATCGCGCATGCAGATCCAGAGGACGGGAGCGAGAAGGTGATGCATGTCGGGGCTGTACTCCACCTGTTGGTCGATCATCGTCAGACGGCGAGGAGAAGCCAAGAGGGTCAAAAAGTGGAAGAAGAAGCAGGTGGGAAAAGAACAGATGGAAGGGCTCGAAGCTTTCAGAGGAGGGGAGAAGCGGAGAGAGAAGAAGATAGGAGGAGATAGGAGAGGAAAGGGACCTTAGGATGGAGACGGATGTAGGTGTAGATGATACGAGTCGTGACATGCATCAGCTCGTCCGGGAGCATCACACCAGGGTAGACGCCAAAACAACAGTCGTAGTGCATCTCTTGAAGCCAGTAGAGCTCCTCAGCCTTTTCAAAACGTACATAAATACTCTTGCCTCCCTCCACCACCAATCCTCGTCCGCGTCCACTCCTCTTCCCCATCCTCATCCTCTATCCTTTCCTCCCTTCCCTTCCTCATGTTAAATCCTACATCTCCTAGTCATCGTCAATCACCGTACTCGCAAACCCCCCCCCCCTCTTCCCCCGCACCTCGTCCCGCAACACACTCTACTGCTCCTCCACTCATATCTCGCATGTTGCCTCTCATCATCCTCACCTCGGCATTGGAGATTATCCCCAGGCTCTCCCGCAACTGCAGCTCCCGCATCCTCTCAGGATTCCCCGGCTTCTCGTCGGGCATGAGGTGATAAAGCTGAGGGTAAGTCCCGTTGTACGTGTCGTACTGAATCGCATGCCAAAGATCTTGAGCTGCAAAGAAATCTCTCCACCGCTGCTCCAGAGAACGACCTGCTCCTTGCTGAAGGATGCAGTCACACAGTCACACAGTCACACAGTCACACAGTCACACAGTCACACAGTCACACAGTCACACAGTCACACAGTCACACAGTCACACAGTCACACAGTCACACAGTCACACAGTCACACAGTCACACAGTCACACAGTCACACAGTCACACAGTCACACAGTCACACAGTCACACAGTCACACAGTCACACAGTCACACAGTCACACAGTCACACAGTCACACAGTCACACAGTCACACAGTCACACAGTCACACAGTCACACAGTCACACAGTCACACAGTCACACAGTCACACAGTCACACAGTCACACAGTCACACAGTCACACAGTCACACAGTCACACAGTCACACAGTCACACAGTCACACAGTCACACAGTCACACAGTCACACAGTCACACAGTCACACAGTCACACAGTCACACAGTCACACAGTCACACAGTCACACAGTCACACAGTCACACAGTCACACAGTCACACAGTCACACAGTCACACAGTCACACAGTCACACAGTCACACAGTCGCCAAGACGAAGTGGCTGTTCTGTCCCTTTCTATCGCCTCTCCCTCCTCTCCCTCCCTCCCTCCCTGTCATCCTTCTTTCTCTATCTCTCTCGAACCTCTGGTCCAGTCTCACCTGCTTGGCAACCACAACGTTGCCATCGCTGTCCATGGTGAGGCCTGGGTTTGCATAATGCCGTTTCCATCTCTGATCTGTGCCAATTTCCAAATCTGTTTCAGCAAGTTTCTGCGGAATGAGTCAGGAAAGGACCGCAAAAAGTTAACAGGGAGGAACGATCAAGTACAAGAGTTGTCAAATGCAGAAACAAGTCTGACCTCCTTGACCAGGTCGTCGATATCGTAGAAACTAGACATGTTGCCATGTTCAAACATAACCATCCCGCCTTCGTCCCACTCATGCTGCCTGAAAAGCTGCTGTGGTGCAAAATCGACTTCTTGGCAAGTGCTCAAGACAACCTTCTCGTGCGTCAGCCTCCAGGTTTTGAGACTTTTCTCCCACAGGGCCTTGCTGGTGGGAAGAGTCGCAGTCAGGAGCCTCCATAGCTGAGACCGGAGCCTGAAGATTGCTTGCTGAAAGAAGAGGATTCAGACAAGGAGGAAAAGGGTTGGGACGGAGAGAGAAAATGGGACGAGGAAGGAGAAGCAAAAGAACAAGCAGAAGAAGTCATCGCGAACCTTGGTGTTGTTGACGTTCAGGGAGCAGATATCTGGCATTCCGAAGTGGCAGAGACCGAACAATTCGCGGAGGTTGAGATGTGTTGCGTTCATAGACGTGATGAAGGTCTGTGAAAGAAAGTGGCTCGACGAAGAGACAAGAGTCGTGTTGAGCTGTCCTCTTTGTCGTCGGATACCCTTCAACACAGATCCAGCAACAAGATCTGCATCCTCCTGCTCTTTCTTCTGCTGCTGCTCCTCATCGAAATACTGTCGGAATGTGGTGTAATACTTATCGAGCTCGGGGGTGAGGCCAGGGGCGGATTTCTTGTACTCCAAATAGTGAGGGCCGTAGGTAGCTGCAATAGAGGAGCAGACAGGAAAATTGTTCTTGAGGTCTACCGACGCGTAGGAGGAGTGGACGTTTCCAACCTGTGTTGTCCTCTGAAAGCTGTACTCCGTCTTCTCCAGTCGAGTGAGGTTGGCGTATTTCTTGGCTTCGTCGAGCTCTAAAAATTCCTGGCCATCCTTGTAGATATAACTTCGATACTTCAAGTCCCTCGATGCGCGACAGATCCAACCCATTGGGAGCCCTTCCTCTTCGCAAAGGAAGAACACGCACTTGTCTTTGTCTTCCATCTTCTTGAAGTTCTTGAGCACCCTCTGCATGTACAACCCCAGTTTCCTCTTCTTCCTCCTCTTCGCTTTGAGCTCAGCATCCTCGTCAGGGATCTCTTCGACGGGAATGATGCATCCAGAGCCGGCAGGATCGACACAGAACAACTTATCCTTGAACTTGCTCGGGAAAAGGAAAATTTGGCCGGGCTTCAGCTCCCTCCCGTTGTTCAACTTCAATGCAACCTCATACAGCTTTCCTCCTGGGACCATCTCCTCTTTCTGATAACCTTTCTTGATCCTCAACCTTGTCCTCCCTTGCGGTCTCCCGAGCTCCAGCAGGAGATCGCGTCCTTCAAACTTAGTAGTAGCCTTCATGGAGCACCCATGTATCGGAAACTTGTCAGGAACGTAATGCTTCTCCTTAGCCTCGACGTCAGCCAGATCGTCAGAGGTGCTTGAAAACTCCATCTTGTTGATGTCGAACTCATCGTTCTCTGCACTGTTGTCGCTGGCCACAAACTCAAAGGTCGCATCAACCTCCGACTCGATAAAATCCGGCACGTCCACTCTATGCACAGTCTTGTATGGTTTTGAATCGTTTCTTTGCGCCGACGTGGCCTCCTCTAATTTTGGTACCTCCATCAATCGAAGGTCATCTTCATCCAGCAGCTCTTGCAAGCGTTTTGCTCTCTTCTCAGACAGGTACTTTTCATAGCTCTTCATCGGTTCATTGCTGATGGTTTTCTTCGTCTCTTCATGTGTCGATGTTATGCAGCAGCTTTGAATTTGAAGAGATCACTTACCTTCTAGGTCATCCTTGAAATTCGAGAGTTTGTCTTGAAGCAACGGATCGTCATCCAACGATTTGATGACGTCATCAAATCTATCACACAAACTCACGTTATCAGTACGGTCAAGACAAAAGTCTCTCTCACAGTTTGCGTCTGTCTTTGATACCCAAGTTGAAATTCTTCTCTGCAATTTCTTCTTCCAAGGCCTCGAATTTTTCAGCCTATCAAAACTTTAGCGACAAACACATCGAACCTCTCATCTCATCAACCTGGTCATGGGTGAGCCCCATGAAATTCTCTGCACCAGGAACTGCCCAGCCCACAGTAGACTCAACTTGCTCCTTGAGCAGCTGCTGGTTCGCCTCCCATGTCTGCGATCTCATCTCAGTCCGTCAAGCGTTAGCAAGATCAAGTAGATGTCTCTCTCACGTGCCAAGGATACACGGGAGCAGATGTAGAGCCATTTCTCCACCGCTCGGCATTGTGTTCTTGCAGCAGTTTCACTCTCGCCGCAAGGATTCTCTCAGTGATCACGTATCCCCCACGCAACCGCAAGGGGCTCTTGCTGTGTTTGATCCACACATAGCTGCTCCCTCGTGCAAAGCTCTCATCCGCGAGGAAAGTTGTCAGCGCTCCGAGGGAGTACGTCACAACCAACCAGGTCGCCAAACCACTCATCACTCGATGAAGTGACAGAGCTTACAGGGTTCTAACAGGTTGAGAACTTAAGAGGTGATGAAATACTTGAAGATACTTTCATGACAACATGATCAGAAGGTTCTGTTGCAATACCCCAAGACTTGCTCTTCCATGAACACTTGCTCTTCGATGCACCGGTCTCATCGTCAACACTTCCTGGTCTGTACTTGCATCCTGGTCTTGTTTTCTCTGTGGAGTCTGCTAATCTCTTCGCTCTGCTTCTCACTTGGTCTTCGTTGAAGTTCCTTCTTCCTCCTCCTCCTCTCCTCAGCTCTCTGCCTGCCGCAGCTGCTGCATACTCCTTGCATGCGACGCCATTAGGCGTATCCGGCTCTAGAGAGCTTTCAAATTCTTCTGTCTATTTTCAAATAATGATGGTAAGGACTTTCAAAAGTCCAAGTCTGCCTCAGGCAAGCAACATGGCCCAGATTGCGCGCGAAACTGATCAGAATGTAGGGCAGGGAGGTGAAGAGGAGGAGGAAGAGAGGAGAGGAGGGGAGAGGAGAGGAGAGGAGAGGAGATAGAAGTTATAGAGTGGAGCTAGAGCAGGGAGCGAGGGCAAAGGATGCAGTTGGACGCCAAGAGGGTTTTCCTCCCTCTGCTCTCACGCCATGCTCTTGATCCATTCCTTTCCTGTTTCTTCCTTGCACGCCCTACTTTTAGAGAAGCGCCTCACACCTACCTCCAATCGTCCGGCATCAGATCTGCATCTTTAGCCTGCATTGCCCTCTCAAACGTTTCTGGTCTTCCCTAAAGCTTTTGACATAGGCGGGAAGCAGGAGGCAATGTCTCGGATGACTGAGAGGCAGATCTTGAAGATGAGCTCTATGGAGTTCGAGGTCAGCCCAACCATTGTATCAACTAGATCACTCTCCTCATCGTCCTGCAGATCCGAAATGCTCTGGGCAACATGGGGTTTTCTGCAGACGACATCTCTGCTGCCATCAAGAAGACGGGAGGGAAGAGCGTCGAAGCAGCCATGAGCGTCTTGCTGAAAGTAGGTAAAAACACCGGCAATGAATTGTGATCATATCTTTGCAGGATGAACGGAATTCTCAGAGAAGCAGCAAGAAGCAGAAGACAGAAGCGAAGCAGGTGAGAAGGTTTATGGTGTAAAACGGTATCGTCTGAGATTATGTTGAAGACTCCTCCCAAGAAATCACCGAAGAAGAGCAGTAGTGTCGTTGTCTTTTTTGTTTTTTTTTATTGAGATCTCCTAATTCTTAGACGAGAAGCGTTCCAAGAAGAAATCGAGCAAGCCTCAACGGTCAGCGTACGAAGTTTTCTTTCTGCAGAAGAAAGAAGAGGTTCGAATATCGAGACAGCTGCATCAATGTAATGCCATAACACATCAACAGTTGATGCAGGAAATGAAGGAAATAACATTTGGAGATCTTAAGAATCGCATTGACAAGGCCTGGAATGGTCTTTCACAAGAAGAAAGACTGCAGTGGAAAGAGGTAAACATGGTCAAAGGGTGAAGTATATGACTGAAATATTCAAAGGAGGAGGAGAAACCAGATAGTGATCATGACGAAGCCAATTTTGAAAAGGCACATAATGAAGATGATCAAAATATGGCTTCTCCAGCTGAACAAGGTTGGTGGCCTGTTGGATTCAGTACGTGCTCTTTCTGAGTTTGTGGATCATCACAGGGGGACAAGATGACCAAGAATCAGGAGGAATCATGGAATTTGACGAAGTTGCAGCTTCAACGAGCACAGAACCACCGAAACAACTCGATATTGGAGATCAAGAGAGAACTTTAACTGGCGGAGAGCTGGATGACCAGGAATCAGATAGTGAGATCGCAATAACATTGCTTCATTTTAATCTGACTTTCATTGCCAATCAGAAAATCAAGAGCGTTTACACACTCCTGTGAAGTTGGAAGTAACAACACAGTCTAATGTCTCGAACGAAAACAATGAGAAGAGCAAAAATCTATCGGAAGAACCAAATACAGCAAACGAAACGTACGAATTGGAGGGGTATGACGAAGAGACGAGTGCAGGGAAAAAGTCCTCGAAGAGACCGAAGTCGCAAGAGAGAATTATCTTTGGAAGTGCACGGCAGATGGCGATTGCAGCAGCAAAGGAAGAAATGCAACAAGAGATGGAGAAAAAATTGAAAGAACAAGTCCAGCAGGAAGAAACCAAGAAGAAACCTGTAGCTTCGTCCAAAATCAAAACTGAAAACTCGACAAGAGATCCTGCAAGGAAGGTTGAATCATCATCAACGTCCTCTACCATCCCAAGAATAAAAGCTTTGGACTCACATGATGTTGATCCTGCATGGATGGGTAATGACACACTTCCTAGAATTCCTTACCTCCTTGTGCTGCTTGCGCAAACTTTGTGGCAGCGATCAATCAATGATTCGATTTGTTTAATCAAACGTGCTCCGCAGGGTTTGTTTACGACGAAGGCCTTGATTCGAATTTACAAGGACCTGATTGTTTTGCTGAATCTACAACTCTACAACTAAAATCGGTAAGCAACAGAATTTCATGATCCTCCAGCTTCTCTACTTTTGTACGTGTTCCGAATTTCGTAATTTGATGATCAGGCGGTTGCAAGTGAAAGGATAGAAAAAGATGAAACATTGGAAAGCTCTGAAGAAAGAAAGTGAGAGGCGCCTGATCAGAAAAGGCATCCTGACCTTGGTATTCAAAGATTGAAACCAAGACTTCGGGGAATGTATCTCTCGGACATCATCAACAAGATCTTGATCAGAGATTGGCAACAAGTGGTGACGAACAAGAAGCTTTACAAGGTGATACATTGCATGTGATGCTTGAAAGTGGAGGTGTATTTGCCTTCTTGTCTTTCTGCTGAACATCTGCTTGTTCCTGAATTTCACATCCATTCATGTCAACCGTTGTTTGTTTCAAAGTCCTCATATTTGTGTCAGTTGCCCCGAGAAAAAAGCCTAAGGGAAATCTTGACGCTGTTCTCTTCTTGCGCATCGGTCTGCCTCTTTACGTTGCCAACGGTTGGAATGAGCTCACGAATGACAGAAGGACGATATTGACAGAAGAAACAAATTTGCACAAAGGTGACTCCTGATTGTTTCTGGGGCCCTTCATCAACTCATTATGCCGCAGTCTATGCCATTATTTCGACAATCTGTGCAAGTAAAAAGACGCTTTCCCACCTTGCATGCGGTCCTGCTCACGTCAGTTGTAGCCCATGGCTCCTGTATCATACAGCAGAAGTGAAACAGTATCAGCGATTGCTCAAGTACTGTTTAGCATGATGTAACTTATCCCTTTTTCTAACATGATGGCAGAGATCAAGAAAATTCTCATCCTTGCGATGTCTATGGAGGAGAACATCTCGCACGCTTGCTCGCCAAACTTCCTGAGTTCCTCACCAACACTGAGATGGACAAGAGCAAAGTATGCAGACGTTTTGTGCATTCAAATACTGCTGTTACGATTCTGTTGATCGTTATCATTTTGTTGCAGGCAAGTGAAATCGTCGAGCAGTTTCGAGAACTTGTAACATTCATAGAAAAGAACGTGAGGTAAGACAAAGACGCTAGTCATGACTATTGCCTGATGTACACAATCAGTGCGATCATCGAAGGAGGTGAAGCAATCTTGAGAATTTTTTGATCTAAGTGAACGCAATCATCAACATTGATTCCCCTCGATTTATTGGAACTGCATGGCAAACTTTCTTACTGTCTTTCCAACTTCTTCCTGGAACTTGTTTTCCTTCTCTCTAGTTCTTTTCCATCTCAACCTTCCCTCACGTACTTGACGTTCCCCACGAAAGCTGCAATGACGGGCTGAGACGAAGGAGGCTAAGGGTCAAAGTGTGAGAACAGAAGACGATGGCAAGGGAAGAGTGAGGAAGAACGACGAAACGACCGAGAGGAGGAGGAGGAGGAGGCTGAAGAGCGAAGAAGAATCGAGGCAAGTGAAGTGGTCCCCGGGCTGAGATCACCGTGTCAAAGGAGCGACTGGCGGCCGTGAAACCACACGCAAGAGCCAGGCAGGAATCCTAAGAGCGATGAAAACCAAGTCAGAAAGAGACGGAGGAGACGAAAACAAGGGCGAGCAAGGGAGGGAGGCAACTGAAGTTTGGCTGTCACCTCGGCGAAAATTTCTCCTGGCGCAAATGCTCCTCGTGGCAAGCCTGTCACTTCGTCCTGACAAAACTGTCAGCAAGGAGGACGAAGAAGGGGAGTTGCGGGCAATGGAGCAAGGAAGACACAAAGAACTCGAAAGTGCGAGAGTGATTCAAGTTGCGAGGGAAGGAGGAGGGGGAAGAAGAAGAGAGTGGGGGGTGGGGGGGGGGGTGGGGGGGGGAGAAGAGAGGAAGAGCAGCAATGGAGGAGGACTTCGTGAAGAAAGATTAGAGGGGATAGAAGAAAGAGATACATCTGAGTCGTTTCCTCCGAAATCTTGATCGAGGAAGTCAGAATCCAACGCCACCTGGACCAGGAGATGGTGACGAATGAGCAAAACTACAAGTCAACAGTTTCACATCTTTCGTCATCCTGATGATCAATCCGTTGATGTTGTTGGTGTGGATACAAACACCTCGAGTCTCTCCCGCCTGCCATTGGTCGCCCTCACAAGAACATCGATAGTGTCTGTGAACTGAGATCCTCCCCTCCGTCATTTCTTCGATCCTTCCCTTCCCTTCGAATCTTCCCCCCCTTCACCTTCAGCTTCAAAGTCTTGCTGCATGGAATCTCGCCATATTCCGGCCTTCCGTCCATCCAAGAGATCTGGTGGAAATCACAAGGGAGGCAGGAGCAGAATAAACTCACAATGGGCAGTGAGATTTCTCCCCCTCCCAGCGCCTCCCAGCGAGTTCCGTCGAGCTCCTTCCCCCTCCCGCTTCCTTCCTTGCAGACCGAGACCTTCTCAAGAGTATGAGCAACTCTGTTACAAGAAGACACGGCACAGAGGAACAAAGCAGGACGAACAGTGACAACATGGAAGAGTTGGCTATAGACAACATGGAAGAGGTGGCTCTAGAGCATGTCATGGGAATACAAACAATCAGTACAAAAGAATCGCATATTACAGTTAGATGACAACCAAAGTCCTCGCTGACCTGAGTCACGATGCTTTTTCCAGCCCCAAAGTTCAATGCAGGGGACGAGCCGCTCGCAAACCCTGTGATCTTCAGGGAGGCTTCACTCAACGGCTCCCAGCCGCTCCTCCCTCTCAACCTCCACAGGGTGCTCCTTGGCGATGATGTCGAAGAAGATCCCGAAGGCTGAAGGCCCGGCATTCACCGGGGGAGTCACCAGCTCCCATCGTTCACCTTCACTCCTCCCTCAGTGGCTGCGATGGCAGCAGAAAGGCCTACCGATCTCAGGCAACCTGGCTGGGTGCCCTGCTGATGTCCGGACCTCTTCATCCTTCGGCTTGTAAGTGATCGACGCAGTGGCTGAGGAGGACATGATTCTGACCGAACAAGATATCACTGAGCACATCGGATTCTGGCATGCCGCGACAGTACATCTCGGTAGCTCCTTCTAAGGTGATTCCCCTCCTCGCGGCAAACTCAAGCTCTGCAAGGTGAACTTCATTCATGCCTGGCCAATAGAACGACAATCACCTTGCTCGGAGCAGTTGGGAAACAGCCTTCGCAGCTGTGTTTTGATCGCATCCAAGTCAACGCTCGGGCGCTGAGCAGCCGTTGACTGCCAAGGGCAAGTCATGGGTCCATACTCATACTATTAGCACCTACTTGCGAGAAACCTTTGAGCAACTTATCCCACTCATCCGGGCCGATAAGATCTTGCTGGTTGACAAGAATGTCTCTCACGCTCTGCAAGAGACCTGTTCGAAGTTCTCCCACGCTCTGGGGCAGGCTTCCCGCTGACACCTCGCGCCTGTACTTCCTCCTTGCTACCAGAGCGGCCGCTCTCATCTCAGCCGCATCGTCTGCAGACACATCGCGGACGAAGACATACTTGTCTATGTACTTGTTGATGTCCTTCATCACCTCGTCTATCGTCGTGTCCACATCCAGGGCACCATCATTGCTGTTTTTCATTGCAATCGCCCTCGCTCTCGTTGTGGACAAGTATCGCCGCCTTGCCAGGTTGAAGGTGTGACCCCGAGCCCTGGAAGGAAAGAGAGACAGAAATACTGTGGAAGAGGATGAGGAGGAGGAGGAGAACGAGACGTGCGGGCTCAAAGAAAAGGCCTGCGCTGACCACATGGAGGCCATGAGGACGAGAGAGATCAGGCTGGTCACCGATGCCGCAGAGGATGATGCCCGGAAGCATGAGCGACTGAAGGAAGATGACGAGGAGGCAGTAGAAGGACGGAGTATCATATATACAGAGAGAGGGGTGGATGAAGAAAGGAACGAGACGAGCAGGGGAAGCTGCTCTCTACCATTCGCCCTCCTCGCACTAGTCGCCATGGTAAAAGGTTCACAGGGCACAAGGCTTTGGGACAAAGTTTGAGAGACGAGTTGCAAGTTGAGAAGTTTGAGGGGTAAAAGTTGAAAGTTTAAGAGTTCTAAGGTTGAGTTTTACATTTTAAAATGAACTTAATATCTGTAGGGGGCCGCGTGCGATACAAATAAATACTTATATGTGGGCTGATAGGCCCAGGGAAGTGACTATCACCAGGGATATTTCATATGAAAAACAATAAGAATTATGAATACTCTCTTTCGATGGTGTGATTGGAGGGCCTCTACATGACCCCTCCCCAACACTGAATGACAAATTTAGACCAGCGACCCCAAGTAGTACCGATAATAATTATATTAGACTATTTAAAAGCTTCAACAATATTTTTAGAGTATTTGTGTGTTTTAAATAGATCTTACTTTGTTTTTATTTCCGTCTATACGCACATCCACCCCACCCCACAATGTGTAAATGCGTCGTTGGGAGGACCCCACCTGTTTTCATTTATTAACCCCACCTTGGTCTTTCGAATGAATTTGTGCTGAGATGTAGGGGTGAGGGTGATAACCCCTTGGAATACCTTTCTACACATCTGACCCCATGGTGAATTTATGAAAAAGGGGACGGTCGGATATTCGGGGTAGGGTCAGCTCTTTGAAGGGGTATTTCTACAGGAGGGGTGTTAGTCAGGGATGGATCTTTGTTGAAATCCGAAGATATGTAAAATAAATCGAAGCGTATCATAGTGAATGTCGCTAGTAGAGGTAGGGTCACATATCATTTCGAGGGAGGATCCAGGAGGGTCGGTGGTATGCAACAAGGTAGGTTGGATTTGATGTCGAAATCAACAGGGTCACTTTGGTGGGGGGTACATATCATCACCGGTAATTTCATAGTAAAAGAAAGGGGTACTCTATGGACCCCAGGGGGTCAATCATTTCATTCAGGGGTCTTCTGTAGTCGGGATCGAAGTTTGAAAAGGAGGGGGTTAGGGTGGAATATGAGGGTAGGGGGTCGTTAGAGCTCAGGGTGTTCAGGGGGTTAAATCTCGTGCAATCGGCTTTCCAGAAGGGTGGGGTTATTGATTGAAGGGGTAGTACATCACCCGTGGGGTGATCTTTTTGTGTTGGATCCATGTAAGCGTTTGCGAAGAGAAGGAAAGGCATGAAGGAATGCACGGAAGGAGAGGGCCGACATTGGAAGATGAAAGGAGGTAGAGAGTGGCTTTAATGATAGGAGGATGAGATGAAACAGCTCGGCATGCAGGAAGAAGGCTGAGAGGGAGGGAGAGACAGAAATGAAAAACAAATGGACGGAAACTGGGCAAACGCAACAACGTGATCCGAAGATATCGAAATTGCAGGGATAGAATAGAAAGGATTCGGAATCGAAAGGTGGTAATAATGCAGCATGTTTTCGATTATTCGAATAATGCGAGGCAGAAAATGTCTAACAGGACTGGGGAAAGCTCGAGCGAACTTTGCGCCTACAATCCTTTGAGAGCAAGCACAACAGATATGGAGGTTGTTCTACAAGATAGTGTCTCAATTGGGGTACACAACAGCACAATCGTGAGGAGTTAGATAAAGAGAAATGAATATTATACTGCGAGAGTATCTCCAACATGCCAAGTTGCATGTCGTATCCATGAACTCACTTTCCATGTACAGGTGCGAAGTGACTTGGATGTAAGCGAGGATAATTGCAGACAAGGGGGAAGATGGTTGTCGAGAGCTTTCCTGTGCCTATTGCAATCGAATATGATATTGCTGTGCAAGGAGGGAAGGCAAACAGTTCAGACCGAAAGCAAGCAAGGAAAAGGCCTTCCATCGAAGAGCTGTTCACAAGGGATCGCGATGTTCTGTTCACCGTGTTAGGACTGCTGGATCCTGCAACTCTTGCTAGAGTGTCTCTTGCTTCTCGTTCCTGGAACGCCTTGGGAAGTGAAGAAAGACTATGGGAAATTCACTGTCGTGTGGAACCACTTTGTCGCAATTCCTGGACTCCGCAGACAATTGTAAAGAATGGGGGATGGAAGAAGTTTTATGCGAATAGGTAAGAAGATGGTGTTCTGTTGTTATGAGCGCACTAATGATTGCTTCAATGTAGAGCAAAAGAAGCAAAACTCGTGCAGGAGCTGTTCAATGAGAGAGACGTTGTGACATTCCGAGACTTGTGGTTGACTACTGGAGAAATCCTTTGGGAAAACGTTATCGGGCCCTTGATTCCAATATAAATGTTGATTCTAGCAGTCGAAATCGTTTGGACAAACAAAACAACAACCAAGGCAGATATAGCGTGTAAATCGATTAGTGACTGGACATGTTTGTAGAGAAACAATATGATTATTTATTTCTAACACACTAATTTAAACACACTTGAAAGGGGTGGCATTGTGCCCCTGGTTCTGATCGAGGAAGAGGAGGTCGCGGTAGGTAGCAAACGGCCAGCTCTTAGCGGGGCAGATGGACTCGACCTCATCCACCACTTTCCTTGCGTTGGCCATGACGTCCAGGCGGAGCTCCCGAGCAATCTTCGCCTTCTTCAGGGGGTCCTCCTCGTGCTCAAGCTCCTCGTACTTGGCCTTCACCTTGGCGCACTCTGCCTCCATCTGAGCGGTGCTGATGCCTGTCTCCTTCACCGAAGGCACGATGTTCTGCGTGATCATGTCGATCATGCATCCTGCCTCGATCTCCACCAGCCCGGTGTAGTGCTGGAGGGCGATGTCTCGGCGAGCCAAGAGCTCCTCCTTGGACATCACCCCGAGCTTGGCGAACATCTCCAGATTCTTCTCGGCTCCCAGCTGCTCCATCGCCTCCACCCCGCTGTCGATGCGGCACAGGCCGCGCTTGCCTGCCTCCGCCTTCCACTCTTCGGAGTAGCCGTTGCCGTTGAAGATGATCTTCCAGTGCTCCTTGAGGGCCTCGGCCGCCACGTCATCAGCCTTCATGCCTCCCTCGATCTTGTCCGCAAACTCCTTGAACGCGTCCGCGCAGATGGTGTTGAGCACTGTGTTGACCATGGAAACGTTCTGAGCCGAGCCGACCGCGCGGAACTCGAAGCGATGGCCTCCGTAGGGGAAGGGAGAGGTGCGGTTGCGGTCCTCCGTGGGGACCTCGAGGGTTCCGAAGAGGTCGCATCCCGTGTCGACAGTGCGAGGCTTGGGCTTGTACTCGCCTCTCTTTCCCCCCTTGAAGCCCTCCAGGTACTCCGTCAGGCTATCCCCGAGGTACGTCGAGATGATGGAAGGAGGAGCCTCCATGGCTCCCAGGCGAAAGTCGTTGCCGGGGTCAGCGATGGCTGCTCTCATCAGGTCGCTGTGCTTGTCCACCGCAGTCACCACAGCAGCTATGAGCACAGGGAAGATATCCAAGTTCCCCGTCACCTCCGCTACTTGCCCCGCATTCATGAGGTTCAGCCCTTCCTTGGTTCCCAGCGACCAGTTGTTGTGCTTCCCGCTCCCATTGACTCCGCTGAAGGGCTTCTCCTGGAAGAGCGCCGCCAGCTCGTACTTGGCCGCGATCTCCTCGCAGAGCTGCATCACGAGCAGGTTCTGGTCGATCTGAGAGGTCACGTGGCCGAAGTAGGGAGCCATCTCGTACTGGTTCGGAGCCACTTCCCTGTGCCTGGTCTTGAGGGGGATGCCTAGCTTGAACGCCTCGTGCTGGATCTCGCGCAGGCAGTTGAGCGCATGCTGGTTCAGCGGCGCCATGTAGTGGTCGCACATCTCCTGCCCTCGAGGCTGCAGCACATGCGATCAGAGGAGCATCAATGCGGCAGGCAGCAGCTCACCGGCATCTTGCCCAGGATCGTTCGCCCGCACTGCTGCAAGTCTGGCCTGCGGTCGTACGAATCGCGAGGGATGAGGAAGAACTCTTGCTCCAGCCCGATGTTGGACTGAACCCCAGCAGTCGTATGCCCCATGAGCTTGAGCAGCCTTACGCACTGAGCTGACATGGCCTGTTCCGATCTCAATAGGGGGATCTTCTCATCGAGAGATTGTCCATGGTACGAGATGAAGATCCTGTATCATAAAGTAAGTTTGCAATAAGATTTTAAACAAGCATCAGTTACGTAGGAGCATAGATCGTGTCGTCAAGAATGAAGATGGGAGAGGTAGGGTCGAGCACGGTGTATGCTCCTGCCGTGTGGGTAGCTGCAAAAGAATCTTATCAATAAGCCTAGAGAGAAGTGAGGGGAGTACCTCTCAGTCCGCCATTTGGATAGGAGGACCCATCAGTCTCGCCACGTAGAAGTTCTCCGGCCTTGAACTTGAAGCATGGCTTGCCATCCGCGCCGAACGTGAACATGTAGTTGTGGACTTGTCCAGTCTGTCCGTGTCTAACTCCGTTGCTGATGATTCAAATCTTAGACCCACACAAAGCTTCGGAAGTCACAAGCAAACTTACGCTCCAAGTGGCTGGAACCAGTGGGTGAAGACCGTGGCATTGCTATCCCTTCCCCAATCCAACAAAGCAGCGGCGACTGAGATAAGGTCACTACGACTACCTGCAAACGTCACAGTAACAACTACCTTTTTCTGCCTTTGCCTGGTCTTTTACCCAGGAGTGATCCTTCAACAGAGCGCTAGACTCTCCATACTTGCCGAGATACTGCACACGCATGTCATTTGAAGAAGGGGCAACGAACTTCGTTGAAAAGGTTTGAAACCAGGCAGAAGGCGAGATAGAAAGCAAGACGAGCATAGAAATAGATGTGTTGCAAGGGAGAAGAGAGTGACAGAAAGAAAGTAAGAATCAGTTACCTTGTCAGCGACAGCTCCGACGAAGACCTTTTGCCCGTAGTCCTCCATTGCGAATTTGCTTGCTACTGGTTTGCGGAGCACCTTTTATAAGAGGAGGGCGGTGCACCCCACCCCCCTGGAATTCAACTTTTCGATGGAATATACTATGGTGGGGTGCATAGGGGTTACAAGATGAAGGAGTTGGTAGGAACATGTAAGATACAGGGGTAGTAAAGGGGAAAAGAAGGGGTACAGAAGCTTCTTAAACCTCACCTCACCTCCAGACAATACCGAAAGGCCCTTAAGTTGCGACTGAACATGCAGCCCATCTTAAAACTGTAATATAAATTTAAAAAAGAAACTACCCACCCCATCGAATACCGGCGGTGGACTGGGCAACTTGCGGTCAAACTTGAGGCAACTTCCGGCAAATTCCGAGACTTGTACTGAAATACCTGTTGATAAATTGAATATTTTCTAGATAATTCTGCAATGATGAAATCAACTTGCAGCACCCCAGCTACGCCTTCTAGACGAGTCACATAAGGGGTCCGTCAACTCATTAAGTGCTGAAGTAGCGGCACACGTCATCCCCCTTATTATCTGCACACAGAGGTGTAAGATTTACTCTCGGCTGAGCCGACACTGAGCTCTTTCTAGTACTGAGGGCCGCGCCCGGGCCGGCCGCGCCGGCCCCGCCGGCCCGGTCTGACTCAGTGACGCCGGGCGGGCGCCGGCAGCCACTGACGGTGTGACTCACGCGCCGGCGCCTGGCACCGCGGGCCGGGGCGGCCCCGGCCCGCGGCCAGTGACTCAGTGAGCCGCCGCGTGACCCGGTGACCGTACGCGCAGCCGGTTGCACGCCGGGGTGTACTACACTGTCAACTAGCCTGAGCCTACGCCGGGTAGCCGAGGCTAGTACTACGGTAAGTTCAGAAGTCACTCAGTAGTTCGCTTGGACCCGCCGGGGCCGGCCGTAAGCGGGCGCTCGGCGCCGCGAGTCACGCGGCACAGCCGGGCCCTCCGGCGCGGCTCCGGCGGTCACTCAGCCGGTGACCGTCCGTACGGTCGTTCAACGGTTACCGGGATCTTACCGTACGGTGACTGCCGGGGAGTCCGATCATCCAGCCAGTCCCGGGGCGGCCGCCTCCCGGAGTGACTGTGCGGGCGGCGCCGGGCCGCGGCGGCCCGGCCCCTGTGACTCGCCGGTCACGGGTGACCGGCGGACTCACTGCGGGGGCCCGGGTCACGGTAGTACGGTGCCGTCTCCCGTACGGTCGGCCACTATGAACTTAAATCCCGAGTCCCGTCGCCCGGGCCCGGCGTGATCACTGAGTCATTCCCGGAGCACGGTTCCGGCGGGCCGGGGCCCAGCATGGAGTTCCGGTTCAAGTCCAACTGAGCCGCCGCTCGGCAGTTCGCCTCAGAACAGTGCGAGGGGGGGAAGGAGTGGAGTTGCCTCGCTGTTCGATACTACCAGGAGGTCCGAAAGTGGCGGCGCTTCATGCAGAGATGGCAAAGGGAGCTCAAAGGGATCAGTGAGAGTCTGAGCCGATGCAGACCTGCCATGCCGCATGCTGGTGTGTTAGAGATGCACATCCACCCTCACCTGGGCAATGAATGAAGAGATTCGAACAGGATAGGCTCAATCACGATGCCGACATATCTTGTGAGCATGAAAAGTGCATATAGCACCCTGTTGCTTCTAGCTTGTGCTATGCAAGGAGCAAAATGTCTGACAACAGTCTTCATGATTCCTGTATATGAATGGACCCTTGTTTGGAAGGTATGGCGTTCCTTCATCTCATTGATATGAGCATGCTATAACGGAGCCTTTTTCAAGGAGTGGAGAAACGAAAATTATTTATATGGATCAATCTGGAGACCGACATCTATTGTCAACTTCGATAAGAGAGGTAATTCCATCGATTGATCGCATTACATCTCACTAGGTTGAATGACAGATTTTCCTGGTGAAATGAACAGGGAAATCGATGGTTATGATGTGCGAAAATATCTGTCAAGCAAGGATTGGGAGGTTGTTTACCTAGGCGATGTGTTTGTTGCAGGTAAATTCTTCCTTCACTTTGAAATCTTGTAACTAACGTTGTTCTTAGGAATCCAAAAGCCCAATTTCGTGGGAACAATCTTGATTATCGATCAGAATGGACAGCCATGTCCTGTCGGAGTCCCATGCTTCAATCGCAACGAGAGTTTTGCAATTTATCAGGTGCGCCGAATGACAACAAGAATTCTCAAAGAAAATATTCAATGACGCTATTGAAGGGGCCTTTGTATGCAACACCTGACGGAAATGCTTTTGACACCATCTGGAGCTCAACTATATCTCAGGAAAAGTTTGATCACTTTCTGTACAGGACAACTGAGCCCTGCCGTAATTGCAGTGCACTGAGCAAACGTCGATCAAAGTTCCGCTGCTTTGCAATGGTTGGTTTGCTCGAGTTGGAATTCTTCCATGTTTGAAATGAGAGATCCCAGCCGAAAGTGCAAGTGAAGGCAAATGCCAGAACGAAAGTGGATACGCTGCGTTACAGAACCCGATCACGATTCAGAGGCACGCCAGTTGTGCGAAAGACACCTCTTTTGATGCTCCTTCATAGGCCAACATGTCCGGCAAACTTCTTTGTGTTAGGGCACATCGCTCTCAAGGGCTTCAATGGCAAGTTGTGCGTCTAGTCGAATGAAAGTGATCAGGTGTATAGGGTCGAACACGGCGGAGCTCCCGATGTCTCAATATAAATGCATCCATGAGACAATGCTGCGAATGACATCGTTTGAAGTGCTTTCCATTGCAAACTCGTTTCCTTGCTCAGTCCAGTTGCAGGCTCAGCCTGTCTTCTCAAGCGGGTCGCCTGGTCTGCCTTGTCGTGTCCCGTGTTGGTGGGATATTGACGTCTCTATGCAGGCACAAGCGTATGGAACCCAAGCCTGATATCTAGAAACTACTCCCAGGTGTCTCGAGGGAAGGAAACGATTGCACTCTCTTACATATGCTCTCTCAAGGAGTTTTCGATCTGGAAAGCGAATTGTTCAGCCGAAAGTTGCAATGTGCATGGCCAGTGCACTGACACTATCACGCAAGGCATGCTCGCTCCTGTCCTGTCATCAGATCTCAAGGTTGTTTCAGGCTTGTTTTACGGGAGTCCAAATGCAAATGTACCTGACCTAGTCATAACTGGATCTTCAACATCAAATGTTGCAACAGGACCGAGGAAGACTTTTGTAAGTGAGTTAATAACGAGTGACTGAGTCTTAATGGTGCAGGTGTTTCGTTGCTTTTAGAGACTGTCTTGCAATGGAGAGCACGAACGGTGCTGGTGACTTGTGCTCTGACATTGCAATCCACAACGCAACCTGTGACTCAGAGCTTGGAGGATTTACCAACACATCCTCATCACCATTGATGGATCTGAAAGGGATTTATCAAGTAATTCCCAGCGGGATTCCAGATAGATATCCTCTTCCTTTCCTTGTGACTCTGCTGGTCAATCCAACAATTTGTGAAAAAATGGGAAAAACAATGACGGGGATCGGCGCTGCTGTGCTTGTCAACCATTTCGAAACAAAAGTGCTTGCAACGCGTGTCTCGACAGACCTGTGCGAGATCGTACTTCAGATACAAACAAACGGTGAATTGAAACCAGGCCCTGCAATTTTGTCACTATTTGCCGTCAATTCGCAAGGGGCCACAGAAGAAATCTTGATCAATGGAAATCAAGCATGTCCATATTTTCATAACCTTGGGGTATCATTGGGAAGATTGTATGTTTACAAAAATCCAAGTCAAAACGCGACCATCATTGCATCTCGAGCATTGAATGCAGATTGTGCCTTGTTTGTGCTCGTTAAAATGCCTTTCTTCACGCAAACAATGCTCTATGGAGAATACTTTTGCTACTGGAAGAATCAGGGAGACAGATTGTGGCGCGAGGCAAGTCCGTCTAGAGCCATCTTCGATCCGGCCACCTCAGCAAGAGGAGTGCAATGCCACATCGCTGGTTCTACATCGAGCCGAGTGCTGCTCAAAGTTTCTATCAATGGCCTCCAGGGCACCTTCCACCAGCTCTCAAATTTCATCACTCGATTGGGAGATCCAAGCTCTGCCATCCCTGGAGAAGGTAAGATTTGATCTTGCTCTGTGTCTTCCTCCTTCTTCATATCTTGAAGTCCCAAGCAGGTTCGTTTCGCATCTTCTCGATATCCCCGAATAGTGGACCTCGCCAAGGAGGAACCCTGTTGACTGTTCGCGGGAAATATTTTTCAAACTTTTGCAATCCAGAATTTTGCACTGATATCCAATGTCAATTTGTCTTGTCTGACTCGCAACGAATCGGCGTAGATGCAACAGTGACAAGTGATAACGTCCTGACATGCACAACCCCAACAGTCTCAAGTCAGTTTGAAACTGTGCAAGTCCAGGTGAGCACTGATCCTAATCCCGCGTGCAATGTTCGCACCAATTCAAGTTTGCCGTACAACTCATTTTCCTTCCACTATCAATCTGATGTCGCTGTACAAGTTCAGCAGTCGAGCGCTTTGTGGTACTCGTGCAACCCGTCCGCGCAACAATCTTGCGATGTTTGGCCCAACATTAATCAGTCAGTTCAGAGCCTCGGCTATTACACATGTTTGAGTGGATTCACCTCCCAAGACAAGAAAAGCACCTCTCCTGCATACCCAGTCTGGTGCATAAGAGCCCTTCCTATCGATGCTGGGAGATTTTATCAGTTTACAATCACAGACCCTTTCATGAAACTTGCTTCTTTTGTCGTCAGAAAAGTTCCAGTGGAATATCCTGGGTACTGCAATCGAGCAAACCTCTCAGAGTCTTGGTCAAAGATTGAGACGATGCTAGACTACAGGGTCTTCGACCTCTACGATCGAACGTACTCACAAGGCGATTCGATCCCCGTCGACAAAGAAACGCAAGGCAAACGCCTCGTCGACAAGATCTTCTCTACAGCTGCAGCCAACGCTTCGAACCTGACATACATGAAAGACGCACTGAACGCCATCGGCCAGCGATATGGCTTTCTTGACCTCTCGCTGGTATTTGCCATCGAGATGGATTTTACATTGGCTGCAAACTATTCAGAGGCAAACCTTCGGCTGAGCACTCCTTGTGCGCTTTACCCTGCCAAGTTCGGCCAATATTCAGGATTCTATGGGGAGAGATATGCAAGGTATGCTGTTGTTGAGAACAAATCTTGAAGGAATCTAAAAAGAATGCAGCACTGGCAACTATATCAACTGGACAGAAGCAGGATGGTTAGCTGGAAAGCCAGCATGTGAGGACTTGTTCTCATGATTTCTTCTCACGCCGTCGGCAGGTGTTCCTGTTCCTGGACATGAAAACGCCTGCTCTGACCAAATCAAGTTCTCACCGAACATGGAGGATCCGATCGGCGTGATGTTGACTCAACCAGCAACGATAGAGACCAGCACCACCATCTCAGATGATGTTGAACTGCCCAAGTGCCGCACATGTTGACTAACTTGACTCGATGCAGACGATGGGATGCGGGAGGCTGCGAGCAAGTTTCGACTGCTCCAACTTCTCTCTTGATGACTGCATCACGAGCATCATCATGCAGACGAACCCCAACGCCTTCTATCGCAACATGGCCGCTCGTCAACCCTACAAGTCCGGCGTCTCCTGGTGTGACTTCACGTACCCGGAGCAAGCAGGTCCCAACAACTTGGGGGAGATGGGATGGAGGGCAGGGGCTGCAGCCCCTGGCAATGAAGATTGGAGGTGAGCGGTGAGGAGGAGGCAGATGCGTGTCTGACGACCGCTCAAGGTACTTCTACCGCGAATCTCCGTGTGTCCGCTGCAGACAAGCACAAGAGATTTGCAACGCTCTACAAGCAGAGGACAAGATAGTGAACAACATTCCTGTTGGTCCTTACAACTTGAGCTTGGGTGACTTGCCTTGACTTGCTGCTATTCGAGCTGACCTGACGACGTTCAAGGGGATAAACAAGCAGCCATCGAGATCAACCTCGGCTGCTTCGGGGGAGCAGCAGAAGATGAGGTGCGCAACAAGGAGAGCGAGTCTTGGAGTGTTTGACCGAGTCTCAGTGCTGTGATGACGTGTCCAACTTTGGATTGGAGAGCAGCTGGCCGATGCTGAAGGGCAGGTGCATCCGAACCCTTGAAAGATGCGTCAGACCTTCATCGAGCCATGTCTGCGCGAGAGACGTGAGGCCTCGTCGAGTGATGGTGATGCCTCTGACCCTGCTGTCAGGATGATGCCAACGGTGTCTGCTCTGACCCTGCCACTGGCCAACTTCCTCTGTGCACGCCAAGATAGGTCGAGTCATTGTTTGTGTAAGACACGAGGCGATCTAAATATGCGCATAGCAAGTGAACCATGTTGTAGAGTTTGTGTTGTAGAGAAGTAAAAATGACTAAAGACTTTAATGGGAGTGACCAGACATCGATCATAAGTCTAAACTGTCGAAAAGCTCAAGGGCCCAATCATGATCAGGTTGCTTGTACAATACAGTCATCAACAAGTTCTCCACTTCGAGCTTGAAGTGCTTCAATGGTTGCTGTTCGGATCTCGAGAAGTTGACCTTGAGCACAACTGCAAGCAAGCAACGGGCGTCCAAGGAGTCTTCGAGGAGAGCAAGCGACATGAAATCTCTTGCTATGGCTTCGGCAAGCACAAGATCCTCTCGCTTTCCCTCACGGACCAGCAAGTCTGCGTAGGCTCTAAAGACGTGCCGGTTACAGACTTTGGGATCTGACAAGATAGCAGAGGGAGAGGAGGAGTCAGAGAGATCCAAGTCCAACACATAGAAGTAGTGACCTAGTTGACTTCTATGCTTCCAACTCTTCCAGGTCCACTTTCTTTTCCGCAGAATTTTCACAGCATTGACAAGAACCTAACGAACAAACTTATTACCCACCTCCTCCTGCATCGTTTCTCAATCTTCACCTGCGAGAGATGATACATGGGAGAAAACGAGATTGCTCGTGACTCAATCTCCTCCGTCTGATTCAGTTGAGCAAGTGCGTCCTTCACTTCCCCTTCTTCTGATTGCACAAGAAGACACCCAAAAGCTGCCATGGCAGGCTCGTAATCGCTGCACCACGACAGAGCCCGTCGGAGCAAGAACATGCTGAAGGAGAATATCAGAGATAAGAAAAGAAGGTCAATTCGCACTCACCATATCAAAACTTTGTTGTCAGGGCAGAGTTCTTGCACGCACTTGGCGAGGAGAGTGAAGGCTCGTGGATAATGTCCGTACAGTTTGCTATTGTAGAACCTGAAACAAGAACATCTCAGGCTTCCAGGAGACCGTATGGAGATGGATACTTGTATTCTGCCTTGCTCTCGTTGCCTGTCATCTTCATAAATGAGGAATCAAGGGACTGGAGCAGCATTATTGTCAGTTTGTCTCCTGCGATTGCAGCTTGCAATTCAGAAGATCACACGTCATAAAGAATATCATGCGCTCTCTGGAAATCTTGCTCCAAATTCATTATACATTCCGCCAGTCTGTACGAGCAGACGAAGTCATCCACACGTGCTCTGGATTGAGATAGATTACCCGATTAGAGCATACCCAGTCTTGGGATATTTCTCCAGCACACTTAAAAAAAGCGCCTGGGAAATGACAATCATTTTATCTCTCGTAAACGACAGCTTTACCTGAGCTGCCATGTAATCGAACTTCGCATCCATGAGGTACATCCCATATTCTAACTTCATGTCAAAATCCTCTGGATCGCACATGACAGCCTGTCGGAAGTATCTCTCAGCCATCTCGATATCCTCCTGCTGTTTCCAGTGAAATCTGACACCATATTCAGCAGCATAAACAACATCTTCTTCTTCTACGGCAACTTCATCAGCATCATCCTCATCTTCATCTACATCAATTCCATCCTCATTTTCATCATTTTCTCCATCACCATCGAAATCATTTTCGTCTCAACACTTCCTCTCACTTTGCGAGCTCGAGGAAACCCTTCACGTTGTCTTGTCTGAGCATCAACCCTGGCAAGTCCAGAGGGCAGGCCTCGCGTGCCATTCCCTCGCTCACTGCCTTGCTGGCATGCGCTTGGAGCAGGGAGATGTCGATGTTTGGTCCTGCTCCTGGTCGACGAGCTGCAGGTTCGCGGGGAGGACGAGAGGAGTTATAGTTGAAGACAAGCTCCAACTGTGCCTGTGTCAGCATGTCTTGATGCTCCTTGCTCAGCTTCTTGGTCCTTATGAGCTCGGATGTGGTGTTGAAGTCGTGCCACAGCTTTAGGTATCCATACCCCGGACGAGGCACATCTTTGGGCTCGAACTCGAACTCGATGTTCCTGTCCTTCACTTCCCAGCGGCACTCGTCCTCGTCCAAGATAGGGTCCTGCACGAAGACCTCAGACTCTATCCTCGCCCGGTTCGACAGTTTCAGCTCCTCCCGCGGGGAATATTTGGTCGCACCAGCAAACATCAGAGCAAGTTCCGAAGCATCGGGAGGCGGCAGGATAGGGTAAGGGGTCGGAGAAGAAGCTTGATAGGAGGGGTATCCATGATCCTTGTCGTAGAGGTAGTCTGCTTCCGAGAAATTGGCAGCAATCATGCGAGACTGCATCTCCTCCTCGGTCAGAATATGAACTGGGGCTGGCCCAACCTTGTTCTCAAGCTCTTGGATCACTGTCTCGATGTCTCCTGTGAACTCAAGGCGATATGGAAACTCATCCACCATCGAAAAGGTTGTGTTGTCGTGCTCCTCCTTATCCTCGCTGTTCTCTGACACGTCCGTAGTGTTGTCGTCCAAGGAAGATACACCAACATACAAGATCCTCCGGTCGGGCGATACATCCTGCCATGAGTACTTGACGTTTCCTCCATCCCAACCGACATCCTCTGAGTGTTTCAGCGGGATGTGATGAAATTCTTTTCGAGGATCGAAGGACGCTGCTGGTGCTTTAGGAACTTCAGTTGCGGGGAGAACGGTGATCTGGCATGCCAGGAAGCATCCTAACAAGCATGTCCCTGCACCAGCGGCCAACCTCATATGATATGAAAGCAAGACACGATCTGAGCACTAGAATGCCATCTTTGCGATGATACACCTGAAAGTCATGAAAGCGTCTCTACCGTACGCATCCTCTGCTGTTAGACTCATTCATTGCTCAACTCATCTGCTTATCACCCCAATCCCTCTTCCAGGCATCCCGGCGGGTGTATCTGATTTCAACCCCAAGGTACCACCTTTGCCCTTCCAGCTTATGATCTCATCTATGAAATATGAGATGTTGGAGGTATTGGAAATGAGGAGACGTTGGCCTCCGAGTGGAAGACAAAATGCGCTTGAGCGCATGTTGGAAGCGAGGGCGAGAGGAAGGGAAGAGGAAGATGAGAAGGACAAGGAAAAGGACAAGGACAAGGACAAGGACAAGGACAAGGACAAGGACAAGGACAAGAGGGTTCAAGATCTGGATCAAGATACAGGAGCAAGAACGAGGACTAGGATGGCAGGAGAGAGCGAGAGAGACACAGTCAGCCAGTGAGTGAGTTGTGGCCTACCATGAGGGATCGATTATTGCTGCGTCTGGGCAAGGGGAGCAGCAACTCCAACAAGCATGAATGATTGTGAGATGCTCCTCAGTTGACGCGTTCACTGTGACAGGAGATGAGCGCCGGGAACTCCTTGAACGATCTTCCTCTTCCTGAGCTCTATGCTCACCTCTCGCGATCCGGTGGGTCCCTGGTCTACGTTCGTCGATGATGGCTGCTCTCTAGGGCTCATCACTCGCCTCCTTGAACTGGCTCGGGACGAAGATCTTGGCTTCGATGGCAAACCTGGAGATCTCACATGTCAAGTGACTCTAGGCATGCAGACAGCTTGCCATACCTTGAGTGACTCCCGTTTCTACCAGAGGAATCGCATGCGATGGAGACCAAAGTAATGAGCCGAGCCGAGCTTGTTACTGCAGGCCTTGCTGTGCTGCCTGAGGCTGCAAAGGTCAGTATGTAGACGTTGCAGAAGTCTGAGTGTAGACTGTGAGACATGACTTCCTGTCACGCCTTTGACACAGTTGGCGAGCAGATCTTTGCTCCGAATGTCACGGTGGAACCAAAAGTGCAAGATGGACAGAAAGTGCCCAAGGGAACAGCACTTGCTGTATTAAGAGGGCCATCACACCAAATGCTCCGTCTCGAACGTATTTGCCGAAGTTTCTTGACTTTCCTTCCTTCTCATTCTTGTTAGGGGTCGCTCTCAACATGATCGGGAGACTGAGTGGAATTGCGACTAAAACCAATCAGTTCCATCAGGAGATGATCAAGATGGCTGGACAAGACTGCAGGTCATCAATGGTTCGCAACGCTGTCAGGAGATAACTTTGAAGTAGAGCAAAACTCCTGGACACCCGCAAGACTACTCCAGGTAGAAGATGCCTTATGTGAAGTTCGTCTCTCTGATAGCTGCCGCTCTAAGGCTTGCGTGTGCTTGAAAAGTATGCAGTACGATGCGGGGGAGGATATTGCCATCGTATGGGCTTGCATGAAGCAGGTCAAAACTTCGACCCATCATCATGTACAAGGAAATGGGCTTTAACCGCTGCTTGCAGTGCTGATCAAGGACAACCATATCGCTGGCTTACAGCCTAGTGAAGTTGCAGAGCGTGTGAAGCAAGCCGTCGAGAGGACAAACAAACTGAAGGCAGAAGGAGTGGAGGTCAAGTTCTTCGAGGTAGAAAACTTGGAGCCCTCATCGCAAAGTTTACAATCTGGACCAGGTCGAAGTTGACACCATTGATCAGCTGCGCGCTCTCTTGACATTGCCCGACGGGTCATATAAGATTTGGACCCTTCTCGAACTGACCATGGAGCGGACAGAAGCATCGACTTCATCCTCTGCGACAACTTTACTCCTGACATGCTCGAAATGGTCCTGCCGCTCCGTGCAAGCCGGAATGTGTATGATATGCTGAATGTGCAGGCTGTAAAACTTCGAGATGCATCGGGAAAGAAAATCTTGCTCGAAGCTTCTGGAGGGGTAAACATGAAACGTCAAGGATGGGTTGCTGAGCTCAGGCAGGTAAACATGGAGACGATTGGAGAGATTGCGAAGAGCGGGGTTGACAGGATTAGCGTGAGTGAACAAGATGAGATGGTGCCTTTGCTTCGCTCATTCTCTATGGTGATCAGGTGGGAGGCCTCACACATCAAGCTGTTTCCATCGACGTCGGTTTAGATGCTTGAAACCCCCTTCATCAGCGATGCGTTGTCATTCATCACCATGTAGAGCCTTGATGAACACGATGAAAACATTTACAAGCAGTTCTCCCAATAAAGCAATTAGCACAAAATGAAGGAAACCGACACAAAAATAAAGGAGAAAACAACTGCCCGACAAGCCGACCAACAAATTCTTCCCTTCCACGAAAGGAAGAATTGAAGGACGATCAAGTTCCTAAGTAAGATGTTCTCGGGATCTTAACATATGGAGGGATCAAAAAATGCGCTCTCACTTGCACCTAGCTTTCTCCAGATCTAGAGCTCCCTTGTCTGTATGCTTTGCCTCCCAATGGATTTGCAGCGACTTTTCACTGGGCTGGTCACAAATCAGAAAACAACACATGCAAATCGAAGAGATTATGCAATTAGATCACAATACCTGCTGACAAAGACAGACGTAGCACTTGAAACCACATGCTGCATTCTGTCTTTCAGCTTTTCCAGCGGCTCCGCCGCCACGATTCACATTTGCTTCGAACACCTGGGAACAAATGAAACATTCAGCAACGAAATGCCTCACATCGATTTTGATTCCCCAAGTCTCACCTTCTTTGCAATCTCCTTAGAAGTGTGCTTCGTTGGTTTTGCCTTGCCACCCATCTTCTTGCCAAACCTTGACTAGGCTTTACAGTCAATAAACGCTTGTTGGAATTCCAGAACTGCCCGCCTTTTGAGATCAACCTGAAGGATCTTGATCCTTCTGTGTTTGTCTGACTTAAGAAACGCGAGGGTCTTGCTGCAAGTTGTCCTCCTGGCCTTGTCTTGCTCTCCCTCGTGCGCAAGTCTCTTGCCCTTCCCCACAACCTTTCTCCACCCCCACCCCCACCCCCACCCCTGTTCAGAACAATGACTACCCCCAACATCCTCTGTACCCCCCATGGCCCTCTAAAACTACCCTGTTTGGCTACCCTTCCAAATCACCCACCTCTTCAATCTGGGATCAACCTTGCTTCCCGGATGGTAGTACCCCACCGCCACTCAACCACCTCGCACCCTCTATCCCATACCACAACACCCACCTTTGGACCCATTTGAAGTACCCCCTTCCATTCCGAAGTCTCTGGCTAGTGTCGTCATCACACCCCTCCTTATTACCGCCATCGTTTTTGGTCATCAGGGGTGGGTAATGCGCTCATTGTACTACTTGAAACTCTCAGTTCAAGGCTCCGGGTTGTCAAGCCCGGCCGAGCCAGACAGCCTGAATGACCCCACCCCACCACCCCCCACCCCACCCCCCTAAATAAGTTTCACAACACCGGTATGAATCACGAGAGTACGTGGTATGGGTTGACAAACAAAGGGGTGGGACTGAGATGAACTTCGAATTCCCTGGGTAGGGGTATCGAATGAGGGGTAGGGGTGCAAAAGTGAAAGGAGAATTGTAAGTAAAAATACGGGTGATCAAGTCAATGTGGGGGTGTGTCATCATTGCAGGGGGTAGGGGGCTCTCGGGGATACACCAAGGAGGGAACCAGGGAGGGTGGGTGTCTGGAGGCGAGAGGGACTACGATGGCCGCGAGTTTGGGAAGAATTCCTACGACGACGATGATGAAGCTGACGGGAATGGTGATCATGTTGTTCATCGCATCTCAGCCTGTCCTGTCAAAGTCGGTAAGATACAACCCCGAAGCATCAAGAGAAGGGGAGCCGATGTATGTCAACTGCATCGTATAATCAGACTGAAATTTCGGACATCATGATGTAGGCGTCGTAAGGTTCTTGAGTTCAGTAGCATAGAAAAGTACTAGTGAGCGAGGAACATTTGATGTATATGTGAAGTTAAGATAGAGAAAACGACAGTTAGGGCAGTACCAAACAAGAGAGAAGAGCTTCCTGTGTTGGAGCTGTAATGGGGGCCGACACGTTTCGTCGCGCCACAGCAACTAGCATGATGAGCATGCCTTAGGTATGAAAGAGTGGAGTGAAGCCTAGCCAGATATGACATTCTTTCACACAATGTCAAAAACGTCGTTGTGCTATTGTAGTCTTCGATTTGAGCCTGTGATATCTGTTTGACGTTAAATACCTTGGTGTAGACTCTCGGCAAGCTTGATGAATTCCTCGAGGACAATTCCATGGCTGGGTGCTTATTATTGATTTCCCGAATGATATCTTATTGACCACATATCTTGGTAGGACTTGTGCGAACGGTGTCTGCACTGTTCATGGTCCTGCCGGAACAGGAGAATACTCCGAAATTTTTGAGCAGTTCGTTCCTGAATTCTTTGCTGGGGCACAGGTTGCCAATCTCTTTTGGTTCCTTTTAGCTGTATTCCGATCATTTTGATGGCAGGACATGACAGGATTGATGGAAGCTGCTAAGAATGCAGGAACGAGTGGAGATTACAAGCAGATCCAGAAGTTGGCAGGTGCCCTTGTCCGTGCGTTATGAGATTGTCACGCTTATATTTGAAAATCAGAAAAGTATCAGAAGGATTCCCAAGACAGGATGAATCCGTGAGTTTTGAACAAGAAACTATGCTCCCTGCTGATCATCATCCATCAGGTACATCTCACAAATCTACGACCAGTTTGTGTCTCCCAAGGCTCCTGGTGTTGACCCAGAGATTGCCAGAGCCATGATCAAGGTACTCTACAGCTCTCGTCTCCTCGTCTCCTTGGTATTTCGTGTCCTGATCGTGAATGGTTGCATTTCAGGAGTTCCTCATCGCCTGTCAGCGCCATATGCCCCTCCTTGCCAAGCAGTCCATGAACGCTGGAATGAAGCTTGGTGCTATGATGCAAGGAGGTGGATGTCTTTCTATTCGTCTAATGTCTCCCATAAAGCCTTGAGCAGGAGATGCCAACCCTGCCTTGCTCGCTCAGATGGAGGAGGGCATGAAGGGATATCTCCCACAGGTCACGTTTTGCCTTTTTCGGTCTGGTTGCACGGAAGGTTGAAGTCCTCAATCTGCAGGTCACTAAGACCATGTCCGGAGTTCTTGTCGAGCTTCTTGCAAGGAGTGACAAGATGGCTGATGACATTTTCGAGGTATGTTTTTGAAATTCAATGGGTGTGGCCTGTCGCCATGATGATTGAATTTCTCGCAATCAATTATTGCTTCGTTTACTGATGGAACAGGCCATGGACGGTGATCTCATATAATTGCCGTTTCTTTTCGGTGTTGAATGATTGCTTAGGTGACAAGGATGGAATCGTTACACGCAAGGAGTTCGAGAAGGATTTCCTCACCGCCATGCAGCAGATTGTGAACATGCAAGCTCTCGCTCAGACGGCGCAACAAGTCATGTCTCAAATCAGCGACAAGGACCTTGAGCAGCTGCGAGGAATGATTGATCCGGACATGCTCAAGCAGTTCAGTCAGATGGACCCTGACACCTTGCTAGATCAGCTCAAGGAGGTGATTACTTCACTCCTATGGCGTTTCAATGCTTCCTTAACCTTTATCTTCAGTTGGGCAAGGCAGGTTTGCCTGGCATGGGCGGCATGGGCGGCATGGGCGGCATGGGCGGCATGGGCGGCATGGGCGGCATGGGCGGCATGGGCGGTGGTCTTGGAGGAAAGCGCAATGGTAGAGCCAACACCTTCGGAAGATTTGCATAATCTTCTCATGTTACGTGAGTGAATGAGTGCAAGAGATTGTCGTATATTGCAATATGATCGAATGCTGCACACCTTTCCCTGCTTCCTGACATCACCATCATATACTTAGCCTTCTAAGATTGTCCGTTTTGAATGTTCCTTCCAACTTCCCAAAAACGATGGTGTGAAAGTCTTACACTGCTCATGCTCAATAGGCTTTTGTCTGCTTTCCTGGTCAAATAGAAGAAGAACACATACAGACAGGATGAAAGAATGACTCAAACATACACATCAACCACCCAACGTAGTTCGCGGATACGCATGGGGCCATTCCAGTAATCAAAATACAATTTATTTAGTTCGTGTACATTCACGTCAACAAAAGTACTGGAAACAAAATACAAAACTGATCGTCTAGATCGCAGTACGATCGGAGGGACTGACGAGAAAAATCTCAACTGCCGATGCATACGGGGAAATGCTCCAAACCAGTTCGATGGGTTAAAAACAACGCCTCAACCACAATAAAGAATAATCCTCCATGAATTTCTGAGGAAATTCTTGACATTCATGAAGAAGAAGGGCGACGGACAGGCGGCAGCACCTCCTTGCCTACCACCACCTTACCGGCCGCAAGCTCGTGCCCTTGGTAGCATATCCTCATGGTCGTCGCATAACTGTTGTCATCCTTCGCCCATGAAGTCCACTCCTTGGGTACAAGAGGAAGCTTTCCCTGGCTCCTTTCAAGCAGGAAGCCCGCAGCAAACGACCAGCAAGCCGTCGAAAGAATCTGTTTCGCGCTATTGCTCCATACTGCCATGACCACAAAACTTCTTTATGAATGTCACTCGCACCCACCCTTTATATACCCGAAGAAGTACCCCCACCCCATCCTCGTTAAAGGACCCATCTTCTTACCCCACCCTCACGTTCCTGAAAAATGCACCACTTTAGCAAGTACAGCACATGCAGTCGGTCGCTGTACCCCTACCCTCTCTCTACCGTGGTGAACACCCCACCCTCACGTGTTATCTCCGAACCCTCACTCCCCAACTTCAAAATCCTGCAAACCCTCGTGACAGGACCCCACCCTTCAATGGCCCGGCCGAATGTGACCACCCACACACAGGGAAATCTCAAATCACCCTTTTAAAACAGACCACATCTTCGCCTATTCAAATGACCCACCCTGTTGTAGAACCCTGTAAAGATAAAGCACCCCACCCTATCCTCTCTATGGGAGGATTGGCCCTCACCCCACCCCTTCCTACAAATGATTGTTCACCCGAATGCAGGTGAAATCCACCCCTGCATTCCAGTGTCAAAATACCCTACCAGCGATCGCCTCTCCTCAACTGAGATATCTTGAGTAATAATAAAAGAGGCGACCCGCCCTCGTACTCCCCAGAGAAAAACGGAGGGTAGGGGTAGGCAATAAGAGAACGGCCAAGGGTGACGAGGACTTTTTATTCCTAGGGTAGCATACCACCCCACAGGTAATCCACATACTACGGGTCATTGAGTGGCTTTTGAATGAGAATGGGGTGGTTCATAGCTCCCCATCCCCACAAGGAGGTGCGGGGTCAGACACGAGCTAGGCGATCCTTGAAAAATATTTTTGAATTGCTGGTACAAATTTAGATGGTAGTCAAATGTATGCAAGTACAAGATAAAATCAATTAGTGGATATAAACAGTTAAAAACTATAAAACCTCTAAAACGCAACAGCTTTCTACCTAAGTCCAACACAACAACATTATAAGATAAGATTGTTATTAAAACAAAAGAAGCTTTGAGTAAAAAGTTCATCAAGCAGGAATAAAAATATTTTGATCTTATAATTGAGTATTTACATTTAGGCGGCTTCCGAGTCAGCGGCCCGGGCGGCCGCGCAGGCCCCGGGCCCGGCGGCCCAAACTTCCAACTGAGGGGGCTCCGACCGCGGCCGGCCGGCGCCGCGGCGGTGGCCTCACCCACGGCCGGCCAACTGACCACTTAAAGTGGCCCAGGACTCCGCGCTCCGAGGCTCAGTGTGACTCGTGCAGTCAAAGTTGTTAGCAGTCACAGACGGTGCCGCACTCTGTCCGCGTGTGACCGCGGCCCAGTGCCGGAACTTCTTGGGCCTTGAGCCCCGCCGCGGCAACTTTGTCTTTTAGTTCGGGGCTGAGGTCACCGGTGGTCAACTTGCCAAGCAAAAGTGTGGTTGAAGGACCGGTAGTAGACCTTCACTCAGCTAAAAGTGTTTGGACCGTTCAGCTAAAAAGTGACTAATTTTTTCTTTTTAAAGGCCCAACCCACCTGAACCTACCCACCCCTGCTGATGAATGGAAAATGTAGGGAGAAACAGGGGTTGGTCTTGTACACGAAATGTTCCTCAGGGTGGGTGAGACGTGCTGAGCAGTAAATTTGAAATTGATAGCTAAGGGTGTGAGCTATGGAGTTTCTGACCGTATCCCACTTAACAAATGGGCCATCTAGGGAGTCAGAGATGTACTGCTTGATCCTGTTTTGAGAGTTGCTCGGAGAGGAGGTAGTGGTGGCTTTCTGTTGGGGACCAATCTGGCGGTGAGAGATTTTTGCCAGCATGGCAATGTAGTGCAGGAGTGTAGACTAGTCATCGTGAGACTTGGTTGTGCATTCGTTCTGATATGAACCTCTGTCCAAATTTATGTCACAATAGATAGTTACAGTCGTGTTGCATCAATTCAACACGCCACCAGCATTGTTTATACTTCATTTGTGGCCTATTTTGGCGCTAGATTTTTAGTAACTCAACAACAAACTAGTCTTTTCGTTTGAAGACGTAGGGCATTTTGAACCCAAACTAAGACGATAGATCATCTACCTTCGCTACAAGTTTGCGATCTGTCATGATCTTCTCTTTATTTTTATCGACGTGGTCGTAGTGTTTCTTCCTTTTTACTTGTGTGTTCATTTTTGTTTATCGCTGGACATATGAGAATGACGTCGAATTCATGAGTGTCACAACTTTTCTATTTCTGAGACAATTTTATTCTTTTCGATGTGATAGAAGGTTGCAAGCCCATGATCTTACACAAACTTGGGAGTACTGTGACACAAAACTCCGCTTTGCAGAATTGCAATGACAGGAAAATACCTCTTTGACAGTTTTTCACAGGTTGTATGCAACCAAGATGTTGAGCTTATGGCGATCAAGATTCTTTCTTGCGGTTTGGGTCCTCATTCCGGCGCTTGTGTCCGCGACTTGGGATTGTCCAGATCACGCAAGGAAGGCAGATCCAAGAGCCCCTGATGACGTCGCTTATTGCTTCTGCGAACCCGGATATTTTGGAGACTTGCTTCTACCTGGTTCTTCTTGCCAGCCATGCCCCGGAAATTCTTCATACTTTGGTAATGATACATTGACGATCGGTGCATGCCAATGTGATAGCTACTTCTATGGCGATCTCGTTGCGAACGGCAGCTGTACACCCTGCCCTCGTGGACTTTTCTCGATGCCAGGCAGCAAAAGCATTGGAGAATGTATGTGTCTAAAGATCATGGAGATGCAAACATATACTAATCAGTCGAGTCAATGTGTGTGTCCAAGAAATTATTTCCATAACCAAGAAACAAACAAAGAAGCAGTGGAGTTGACATACGAGCCACAGTCAAGCTCTGGAAACGCGATCGAATTAATACAAAGATCCCATCCAGCAATGATAATAGCCGCAACAAGAATCATAACAACTAAACTGACGGCAACTGGATCAGCAATGTACGGAACAAACTTCTACCTCCGAGCCGAGGACGACCTAGGAGTCTTCGACATCTGGTCGGACTCCGGGACGTACGTGAACCTCCCTCAGGGCGTGCTGTACCTGCCACGCGGACGAGGAGCCGGGCTGAAGCGGCTCTTCCTGGACTCATACCCGTATCAGTCTTGGTCCTTCCATGGGGTGTACGGGAGCGTCGCGGTCCAGGCCAGGCGAGTCTGCGTAGCCTGTCCCGAGGGGACGTACTCGCTAGCAGGAGACTCGAGCTGTAGGCCTTGCCCGGGTAACTCTACTGCTCTACGTAACCTGACAGGGTCTAACGCGACGGGCTGCGTCTGCAAGCTAGGCTACCGCGAAGACCGGTCGGGAGGGAAGCTGAGCTGTGTAGCGTGTCCGGCGGGGGCGCGAGCAGGAGTCGGGTCGGAGGAGTGTCGGTGCTGGGGCGGGATGGTCGAGACGCGAGGAGCCGGCGGGGAGCTTGTAGGGTGCGGGTGCCCCGCGGGTACAGAGGCGGGGAGGAGCTTCGCAGACTGGAATAAGTACGCGGGAGTCGTATACGCCAGCCCCTACATGTCGTACTCGTACATGTCCGAGGAGCTCGTGCTGGAGTCGCTAGCGGCAGACATGGCCAGACTGATACAGGACGCCGGGGAGCTAGAGGGCCTGGTCAACAGCAGCAAGCCGATCCCTTACATGGTGTTGCCGCAGCAGTCGTACTGGTACTACCCGTCGTACATGCAGGACATAGCGGCGATATCCAACTACACGATGAGAGGAGGGACGCTGGTGACGATGGGCGACGGGGTACAGGACCTGCTGGCGCAGGCCTTCGGGATAGCAAGGCCGGCGCTGTCTTGGACTTCGTCGGAAGCTCGGCTCAACAACGCGAGCGCAGCAGGGACGGCGTTCGAGGGGGGCCCGAGCTCGCTGTCGTACTGGTACGCTGTACGCTGGCCACTGTCGGGGCTGCCGCCGGGCGCAAGGAGCATGTACGACGACGGGTGGTACTCGTCGGCGGTAGTGATGAGGGTAGGGAGGGGTCAGGTAGTGTGGCTGGCGTACGACGACGGGCTGGCGTCGACGGGGGCGTGGCAGGAGGTACTGAGGCGGGCGGTGGAGGCCGGGGGCCCCTGCGAGTCATGCGGGGCAGGGACGTACCGGAGCGAGTCGGAGCAGAGCTGCACGGCGTGTCCAGGGAACTCGACGTCAGAGATCGGGTCGAGGTCCATGGAGGAGTGCGAGTGCAAGGCGGGGTACTACGGAGAGGCTCGGAGGAACGGAGGGAAGGGTTGCCAGGCTTGTCCGCCGGGCGCCTACTCCCCGAGGGGAAGCCGCAACGCTAGCAGCTGCCGATGCTCGGCAGGGACGACGTGGTTAGGGAGTGTCAACGGGTCGGCGCTGGCATGCCTGTGTCCGGATAATCATTACGGCCCGGTGGAGCATAGCACGGGGATCGACGTGACCTTGTATCCTGCGACGTCGGACGACAACATGATCAGCTTCAGAGACGCCGGGGGCAGGACTTGGCTACAGACAGAGCTGGTAGAGTCGATCGACACAAGGAGGCTGCAGGGCTTCGGTCACTCTCACTCGGGCACACCGATCGACTTCTACCTCCGAGCCGAGGACGACCTAGGAGTCTTCGACATCTGGTCGGACTCCGGGACGTACGTGAACCTCCCTCAGGGCGTGCTGTACCTGCCACGCGGACGAGGAGCCGGGCTGAAGCGGCTCTTCCTGGACTCATACCCGTATCAGTCTTGGTCCTTCCATGGGGTGTACGGGAGCGTCGCGGTCCAGGCCAGGCGAGTCTGCGTAGCCTGTCCCGAGGGGACGTACTCGCTAGCAGGAGACTCGAGCTGTAGGCCTTGCCCGGGTAACTCTACTGCTCTACGTAACCTGACAGGGTCTAACGCGACGGGCTGCGTCTGCAAGCTAGGCTACCGCGAAGACCGGTCGGGAGGGAAGCTGAGCTGTGTAGCGTGTCCGGCGGGGGCGCGAGCAGGAGTCGGGTCGGAGGAGTGTCGGTGCTGGGGCGGGATGGTCGAGACGCGAGGAGCCGGCGGGGAGCTTGTAGGGTGCGGGTGCCCCGCGGGTACAGAGGCGGGGAGGAGCTTCGCAGACTGGAATAAGTACGCGGGAGTCGTATACGCCAGCCCCTACATGTCGTACTCGTACATGTCCGAGGAGCTCGTGCTGGAGTCGCTAGCGGCAGACATGGCCAGACTGATACAGGACGCCGGGGAGCTAGAGGGCCTGGTCAACAGCAGCAAGCCGATCCCTTACATGGTGTTGCCGCAGCAGTCGTACTGGTACTACCCGTCGTACATGCAGGACATAGCGGCGATATCCAACTACACGATGAGAGGAGGGACGCTGGTGACGATGGGCGACGGAGTGCAGGACCTGCTGGCGCAGGCCTTCGGGATAGCAAGGCCGGCGCTGTCTTGGACTTCGTCGGAAGCTCGGCTCAACAACGCGAGCGCAGCAGGGACGGCGTTCGAGGGGGGCCCGAGCTCGCTGTCGTACTGGTACGCTGTACGCTGGCCACTGTCGGGGCTGCCGCCGGGCGCAAGGAGCATGTACGACGACGGGTGGTACTCGTCGGCGGTAGTGATGAGGGTAGGGAGGGGTCAGGTAGTGTGGCTGGCGTACGACGACGGGCTGGCGTCGACGGGGGCGTGGCAGGAGGTACTGAGGCGGGCGGTGGAGGCCGGGGGCCCCTGCGAGTCATGCGGGGCAGGGACGTACCGGAGCGAGTCGGAGCAGAGCTGCACGGCGTGTCCAGGGAACTCGACGTCAGAGATCGGGTCGAGGTCCATGGAGGAGTGCGAGTGCAAGGCGGGGTACTACGGAGAGGCTCGGAGGAACGGAGGGAAGGGTTGCCAGGCTTGTCCTAGTAATTCTGTCTTGAGTAATCGATCAGGGCTTTTATCTCTTTCGGATTGTTTGTGTGCTTCTGGATACTATATGGATCTTGTCACGTTTCAAGGCTGCATAGCCTGTCCGTTGGGCTCGGATTCGTTAGTTGGTGGAATTGGGATGGAAAGTTGTACATGTGTTTCTGGTTTTGTTCCTTCAAGGAGTGGCAATGGATCTTTGAAATGTGACTGTCCACGAGGATTTGTTGAATCCAGATATGGTGGGGGAAATGAGCATTTTCGGGAGTTATCTATTTATCCAGACAAGGCTGATGGGAACATCATTGTCTTTGATCTTAATCAACCATCGACAGATCAAATCCTGCGTTCAATTTCAACTACATCCTTGTCCGGCATTGCCCATTCACATTCACTTCTTCCGGTTTCCATTTCACTGGTAGTCTATGACAGGTCTGGGAGACACCTGGTATGGAACAAAACAATCACGTGGACCAAAATCCCTCAGATTGAAATTGAACTGATAAACGCTAATGAATGGAGATGGAATGTAAAGCGAATTCAAATGGAAAGTTACCCACCACAAACTGACACATTCCATAGAGTTCAAGGCATTTTAAACCTGAGAATGTCTGAAATGTGCAGCCCTTGCGAAGAGGGATCATATTCTTTCCCTGGCGACAAACATTGTAGCATCTGCCCAACAAACACAACAACGATTCCGGCGTGGGCAGGGTCTAACGCGACGGGCTGCGTCTGCAAGCTAGGCTACCGCGAAGACCGGTCGGGAGGGAAGCTGAGCTGTGTAGCGTGTCCGGCGGGGGCGCGAGCAGGAGTCGGGTCGGAGGAGTGTCGGTGCTGGGGCGGGATGGTCGAGTCGCGAGGAGCCGGCGGGGAGCTTGTAGGGTGCGGGTGCCCCGCGGGTACAGAGGCGGGGAGGAGCTTCGCAGACTGGAATAAGTACGCGGGAGTCGTATACGCCAGCCCCTACATGTCGTACTCGTACATGTCCGAGGAGCTCGTGCTGGAGTCGCTAGCGGCAGACATGGCCAGACTGATACAGGACGCCGGGGAGCTAGAGGGCCTGGTCAACAGCAGCAAGCCGATCCCTTACATGGTGTTGCCGCAGCAGTCGTACTGGTACTACCCGTCGTACATGCAGGACATAGCGGCGATATCCAACTACACGATGAGAGGAGGGACGCTGGTGACGATGGGCGACGGGGTACAGGACCTGCTGGCGCAGGCCTTCGGGATAGCAAGGCCGGCGCTGTCTTGGACTTCGTCGGAAGCTCGGCTCAACAACGCGAGCGCAGCAGGGACGGCGTTCGAGGGGGGCCCGAGCTCGCTGTCGTACTGGAACGCTGTACGCTGGCCACTGTCGGGGCTGCCGCCGGGCGCAAGGAGCATGTACGACGACGGGTGGTACTCGTCGGCGGTAGTGATGAGGGTAGGGAGGGGTCAGGTAGTGTGGCTGGCGTACGACGACGGGCTGGCGTCGACGGGGGCGTGGCAGGAGGTACTGAGGCGGGCGGTGGAGGCCGGGGGCCCCTGCGAGTCATGCGGGGCAGGGACGTACCGGAGCGAGTCGGAGCAGAGCTGCACGGCGTGTCCAGGGAACTCGACGTCAGAGATCGGGTCGAGGTCCATGGAGGAGTGCGAGTGCAAGGCGGGGTACTACGGAGAGGCTCGGAGGAACGGAGGGAAGGGTTGCCAGGCTTGTCCTCCGGGCGCCTACTCCCCGAGGGGAAGCCGCAACGCTAGCAGCTGCCGATGCTCGGCAGGGACGACGTGGTTAGGGAGTGTCAACGGGTCGGCGCTGGCATGCCTGTGTCCGGATAATCATTACGGCCCGGTGGAGCATAGCACGGGGATCGACGTGACCTTGTATCCTGCGACGTCGGACGACGACATGATCAGCTTCAGAGACGCCGGGGGCAGGACTTGGCTACAGACAGAGCTGGTAGAGTCGATCGACACAAGGAGGCTGCAGGGCTTCGGTCACTCTCACTCGGGCACACCGATCGACTTCTACCTCCGAGCCGAGGACGACCTAGGAGTCTTCGACATCTGGTCGGACTCCGGGACGTACGTGAACCTCCCTCAGGGCGTGCTGTACCTGCCACGCGGACGAGGAGCCGGGCTGAAGCGGCTCTTCCTGGACTCATACCCGTATCAGTATTTGTCCTTCCATGGGGTGTACGGGAGCGTCGCGGTCCAGGCCAGGCGAGTCTGCGTAGCCTGTCCCGAGGGGACGTACTCGCTAGCAGGAGACTCGAGCTGTAGGCCTTGCCCGGGTAACTCTACTGCTCTACGTAACCTGACAGGGTCTAACGCGACGGGCTGCGTCTGCAAGCTAGGCTACCGCGAAGACCGGTCGGGAGGGAAGCTGAGCTGTGTAGCGTGTCCGGCGGGGGCGCGAGCAGGAGTCGGGTCGGAGGAGTGTCGGTGCTGGGGCGGGATGGTCGAGACGCGAGGAGCCGGCGGGGAGCTTGTAGGGTGCGGGTGCCCCGCGGGTACAGAGGCGGGGAGGAGCTTCGCAGACTGGAATAAGTACGCGGGAGTCGTATACGCCAGCCCCTACATGTCGTACTCGTACATGTCCGAGGAGCTCGTGCTGGAGTCGCTAGCGGCAGACATGGCCAGACTGATACAGGACGCCGGGGAGCTAGAGGGCCTGGTCAACAGCAGCAAGCCGATCCCTTACATGGTGTTGCCGCAGCAGTCGTACTGGTACTACCCGTCGTACATGCAGGACATAGCGGCGATATCCAACTACACGATGAGAGGAGGGACGCTGGTGACGATGGGCGACGGGGTACAGGACCTGCTGGCGCAGGCCTTCGGGATAGCAAGGCCGGCGCTGTCTTGGACTTCGTCGGAAGCTCGGCTCAACAACGCGAGCGCAGCAGGGACGGCGTTCGAGGGGGGCCCGAGCTCGCTGTCGTACTGGTACGCTGTACGCTGGCCACTGTCGGGGCTGCCGCCGGGCGCAAGGAGCATGTACGACGACGGGTGGTACTCGTCGGCGGTAGTGATGAGGGTAGGGAGGGGTCAGGTAGTGTGGCTGGCGTACGACGACGGGCTGGCGTCGACGGGGGCGTGGCAGGAGGTACTGAGGCGGGCGGTGGAGGCCGGGGGCCCCTGCGAGTCATGCGGGGCGGGGACGTACCGGAGCGAGTCGGAGCAGAGCTGCACGGCGTGTCCAGGGAACTCGACGTCAGAGATCGGGTCGAGGTCCGTGGAGGAGTGCGAGTGCAAGGCGGGCTACTACGGAGAGGCTCGGAGGAACGGAGGGAAGGGTTGCCAGGCTTGTCCGCCGGGCGCCTACTCCCCGAGGGGAAGCCGCAACGCTAGCAGCTGCCGATGCTCGGCAGGGACGACGTGGTTAGGGAGTGTCAACGGGTCGGCGCTGGCATGCCTGTGTCCGGATAATCACTACGGCCCGGTGGAGCATAGCACGGGGATCGACGTGACCTTGTATCCTGCGACGTCGGACGACGACATGATCAGCTTCAGAGACGCCGGGGGCAGGACTTGGCTACAGACAGAGCTGGTAGAGTCGATCGACACAAGGAGGCTGCAGGGCTTCGGTCACTCTCACTCGGGCACACCGATCGACTTCTACCTCCGAGCCGAGGACGACCTAGGAGTCTTCGACATCTGGTCGGACTCCGGGACGTACGTGAACCTCCCTCAGGGCGTGCTGTACCTGCCACGCGGACGAGGAGCCGGGCTGAAGCGGCTCTTCCTGGACTCATACCCGTATCAGTCTTGGTCCTTCCATGGGGTGTACGGGAGCGTCGCGGTCCAGGCCAGGCGAGTCTGCGTAGCCTGTCCCGAGGGGACGTACTCGCTAGCAGGAGACTCGAGCTGTAGGCCTTGCCCGGGTAACTCTACTGCTCTACGTAACCTGACAGGGTCTAACGCGACGGGCTGCGTCTGCAAGCTAGGCTACCGCGAAGACCGGTCGGGAGGGAAGCTGAGCTGTGTAGCGTGTCCGGCGGGGGCGCGAGCAGGAGTCGGGTCGGAGGAGTGTCGGTGCTGGGGCGGGATGGTCGAGACGCGAGGAGCCGGCGGGGAGCTTGTAGGGTGCGGGTGCCCCGCGGGTACAGAGGCGGGGAGGAGCTTCGCAGACTGGAATAAGTACGCGGGAGTCGTATACGCCAGCCCCTACATGTCGTACTCGTACATGTCCGAGGAGCTCGTGCTGGAGTCGCTAGCGGCAGACATGGCCAGACTGATACAGGACGCCGGGGAGCTAGAGGGCCTGGTCAACAGCAGCAAGCCGATCCCTTACATGGTGTTGCCGCAGCAGTCGTACTGGTACTACCCGTCGTACATGCAGGACATAGCGGCGATATCCAACTACACGATGAGAGGAGGGACGCTGGTGACGATGGGCGACGGGGTACAGGACCTGCTGGCGCAGGCCTTCGGGATAGCAAGGCCGGCGCTGTCTTGGACTTCGTCGGAAGCTCGGCTCAACAACGCGAGCGCAGCAGGGACGGCGTTCGAGGGGGGCCCGAGCTCGCTGTCGTACTGGTACGCTGTACGCTGGCCACTGTCGGGGCTGCCGCCGGGCGCAAGGAGCATGTACGACGACGGGTGGTACTCGTCGGCGGTAGTGATGAGGGTAGGGAGGGGTCAGGTAGTGTGGCTGGCGTACGACGACGGGCTGGCGTCGACGGGGGCGTGGCAGGAGGTACTGAGGCGGGCGGTGGAGGCCGGGGGCCCCTGCGAGTCATGCGGGGCGGGGACGTACCGGAGCGAGTCGGAGCAGAGCTGCACGGCGTGTCCAGGGAACTCGACGTCAGAGATCGGGTCGAGGTCCGTGGAGGAGTGCGAGTGCAAGGCGGGCTACTACGGAGAGGCTCGGAGGAACGGAGGGAAGGGTTGCCAGGCTTGTCCGCCGGGCGCCTACTCCCCGAGGGGAAGCCGCAACGCTAGCAGCTGCCGATGCTCGGCAGGGACGACGTGGTTAGGGAGTGTCAACGGGTCGGCGCTGGCATGCCTGTGTCCGGATAATCACTACGGCCCGGTGGAGCATAGCACGGGGATCGACGTGACCTTGTATCCTGCGACGTCGGACGACGACATGATCAGCTTCAGAGACGCCGGGGGCAGGACTTGGCTACAGACAGAGCTGGTAGAGTCGATCGACACAAGGAGGCTGCAGGGCTTCGGTCACTCTCACTCGGGCACACCGATCGACTTCTACCTCCGAGCCGAGGACGACCTAGGAGTCTTCGACATCTGGTCGGACTCCGGGACGTACGTGAACCTCCCTCAGGGCGTGCTGTACCTGCCACGCGGACGAGGAGCCGGGCTGAAGCGGCTCTTCCTGGACTCATACCCGTATCAGTCTTGGTCCTTCCATGGGGTGTACGGGAGCGTCGCGGTCCAGGCCAGGCGAGTCTGCGTAGCCTGTCCCGAGGGGACGTACTCGCTAGCAGGAGACTCGAGCTGTAGGCCTTGCCCGGGTAACTCTACTGCTCTACGTAACCTGACAGGGTCTAACGCGACGGGCTGCGTCTGCAAGCTAGGCTACCGCGAAGACCGGTCGGGAGGGAAGCTGAGCTGTGTAGCGTGTCCGGCGGGGGCGCGAGCAGGAGTCGGGTCGGAGGAGTGTCGGTGCTGGGGCGGGATGGTCGAGACGCGAGGAGCCGGCGGGGAGCTTGTAGGGTGCGGGTGCCCCGCGGGTACAGAGGCGGGGAGGAGCTTCGCAGACTGGAATAAGTACGCGGGAGTCGTATACGCCAGCCCCTACATGTCGTACTCGTACATGTCCGAGGAGCTCGTGCTGGAGTCGCTAGCGGCAGACATGGCCAGACTGATACAGGACGCCGGGGAGCTAGAGGGCCTGGTCAACAGCAGCAAGCCGATCCCTTACATGGTGTTGCCGCAGCAGTCGTACTGGTACTACCCGTCGTACATGCAGGACATAGCGGCGATATCCAACTACACGATGAGAGGAGGGACGCTGGTGACGATGGGCGACGGGGTACAGGACCTGCTGGCGCAGGCCTTCGGGATAGCAAGGCCGGCGCTGTCTTGGACTTCGTCGGAAGCTCGGCTCAACAACGCGAGCGCAGCAGGGACGGCGTTCGAGGGGGGCCCGAGCTCGCTGTCGTACTGGTACGCTGTACGCTGGCCACTGTCGGGGCTGCCGCCGGGCGCAAGGAGCATGTACGACGACGGGTGGTACTCGTCGGCGGTAGTGATGAGGGTAGGGAGGGGTCAGGTAGTGTGGCTGGCGTACGACGACGGGCTGGCGTCGACGGGGGCGTGGCAGGAGGTACTGAGGCGGAGTGTTTTGCTTTCTTCTCCTTGTCGAGACTGTCGATGGGTTCGTCATTTTTCACATCTTTCATGGTTTGTTCCAATTTTCCTGGACATTCGTAGAGAATGCGATGCTGATGATGCTTTATCATCACACCGCTTCTTCAGGTCGTCGCTTCCGGATCTTTTTGGGCTAGCCAATTCTAGTTTTTCAGGATTTTTCTTCTATGCATACGATGGCGGATCGGTTTTCCAGTCATCTATCATGGATGGTGGCAATGATATGTACGACGGTGGAAACAAGATTATGGTGTCTCAGAGCATGTTTTCGAACTCCTTGTTCTCGGGCTCAGTTCTTTCGTACGGGACCTATTATTTGGAAGCAGGCTTCGAGCTTTTTGTCAGCCTTCCAAACACATACCCACACGTAACCGCGTTGTTCCTGCCAGGAGGTAACGTGAGCATCATTTGTGAGGGAAACACGGGGTCTGACGGGGGGGGCTTGGTAGTGAACTACCTCCTGACCTACAACACCTCGATGACGCACGGAACGATCTGGGCAAATATCAACTATGGCGCTGGAGACCCGACGATAGGAGACGTCTGGTTCACCATTGAGTCATCGGCATGGGGATCTGAGCTGAGGGGTTGGGTAGATGGCCGGAAGGCGAGAGACAACGACAATTACCATCATTATGTCGAGGTGGAGGGAAAGAACCTTGTCTTCTGCAAGATCTTGCTGTCGAGAGTCAGCGGTCGGATCATCTATCCGTGGGAAATCACTGATTACATCGCACGCTATGCTGGAAGCATTCCCTTCGATCCGCGGGCAGCGGCGGTGGAGGATGACACGGTAGGGATGCGGTGCCATTTGAACGCGACTTGGGACGAAATCATCCGGGATCGCACCAAGTATATCCAGGGAGGGCTAGGACTCGAGATGGTGAGAGGCCAGACGGAGGTCTGGCTGTGCGCGTATCAACATGCATGTGCACCGATGGATGGAGATGCCATGTGCTTCAAGTACAATGAAAGCAGCAAAGAATTCATCCCGTGGGGGAGAAACTCTGACCTGTCCCTGGTTTAATCAGCGAAGTCAAGGAGACTTGTTGTCAGGTCCGAGCCATTTGTTCTCCGCCTCTTGTTGATTTTCGCGCCGCAGGTTTGCTGTCCTCAACACATGAACAAGCGCAAAAGAGTTGATGTTTTGAATCTGAGATATGATAGTGAACAATACAAAAGTTGCAATGACAGCATCTATCACCTGACTTCACAGGCTCAACAACCCGAGCCCCCGGACCACTTTGATCACATGAGCCTAGTATGATCAATCGCTTGAATTACATATGATTAAAATTCTTAGTTTTCCGTCGAAATTATGGATCATTGAAGACCCACGCACCAATATTGTTTTGTGTCTGACTCGTACTTATCCTTTCTATGCCTTGAAGAACAGGTTGACGTATAATCAGACTCACGTGTGATTCAAGGCCGTTTCAGAAAATCTGGTCGCGCTGGTAGAGACATGTAGCACAATAGAATATTCAAAGCAGCATTGATATCACGAGACTTGATACGGTTTTGAATACAATTGGTGGATCTGCACCATTTCAAACCCCGCACCACTGATTCTTTTTGATTTGTTTGCGTTCCAAATCATACAATTCTTGATGACATTGATTGCAATATTTTGTTGTTCTGAATTCGTCAACTTCCTTCAACTCGAAGAAATTCTGACATCGCCTTTTGATCCATTTTACAGGTACTGATTTCTCTCCATGTCCAGTACAACCAATTGATGAATCACCGTATGCAATTATTGGACTTTGATCTGAACGATCACCTTTCATCTTCATGAAGAACATATCAATTGCCTTGTGTTTGGGGATATAATTATCAATTTTCAGGCGTGCAAACTTGTTTTGACAACAATGTCCAAACAAGATCTTGCTTAGTCTCACCACGGTGTCGATGTATCATTCATAGTGATCCAGCCGATACGTTTTTGCTGACACTCGTGCCATGTCGTTTGATTCTTCTGTTATGCCTTGTCTCCATTTTTCTAACTTGGCCCTTATTCTGAGTAATATGAGACTCATAATAGTACTGTCTGCGAACATCCTCTCTCTATCACACTCTCTCTATCACACTCTCTCTATCACACTCTCTCAAGATGTTCAAGTACTGTACTATTCTGTGCAACAAACTTCCAAAACTATATGTTCTATACGATTGGACCAGGAGTCCATGACAAGTTGTGATGATTTTCCCATACGCAAACAATCTGACCTCGTAGACATTTTGGGTTTGTTTCACATCATGGATCAGTCTTGTCTAAAAGCACAAGCGTTTTTGTCAGTGCTGAAGTTACAACCAAATTTTCAGAAAGAAAGGGACAGTTGATAGCATACAGACTGACGGGGTCGCACTCTGTGTGACGTTCAAGAAGAGAATACACAACGGTACTGATATGTGGTATCGAGCAAATACATGGTCAAGAAAAACCAAAACAATATCGATATACTCGCAGACAGTACTATTATGAGTCTCATATTACTCAGAATAAGGGCCAAGTTAGAAAAATGGAGACAAGGCATAACAGAAGAATCAAACGACATGGCACGAGTGTCAGCAAAAACGTATCGGCTGGATCACTATGAATGATACATCGACACCGTGGTGAGACTAAGCAAGATCTTGTTTGGACATTGTTGTCAAAACAAGTTTGCACGCCTGAAAATTGATAATTATATCCCCAAACACAAGGCAATTGATATGTTCTTCATGAAGATGAAAGGTGATCGTTCAGATCAAAGTCCAATAATTGCATACGGTGATGTGCGAAAAGGAGTCAGCATTGCTGTGAAGATGCTTCTTTCTGACCCTCCAGCTTCTGTGTGTCCGTCCACCCTGACAGAAGGCAATTGAAATGTCAGTGGTAAACCTCGTTGTTCACAGCAAGAGACGACAAGAGACGACTTTCAAGAGGACCAGGAAGAGAAGCAAGAGACGGCACGGGCACAAGCCCTCACATGTCATACATCTATCAGGCCCTGAAACTTTGAGGGAGCACAAGTGAAGAAACCAGACGACGACTTATATCTCGACTATAATCAAGATTGATTGCTTGTCCCTCATCAGCTGCCTGATGTTATAAAAGCGCCAAGAGCTCCGAGTGACTGCCCGACACACCACCAGGCCTTGTGGTAAGCCCTGGGGTGGTAGGGGCTGGTTTAGAGGGTCCAAGGACCGGGGGGTAAGATCTGACAACTGCTGGTAACAACGGAATACTGCCTGGTGTTGGTGTGCCCCTGGCATGGCCAGGCAAGGCCGAGAGCAACAGAGGCGGCTGAGAGAAGCATGCAGCGGTTTTGTGAGAGTAGACGAAGTAAGCCAGCCTGATGCAAGTTGCATCATCTCTTTAGGACAGGCAGAGGCTCACGGACGGTGGAAGCGTCAGCCCCACAACGCATAACTGATAGCAATGTCGACAAAACGAAGCAAGACAAGAAGACAGGTTGTGTGCTCGACTTGAGCATGACAGGTGGCTGTACGATGAGATTTTGCACGAGGGACGGTTGAAGATTGACATGGGCGAAACTTCCCAGGTCTTGGACTCGTCGGCAAGGACCAGAAAGTCCTCGCACGATGAAGGAGGCAGACACGAGAGCATCCCTCATCCGAAAAGAAGCCATGTGCAGGAAGAGGCTGAAGAAATGCCCTCTTGCATTCGCATTTGCGGTGCTATGCTGCAGAGCTGCGAAAGTTTTCTAGCTTTCTCCAACCTCACAATGGCCTTCATGTCTGACAACAAAATTCATTTCATAGAGCCTCTGGCTTCCTTGCCAAATCTGAGGCTTCTTGACCTTAGCTCGAACATGGTGCAATTTTGTGCTGGTAATCACAGCAACTCATTTTTCCCGAGATTGAGCGTTTTATTTTTGCACAACAACCTCGTAAGAAAGTTACCAGATGTCCAGAGCTTTGAGAGAGCAAAACTAATGCGAGTGCTCACCATGTTTGGAAATCCCATAGAAGAAGGGAAGGTGGACGCGCTCGAATGTTTCAATCGTTTTCCGTCTCTCCTGCTAGTCGACAACCATGTCAGAGCAGATCACTTCAAGAAACATGACTTGCATTTGGCACCAGTTGATTCAAAAACAGTGCTGAGGACATTCTTGAGAAGAAGGTTCAAATCTCGATTGCAAAGGAAGGTCGATCATCTGTTCGAAATTTTCCGGGACCCAAGTAGAAACATTCACGACTTCGAACACTTTCAAGACATTCTGTCTCAAGTCCATCGCATTAACTCCAACTCGACGCCTTACAATATCATCAGTCGAGTTGCCATGGGGCATTCAGCAAGAACGAAATTCAGAATGCTGTACAGTCACTATCTCATGCCCACCATCACTCTTCAACGATGGCTCTTGTCGGCTTACTTGCGTCGTCTTGTGCACAGCTTGCTCTCCGGAGGGATAATCCATGACCAGAACATCGCCAAAAAGCTTGCAAAGCTGCCCCTGTCTGATGATGACTTGTTGCTTCGAAGCTCAAACCTGACCATTTACTTTCATCCCAAGTATGCTGATGTGATTGAGCAGTTAGCGGCCAAATGGGGAAGCATGCAGAGCTCCTCTGATTCACCCATCTTGTACTTGTCCAACATTTTCAGCTTCCAACGTGAACGACATAGCGGAGGAAATGAGTTGTTCCGAGCTGTGCTGAGAATGCGTCGAAGAGCGAGAACTCTGCAAGAGGCGAGTCACCTTGCGCGATTTCCAGTGAAACGATTCCGCTTGGGAAGATTGACGCATGTTGACACCAAAACAAGAACCATTTTCCTTCAACATTTCGAACAGCATCATGGCTTTGATGCACTGCCAAGCTCTCGTTCTCAACACATCTCTCATCGCTTCTTGGTCGTCCTAAAGTTCAAAGATGAGGCGTCCAGGAATCATTTCATCAACTATATCACTTATCTTAACAGGACCATCAACAGCTCAAGTCAATCATCGATTGGATCAGTCCACTTTCTTCTCGGTGAGAGTGTGTTGAGAGTCCATGCTGCTTGTTGCGTTCAAGCGACAGTGAGAAGATGGCTAGAGTGTCGCTCAACGAAGAGAAGCTTGAAGAAAGCCGTCCTTCTTCTTCGAAGCACGAAATCCATTCAGCACTGGTGGAGATGGACCTGTACTCGTCTGCGTACCGAAGCTCTGGCTTGTCTGGCAAAAGCTCTGACAGACAACGGGACTTCGACCACGTTGTATTGCATTTCAAACAACTTGAAGCCAAAGTTGTTGTCTCATGACAAAAGCGTCTCGTTTCTTCCGGAATCAAAGATTTCATTTGTTTTTGATGAGAACGAAGATGTTCAGGTCTTACAACCAGAGCTCGCCTCGTCAAATGGTCGAGGAGTTCTTCCCTCTTGGGTGGGTCTACAAGTCAGACTAATACCCTGGTTGCCACATGAAGCAAGTCTAAAGAGTCTGCTGACGCAAGGGACCCAGATCGATATAGCAGAAGCTGAGAGCTTGAAAGATGAAGAAGATCATGCTTTACGGTTTCCGAATCGAAGGTTGTTTGGTTCAATTCCTGTTTTGAAGTTTCACTTCAAATCGAACAACCAAGCTCGGATCAGAACTGCTCTTCTGTTCATCAAGACTTGGTCCGCGCAGAAAAGAGATCCGATATGGTTGATGAAAGCGACAGATTGCCAGCAGCATCTTATGGCTGCTCTCATTCAGTCTGTGTATAGAGGTCACTTGAGCAGGGCGAGATGTCACAGGCTGAGGAATGTTCGTGATGTTTGGAAGATCGATCGTGTTGTGAGTAGAAGGAAGTTTGTTGAGTTAGAAAAAGCAGTAGAAAGCCAGCGACTGAGGAAAGAGCAAGTCTCTCCTCCCCCTCCCTCTCTTGCTCCTCGCATAGCAGGGGAAGACATGGGCTTGACAGGAATGACAGCGTTAGATATGACACGTGGCAGCTTGAAGGATAACATGATGAGGGCAAAGCAGTCGTTAGTGGTCTCTACCAAGTTGGATAAGATCGTTGCGGGCAAGCTGCAGGAAGAGAAGCTGATTCGCAGCAGGCCGAGTATGAAGTTCCATCCCTCTTCTCAGTCTCGAATCTTCTCGTCCCAGTCTCGAATCTTCTATTCCAATCTCGAGCTGTTCAACCTGAGCAAGCTCGAAGCGTCAGTTGTGGGCAGCCTGAAGGAGGTTGAGCTTGAGCAGGTCAGAAACAGAATCAAGACGAGGAAAGAAGTGCATCAGAACGTTATGGAGACGGCGAGCGAGTACAGAAGGTGATGTTATCCTCCGGTCTTTCTTGACTGACATGTCGTCTCAGTTCTTACCTTGAAAAATGCAAGCATGACCGCAAGGTGCAACGAGAACGCGCAGAGGTCATCAAGAGCATCAACAGCCAACCCCCAACTATTCCTGCAGCTTTAAAGTCAAGGAGCCGGATCAGCAGAAACCTGTCACTGAACTTGACGAACGCGATACGAGCCATCGGTCAGTTGCCAGCCATCAACACAACAGAGAGTGTGCAGGAGGGAGAGAGGTCTCCGTCAAGACGGTCGACGGAGCTCCAGAAGGAGAAGAGTGAGTCGCTCGTCCCGAGAACGATCCAACAGGCATGATGTAACTTGTTTGCAGGCCGTCAACGAGTAGATATCTTGCTGCAGAGGAGGAGGAGAAGCGTTGAGAGGCAGAAAGAGGCATTTGAGACCCTGAAGCATTCAAGAGAGCTGGTGAGAAAGAAGATGGACCAGTCGGCAAAGAAGACGGAGAGACCGAGTTCAACCGACGTCATAAAGTACATGGACTACCCGTGGGATCTAACGAGCATGTCATCACAAAACGTTCAACAGTTTCATTCTGCAGGAATCAGCAGAAATCCGAGCCCTTGGCAGTCTGATATGTACTTTATTGATCAATAAAGCACTTGATGAAGTCAACAATTTATGTCGAGCCCAATGATGCATAAAAAACAATCTTTCATTTCATTTCAAAATTCACATGGAACATACACGATTACGTGAACACGATATCATTGCTGCTGATCCCACATAAGTCGATACTGTTGTAAGAGGAGCAGATCTCAACTATCACAATCTCTTTCTCTCGATCTCTCTCACCTGAGATCTCTCTGTGACTCAGTCAGACAAGAGTGAGGAAGCTCACCAAGTGTGATCCCTTTGCAAGCGCTATGTCGGCGGCTTCTTCGACGTCGAAACCTTTCTTGTCTTTGAAGGCAGCTTCCATCTGCTCAATGTGCGCTCGCCTTGCCTCCATCACCTGCCACACTTGAGCCAACAACAACGCCACCACCAGCCGAAGCAGCCACAATGTCATCATCATCATCGTCGTTGTCGTCGTCGTCATCATAATCGTCATCATCATCATCATGAAAATGATCATCATCACCATCATCATCATCATCATCATCATCATGACAATGATCATCATCATTATCATCATCATCATTATCATCATCATCATGGTCGTCGTCATCATCATAGTCATCGTCAGATTCATCATCAACTCCATTGTTAGCCTTTAAATCATTGTTTTCTTGATCATGATCGTCTGCTCGTGCACATCTTCTTCCTCATCCTCATCGTCCTCTTCATCATCAGCATCAAGCAATCTCCCGTCACCTTCTGCATGCCTTCAGCATTTCTCAGTGGTCTTCCACGACCATGGCTATCGATATCAGGAATGTCCAAGAGCTCATTGCTGACGATCGAGCTGTCCACCTTCAACCTTCTCTGGGCGAGCAGACGCGACAAATCCGTTGGGCAGCCTTTGCCTCCTTCATGCGTCTGACTGCCTGCACGAGAAATCAACTAACAAGTTTGCGTGTCCTGATCTTACCTCCAGGTGATTCTGAACTGCTGCTGCTGCTGCTGCTGCTGCTGCTGCTATTATTGAAGAGAGATAGCTTCTCTTTGACCGAGATTGACGCAGGTTTCGCTTCCTTCGTCGTTCTGCTGGCACTTGCTCTCGAAAGAAGGGCCTGCTCATCCCATGTAGACTCGTCGTTCTCATCTGTTGCTGCTCGTCGACGAGCAAGAATCGATGCGAGATCTGTCATCCGTCAAGTTTGATCTCAATCTACAAAGATAGTCGTGAGTAGTATGCAGGAGGAGAGTGATGTTCGCAGCTCTTTCGTCTCCTTGGTCCCACCATCTATCCTCCTCCTTAGTCTTCCTCTTGCATGACGACGAATGATTCTTGTCAACGTGATGTACTTCCGTGCTTTTGCTGCATTACAGCACGCTCATGCTAAGGAATTCTGGTCGAACAAACCTGGTACATCTCATGCCTATTTCAAACTTCATCTGGTGATTCATGATGCTTGCAACATCTTTCTTCTCGTCAAAGGGCTCGTCCCTTCCTCTCCCTCTTCTCCTTTCCAATCAGACGTCTTAAGCCCAGATGTCGCCTATCAACGTGTTCCAGTATCACAGTCGCTCTCTTGACTTCTCTACCTGGAGGTTTTCTCTATCATCACTCTCTGTCTCTGCGACGTTCTACCTCTCCTGCAACCTCCATGGTGGCTTCCGTTCGGCCACCTTCCACCTCTCGTCCTCTCCCTCCCGTCAGCGTCTCTTTCCCGTCGTTTTCTTCCTTCCGCTTCGAGGCGGACGAATCCTAGCTCGCATACAGGAGGGCGGTGGGTTCTATTGAAGTGGGGTCCCATACAAGAGAAAATGAGGGGTGGTGAAGGTCGGGGTGAGGGTAGAACCAATTTTTATCCATGGCACGAGTGTGGCGCTGGATTCTGAGCGGGAGGTTGGGGAGGGAGGAGATGAGTGGAGTTTTCCCCCCCCCTCCTCCTCCTCTTCGTCGACTGACGCTCCAAACTTGCCCTTGCCCTCCCCCTTCCAGCTCGCTTCCATCGCCTTCGGCCTCGCCTGCTTCTACTTGGTGTTCGTATGTTCTACGAAGAGGAAGCAGGCAGGGTGGGTGGGGAAGGACGATGGTAGCAGAGCCGTGGGTAGCATGTCATGGCAGAAGATCGTCCGAGTTGAAGGGCGTCTCACACACCATGATCTCGTTCTCAACTTCCAGCATCCTCGCACTGCCTCGGCATCTCCGCCAGTCAAGGAGATTCTCCGACGCGGCTTCGGGGTCTGCAGCTGAAGCGTCACAGATAGAGTGGTCGGGGTTGTTCGATGAGAGGGTTAAGGCTATCATCGAGGAATGTCAGGCCCTGGAAGATGAGATGTGTAAATCAGTCACGACACCCGACCGACAAGCACATATCGGTGAGAATGTTGACATGACTGCTAAGATCGCGATGATCATTATGCTGGTGGTGATGCTTCGTCTGCTTCTGCTGCTCTTGATTATTCTGATGATATAAGTGATGGTGATGGTGATGATGATGATGATGGCGAGGATGGTGGTGATGGTGATGGCGAGGATGGTGGTGATGGTGATGGCGAGGATGATGATGGTGAGGACAGTGATGGTGAGGATGAGGTGGGAATATGGATGCTGAGGACTGAGGTGTTGGCTTCAGGGAAGTTGCTCAAATCAAATATGAGAATAAGACAGCACGGCAGCGAGCTGATGAGCTGCTACTCGGACAGAAACGAACTTGTCAGCATCCTGTCGACCCAGAGCGAAGACGAGGAGACGAAATTAGAGTTCAAGAATGAGCTCATGACAGTAATGAAGGCTTCCTTCCGCTCTACTGCTGATCCCCCTTTAGGTCGAAGAAAGAATCAAAGATTTGCGCCGCATGCTCACTCCTCTCCTTATTCCCCGTGATCCCGACGACGATTGCGATGTGATCTTGGAGGCAAGGCTTGCTTGCTGGGTCTGACTTCCAAGTCCCTTTGTGACTGTAAGCCTCCAGGTGAGAGCAGCTGCAGGAGGAAGCGAAGCCTCTCTGTTTGCTTCAGAGATGTTTCAGATGTATCAGTTGTTCTCTGTGAGGTATGCTCCTCTCGCCTCCTTATCCCCCTCCTGCTGCTCTGTTGCTGATGCCAATTCTCCTTTGTCTTGCTCCTGCTCGTCCTTCTCCTGCTCGTGATACTTTTTCTCCTTCCCCTATCCCCAGATCTCCTTCTGCATCATCTCTATATGGCCTTACTCTATGCACCACAGGAAAGGTTGGAACTTCGAGGTGTTGGATAAGAGTGAAAGTGAAGTTGGGGGTCTGAAAGAAGCCACTGCTTCAATCACAGGAGGAGAAGAAATGTGAAAAGATTGAGATGCAGGAGTACTGTCATATTTGACATCTCTTCTACCTCAGCTACGGACTACTCAAGTTTGAAAGCGGTGTTCATCGAGTGCAGAGGGTCCCTGTGAGCGAATCATCGCAAACATGATTCATCATCATCAACAATTATCAACATGATCATCATCATCGTCATCATGACTATGATCAACAACAACAACAACAACAACAACAACAACAACAACAAAATGATGATGATCAACAAACATCATCATCGTCCCCGTCCCCGTCCTCGTCCTCGTCCTCGTGTCCCCGTCCCCGTCCTCGTCCTCGTCCTCGTCCTCTTCATTGTCATCGTCATCGTCATCAGCATCATCATCATCAACATCAACATCGTCATAGTCATCATCAACATCAACATCAACATCATCATCAACAACAACAATCATCATCATCATCATCATCATCACACTATCACCACCAATAACAGCATGAATGCTACCATCGACATCAAAATCTTCACTGGCTCATCATCATACTTGATCACCATCAAAAGCTTTCCGTTTCTCACTTTGTGCTAGGAGACGGAGACTATGGGGAGGGTGCACACTAGTACAGTGAGTTGATTTGTGTGTTCAATTTTCCTTTCCCCCCGGTTCAAGTCGTCTTCTCTTAATCCTATCCCCTTTCTTGAAGTATTCCCCTTCTTGTCTGCTCTTTTACAAAGCTTGTAGATCAGTGTTGCCATTATGGTCGACTCAGAGACACCAGAGTTTGCGCTGAACCCTTCGGAACTCAAAGTAAGAGCAAGAAGGAGAAGGGGGAAGGCAGGAGTAGCAGAAGCGGGCGGAATGGAGAGGAGATGGGTGTGTGAACGGCCTGACTAAGTTTTGGATGTTCTAGATCGAACTGATGAGAGCAAGCGGAGCAGGAGGACAGAGTGTGAACACCACGGATAGTGCTGTTCGCATCACTCACTTACCAACGGGAGTGAGTGTTCATTGTAGGGACGAGCGGTAAGTGAGAAATAATGTGTAGGCGAAGAGTTATGGGAAGTGCGATGTTAGAGGAGTGACTGACTTTGATAATGTTGTTGGGAAACACGAATGTTGAGAAGCTGTAACACATATTGTGGAGGAGAGGAGAAGAATGAAGATTTCCTTCGATCTAATCAGAATCGCTTTTTTTCATCCAGATCTCAGCACAGAAACAAGGCAAAGGGATTGAAGATTTTGCAGGCAAGGTGAGAGAAGTTACAGCAAGAACTGGTTTCATTTACTTTCACCCACCTGCTGACAACTCATCTTATTTCATCTTGGCACCTGCCATCTCTAATGATTTGTTGACGCTAAACTCTTTTTTTCAAGGCTGTATGACATTCACAAGGCAAAGATTCAGAACGAAGAGTCGATTCTGCGCAAGTGAGATGCTACTGCTCCAAGCTCCCTTCCTTCTACTTGCTTCTTCCTGCCTGCTGAATTTCCCTTCCTTCCGCCTATTCTCTGCTTCTTGCCTCTCCTCCCTCGCTTCTCCTAAGTCCTTCCTCCCCTTGTTCCTTTCCCCTCTCTCCTCTCACCCCATGTTGCCTCCTTGTTTAGGTCCCTCATCGGCTCTGGCGATCGGTCCGAACGCATCCGAACATACAATTACGCTCAAGATCGCATCACCGACCATCGAGCCAATGTCTCTGTGCATGGGGTAGGAGGAGAGAAAGACTAAGAAGTGATGGATTTGCTGATGACGAGCAGGTCGAAGAGTTTCTTCAAGGAGGGGAAGCGGTAGAACGCGTGATTGATGCGCTGAGGGGGAGAGAGATTGCGGATCGAATCCAAGCCTACAAGTTGAAGAATTGAGTCGCAACACAGCTACAGGACCAAGGAGGAGGTTATGTGGGGAGATCAGATGAAGAAAAAGAACAAGAGGGCTTCGAATATTCCATTTCTTTCATCTGAACAGAGATCCTACGTCATTCACCCATCCTGATATCACTGAACCAGCAGTAGGAGCGGCGTTGGGAGCCACGACCTGATTCCTGATCTGATGGTCCTCGTGCTTCGAGAGCTTCAATTGAATCTTATGATCCTGCAAGCTGCTTCACTTCCTCCCATTTTCTAAAAAGGTGAAACAAAAGACCTTCTTGGTCGCGAACCTCCTCCTTGCTTCATGCTCCTGCTCGTTTGATGGTCAAAACTGAGCTGAGCTTAACCATCCTCGCCCCTCCATCTCACTCCTCACTCATTCTCCTGCTCTTCCTCCTCCTCCTTGGTCTCATCTGAGCCCTCACCTTGACCTGATGGCTGTCCGAACACCCTCCGTTCTCCAGCATCTCGATGGTGCAGGGAGCGCGTGTGCGTCTCCTCCTGTCCCTTCCCCTCTCTTGCCTAGGATGAACGAATCTTGCTTCCTCCGAGAGCTCCTACGTTGTCAGTGAGACAATGAACAAGTCACCAAAACAAATCAACTCTGCTTTCCTTGATTTGTTCTGCTCTCTCTCTCTCCTCACCTTCGACTTCTCATGTGATGCATAATCCCTTCTCGCATACTCTCTCGCATGACGAGCCTCCATAGCTTCATGCAATGTTCGCGGCGGCGCCTGACGAGTTTGAAATCTCAGGTCATGCACGACATAATGACACACGGGGGATGACCTGGTTGACGTCTGTGATCAGAAGACCTCCATGTGACCACTGATGGTTTGCTTTCAAATCCCCGAAGATAGCGTTTGTAGTTGCTTTCATCCTCTGCTCATCTTGCTGGAATTCAGCTTTTACCTACCAGCAACGGTCAGCTTTGTCCATCTCAACAAGCTCCCTCCTCCTACAAGATTTCCCAGTCCCTTCTTGTCGGCCGCAAAAGGGTGGCGATAGGCAAAAGAAGTCTTTTGATTCTTCGCCTCTCTCTCTCTCTCCTCCCTGATCCTCTCCTGCCGACTGGAAGCTCTCTGTACCCCATCGTTACAAATCTTCCAAGCAGGAAACATTCCTCACATGTCTTTGACTCTCATATCGCTCATGTGCTTCATCCGTTCTGCGTTCGCGGAGGATCCTCTCGACTCTTCTGTGCGCAGACCTCTTCCTCTCCTCATAATCCCTGTGCTCCCTCCTCCTATCTGCTGCTTTTTCACGCCTTTCAGCCTGCACCCTTTGCTTGTGTTCTGCGTTCTTTTCTCTTCTCTCAAGATTTCGATTCTCCTCTTGCAGGTCTCCGTGAAAATCTGCACTCTGCCCTGCCTTATACCAGTGTGCATTGCCATAGTTGGGGCTGGCTGACTTGCGCTGAGCGTCCTCCCTGTCAATTCTGGAGCCATCGTCTTCGAGCACTTCCCGCGGCAAGATGTCCTTTACATGCTGCATGAGTTTTGGAGAAGCAGGAAGGAAAGAAAGATTACAGAATCAGGAGCAGTATCACCCGGGTCATAGAAAGAGACTGCTGAGTTTGCAAACATCGAAAGATCCTCCTTTCCCTTCTGCGATATCATTTTCAGAAAAGCCGAAAAATACTTTCTGTTATGTTCACTTCTGAGGAAAAATATAGGGTGATGGTCTCATCTTAAATAGAACATAACGAAGTTTTCATCAGGATGTTCAGGGAGGCAAGGCATTCGATGGAGACAAGTGGGAAAACGAATCGCAACGAATACCCTTCCCGTTCAACACTGGGAGAGCTGTTTCAAACAAGCAAACAGAGAGCATCTCACCGTCGACAGCTCAACCTTGCTTGTTGTCATCTGTGTTCTCACACGGTAGATGACTGGCACCATCACCAGCAGCGCCGCTGCCACCATCATCGTCGTCACCCTTGACGACATGGCAGCCATAGCGAAGAGTCAGCACCGGCAGGTGTATCCTTGAGGATCTGTGTCCGGCTGATGATACGTTGTTTTCCGTTACATGAGAATTTCACATCAAGGCGCTCCTTGCTTCTCACCGGTCAATCAATCATTCATTGAGTGGGTGGGGGTCCTGAAGTCTAACTTGGGCAAGCACGGCATGGCAGAACGGCTAGCAAGCCTTGATCATCGAGGGAGGCGAAGAGCTCGTGATTGAGGAGGAAGGGAGTTCGACAAGACACCTGTGTCCCTACGAATTCCGGTTCAAGTGATGTGCTTGGTGTCTGAGATGCATTGAAGAAGTGCGGGACTTATTCTCCCGTTGGGTTGAGGGGGCAATGAGTTCAATGGTTGGACCTTCAGCTACAGGTGAGAAGCAGATCAAGTATACAAGACTAAATGTCGCTCCACCACAAGCAAACCGAAACGAAGCCGATCAACCCCTAAGCAGCAAGTTTCTCCAGAATATTCAGATTATAACACGAGGAGTAGCATACTGCCTCTCGGGCCATGTTTGCACGATTGGCGCAGCAACAGTTGTGGCGATCTTCATCTGTTCAAGAGCATTCCTCAACATTCGCTTTACAACGTCGCTAGAAGTGGTGGCCTATGGTACAGTTTTCCCTCTCACTTTCGGGATTCAGGTTGCTTTCGACAACCGCGAGCGCGCTCTCGACGGCCTTGCGTGTATCAAGTCAATGATCGCGAGCATATTCTTCCTCCTCAAGTCATGGGAGGTCGGCAAAGGGGGCAAGATACAGAGAGCTTTTACTCCCTACTTCAATGAGCTTGTCGAGAACATGCAGAAGTACTGCATAAGAGAGCAAGTGCGGCATTCCGACGGTCAAGAGTCAGCGGATCATCTGGTCTACGACACGTTTGCTAAGATTGCGGCAGAGATTGAGCTGCAAAGCTCTACTCTGGGCTATGAGTCTGGGACAAAAGGAGGTCAGATGGGCAAGGGCAGGGCGTGGGAATGCCTGAAACGAATGATCTGCGCATGGGAGGATGTGAAGATGGCCCGTTGCTACATCAGTCCTCGTGGTCTGCGCTGCTTCTGCTTCTTCACCATTCATGTGGCGCCCATCGTCCTTGCCCCTTACTGGTTGGATTTTTGCAAGTCGGAGCAAGGGGCAGAAACTCTGGATCCTCTCTATGGATGTTACTCGGCCTACTTCCTTGGGATTACCTTTTCTGTAATTCTCATCACCCTGCACCGAATCCGGGATGCACTGGACTCACCATTCACAACGACAGACTTCGATCAGGTTGAGAGAGGTGATGGAGGTCGTTCTACTTATTCCTTGCTCCAGATCAAGTGGCAGTTCTGGAAAGAGCAGATGACGCAACTGAATTCTTTTGGCCCCAATGTGAGCTCAGCCGTTTGCTTGCGTTCGTTCGCTTGACGATTGATTCACATAGGGGCCAGAGCTGAGAGAAAGCTTAGGTTACGGAGTCGGGTGCCATGGTGAGATGGCTGAACGGGGATGCTACTGAGCCAGTCAAAATCAATCAAGTTGGCGCATCCAAGAGCAGCGGATTGATTGCATTGGATATGCTCTCAGCTTTGCCTTGTAACATCATTTTTGTACATCCCTTTGATGAATTTGGAATTTGAGTCCCTACGCGGATGTGTATGATTTGTTCGCCTTGACAGGAGTAGTGAGATTCTGGAGTCTCTCCATGTGCTGCTTCTAGCAAACTGAGGCGTCTGAAACTTTCCATGTTCTCTGCCCACCGTGACCCAGCAGCCGAGAAAGTGAGCTGACTGTACCAGAATGCTTCGATCTCATTCCAAGCCTACGGAACTGAAACTCTCTACTGAACAGATTCTTTGACTCTGCGCGTTGTATGTGATGAACACGAGAAGGGAAGGGAGGATGAACAGAGCAGAACAGTGGAGGAAGAAGCTATAGCTCGTTCTCATGCTCCTTTGTCACCAGGGTGAAGAAGGCTCAGGCTGAGCGAGACGATGCGACATGGGGAATCGAGCGGCTGGTCCAAAACAAAGTGTGTGTCGCAGACAAGCAGTCCGAAGACTTCATCCTTTTGGTTTTGTTTTATCCTGGAACGGAACCAAACAAACGAACGTCCATGAGTTGATCAAGCACAGTAGTATAGCAGGAGATGAAAAACAACATGAAGCTGTGAAAACATAATTCATAGTTCAGCATAACACGATGCAAGGACAATAAAAACAGAGTATACGCGTGGACTCCTGGGAGCAGAGACCGTGGAGAACAGAGGGAGCACAGCACGAGACCACCTCGCAAACGAGAGTCTGGACGTATGAGTCGCGGGAGTTCGTGGTCCTTTACAGGCATGGAGTGGTCTTGTCAGTTCTTATGGACCCTCCACGCGGCAGGCAGTCCTGGCATCGCAAAGGAGGACACGGTGGTAAAGAGAGGACTATGCACATCTATTGTCTAGTGCATGAAGATACAGTCTCAGTCTCCATGACTGATCGCAAGCCATGTGTCGGTGTCAGATCAAGGAGGCAACGAAGAGTATGTGCGAGTAGAGTCAGAGGGTCGGGGTGTAGTCATGCTTCATGCAATACCAAGGGAATAAAAGACACAATTCGCCTCTCATGGTCACGGGTGGCACCCCTGGACTCAACTCATGTCAACCTCCCCGCGTCTTCAAAAGCTGAGCAAACAGGCAGCGTGCACCTGTGCCATCTTGTCGCATATGCCGAGGATCGGCCGCCCCGGAAACCGCTCTCGACTAGCTGCTACATCAGACAGAGGCTGGCGTCAGCCCATACCGTGCTGTCCTCCATTCAAGCTTGCACTCGCAGGTCAACGACCACTATTGTGATGTTGTCTTCGCGTCGATCAATGAGCTTCTGCAACTCTTCTGCCGGATCCTCTTCTTCCGTCAGGGTGTCGAGACGCCGTGCCACAGCTTCGTTTGTCACGGTTGCCCATAATCCATCGCTGGCAATCACCAGAAACTTGTGCTGCTTCGTGAGCAAGAGCTCCTTTATCTCAGGGTCTGGTATGATGCAATCATCTATGGGAATCCAAGTGTCTGTACCGAAATGGCGGTATTGCTTGAGACTTTTGTCGCCTATACATCGAGACATTGCAAGCGATCTGATTCGGTTGATGGACCTTCCGTTGATTTCATAGCTTTCAATGCGCTTGTTGTTGGCTTCGATGCGCTTCCGTTCCTCGGGCACAGTCGGGTCGTGATCAGTGCTCATCGGCATGGGCTCTCCCTCACCGCAGATGATCGCCCGGCAGTCTCCAGCATTCGCCACGAAGAGACGATCTCCATCGATCACTGCCAGGATTGCTGAGCTGCCATCGTCCCAAGACTGTGCTAGCGCTCTCTTCTCGGCCTCAAGGAAGCTGCTGGTCAGGCTGGCCCCCAATGCGCTGTCTTGAGGGCCCGACCTCTGCATGATCTGGTCCCTCAGTATCCCTACGATCTCTGTGCTCAGCAGCTTGGCAGCGCGATCACCAGCATGTCCGTCGAAAACCCCGAACACGTGTTTGTCTTTGTGGAAGCTAAGCTGCGCCACATGCGTATCCTCCATGCGAGGCCTGTCGCCTTGAGCTTCATAAATCCAAAAGCGAGGCAGTGGCCTGCCTTTGCCTGAGTCACTGCAGGCTTTCTTAGAGACGCTTCTTGTCCTCGTCTTTTTTTTCTTCTTAGGAAGCAACTTTGTGACTTCTGAGGTCTTTGAGTTTCTTATGTGCATCTTGACGCCTTTGAGTTGGACAGGAGCAGCAAAGTACAAGAGGCTCGCTGCATAGGCAACAAGTGCGTGCGCGACAGAGAGAGCATCGTGAACCATGTAGCCTAGTTGTGCCGCGCTGCCGCTGATCCTGGTAGGATTTGCCGCGGAGAGGAAAATCAGACGACTGTGAGATGAGTAAAACTTCGGGGGATGAGGGGCAAGCCCAGTCTCCGGTGAAGTTGACCGAGGATTGCTTGTCTCCTTCAACTTGATGCTTGTGCTTGTCCCTTGCATTCCCGAGCTGCTTCACTTCCTCAATGCTTGTTTCCCAAGCTGCTCTTCGATTTTAGTCACTCTCTGTGAAGCACAATGCTGTCCCTCTTTTGATGGACAATGATCAGGACAAGATAAACTATGACCAACTTAGCCAAAACACAAACGCTAGGAAGCTTACCAATGAGCAACACACGAGAATTCAATGGACTACCTGATGCTCCATTCCCATGGCATGCGATGTCATCTCCAATCATTTACTGACCCATGCTATTAAAAAATGTCAGCAAATCTAGCCATGTATGGCCCGTTGTGATAATATCTTTCGACGAACCCAGAAAATATTCAAGAACGTTACCATGGAATCCTTCGACCAACTGCTTGCATGACCCTACAGGAAACATCGTAATTGAAAAAACATGCGCAGTTTATCCGATGATGAGTCTCAATGAAGAAAGCTAACACGAATGATCTGAGCTGTTTGCCAAACGTCGCTTCTTCTGTTTGCTCCGGTTTGCTTTTCTTTATATGATATCGTCCTCAAGCCCCCATGAAAGAAACGAGAGATAGCGCATTGGACATGCTCGTGCGGAAGCGGGGCATGACGTACTAGCAACGCGCTGACCAAATCTTCTTTACGTGTCTTGCAGCACAGTGGGATGAATCGGGTCATGCAACGATGCTGCGCCCATCCCGTGGAGACTCGCAAGGGATGTAAAGCGTTTACACGTGGACTCCTGGGAGCAGAGACCGTGGAGAACACAGGGAGCACAGCACGAGACCACCTCGCAAACGAGAGTCTGGACGTATGAGTCGCGGGAGTTCGTGGTCCTTTACAGGCATGGAGTGGTCTTGTCAGTTCTTATGGACCCTCCACGCGGCAGGCAGTCCTGGCATCGCAAAGGAGGACACGGTGGTAAAGAGAGGACTTTGCACATCTATTGTCTAGTGCATGAAGATACAGTCTCAGTCTCCATGACTGATCGCAAGCCATGTGTCGGTGTCAGATCAAGGAGGCAACGAAGAGTATGTGCGTGTAGAGTCAGAGGGTCGGGGTGTAGTCATGCTTCATGCAATACCAAGGGAATAAGACACAACTCGCCTCTCATGGTCACGGGTGGCACCCCTGGACTCAACTCATGTCAACCTCCCCGCGTCTAAGCTTGCACTCGCAGGTCAACGACCACTATTGTGATGTTGTCTTCGCGTCGATCAATGAGCTTCTGCAACTCTTCTGCCGGATCCTCTTCTTCCGTCAGGGTGTCGAGACGCCGTGCCACAGCTTCGTTTGTCACGGTTGCCCATAATCCATCGCTGGCAATCACCAGAAACTTGTGCTGCTTCGTGAGCAAGAGCTCCTTTATCTCAGGGTCTGGTATGATGCAATCATCTATGGGAATCCAAGTGTCTGTACCGAAATGGCGGTATTGCTTGAGACTTTTGTCGCCTATACATCGAGACATTGCAAGCGATCTGATTCGGTTGATGGACCTTCCGTTGATTTCATAGCTTTCAATGCGCTTGTTGTTGGCTTCGATGCGCTTCCGTTCCTCGGGCACAGTCGGGTCGTGATCAGTGCTCATCGGCATGGGCTCTCCCTCACCGCAGATGATCGCCCGGCAGTCTCCAGCATTCGCCACGAAGAGACGATCTCCATCGATCACTGCCAGGATTGCTGAGCTGCCATCGTCCCAAGGCTGTGCTAGCGCTCTCTTCTCGGCCTCAAGGAAGCTGCTGGTCAGGCTGGCCCCCAATGCGCTGTCTTGAGGGCCCGACCTCTGCATGATCTGGTCCCTCAGTATCCCTACGATCTCTGTGCTCAGCAGCTTGGCAGCGCGATCACCAGCATGTCCGTCGAAAACCCCGAACACGTGTTTGTCTTTGTGGAAGCTAAGCTGCGCCACATGCGTATCCTCCATGCGAGGCCTGTCGCCTTGAGCTTCATAAATCCAAAAGCGAGGCAGTGGCCTGCCTTTGCCTGAGTCACTGCAGGCTTTCTTAGAGACGCTTCTTGTCCTCGTCTTTTTTTTCTTCTTAGGAAGCAACTTTGTGACTTCTGAGGTCTTTGAGTTTCTTATGTGCATCTTGACGCCTTTGAGTTGGACAGGAGCAGCAAAGTACAAGAGGCTCGCTGCATAGGCAACAAGTGCGTGCGCGACAGAGAGAGCATCGTGAACCATGTAGCCTAGTTGTGCCGCGCTGCCGCTGATCCTGGTAGGATTTGCCGCGGAGAGGAAAATCAGACGACTGTGAGATGAGTAAAACTTCGGGGGATGAGGGGCAAGCCCAGTCTCCGGTGAAGTTGACCGAGGATTGCTTGTCTCCTTCAACTTGATGCTTGTGCTTGTCCCTTGCATTCCCGAGCTGCTTCATACTGAAGCACAATGCTGTCCCTCTTTTGATGGACAATGATCAGGACAAGATAAACTATGACCAACTTAGCCAAAACACAAACGCTAGGAAGCTTACCAATGAGCAACACACGAGAATTCAATGGACTACCTGATGCTCCATTCCCATGGCATGCGATGTCATCTCCAATCATTTACTGACCCATGCTATTAAAAAATGTCAGCAAATCTAGCCATGTATGGCCCGTTGTGATAATATCTTTCGACGAACCCAGAAAATATTCAAGAACGTTACCATGGAATCCTTCGACCAACTGCTTGCATGACCCTACAGGAAACATCGTAATTGAAAAAACATGCGCAGTTTATCCGATGATGAGTCTCAATGAAGAAAGCTAACACGAATGATCTGAGCTGTTTGCCAAACGTCGCTTCTTCTGTTTGCTCCGGTTTGCTTTTCTTTATATGATATCGTCCTCAAGCCCCCATGAAAGAAACGAGAGATAGCGCATTGGACATGCTCGTGCGGAAGCGGGGCATGACGTACTAGCAACGCGCTGACCAAATCTTCTTTACGTGTCTTGCAGCACAGTGGGATGAATCGGGTCATGCAACGATGCTGCGCCCATCCCGTGGAGACTCGCAAGGGATGTAAAGCGTTTACACGTGGACTCCTGGGAGCAGAGACCGTGGAGAACACAGGGAGCACAGCACGAGACCACCTCGCAAACGAGAGTCTGGACGTATGAGTCGCGGGAGTTCGTGGTCCTTTACAGGCATGGAGTGGTCTTGTCAGTTCTTATGGACCCTCCACGCGGCAGGCAGTCCTGGCATCGCAAAGGAGGACACGGTGGTAAAGAGAGGACTTTGCACATCTATTGTCTAGTGCATGAAGATACAGTCTCAGTCTCCATGACTGATCGCAAGCCATGTGTCGGTGTCAGATCAAGGAGGCAACGAAGAGTATGTGCGTGTAGAGTCAGAGGGTCGGGGTGTAGTCATGCTTCATGCAATACCAAGGGAATAAGACACAACTCGCCTCTCATGGTCACGGGTGGCACCCCTGGACTCAACTCATGTCAACCTCCCCGCGTCTTCACAAGCTGAGCAAACAGGCAGCGTGCACCTGTGCCATCTTGTCGCATATGCCGAGGATCGGCCGCCCCGGAAACCGCTCTCGACTAGCTGCTACATCAGACAGAGGCTGGCGTCAGCCCATACCGTGCTGTCCTCCATTCAAGCTTGCACTCGCAGGTCAACGACCACTATTGTGATGTTGTCTTCGCGTCGATCAATGAGCTTCTGCAACTCTTCTGCCGGATCCTCTTCTTCCGTCAGGGTGTCGAGACGCCGTGCCACAGCTTCGTTTGTCACGGTTGCCCATAATCCATCGCTGGCAATCACCAGAAACTTGTGCTGCTTCGTGAGCAAGAGCTCCTTTATCTCAGGGTCTGGTATGATGCAATCATCTATGGGAATCCAAGTGTCTGTACCGAAATGGCGGTATTGCTTGAGACTTTTGTCGCCTATACATCGAGACATTGCAAGCGATCTGATTCGGTTGATGGACCTTCCGTTGATTTCATAGCTTTCAATCTCCTCATCGTTGGCTTCGATGCGCTTCCGTTCCTCGGGCACAGTCGGGTCGCAGATGATCGCCCGGCAGTCTCCAGCATTCGCCACGACGAGGCCCGGGCCGGGCCCGGGGGCCGGGCGCCGGCCGGGCTCAGTGCTTTTAAATCTTTCCTGCCTAGTGCCAGTTTGTCCTTGACTAAAAAAGCGTGAAAACCTGGGGTGAAGAATTCCTTTGTCGAGATGATGATGGGAAGAAGAAGATAGGAATCTGAAGCAAATTAGTAAGTCTTCACAAGGAAAAAAGCAGTGTGGACGTGACTGAAGCTATTCCATCCGTAGTTTATCCGATGATGAGTCTCAGTGAAGAAAGCTAACACGAATGATCTGAGCTGTTTGCCAAACGTCGCTTCTTTTTTATGATATCGTCCTCAAGCCCCCATGAAAGAAACGAGAGATAGCGCATTGGACATGCTCGTGCGGAAGCGGGGCATGACGTACTAGCAACGCGCTGACCAAATCTTCTTTACGTGTCTTGCAGCACAGTGGGATGAATCGGGTCATGCAACGATGCTGCGCCCATCCCGTGGGGACTCGCAAGGGATGTAAAGCGTTTACACGTGGACTCCTGGGAGCAGAGACCGTGGAGAACACAGGGAGCACAGCACGAGACCACCTCGCAAACGAGAGGACTTTCTTGTCTTGGTGCAATACAGGTATGACTTTCTTCGGGGCTGGTGTTGCTTTGTTCAGCTCCTTTGAGCTGTTCGACGAGAACTCGACGACGCGCACAGGAGTGATAGGGAGTAGCAGTGGAGGAATGACCCTGCGCAGCCGACTGTCAGGATCACTCAATCCTCTCTGTCCTCGGGACACTAATCACAAGCCTGCGGGAGGATGGAAAGTAGTCGAGGTAGGACTGACACGCTGACGCACATCTTCTCCTCAGCTGCGACCTTGAAGTTTTCACTAACAGGCCGCTTCATTGCTCGTATTGAATGGGGCAATTTTTGTCTCCTATGCTACATTCCAATATTTTCGTGTGCAAAGGGCGTTGAAGGCAGGCATGTTTCCTCAAAATAAGGTAAAATATTTTCCACTTATCATTGAAACAACTGATTGTTTCTTCCACAGTATGGAGTTCTTGCCGTTGTTGGCAGTACAGGGAGCATCTCGGTGCTGGCCTTATACCTCCTTGCGCACGACAGAAAGTTACCGTGAGACCCTGCTTCTATATGCTGTATGCGATGTGATGTACAACAAAGGGCACAGTTGGAAAGACAGCTCCAACATGAGCGGCAAAGACGGCTGCAGAGAGATGCCTAGTCATTTTCACGTCCCGGCTGGCAAGGCTTTGTTTGAGGAGTCGAACTACGCCGGTAGTCAGTGACTAGGCTCAGTTCCGAAGTTCGAGTCGGAGTACGACTCGGTCGGAATGTAGCATAGGTACCACGAAGCCAAAATTTCTGAGCTCTATCTCGTTGCTTGACATAGAACTATTACAACTTAGGATATCGTTCACAGTCACATGACAATGAATCATGTTTTTTGCAAGCCTTAAATTATTGATTTACAGCCAAAATGTAAGCCATCGGTTTCGTTATCATTCGCATTTCGAATGACCACCTGATGTCATCTAGTCGCATTGCTTCTTTCTTTCGCATGTTCTCGACATATGTTGTCTATGCAAACTGCCCAATCCTATCACTTGAGCTCTCTGGCCCTTCTCCCTGATTGAGCCACGACACGAAATCCTTGAGATATTTCTTGAATATTTCATTTCGGCCTTGAAACATGGAAGATTCTCACCGACTATCTAAGAAGGAATTCAGTTCCATTACACTTTTCCGGATGAATTGGTCAAAGCACTTCGTCAGTGAGATAAACTATATCTGCAAACCGTTTGCTTCATGCTCTGTTAAAATCTGCTCCTTGCAGTTTCTCTAAAGAGGTATCCCTTTGGCATGTTTTGCCAGAGTGATACAGATTCCATGCACTTTTGAAACAATTCGCCACTCCAGAAATTCGATTCGCTTTCAGATCCGCTTGATCAGCCTGAGTGTGACGAACGCCAGCTCGATCGCCATTGACACACTGTACAGTGCTCCGACTCAGTACGCCAGCGTTCAGGTCTCAGAGGTTAGGTTCCTGTTCCTGTTCCTGGTGTTCTATCGCATGTTGCCCTATCTCCAGAATCTTCAACAGGATCTGAATCGTATTCACGAATCTACAGATGAAATCCCAACTAAATGTAAGAAATGTCCTGCCCACGATCCTATCTTCTTACTGTAATTCTCTTCCGTTGACGGATGTGGCCATCCTTTCCTGAGCTAAGGTCATTTTCGTGACAACCAGTGTAAGAAGACATTTGCTGGTGCGAGCATTTCCTCATGTACAGAGAAACCAAACCTCGTCTTTTCAGCAACTCTTTGATCTTCTCAGGGGTTGGACCACGATGTTGTGGCTCTGTTTCTTATAACCTCTTGAACTCCGAAGCTGCTGACAAGCAACATGCTCTCTTCTCACACAGCCAAGTAATCAGTTGGCTCACAGAACTCCAATATTGATGTCTTCGGGTTGACCGCAAGCATCCTCTTCATTATCATCGTAATCACCACCACCACCACATCATCATCATCCACCCTATTGTGCCATGTCATCCCTGCAGGACAAATCCTGAGGGCTCGTGAAAAATACATTTCACGCATGACAGAGGGGTAGGGGTGGTTATAAGGCCACACAACCCACCATGGCATAAGACGGCAGAGCGGGGCCGTTTAAAAATAGCTAGTTAAAGAATTAGGTATTTCTGGGTGGGAGGGGGTAGTGGGTCATAGAGATGTGTATGGGCTCATAGAGCCTTTCAGGCATAGGACAGGTTCGTAGCAACTTAAGTTACCAAAATTTGATTATCAGTGATACAACCCACCAATTCCCCGACAAAACCACCGGTGCAAGGTATGGTAATATAAGCAGCAGTTTACAGGGTCTGATCTCGCGGTATCCGTGTAGTGGATGGGGGGCGAAAGGTTGATATTTTACATCGTTTGGAACTGTTTTAGAATTCTAGAACCTCCAGGTTGCGTCCCCTCAGTGTGGGTTCATCAGATCACCCCACCCTCTGCGAAATAAAGCAAATCACCAGGACCCTACATCTTGTCTATTCGATTACCCAGTACTTTGAAGATCAATATGTACCCCTACCCCCTAAACTTCAAAAATGAGTTCTATTGAAAGTGGGTCCACTTAAAAAACAGGCAGGGATGGTGGTAGGGGGTGGGGTCTTGTGACCGACTATTCAGGGTGGGGTGAGTTGCAGCCCTAGGGCGTAGGGGTGTGTGAGGAGGTATAGAGAGGTCAAGGAGATATCCCTGGCCTCCAGGGATATGCTGTGTAGTGTTCTGACGAGGTAGGTAGGGGTAGGGAGTTTGGGGGTGGTAGATCGGGCCCTCAGGGGGACTGTGAAGCCGCGGTGTGGCATGGGAGTGAGGGTTATGGAGGACAACATGGTAGGAGAGAGGGGTGGAGGAGATAGCGAAAATGATGCGTGATTGGCTCCCCTCAAATTCCGAAAGAAAACCGAGATGAGGAACGGATTTGTGCTTCATTCAACCTGACCTTTGGGGAATGGGCCGTTGATGCCTACGCTCGTGCGAGCTGCAGTGTAGCAGATTCAGAAGAACCATCATTGAATCTGCAGGTTGCATAGGAACTGTACACCTGGATCTTCTCGTCCCTTGTGAGTTTGGAAGGAAAATCAAAGGAGATTGCACTTATATTTTGGATGGCTTTTCTAGTCCCGAAGTTTGGGTGCTGTTTTGTTGTCTATCAATGACCCAGAATGATGAAACAATGGTTCAATTTCCATATTCAGCTACACAGATTTGTTTTGTTCAAAGCTGATTGATGATAGAGTATTAAAGTGTGCAGGAAGCGTTGAAGGGATCTTGGGTCGAATTCTGGAGATTTATTCGATTCAGGAACGACACTCCATTTTGAAATTCTGAGTAGGGTTGAGATATTGAAACAGAAAAAGGGTGTCAGGGGAGATAATTTCTCTTGAGTTGAATGTGCAATTCTTTGAAAGCTACCATGTAAATTACTCCCTCGATGAGGTTGGACATTTCTGAAAGAAAATAGCGTGCAAGTGTTCCACGTAGTTAACCGTTTCGTGATCAATTTTCCTGCGACCTGCCCAAGTTTTTATTCTGGGCTGAGAAAGCTAGATGGCAATGCGATTCGGAAATCTCGATGCACGTTCAGTTGTTGTTGCCCGTGCATTTTTTCATGCAGCCACCAAATTGTCAGATGATGATGAGGATATTTTGCCGCAAGAAGATGGTGCAGATCAAAAGCTTTCGGTTTATTATCTTTTTTCAGAGCTCTTTCCTGAGCATGTAGTTTCCAAGGATTGTACTGGCCTAACAGCAAAAACTGGACTCACTCGCTTACAATTCAACAAACTTGGGTACGAGATATACGTGAAAGAGCAAAGCAGGAGAGTTCCTGCTCCCAGGGCAAAACCTGGAAATCCTGGATATGGCTTTCGAAGAGCGAGATGGAGAAATGCACACGATGGAGGTGAGGATCAAGGCACGATGCAAGAAACTTTGTTAGCCATCGGGTTATCGAAAGCTAGATGCGATTACGTCCGTATGCGTGTAGACCAATTTCGAATAGCTTGGGATCAAGCTCGACGCCCCAGCAGGCCTGCAGGTCCCGGAAGGCCACGTGGTAACTCTCGAGGAGGAAGGGAGTCTGTTGATGATCCCCCATACTCGAATGGGGGATTCCAACCTTCTTTAGCTGCGCACTCTCTCGGCGGAAGGCAGATGATTGATGCTGCCGCTTGGCAGTATTCAGCAAGCTTGGCAGCATTGCGTGCTTCCATTCAACCCCAGCCATCAAGCATGGCTGGTAATGCAAGCAATGTACCTATGCTTTCGACTGCAAGCATTGGAAGCGGTTTAAACTCATTGGCTTCTGTTTTGTCGTCATCTTCCATTCCTGCTCCAAACAGTGCGGCCTCTTTCAGCTGGAATTCAGTTGTCAATTTGCAGCCGAATTTGTGGAATGTCTATAATGGACAACCTTTGTCTTTAACATCCATGGAGAGCCGTGGCCCTCTGCGACCAATACCACTGAGGGAAATGATCAGGCCATTAAATTCGTCATTCAATGGTGACAATGAGTCATCAGCAAGTGGTGGCGCTACTATGAAGCCGTCAGACTTGATTCTTCCTGCGCCTATCAACAAAGTAAAGGTTCCGCATTCTTCTTTAGACCTAGGGGAAGCGAATCCACGGAAGCGCAAGTATGATAAGTTGGATCCTGTTGATACTTCTACTAAGTTTCCCGGAACAACAGTAACTCCTCCCGTCAATTTTAAGAGCAAGGTGAAGGAATGGCATCTTATTCCAGCAGACAGCAATCAGAACGCTGCCTCCGGTCAGGATTTGGATCAAAACAAGAAGTTGAGATGTTCTCAAACAATGCCAAACTTGCAAGACTCTCCATGTTCATGCTCAAATCCTTCACCGCCAAACGTGCAACCTCTTGTTCTGAACTCAGACACATGCGAACAAGCAGGAGCCAGCAGCAGTAATAAAGCTTCGCTCACCAATCTCATCGAATGATGCGATGTGAGCCTGCAGCTATCACGGCTTTCTGCAATTTTTAAATTCAAAATCGATCGAATTCAGAGAAATGGATTCTCCTTCAGTGCCACAGTGTGGAAGCACAAAGGGCTCAATATTATTAATCGGATAGATCTCATGACCTCCTGAAGGAGGCGGTCGCTAATGACGAGGAATAAGCTGATACTTCCCCCGCGACTTGGAGATCTTGACTTGTATGCAAAATCTTGATAAATGGACTGAAGTACCCAGGCGGTCGCTTGCTTCCAGCGTTGTCGCGACTAACTAACGTGGTTAGTGGTTGCTCTTGTCAGCGTAAGAAGGCGACCTGACGCCTGTTGTGTCTGGTTGAATAGTTTTAATTGTGAAGTTGTCTCGCAGCAGTTCGCTTGCAATCTTTGATTTTCGGTTGTTGCTGAATCCGCTGTTGGAGGCCGTTTTTAATTCTAATATATCAGTTACTCTACAAAGATGTGAATAGCTTACATCCTAGTTGTCTGCTGCAGCTGCTGCTACATTATACATTTACATCTTACCTCACATCGCTCATAGACCATGACTCATTATTCCAAGTTCTGGATTGCCAGGAGCTTTTCCTTCTTCTTCATCGTTCGCTCCTGCTCTCTTCTCAGGGACAAGATGCACTTGTCAAGGTCGAACGCCTTACCAGATTAGCTATGGCAGCAAGTAGTCTATACCTCTCCTCCTCCACGTAACGTTGAAACTTCTGTCTGAAGTCGCGCTGGCTGGTTCTTAGCTCAGACCAGCACAGCACGAGCATACCTGAATGGAGAGTACGATGAGAGCCAGCAGCATGACAAACCAGGGGAACACAGGAGCTCCAACCACGTTGACAACCTGCACAGTCACCATCAGTTGAGTCACAACTTGCAAGGATCGTATAGATTTCAGCAGGCAAAGGGATAGTGCGAAGCTGAAGACTTCAGGGAGTGACAAGCGGACGAGGTGTGAAGGAGCGTCGGCAACTTACATTCTTGAAGTAAGCTCCGATGATTGCGGAGGGAGTCTGAGGTTGCCATTCATCGTTAAAACGACCAGGGAAAAGTCACCTGCCAAGCGAACAGGGCGAAGTTGCTCATAGAGAAATCCCTGCCCTCACAAGGATTGTTCGTTTCGTAGATATTGCAGGCTACCGTTCTAGACATGACACATCAGTAGATGACGATTTAGTCTGCGATCTCTCTCTACAACTCACGTTTCGTCCCCTGTCGTCGCGTCATAATTGCACGGAAGATTGTGTGTGATGTTGTAATAAAGGAGAGGGAGTTTGCAGATGGGCGCTTGAAGAAGCTCTAAGCGACACAAAGTCACACGAACTTCCCCAGCAGGGAGGCTGGTCAACCTGTAGACCCATAGACCCAGATGTAGTAGTACACGACAGTCGCCAATTCCAGAGCGAAGAACTTTGGCAGCTTCAGGAAATCTAGAAAGAGGGAAAGGAGAGGGCAAAAGGAATGGACATGAAACATAGGAGAGAGGCAGCGTCTTTCTGCATGATGGAGAGAGAAAGTGATAGGACGAAGAGCAACTGCAAAGAGGTGGCGATAAATAACCTGGCAGAGGACGTCGGTGACGCGAAGGAGGACAGGGTTGTAAGCTCCCTTTGTAGAGGCGATCCAGAAGTTGAGAATGACTTTCTGATGCAGGAAGAATTGAATGATACCCTGCCCCACCTCGTGAGAGGAGAGGAGGAGAGGAGGAGAGGAGGAGAGGAGGAGAGGAGACGGTTGATGATCATGATGATGATGAAGGGGAGGTGAGCCGAAATCTTCACCGTGACAATGCGGAGAGCAGAGATAGCAGGCATGAAAGGCAAACACATGAGAAAGAGAGCCTGAGAGCTGACGATGTCCATCAGCCAGGAGCCCATCTCGAACTCTTGAAACGCTCGTGAGATACAAGTGTCGGCTGCCAGCAGCACAAGGCAAACCTGGTCGACCTGTCGCTCCTTGATCCTTCCTGAGAAGAATGACCATGAGAAGCAGGAGATGACAGTGAAATGGACAGTCAGGGAGGAGCTGAGTTACGAATACTCACTTCTCTGGCGGAGAGATTCTCCGAAAGACACCAACGATTAAAGGGATGAGGACCACCTGCCGTCTTGCCAGTCAGCAAACGATCGAGTCATGACCAAGGTGCGAGACCGCAAGGTTGGACATGATCCAATCCATCGACCAGAACAGAAGGAAGTTGACACCGACCCCGTCCTAACGTTAACAGCGTCATATCAGGCAGAATGAGGTTGAAGGGGGGGGGGGGAGAAGGGAATCTGGAGGGAAAGGACCTCGCAGAAGCAGACGTCAGGCATGCGGTCGAGTCTGAGCACGCGCGAGGGGTCCATGATACTCTTGTACTGCTTGCGGAGGATGATGACGATGTTGACGAACCTGCCGTAGAGGGAGAGGAAGAGAAGTGCGACCGTCCGTTGACTCTTCTTGTAATGCCCGAAGCTCACGACCATTCGGGTAGAGACGGGGACTATGAAATGGTTGTAAAAGCTTGAGAGCCCAGGAGGGATGAGCCGCTCCCAGCCGAAGGGATAGAGGAGCATTTCTTGCGGGAAGAAGAGCTCTATCATGACCCATACTCCCACGGTGATGCAAGAGATCAGCAGAAAGCCGCCGATGCGGTGCAGCATGAGAGTGCTCTTGTCCATGAACTCAGCCAGATTCCCATCTTCCGCAGTGATCTTCTCCTGCGGCACAAGATAAGCTACAGGGGGAGCACCAAAGTTGAGGAAGAGGAGGCAGCAGGTAGAGGTGGATTCGATTGAAGGTTTGTCGAGCAATAGGGAGTTTGAACAACACTCACCTCTTTTTGCTGTGCAAGGAACAAACGCAACGACGACTGGGTCTCCATCGCAAACGAGAATTGTTGAGCCTTCGTTAAGACTTTGAAGTTCAATCCGCTGAAGACCACGCTGGAGTATTTGTAGGGATGCTGATCTGACTGACTGACCTGTGTCTTGAAGTACTCCACCATGTCGCCATACAGCCTGTTCAAGATAGCAGCAGCGATAATAGCGTAGACGGCAGCGAAGAGAATGCAGAAGAGCAGTGAGAGATTGGTCCCGTGCAGCTCATGGGGAATGAAGGAGTAGAGGAAGTACTTGGGGATTATTACTGTTCCACTTCCACCTAAGGGCCAGATGGAGCTGAATGCTGTCCATGTGAGAATCTGTTAAAGGAAAATGTGAGAGAACAACCGAACGCAATGCCATGGCGGACAGGTGAGATCTGAAAGCTGCCAGAAGGACATGAAACTTGTGAAGAGACCAAAACAATCGAATGACAATATCAAGCATCAATACTTCATAACAGAAGTATCATATCAAGCATCATCATTCCATTTCAAGTATCAATATTTCATCTCATGCCTGGGGGATCGCAACCAACACCGTGAGATACGTGGACAAGTTCAGCCAACGGAGAGACTCGAAGTAGACGACTGTGCGAGGGGACAGCCTTTTCAGCTGATTGATCGCGAATCTGTAGGGATCGAGGAAAGCAAAATAAATCATCACTGTCTCTTTCGCACGCTGAAATTCCAACTTAGCCCGCTTCCGCCAGGGAACCGCCGGTATCCACATCATATCCTGCTCGACTTCAAACTCTTCAACCTGCTGCAGCCCCAGGTCCAGCTGTTTTCTCCTCCTCATGGTTCTCTGACGGACTCTTTCCTCTTCCTTGGCCCTTGCACGTCTCACTTCCTCGGATAGCCCATCGGGGCCTGCTTCGTTCACCTCCCCCGTTGTTCCAACATCCTTTGCTTGCTTTGCGAGCTCAGGGAACTTCTTGAGCATCTTCTTCTGTTTCTTGTCAAGTTCTTCGATGTCTCTTTGCCATGTTGAGATGTCTTGCTCTAATCGCTTGTTCTCAACCTTGAGCTTCGGCAAATTAATTTGCGCCTTGTTTAGCGTCTCACTGGCCGATTTCAACTTTTCGACAGCCTCTTTCTTCCTTTGTTCGTAATCGATGTCCTCCCAGAGTTCTTCTGTGGTGAATCGAACATTTCCTCCATCTTCTTCGTTATCATCGTCATGATAGTCGGCAGCCGTTGGTTGCACGAACGTAAGAGCTGCATTCTCCTCGATCTCGCGAAGAAACTCCAACTCTAATGAATCTAATCCATCAATGTCTTCTACGTCTCCTCCTACTCCTGCTATACTAGCCTTTGTCCCACCAAACTTCGCCTTGATAACTTTCTTTTGCTTCATGGCCTTTCCTGCCATGCTCGCTGCTTGCGCTTTCATCTCCAATGCTTCAAAGATATCGACTCCTTGCTCCTCCTTCTGAGAAGCCTGATAGCCTTGATCCCATACGGCAGAGAGAAATGTGGAGGAGACTTCTCCTTCTCCTTCTTCGTCGTCTCCCCCTCCTGATAAGACTGGACCACTCAAGTCAAGGATCCTCCTCCTCCTCCTCCCCGTCCTCGTTCCCGAGCTCTCCGATGCCATCTACTCCCGAAAACCGACCACAGTTTGACATCATCCCCCTCATTCTCAGTTACCGGGTCCGGGCTGGTCCGGGCAGTCCGGGGCAGCAGCCGGGGCAGGTCCGGGGCTGGTCCGGGGCCACCTGCGGGGCCACTGCCGGGGGCCACTCCGAGGGTGCGGCGGAGCAGGTCCGGGCCAGGGCCCCTTGAGGGTGTCCGGGCGTAGTCTGCGGGGGGCCGCAGGTGTACGGGCAGGTGAGTCTGATAGCAATACGGTGACCGCCCGGCCGTCGGACTCGGAGGCGCTGGCGATCCACAACACCGTACTAGGCCGGCAGGGCCTGAGCCTCCGGCGGAGACTTTGCTGACCGTACTCGGAGGCTCTCGGAGCGGCGGTCACCCGCCAGGAACATCATTGTCGGACGGACTCCAGACATTTGCAAATCGACTTTTGTATCTCTAGTAAACATAAATTACTTGCTGCAGAACTGGAAACGAGGAAGTCGGCTGGTCGAAAGCGACTGGAGGGTGGCAGACCTCTTGCGAGAATGCTCCGTGCTTGAGCGCCTGTTTGCGAGAGAGCAATCAGAACGAAAGAGCACCGTTTTTCTACTTCGAGAGCATTCGCACCGGATTCGCCTGTCAAGACGATTGAAGTAAGAGTCGATGTCCTTGCGCGCTTGAGAGCCCGACATACTCCTTCAAAACTGAATCAGCTTGAAAGAAGACGGTCAAAATGTTCAACCTCGTCTTCGCAGCACGACTGGCTAGCTGGTGAACGGGAAAGTAATCCTTCAACCTCAAGGGATCACAAGCTTCAGGCTGAGGTCCCAGGTAAGCCTTGCATATGTATTCCTTCAAACTGCTCTCGTAATCAGTGAACAAAGGAAAACAGATCCAGATCCGACCTGTACGCATCTTCTTTCAGCGGGGCACCATCCACTACCACCCAGGGAGCATACTCCAACTTGGGCTGAGAGGATTGATTAGCCTTGCAATTATAGAAAGTATTGTCTACCTTCAAATCTTGAGTCTCCTGGATAGCAGCTCTGAGCATAGAAGTGCCTTGATCGCTGTAATGGAGCGGTCAAACTCACAGCCTGAAAGTGATTCATGCTTGACCTGTCAGAGCATTGGTTGATGGCTTGCACGTCAATTTCGTGTTTTTTCATGCAGATTTCAGCATTGTTACGAATCATTTCCGTGGCTGTAATGTTGGACAAGAAATTGAAAGGAGAGTCAATCACGGATGCGTGCTCTTCGATGCAGGACATCGTCGGCATAAAGAGAGCAGTATTTCCGTACTGTTCGAATCAACCCTCATCAGGGGAGGATGATGGAAGTTCATCTAGTCTACCTGCTTCTCCAGGCATGCAAGGATCTTGTTGCCTTCACATTCTGCCTCTCCATGCTGACATTCAATGGATTCCTCTTGAGTGACTTCGTCGTCCTTGATCTCTGCGTTCCCAGCCGGAATGACCCTCAAGTCAATGATGTCCGCCATGCCAGGCTCTTGCAGCACTGCAACATAGATCAGATTTGGAAACCTTGATATGGAGGTTCCAGAGACCTGGTGAGAGAACATGAGTTGTGAAAAACTGGCACCCTGGACAAGCAGCTTCCATGTACAGTTCAACCTTCACTCTCTTGGCATCTTTTGCACTCATAGTTGGTTTGTTCAATGCCACATCAGCAGCCTGCACCAACAGTTTAAAACCAAACATGGCTGATGTTGAATAAGTACGTCGCTTATATGCTGCGCAATTTGTTCTCCTATGATTGGAATGCTGCGGATCATGTCCATAGACGAAGAATCTGATTCGATCCGAGTCAGCTCTTGGGTACATGACAATGACTCAAGCAGTGGAACCTTCGCTTGTGCTTTCCTTCTCTTCGTGAGGAGTCACGGGGGGAGAAGACTTCGTTAATCCTCCTTCAGTGTTGGAGACAAGGACCGATCGGCTTTCGTAAACTGACGATCTTGAGTGAGAACGCACAGACTAACCAACGATAGGAGAATACCAAACATATAATGCTCAGACAATAGCAAAACCGCTACCGCGCATAGAAGGATCATCGACCCCACTTGCGGGCTCAGCCATGCGCTGCGAGCATATCTCGGATGCGAGCTGCCCACAGTAGTCAGCTCAAATTTGCTCAACAATGTTGTAAACCGTTGAGAAGAAGCCTGAGGAGACATCATAGCTTCTTGTGGATTGTGACAGGAAACGGTAAAACCTTATAAGTACTTAACAAGCCTCCTGGGCAAAGAGTTAGTGAAAAGACGCTGAGCAAAAGCACGCTAATGAAGATAAACGTGATTGTGTTGCAAGAAACAGAAAGGCGACACGTTGAGGATAAATTATGATTGAATGGTGCTCACGAATCACAAACTTCAGCAGTATGATCCAGAAACATTCTCAGAGACTTTCAAGAAGCAGCAAGGCTCTTGGAGCAGCAAGGTTCTTGTGGGAAAGAAGCATTGAAGCGAAAAGAAGGTGACATTTAAAAGGAGAGAGAGGAGGAGGAGCAGGAGGAGGAGGAGGAGGAGCATTGAACCATCGCATCCAGCGTGATCACAAGCTGCTACCTGTTGGCGTCCACAATTGGCCATGCCCTGAAGAGTCGCTGTCAATCACGGCCTATGAAATACAAATTTAAATTAGCTATTTTTGTATTTTGATGCTTTGTTTTAATCTATTAGCTCTCTCACTTTTCCCCCCGGAATTGCCATGTAACCGTCGGGTGCCTATGTAACTGCTCTGTTCAGAAATAGAACCATGGGGATACCGGTATCGCACAAGGCTACTTGAGGAGGAGCGGCAGAGGAGAAGAGTATGGGAGACAAGTGTCGATAAGTGTTTGCTAACAAGTCTGGAAGAAACCTCGGGTGTTCGAGCTTCGGTGCTCAAGAGAAATGGAGGTTGGACAAGGAAGAAGATCAACTCGGGTTGGGCTGACTGTTGGGGCGTCCGGAGCTCTAGTGCTGCTAGTTCTTATAATGTCTAACTATCAAGGTCGAGATGATCGAAATTTAAAAGTGAACAAAGACATCGATGAGCTTTTGGCCATCAATTCGTACCCGAACTATGGAAATTACCTGAGCAAGGATTCAACCGCCTTGAGTTATGATTCAAGCGCAAGCAGCCAAGATAAGTTCAAGACATTGCATGCCCTTGCTCAGGCAGCAAAAGAAGAGCACAGGCTTCATGTGCAATCGTCAATGTCCCCTGATCAGAAGGTAACTTGTGGTATTGGAATTGTTCCTTTGTAACTGTTGTGTGCAGATAAGTTCAATAAGCAACCCAATATCTCTATTGAAGAATCTCGCAAAGGCCCATGACTCTTCAACCAATACAAAGAAGTTGAAGCAAGCCAGTGACACTATCAAACAAGTCATGGAGCAATCCTTGAAGGACGAAGATTTGCGACGGAAGGTACTGAGCGAGGCAGATTCTGTAAACAAGAAAGATGGCAGTAGCTGGAATTCTTTGCTTGCAAACCAGGTGACCCTTGTATGTCATATATTCTGCTTGTTTGAATATCCTGAAAAGATTGGGCCTCATTCTCTTGCTATGGCATCTGATTGGCTTTCAACGGAACTTGCTACGAGCAAATCCAAAAAGAAAGGCGCAACTTTCGCCCGCGCGCAACTTGCTGCCGCCTTGTCTCAGGTGCTCTCTTGCCCTCACAGTTGCGGAGAGCATGTGAGAAGCTCACTGCTGCATTGCAGGTGGGGGGAAAATTCTCACGGCCTGTTTGGAGTTCTCAGGGGGAAGTCAGCAGTTCGAGATCATCGTCTTTGGTTGCCTTCGAATCTGCTGTGGCAAAGCATGTTATGAGCAATGCGTTGTCAAGCCATCAAGAATCGGATCCTTATGGTGGAGCAAGTGACGATTCCTATTCATCGTCACAACAGTCGAAGAATTCCGGCGTTGCGCCAGGACTCAGTTCTTATGACGCGCAAATCTTAGCCAACGGGCCTCCGTCATGAGTACGTCGTGAAAATATTTTCAAAGTTTGTGGTGTTTTTTCGTGTTCTCGACGTATTTGTGGAGATTTTTACGTGATCTCGACGATTTTTTCATGTTTCTCTTGGGAAAACCAGTTCATGTTTCAGTGTATGTAAAGCAGAAGAGAAAAAAATATACATTATCAAAACAGATCGATAAAACGCATATACGGTTCTGCTAGAACTGAATCTTAATGGATGGCTTGTGCAGAATACCGTTGTCAAAGGATGCATGCCGCGTTACAACTTTCCTATCTCCACCATTCTGATCTGGCAACAGCCAGATCAGATGTCAAGGTTCAACGGTTTGTCCATGAAGCACATTGATCGTACTACTCGTCATTCTCTTTGCGATGGCCTTTGAAATTTCTTGTCCGATCAATCTCATAGTTGGTCAAGTAAAGGGCTTGATTACGATTCAATCACTTGGATCACCTCCGTTCTCTTCAGCGACTGTCCCCTTGAAACTCAACAGCCCTTCCCCTCCCCCCCCCTTCCCCCTCCCGCTCTCTCCCTCTCCCTCTCCCTCCCCCTCTCCCTCTCCCTCTTGTCCTTCTTCAGGCCTGCCTGCCTCCCTCTTTCCTGCCGCCTAGTCTTGTTCTTGTCTCCTGAGCAGAGACGTCTTCCCAATCGCGCGAAAACTACACAAATTGACTGGTCAAAACGCAACGGTCAAATTGGTCAAACCTTGAGAAAGGCAGGGAGGAGAATGGGGGAAGATATACAACAAGCACAGGCTTCGACCTTGATGATGATAAGAGACAAGTCAGAAGTGATCTAGTAGATCCCTGTTTCCTCCATGACCGCTGAAGGCGAGCTTCTACGATATGGCGAAGGGACGCGGACGAGGAATTCAGCGTGGAGGAGAGGAACAAGAATAGTCAGGTCACTGACTGAGGGAGGAGGCTCTGTGGAGACACCCCTTCGTGCCCAGGGAGAAGGAAGAGCGCTTCTTGGTTTGAATGGCGAACGTGACCCAATCAAGAAAGATCGCAGTTGTGATGAAGAAGACGAACTTGACGTTGGTTATGTTGTTGGCAACAAGGCAGTCACTGAAGAGCCTCCAAAGAATGAGAAGATCAATGACCATGATCGCAAAAATTTTACGGAAAAACAAGATGAAAAATCGACAAGAATACAACCTGATGCCGTCAAGGAAGTCTTGACTGCTGTCAAGCTTCCAACCAAACACCACGAGGAGACAGCACGAAACAAAGTTTGCAGAGTAATCGAGAAAGATTATACAAAACAAAGCGAGAAAACTGTGTCTACATATGGAGCAAACTATAAAGGGCTTAACGAAACAGAGATGAACGACTTGAGAACTGCTTTCAGGTTGCCAAAGTTCAGCCTGGAGGAGATAGCAGTTGCAGATAGCAATTGCACAAGTAGAGATGTTATGCTTGAAGTTTGAATATTAATGTAGATTTCAGGCTTGCAACCTGTCGTGAAAGAACGTCAAGACGAGAATGAGAAATCATCTCTCATTGAGCAGGTTGGAATGATGCTTTGACTCCTGCGTTTGTTGACTTGATCCTCAGCTTGAAAGATTGTGCGTTCTACACACGGATGGCAAATTGTCAGTCTTTGAATTTTCAGCGGCAAAGAAGATTTTATTGCATGCATTTTCCAAGTCGAGAGAATCTGCAAAAGTTTCGCAGGGTTTGTTGAACTCGAAGTTGTCGAGCAGCAGAGAATTGGAGGCATCAACGATCCACGTGGAGAAGAAGTTAAGACAGGGAAGCACCGGGAAAGAGAAGCCAACCATGGGAGAGAAAGCATCAGCAGTGGCGGAAGGAAAAGGAGACATCAAAGATCTCGACAGCAAGCGTGAACTCCGTTCGGTCCCAATATTCGACGTCAACGCAGCAACTAGAGCAGCGAAATGGCTCAAGGAGGAACAAGCAAAATTCCACCTGGTCACCCATGTCTATGGAAGGAACTACGACATGCGTCACAAGCTGCATCCCTTCCGTCACTACGACGTGTCAAACTATCCTGCCCAGCCCTCCTGGTCTTTCCCTGGCAGGCAGCAGCCGAGCTGGATCCTCCTCCCCAACTGCGAGACGCCTGGCCCGGGGCACTACGTGATCTCAGTAAGCGGAACGACTAGTCGCTCCACGAGTTTCGGCAAGGGGGGACAAAGACTCTCGCCCAGCAGGTGCTGTGCTTGTAAGAGGAGGAGAGCCACTGACTGTTGTCCTTGTCATGGTACAGGCACCACGAGTACGAGCAGGCGAACATGCCGGGGCCAGGTCAGTATGACGTAGAGGGCAACTGGGGTCAGGACGGCTTCACGTTTGGGAGAAGCGTCATGCGACCAGCGTCAGTGGAGGAGGCTGAGGGCTTCCCGGGTCCAGGAGAGTACGACCCATGGAAGGAGGAGAAGGAGCGTGGCCGCGGTGTGTCCTTCGGGAAGGAGGTGCAGCGGCCGGATGAGTGGGAGGTGACTGTAGCAAAGGATCTTCCGGGTCCTCAAGAGTATGTGACGACGATAAGATGGGGGAAAGAAAAAGGAGGAGGAAGCATCAGCTCTTCAGAGCGATTCCCTAAGCCGACCAGGCAAGAGGAAGAAAAAGCTTCCTTCCCCGGGCCTGCAGATTATGACTGCTTTCGGGGGGAGGAGGGGAAAGGTCCCTCCTTCTCCAGACAAGAGAGGCTGCCATGGACAGAGGAGCAGAAGGCGTGGCTTAGCGTCCCGAGCTCCACAGCTTACAATACAGCGAGAGAGTGGAGGAGCAAGAGCCCCTCCTTCCCGCGTGAAGCGAGAGACTTGGAGAGCAAGGTGCTGCTCGGAGAGAATAGATCCTTCCCTGGTCCTGGCGCTTACCTCCTCCTGTCCTCCTCTCCAACCTCTCCAGGCATTTCTTTCGGTCAGGAGGAGCAGAGAAGAATGAGCATGTGGGAACGAGAGCAGCAGCAGGTGCCTGGGCCAGGTACTTACGATCCGCAGGAAGACAACGGCATAAGTATCAGTTTTCCGAAGGAAGCAAAGAAGAACAGGTGGCTGGAGGGGACAGCAATGGAGCTGTCGCCTGGTCCAGGACACTACTCGTCTCCTCCTCCAGCAGGAAACGGAGGGCTCAGCTTCGGCAAGGAGGAGCAGAGAATGCTGAGTGGGCAGGAAAGGTACTGGAGAACCACCCCAGGAGTTGGAGCTTACGATGAGGGGTTTTCCCTCCTGCCTCAGCCCCCTTGTGCTGTGATAGGCAACGAAGTTCGTCAGCTAGTCTTCATGAGTCCCTCGAAAATGCGCAGACAGCGAGCAACAGCTCTCTGCTGCCTCTGCAGCCTGGAGCAGCGTCCAGAGATGCTGCAGCTGTGTCCGATCCACAGGACATGGTCGAGGAAGCACCAGGAGATTGTGATGGAAAAAGAAGCGCAGAAAAGCTATGGAGGTTTTGATGGTGGAGGAGCAGGAGCAGGAGCAGGAGCAGGAGCAGGAGCAGGAGTAAGATCTGTTGCAACGGGTGATAGGTCGACCACAAAACTCGTCAAACCGAGAGGCACAATCTTTCGCTAGTCTGTATTGCCCACTCATCGGTATAGCAGATGGAAGCAGGGAAGTGAAATTTGCAAGAACACTCGACACAGAACAGGATTTCATAGCGATGGTAAGAAAAGTGATCTCTATCATTGAATGTATTGACATACAACATATTTTCAGAAACATCTCAACAGTACAGAAACCCCAAACAACATCACTTACAAAACTGATCATCCTGAAGATTTTCCAAGTACCAGGCCGAGAAATAAGAAATTCACAGCTTTTGTTGACAATTGGCGAAGGACAAAATATCAAGTATAGAAAAAACTCTTGAAATTTGAATTCTCCAATATATTGAGAAACAAAATATGATAACTAAGCATACACAAGAGATCACACAATAAGAGCCTTACAACTTGATGAAGGACCAGAATCCACCCTCCTTTTTCTGCTCCTTTGCAGCAGCAGCAGGTTTGGCAGGCTCCTCCTCCTTCTTTGCCTCAGGCTCATTCTCCTTCTCCTCAGTCTGAATCGAAGCCTTGACCTCCTCCTTGGACTCAGCCACAACTTCCACCTCCTGCTCAGAGAGGGTGCTGGCTGGTTCCTGCAGCTCGTTTACTTCCCTGTCACCTTGACGTCAATTATCAGCGGAATTATAGGAAAGGGGTGTTCTTACTGCCAATGAGGAGCTTCTTGATCTCCTGCAACTCCTCGAGAGCGCTCTTGAGGGTGCTCTCAGTCTCCTTGCGTCTCATCATCTCGACCTCAAGCTGTGCAAGACGATCAGATCAAGACAGAGAACAAGTGATGGTTGTAACCTTGGAGAAGAGGGACTTGAGGCGGAAGTCCTCGGGGGGGGGCTCAACTCCAGCAGGCTGGCGGTTGTACATGCGGCGAAGTCTCCAGGTGCTTGGGCGCTTCTTGTAGGGCTCGTCCTTGTCGGCGTAGGCCTCCTTGGCAGCCTGATGAACGTGTAAGAATATCAATAAGGCCAAGAGAGTAACCACCTTCTGATCGTAGAGCTCGTAGATGTTCCTGACCTCAGGAGACATGCTGGTCTGCACAGGCAAATGAACAATTGTAATGTGCAAGAACATGTCAAATACCTCGGGGTCGAAGTTGAGGTTGTTGAGCTCGCCAGTGGCGGGGTCGACAGTGAAGCCGAAGATGCGGGGCTTGGGGAAGCCAGTGCGAAGGTTGGTGTAAGTCCTCCTCCTCTGGACAACAGCCTCCTTGTAGACGTTGTTGCACCTGCAACTCAGTCAGCCGATCATAAACCACACAGAAGAAACTTACTGCTCCAAAACGTTGAGCTCGATCAAGCGGCGCTCGCGGGCCTTGGGGTCGGAGATGCTGTCCAACTCAGCCTTGTGGAGGCGCTGGACATCGCGGACCTGGCGAACCCAGTTCTCAAGCGGAGCAAGATGGTCGTTCATGGACATGGAAGCCTTGACTCCACCGCACTCGAAGTGACCAGCAACAATGATGTTCTCGATCTCGAGGTACTCGATTGCGAACTGAAGGATGGCCATCAAGGACATGTCAGTGTTGACGACCTGGTTGGCAACGTTGCGGTGAACTACAATCTCGCCAGGCTCAAGTCCGAGAATCTCGTTGGCTGGGATACGAGCATCACTGCATCCGATCCACAAGAACTTGGGGCTCTGTCCCTTGGCCATCTTGCTGAAGTAATCCTTGTCCTGCTTCAACATGCTCTCCCTGAAGACACGGTTGCCCTCCATCAAGTGATCGATGTTCTTCTTCTCGATCATGGAGGCAAGCTTCTCGCCGTCGAAGTCAGCCATGCGAACATTCACGGCAGCAGAGCGCGATCCCCTGAGAGTGGGGACACGGGCGATGGTGAAGCCCTGTGCAGAGGCAGCAAGGGCTGCAAGAACGAGTGCTCGTCTGAGGAACATCTTAGGAAAGGGGTACTCGAGGTAGGACCGAGGAGAGCAGCAACCGCAGCTTCCGCTAGCGCTGGAGCAGATGGAAGCGCAATGGGGGCGGTGGGATTAAAAACTGTCGCCCCCCTTCTTGGGGTAGGGGTGCTTGTCAGCGGAAAGGGGTGGTGGGGTATAGATCATGTTTGGAACCAAGTAAAGGGGTCCCTGCTCCATGTCTGATCTTTTGAGGGTGGGGTCATAGAAGAGGGGTTATTGAGTCTAGGAAGGGGTACCCATAATTGCCTGAATATGAGGTAGGGTGGTGATGCAAAGGGGGTGATGCTTGAGGGGTACTTTGATGATGTCGAATAGGGGTAGTGGGCTGTAAGGGGACAGACATCGAGGCGATCTGAGAGGGTGGTAAGGGGGGTGGTGGGTGATCATTTCCAGGAAATGGAAGGGTGAGCTAAGCTGTAAGGACGGGTAGCTCTGTAAAATGAAGGGGTGATGCAGCTACCCCTTGCTTTTCCTTTCGAAGAAGAGGGGAATGGGGGTAGGGATATATGTATAGATGATTTATCTTTGCTGATGGTACTTTTCTATGGGAAACATGGGGGTCTCTCCCACCACCGGTCCCCTTTTACAGCGATCATCGGGAGTAGGATGACTCAGAGGGGTGGACGAGGGGTAACTCATAAGCGGCTGTAAAACAAGTGGAGCTGATGAGAGTTTACAGAGCCCGACTGAGATCATACGGGAATGCGACCCGGACTCCGGCAAAGAAAAGGCCTCGTAACTGTTTTAACAGGAAGATGAAACCGTCACAGTGAAAAACGGTTAACCGTTCACTAGACCGGCGGCCCATTGACCGGACTCGGTCAGTCCCGGCCGGCCTGGGGCCCTGCCGGGACTCTCACTCCGGCCGGCGGCAGCGGCCGGCGGCGGGCGCCGTGACCGTCGGACGTGCTGCGGATGCCCGCGACCGTACGGTACCACCCGGTGACCCGGTGACCCGGCACGGTCGGCGGGCCGCGCGCAGCACCGTGACGGTGACCGGCCCGGGCGACGGTCCGGCCGCGGCGGCCGGGGCCCGGCGGGCCGCGGACCGTACCGTGGCGGCGGCCTGGATTGCTGGCAGGCCCGGCCCCCCGCCGTGACTACTGAGGCTAGACTCGTGACTCGGAGGCTCGTGACGCCGGGTCACCGGGCGAGTAAAGGCTCAGCGCTGGCGGGCCGAACTTCTGCCGCGTACATGACAGTGATCTCGGGCCCCGGACTCGAAAGTCACCGTTACTCATCCCGGCAGCGCCTTGAGCGGCGGCGGCGTCCGATCAGTGCGACTCTCAGGGCCCGGCCTTTCCGACCTGGCCTACATCATCATGCGGCCGCAGCCATTACACACCGTCACGCGTGATTCTCCCTCTGTCCACTGACTCGGATGTGGCGCACGCCACTTGTTGCCCGGCCCGCAGCCTGCAGCACAGCGAGCCTCTGCTTCCCCGACCGTACCTACCATCATCAGATTTGCTGACTCGGATTCTTTGCCAACAGTGTGGTCTTTGAAGACAAATCTCCATCCGATCGCCTTGCTCGGCATCCGATCTCAGTGGCCCCGTGACTGCGGCGTCAGGACCGTCCGCGGCGGGCAGCGGCAGCCCGGCCCGGGCCGGCCCCCCGACTAGGCTAGACTCGTGACGCCGGGTCACCGGGTGAGTAAAGCGGCTCAGTGCTCGAACTTCTGCCGTACCATCTCGGCGGCCCCGGACTCGAAAGTCAAGTTTACTCATCCTTGAGCGGCGGCGTCAGTGCGACTCTCCTGATCGTCCTGGTACTGATCTTTAACTTAACTTTGAGTAAAGATATTTTTCCTCTCCGCGGCCAATCCTACCTGGCCTACATCATTTAACTTAACTTTGAGTAAAGAAATTCATGCCATTACACACAATTCTCCCTCTGTCCATGTGGCGCACGCCACTTGTTGCCCGCAGCCTGCAGCACCGCGAGCCTCTGCTTCCCCGACCTGATTTGCTGATTCGACGGTACCAACATGGACACTGTGGCAGCGAGTCAAATAAGATGAGTTGTCCTTTGTCTTTGAAGACAAATCTCCATCGCCTTGCTCGGCATCTGGACTGCAGCGTCAGGACGCATGTGCGGACGGTGAGACTTTGTTCTGACAAGAGAGAGTCGCAGGAAAGAAGCGTCTCTAAGAAAGCCTGCAGTGACTCAGGCAAAGGCAGGCCACTGCCTCGCTTTTGGATTTATGAAGCTCAAGGCGACAGGCCTCGCATGGAGGATACGCATGTGGCGCAGCTTAGCTTCCACAAAGACAAACACGTGTTCGGGGTTTTCGACGGACATGCTGGTGATTGCGCTGCCAAGCTGCTGAGCACTGAGATCGTAGGGATACTGAGGGACCAGATCATGCAGAGGTCGGGCCCTCAAGACAGCGCATTGGGGGCCAGCCTGACCAGCAGCTTCCTTGAGGCCGAGAAGAGAGCGCTAGCACAGCCTTGGGACGATGGCAGCTCAGCAATCCTGGCAGTGATCGATGGAGATCGTCTCTTCGTGGCGAATGCTGGAGACTGCCGGGCGATCATCTGCGGTGAGGGAGAGCCCATGCCGATGAGCACTGATCACGACCCGACTGTGCCCGAGGAACGGAAGCGCATCGAAGCCAACAACAAGCGCATTGAAAGCTATGAAATCAACGGAAGGTCCATCAACCGAATCAGATCGCTCGCAATGTCTCGATGTATAGGCGACAAAAGTCTCAAGCAATACCACGATTACGATACAGACACTTGGATACCCATAGATGATTGCATCATACCAGACCCTGAGATAAAGGAGCTCTTGCTCACGAAGCAGCACAAGTATCTGGTGATTGCCAGCGATGGATTATGGGCAACCGTGACAAACGAAGCTGTGGCACGGCGTCTCGACACCCTGACGGAAGAAGAGGATCCGGCAGAAGAGTTGCAGAAGCTCATTGATCGACGCGAAGACAACATCACAATAGTGGTCGTTGACCTGCGAGTGCATGCTTGAACGGCATATGCGACAAGATGGCACGGGTGCACGCTGCCTGTTTGCTCAGCTTTTGAAGACGCGGGGAGGTTGACATGAGTTGAGTCCAGGGGTGCCACCCGTGACCTTGAGAGGCGAGTTGTGTCTTATTCCCTTGGTATTGCATGAAGCATGACTACACCCCGACCCTCTGACTCTACTCGCACATACTCTTCGTTGCCTCCTTGATCTGACACCGACACATGGCTTGCGATCAGTCATGGAGACTGAGACTGTATCTTCATGCACTAGACAATAGATGTGCAAAGTCCTCTCTTTGCCACCGTGTCCTCCTTTGCGATGCCAGGACTGCCTGCTGCGTGGAGGGTCCATAAGCACTGACAAGACCACTCCATGCCTGTAAAGGACCACGAACTCCCGCGACTCATACGTCCAGACTCTCGTTTGCGAGGTGGTCTCGTGCTGTGCTCCCTGTGTTCTCCACGGTCTCTGCTCCCAGGAGTCCACGTGTAAACGCTTTACATCCCTTGCGAGTCCCCACGGGATGGGCGCAGCATCGTAACATGACCTGATTCCTCCCAGCGTGCTGCAAGACGCCCGATAAAGAAGATTTGGTCAGCGCTTTGCTACGGTACCGTACTATTATTAGGTCGGGTACTTTTCCGAGCACTTTAACTGGGGTGGGGTGGCAGAATTTGTTGGGATGACTCAGTGACTCGGCAATGGCGATCCCGCGACCGTGAAACTGTTTCGAGGATGAACAACTCAAGGCAATCAAAATCTGTAGAGCTCAGTGCATGCTTTGTTGAATTGCCTCAAGGAATCTTTCTTGTTCAAATGACTTATCAACTTAGACAAGTAGCAGGCCCTGCGGCCAGGCCGCTCAGTGCCAGGCCGTTACGGGCCGCCGCTGCTCAGACTCTGAGTCTGAGCTGACCGCGCCCTCGACCCTGGCCCCTGGGCCTTTCCGGGCCCGCCTTCCCTGCCGAAACTTTTAGCCGACTAGGCTAGACGCCCACCTTGAGTAAACTTGAACTTCTGCCGTACCATCCCGGGCCCCGGACTCGAAAGTCAAGTTTACTCATCCTTGAGCGGCGGCGTCAGTGCGACTCTCCTGATCGTCCTGGTACTGATCTTTAACTTAACTTTGAGTAAAGATATTTTTCCTCTCCGCGGCCAATCCTACCTGAGGAACAGCGGCGCGGCTACCGTAGGTACCGTAGCATCATGCCATTACACCAGATTCTCCCTCTGTCGCGCACGCCACTTGTTGCCGGCAGTGCCTGCAGCACTGCGAGTCTCTGTTACCGGGTCTTGCCACTGCTCCTCATTGTCTGCTGGCACTCAGTGTCAGCTTATCCCCGACCTGATTTGCTGATTCGACGGTACCAACATGGACACTGTGGCAGCGAGTCAAATAAGATGAGTTGTCCTTTGTCTTTGAAGACAAATCTCCATCGCCTTGCTCGGCATCTGGACTGCAGCGTCAGGACGCATGTGCGGACGGTGAGACTTTGTTCTGACAAGAGAGAGTCGCAGGAAAGAAGCGTCTCTAAGAAAGCCTGCAGTGACTCAGGCAAAGGCAGGCCACTGCCTCGCTTTTGGATTTATGAAGCTCAAGGCGACAGGCCTCGCATGGAGGATACGCATGTGGCGCAGCTTAGCTTCCACAAAGACAAACACGTGTTCGGGGTTTTCGACGGACATGCTGGTGATTGCGCTGCCAAGCTGCTGAGCACTGAGATCGTAGGGATACTGAGGGACCAGATCATGCAGAGGTCGGGCCCTCAAGACAGCGCATTGGGGGCCAGCCTGACCAGCAGCTTCCTTGAGGCCGAGAAGAGAGCGCTAGCACAGCCTTGGGACGATGGCAGCTCAGCAATCCTGGCAGTGATCGATGGAGATCGTCTCTTCGTGGCGAATGCTGGAGACTGCCGGGCGATCATCTGCGGTGAGGGAGAGCCCATGCCGATGAGCACTGATCACGACCCGACTGTGCCCGAGGAACGGAAGCGCATCGAAGCCAACGATGAGGAGATTGAAAGCTATGAAATCAACGGAAGGTCCATCAACCGAATCAGAGAGCTTGCAATGTCTCGATGTATAGGCGACAAAAGTCTCAAGCAATACCACGATTACGATACAGACACTTGGATACCCATAGATGATTGCATCATACCAGACCCTGAGATAAAGGAGCTCTTGCTCACGAAGCAGCACAAGTATCTGGTGATTGCCAGCGATGGATTATGGGCAACCGTGACAAACGAAGCTGTGGCACGGCGTCTCGACACCCTGACGGAAGAAGAGGATCCGGCAGAAGAGTTGCAGAAGCTCATTGATCGACGCGAAGACAACATCACAATAGTGGTCGTTGACCTGCGAGTGCATGCTTGAACGGCATATGCGACAAGATGGCACGGGTGCACGCTGCCTGTTTGCTCAGCTTTTGAAGACGCGGGGAGGTTGACATGAGTTGAGTCCAGGGGTGCCACCCGTGACCTTGAGAGGCGAGTTGTGTCTTATTCCCTTGGTATTGCATGAAGCATGACTACACCCCGACCCTCTGACTCTACTCGCACATACTCTTCGTTGCCTCCTTGATCTGACACCGACACATGGCTTGCGATCAGTCATGGAGACTGAGACTGTATCTTCATGCACTAGACAATAGATGTGCAAAGTCCTCTCTTTGCCACCGTGTCCTCCTTTGCGATGCCAGGACTGCCTGCTGCGTGGAGGGTCCATGAGATTTTTGCAGAATGAGATCACGTTGCAACATGATGAACTTGATGGTAAAGACGACTACAAGGAGGACCAAGAGGAAGATCTCTTACATGCTTTATCTACAAACATTCATCTACTTGTGCGGAATTGTTCTTCCGTCACTCTTTACGTAAGTTTGCAATGCTATGACCTTTGTCGTCACCTCTAACTGGATCTGTTTGAAAGAAGATTGTTGCCTCAGCCCAGACTGCGTCCGATGCAGCTGATGCTGATGACCTGGAATTCCCTACTCGCTAAAATGTCAGGAGACGTCATCAGTTGGAAGGTATGTTCTTGCCTTGGAAAAGTTCTGAAGGATGAAGGAATCTCATGGCATCGGAAACAGATTGCAAAGATGATGAGCGATCAAACAAAACTTTCTCCATCACTTCTCTTCTCTTCTGCAGGCACAAATCTCTGAGTGAGCCCTGAGGCGGTAACTCTGCTCTCAGTGTTGTCGGTTTCCTGCTGGTTTAAAATATCACGTGAATCACCGAGCAAAAATTCATTACTCTTGCGCTCCCTTGCTTGTTCTCGATGGTTCAAACATGGTATTCTCATTACCTTCAATGCCAAGGACAGTAAATGCACCTTGATCGTCATGTTTTGGATCGAACCAAGGAAACTCAGGCGTAGGCGGTCGAGATTGCAAAGAATCGTTGCAGCCCTCTTTAATTTCTTCTTCATCGTCTTCTTCGTCTTCTTCTTGATCATTATGTTGATGGTCAATGTCATTGTCATTCTCGAGCCTAGACGACAACGATGCTCCATATCGTTCTTGTGACCCTCTGATCCATTTCTTATCTCCTCTTGATCCTATTTCTGAAATTTCATCGCACAACCAAGACCCTCTGTCGTCGATTGTTTGATGCTTCTTGTGTTTCTTTGATGCAGAGTTGCCAGCATTCTTCTCAAAATCTTCTGATTCAAAGACGGCACTGTTGTTCTGTCTGCCAGTCCCGGCAAATTCCCTGTGTGAGGTATTTTCTGCAGTGATTTCGTTCAGATCTCGTTCCATCAACATAGACATGTTTGTCTTGTGTCTCAACACGTATTTCGGTCTGCAACAAAACCATGAGCACGAGACAATCAGCAGTTAGAACGAGGGAGAGGAAAAAAGAGGTCGATAGTGCAATGGGAGTTAATGGATTACAAGTTCAGCATGTCAAGACCTGCAACAAGTTCACAGAGATCAGTCTTGTTGCCGCCACAGAGTGGAGGGGACTAACGCTCGGAATCTTGAATCCTCAAGGCAATCGACTTCCTGCCCACCGCGTCTTCTTGTGCAATTTCACTTGCAAACCTGGCAGGCGGAGGCAGAGCGTAAGGAGGAGAAACAGGATGTCAGCTCTCCTTGCCTGTAATATGCGCTCTTGTCGAGCAGCGGACAGAGAGTCTTTCCGATCTCTGCCGGTCTTTCTTCCTTGCATTGCCGACAAACCTTGTCTTCGACGTAATCGTTCATGGACCAAAGCCACTTGCGCAACCCATGTCGATTCCAACTTCCACAACCTGGACGACAGTCAAGGAGAATGAGATCGAAAGAGTTTCAGTCAAGCTCTTGCTGCTGATGATGATCAGACAAAACGTGAACAGAATTGTGATAGCAACGAGACGCTTGGAGGGTCAGATTGCAAATGATCTCACTGGGGCAGATCCACTGATCCGCACAGAGACAGCCCTCGTCGTCAAGTTTGTGTTGGTTCACCATCAAGTCCAACGAGTAAGTCTGTCGAAGAGGGAGATGTCATTCAATCAGCCATCTCCTCCATCCACTTACCGACGAGACTGTCTGATGAAACCTTTGATCCATCTTCACCCTTTTGTGCTCCTTCAAAGCATCCTGTTGCAATGTTCACATGATCTGATTCCTTTTCAAGCAGGTTTTTCACTTGCAAGCCCTTAGAAACTGGGAGGGAGAGGGAGCGACTGAGGTCTTGGATGCGTATGACGTCTTCTCCTCTCACTGTTCCAAGTTTTCTGAAAGCCTTTCTGAGAAGTGAGAAAGGAGAATTGAAGTCGAAACAAGTCAAAGACCGCAAACATTGCAAGACACTCGTGCTGTGAGATGTCGAATCCAAGTTCTCTCAGTCCGGTGCGAAACTCTCCTGGAGGCAAGAAAAAAGTCACTTTTGACACCACCAAATTCCAGCAAAGATGATGAAGACAGCGAGGACGAGTCACAGATAGCGTGATGTGATGTCATTCAGATGTGACAAGATAGTCGCAAAGATTCATCTACCCGGATCAATGATTTGATTGCCATCTGAGTCCATCGCCTTGCTCAAGGCTTGCACTTTACAGCTTGTCATTGACTTTCAGCATGCGCTCTCATCACCATCAAGGCCTTTGCGATAGCAATGCTTGCGCAGTTTTGTCAAGATATCATTGCCTGTCATGTCATCAGCGAGACATCTGTGTTGTGATGGTAAATGGACAGGGAAACTATTGTGCTGATTTACCGATCTTTTCGAGAGAATTTTCCTTCTTCCTTTTGTCCGCAAGAGATCGTGAAAGTTCTTTTGCTGCCTCGACGAAATTATAAGTCTTGTCGATCTTAATCCTGAGAAAATATCATGCTCCTGCTCCTGCTCCTGCTCCTGCTCCTGCTCCTGCTCCTGCTCCTGCTCCTGCTCCTGCTCCTGCTCCTGCTCCTGCTCCTGCTCACTGACGTATCATCATTTCACCTCAGGTAGATCTCAGATGCTTGCTTAGTCTGAAGATTCTGTGCAACACATTAGACACACTTCATTCTTTGTCCACAATCACTTTGACTTGATGCCCTTTATTGTCTAGCAAAGGATACCTGTCACTCCATCAGCTTGAGCAGGACATTGAAAGCTTTCCTCCTCCTCCTCCTCCTCGTCCTCCTCCTCTCCTCCTCCTCGTCCTCCTCCTCGTCCTCCTCGTCCTCGTCCTCGTCCTCGTCCTCGTCCTCCTCCTCCTCCTCCTTATCCGATTACCATCCTTCCTCCATGTAAGTTGATTCACAACCTCCTTCGCCGTCAGCATCTTCAGGTGGACCATTGTAGTACTTCGAGATCAGGTCTTCTCCCTTTCCTTTCTCTCAACACCGACAAAAAATAATTCCGCAAGTTTCACCGAGAGAACAACATGTCCCATGAAATCGTTGGCCTTCATCATATCGAAGTCCCAAACTGTGATGATAATCTGCACCGGATGATGACGATTCTTGGTCAGTTGTCACATTCTGTCTCACTTTATCTTCCGCGTTTTCGAATGGAAGATGATGAATCTTGTCCCAGAAAGGAAACAGAGTCTGCGAAGAAAGATAACACTCAGATCGATTGAGAGGAGAGGACAAGGGAGTGAGGGGGAGAGCAGCGACGAACTAGCAGGTTGCAGGAGCGGAGCTGAACAAGGAGTCGAGGAGGACGGTGGAGAGCGAGAAGACTTGTTTGACTCCTACCGAGAAACAGATGTCACTCTTCGAAGACACCTCTGTCACTCTCTTCTTGGAGAGTCGAAAGCTCTTGATCTGTTGTGAGGTAAAGCAACATGTCAAGTCTGCCCTCAAGACCAGGGCGAAACGAATCACGATCGTCACCTCGCACACGGCAAACGGATCTGCAAGTCCGATAAGATTTCTATCCCTCAGGAAGATGTCGGTGCTTGGCAGGTTGCGTGCCTATCAAGACTTGTAAGAGAAGGAGAAGCGGGAGAAAGCAATGACATCCGACCCGGTAAGTGTTGATGTACAAGCTCCACTAAGTTAGAAGGGAGTTCAGAGATGATGCTTTTCACTCTTTCAGCCCCTCTATCACCTTCTTCGCGTTCGCTTGTTTCTTGATCGCCTTGAAATTCAAGTCAGTGCGCCGCTCTTACACTCAGTAGCCCGACATGCTTCATCGCGTTCTCCGTCCTACTTTGCTGCTTCAGCCTGTTCTTCTCATTCTCTTTCACCAGCATGTCAGACATCTGCAAGCAATCGGCCAACTTTCTCCTCACCTGTCACCTTCTTTGACTTCGACTCCATGTCTTCTTTGCTCTCCAGTGACTTTTGTACCAGCTTCCTGAGAGGTCCATACATGGTGATCCCGGGGCACCTTCATTGCAACATGTCAAAGGAAGTCTTGAAAGCTGCCCTGCACTTCTATCCTCTATCGTTTGATCTTGTTTCTCTTGTCCTAACTTATTTCCCCTTCATTATCCTCAATTTCAATCTCTTTTCTCCATTCTTCAGCTCTACAATCTTCTTCTTCCCAATCCTCCCGAACATTCTCGTATCCCCTCACGCATACCCTCCATCCTCTCTCGCTTTCACCCTCCGATCTTCCTACACTGATCTCATGCTCTTCTCACCTGTAGTAAATGACGACCGAACAGATCAACAAGGACAAGCCTACCATTGCTGGAATTGCAACTCGAACAACATTGAAGTAGAGGGTCGATGATCCTGTTGTTGCAGAAGTCTCTGCTGCAATGATCGTACAATTAGATTTCATCGCTTCTTCTTTGATCTTGCTCGGAACACAGACCCATCCCTTCTCAACATGACATTCCGAGTCGCAACCGTCGTTGGACCTTGTGTTTCCGTCATCACACTCCTCGAGGTTGGAAGAAACGGCTGCAACAACATCAGGGGAGATTGTAACGTGCTCGATCATCGCAACTTGCCTGGGTTGTACAGCTTGTTGAAAGTGATCCCATCCCCGCAGTACGACAGAACTGATGCACTCTCGACGGCATAGCGGAGAGCGACTTGCGGGCTGTAGAGCTTGAGCTGCAGGTTGTAGACCCTGGCACGTTCCTTCAACTCTCGTGGCTCCTCCTCCCTCCTCACCTCGCGCGTATCACAATCGACTGCGACGTCAGAGCCGCAGACTCTGACGAGGATGTGAAACCTACGCAGCTGCTCTGCCCGCACACGTCGTAAGGGCCTGCGCCGCATGACAGCGGGTAGCGAGGAGGATACGACGCAGCCATGCCGGGCTGCGTCTCATCCACACTGCGTGCATGAGCTCATCCTCCTCTTCCTGCGCCTCTTGTCTCACCTGGTCCAGCAGAGCACGTTGCATCTCTGATCCATGCTGACGAATTGAACCCGAAAGCTCGACGAGTCGAGGAGCAGGGAGGTCAGAATGCCTCCCTTGGTCAGCTCCAGCTTCGTCTGGTTCGGCTTGAAGACAGGCGGCAGGCAGAGCTCACACCCCAGCGTCGTCTGTGCGCATGGCGTTCCAGACGCGTCCGTAGGGTCAGTCGCACAGTATGCAGGGAGGAGGAGGAGGAGGTGCAGAAGTAGGCATGAGAGCTCACTGAAAGCCGCATGAAACGTCACTCCTCCTCCTCCTCCTCCTCCTCCTCCTCCTCCTCCTCCTCTTCGCATGCTCAACGAAGCAGATCGTCGTGAGATCGAGGCATCTATCTCCTCTGCTTTCCCCAGCTCTCCCAAGTACTGGGAGGAGACAAGGAAGGAGGCGCGAGGGTTCGAGAGGTGAAGGGAGGGAGGGGAGGGAAAGAGAGTCGATAGGAGGGCAGAGGAGGGACGGAGAGAGGAGGAGCGGGAAGAAGTGAAAGAAGTGGAGGGAAGGGAGAGGAAGGAGAGCAGGGAGGGAGACACAAGGACGAGGGCGGAGGGGGTCAGGAGGGGAGGGGAGCGCAACAGGGAGCGCAAGGATTGTCGGGTTGATGGGAGGGGATGGGGGCGACGAGACTCTAGGGGCTCAATTAGGAAATGATGGAAGTGTGGCCTTGGGGACGGACACGACGAGGGAAACAACACATGGTGGAGTATTTCTGTGTTTAATGTGGAAGCGAAGATTACAAACGTCGAACAACGAGGGAGCAGAGAGGAGGAGAGGGGAGATGAAACTCTCTCTTACAAGACAACGTCGAACAACGAGGGAGCAGAGAGGAGGAGAGGGGAGATGAAACTCTCTCTTACAAGACAGCCTACGTGCACCTCTCGTAGAAGAGGACGTTTGGCTGGAATCGACCCAGTCTGCACCTCTCCACCACTTCCTTCCAGTCGCCAACGCGCTTGACCGAAGAGTCGTCGTATTGAACCCACTGCTTCACCCGCGGCTTGTAGGACAGGAGCACGTAGTGCTGTCCGTAGAAGCAGACCATGCAGCGCAGGCGGTACTTGGAGCCACTTGGCACTCCCGAGTAGACCAGGGAGAGGTCGAGGACGAGGGGAAGCTGGTGGAAGAGGAGGCTGATGTCGTCAGGAGTAGCCGATGTTGTCTCCCAGACCAGCACGAGACTGAAGATGTCGGGGCAGGAGAACAGAGCCTGAGAGCACTCGAACATCGCGTTCCCCTCCTTGCATCCAGGGCAAGTCCTTGTGTCACGTGCGTACGCCTCACGCAGAAGGTCCTCGGGCGACAACTTTTGGTCCCTCAGCTGCTGGTGCACGTCAGCCAGCAGCTTCGGAGGAACGTAGTGGAAGAAGCGCGTGTAGCTCTGCTCCTGCATCTTGTAGCCACAGGTGGAGCATCGCAAGCCCTCCTTCACCTTGAGTCCGAAGGAACCCAGCACGATGTTTGACGAGGCATCCGAAGAGTCCGTCTTCCCGCTCTGCTCGAAGAACAGCTGGAGAGTCTCCAGGATGTCATTGAGCGCTTCGGAAGCATCCGCCATCTCATGCACCTGTGACCGTTTGCGGCTCATGAAGATGGAGCTGAGAGCCTTGCGGCACTCCGTCGGGTCCACTACGAAGAGATTCTTTCCTCCGCTGCCCCACGCGTTCCCAACTGGTGCTGAGACGATTGCTGGAGGGCCAGACGCCCAGGCGTTGGCGGCAGCCGGAGGCTTGTTGGACCCCTCTGTGACAACATCGACTCCGCTCTTGCTTCCTGATAGCGACGAGAAAACCTTAGCCAAACTGCGCAAGAAGGCAGCGGCTTCAGATTCATCGTCAGGTCTCAGGCTTAGTTCAGAGTTTGTCAAGAGAGCCTCTCTGAAGGATTCCAGTTGCCACAAGGACTGTATGATGACATTCAAGAAGCAGTTATATTCACCCTTTGGGTTGTCGAGCCCTTTGCCAAGGTCCTTAGCCGAGATCTCTCCGTTCTTTTCCAGAGCTTCTCCGTGCGATGCTCCCCAAACATTCCCGTACTCTCTCGTGCCAAAGCTCTGCTCGGGTCTGAGATGAATGCTGGGCAATTGCAGGCTGGTGACATCTTCGTTCCTAAGTGCTTGTTCCAATTCCGGCGATTGGCTGTCCTGCATCTTGGTTGATCCAAGAGGAATTTCTAAGGAATCGCCTGCTGCCACTTTCCTGGTTGCCGTGCGCTCTCCATCTTCAGTCTTCTTGAGTGCTGCAGCCCAAGCGTTGGGAGGAGGCATGCTCTTGGCAGCACTCTCCGCCTGCTGTGATGCCGTTGGCTCAGGCTGCAAGTGACTGTCTGTAGGAGCATCCTTGAGAGCCTGTTGACCAGAACCGTTGTCTTTGACTTGATCGACTCTTTCATTCGGTTCTATTTGCTGCGGACTCATCCCAGGAGCAGGAGGACGAGCGTTAAACTGAGGGGGCTGCAAATTCTTGTCCGTAGCGTTACTCCCTGGAAGGCCCTCAGCATCGCTCCAAGGCACAGCAGCTCCTGCATGATTGTTGACAGGGGAACCATGCAATCCAACTGGCGGGCAATGCATTCCGATGGCAGGATTGTGCATAGCGCACATGGCAGACGGGTGCATACCCCAAGCCATCGGCACCGGCGGACAAGCAGGCGCCATGGGCATCTCATTTATTCGGCCATCAGAGAGGATTGGGCGCATTCCTGTTGGTATTCCCATAAAGTATGGCGGCACGTTGGTGGGCAGCATGGCCGGCCCGCACATTGCAGGATTCATAGGATTCATAGCAAGAAAATGTCCACCTCTTGGAAGGTTCCCAGGGCCAGGAAGTGCTTGAGGATGTTGCATCTGAGGGTTGCCGGGAGGAGGAATGCCAGCATTCTCATGGTGCGGAATCCTGTCTCCTACCTTCTGCTTGCTAACATTCTGTTGTCCTTTTCCCTTCGATGTCTTCTTTGCCTTTTCAGATTTCTTTTCAGTTTTGTTTGCACTTTTGCCTGGCTGCACTCCAGTCGGATTATCGTTGCTGGCTTGTGAAGGGCTGCCAGGAACGAATTCCTTCGCATCACAAGACAAAAGTTTGGCTCCACCTTGTGTATTCATCTTCGGTTCTGATTCAGCTGGCTTTGCTTCTTCCTGTATCTGAACTTCAGGATCCACAGCGTTGACAATAGAAGTGGAGTCTTCAACATTAGATGGTTCATCACTTGAAAAGCAAGGAGTCTCATCAGGCTCACTATGGGACTGAATCATGTCGACGTTCTCGTCGGATTCTTCGTGCTCGTTTTCATCAGGTTCGCCAAGATTGTCAGCATCTAAAGATTCTTGTTCCTTAGAGTCTGCAAGGGGGACAACAGGACCTTCTTCTTCGGAATTTTGCTTCTGCTGGGTGTCCTCCATCTCTTTTCGCTGTTTCTTCTCCTTCTCCTTTGCTTTCCGCTTCGCAAGGCGATCTCGTTTGAGTTTTTCTTGTTCTGCAAGACGCTCCTCACTCTTCAACAAATCTTCAACAGCTTTCAAAGCCCCTTCTTCTTTCAATCTCTTATCCTCTTGCTCTTGTGACATTTTGAACCCTGTCAAAATGTTTTCACGTATGATGCAAATACAAATATTCCGAATCATTTCCGAGTAATCCGCTTTGCACTCATACAAGTAAAATAGCAAGGAAGAGCTCTGAAAATCATAAGATCCAGTGTTTGAAACCTCCTTCAGAACTTTCTTCATGTCACCATACATTTTGTCAATATTTTCAAGCATGGAAGTTGCACGAGAATACATAATTTGATACTTGATTGAATTTTCTCCGAGTTTTGCGAGTTCTGAAAGACGGCCTTCATACACTTCTGAAGTAGAAACGCCGGAAAAAAAGGGAGAATTCATAATCTTATGTTTCAATGACATCAAGGATGAGTAAGTCTGTACAACCTTCTGACCATATTCCAAAATATGATTGTAGTTGACTTCAAATCCTTGAAAGTTTTGTATCTCCTTATCGAGCGGTTTGAAGACATCGGTATGTTGTCGCAAGATAGCCAATGTAGACTTCAGGACCGTTTCAGCATGAAACAAATGAGCTTGTCTAGTGTCAGAAGCAGCATTGTTTGCTGTGTGAAACAAAGTCTCAAAGTCACGTAAAAGAAGTATGAATTGTTCTGATTCTATCAAAGACTCGTCGTTGCTAAGACATTGAGCCAAAATATTTCTGAAGTGAGTCAAATCGTTGCTCAATGCCTCAATCTGCCAGAAAATCTTTTGATGTGCTGACCATCTCAATGCTTCTTGAATGTTGGCATCCAACGCTTGCCGAAAATTCTCACGTTTCTCTGACTCAACCTTTTCGTAATATCTCAAGACTTCCGCAAGACTTCGACCATGAACCCGAAACTGTGTTTGGACTCGATTCGATGTGAGTTGTGGGTTGCAAGATGGATTGCTATTTTCTTTCTCATGAAAATTTTCGGTCTGGCGAGACTCAATCTCCTTTCCTTGTTCTGCCATCTTCACAACCTCAATTAAAAATTCAGAATTTCCTTGAGAATCAAAACCGTTTCTATCGGCGTTAAAATCCAGGATCTCACTCTCAGCCAAATATTTATATCCGCTGATTGCATCAATTTCAGTCATATCCACAAGTATACTTGACGCCGTTGCCATGCCTTCATCGAAAACATTTTCAGCTTCTCGCACTATCGAATACACAAGGAGCCATTGTTCTGAGGGGTTCGCAGCATACCTATCCATAACAAAGGCCAACATGTATTCATTCCAAAATTCATTCGATGAACTTGTCATGTCTGAATTGAAGGTAAGCACTGAGTCCAAGCTCTGTACATTATTGACATTTAAAGCGCCACAGATCGGAAAGCGCGTGTTGAACTTCCTCTGAAGATCGAAATATTCTGCGCGGACTTTTTCTCGAAACAAGGATCGGCACAGCTCATCCATTACCTTTGTATCGTTATTGTTTTCAACCATATACATCCATCTATCTTCTGTACACTGATCCAAAGCCTCTTCAACAGGCGTATTCACAGCACTTCCCTGGGAGAAACTGTGGAAAAATCTGATTCTTTTGGAAACTTCAATGTCACAAAGATCTGTTTGGAGGAACTTTTTCATCCTCAACAAAGAATCTTCGGTACTATCAAGATCCGCTTTCCAGGGATATTCCAATGTGACCTTGCCTTGTTCCACAAGTTGAATAGTTTTCTTCTTCGCCATTTGCAGTGTTGCCCGCCACAAAATTGATTTGAGGAGTGGCAGAAGCAAAGAACGATCTGTGTTATGGGTCTCACAATCGTACCAACGACCAAGAAATAAAGTTGATTGATTTTCAAGAGCATTGATAATCACTTGCTGCAAAATGCTCGTTTGGACAAGTTCTTGACGTTGTACATTTGATATGACACTTTTTAGCCTGTCGGCATCAATTTGAAGAAATTTAGGTAAATCCTGCTTGTCAAGTCTCTGTATGTACTCAATCACAGAGTCTCCAAGGTTGTGCAAAAGTTCCTCTGATCTGTCACCTGCTCCCTTCTTTGCAGCTAATTTTCGTTGTAGTCGTTCTGACATCGGATTGGCAGCTCCCTTCACAACTTTGGATGTTTGCATCTCCATGACGTCGTCTTTGCCATGCAGATTTTGATTGCTTTGAGAGCAAAGAGCCAGTGCTTTGGCTCGCACGACCTCCTGTTCAATCATCTGCCGCTTGATTTTCTTTGCTTCTTCAGCAGTCAATGAACCTGATTCTTTGGATCCATTGCTCTTTTTAATCGGTGCTCTTAGGCCCTGCCGATACAGCTGGCCAAGTTCTTGCCGTCTTCTGCCCACCTTAATACTGAGATTGTTCAAGTCTTGAGGCACGAATAAACTTCCATTACTCAACCTCGCAACTTCCTGGAAAATCATGTGGCGAGCATGGAGCTGCAAGCGTCTGAGACGGTCCGTGAGGTAAATAACATCATCCTTGAAGTCGAGATTCAGCAGGCTATGTACCTTGAGATCATCTTCCTCGTCTTTGCTTGCAAGTAATTCGAAATACATTTTATCGTCTGTGGGCCTCGATTTTTCGATTTCTATCACAGCAGTTGAAGCTAATTCTGCTGCAAAATTGTAGTCGCACAAGCATTCACACACAATTGCACAGCATCGTTCCATCCCGTAAGCCCAGCAAATGTGTTGAGATTTCAGATACATTACGATTTCGCGCATTTCTAACTTTCTTTTCGGATCCATTGTACTGCTATCCTTGCTTGTGTTCAGAGCACGAGCCAACATTTCTAGACGAAGAAGTTGAAACTCAGCATTATATTCTTTGAATTTGCTCACCTCATCCTCAAAAATCTTATTAAACTGCTTGAACTTGAGCTTTTTCGATTCCTTTTTGATTTGATTCGAGAGCTGCAGCGCATCCTTCTTGCGCTGCTTTTCCTCTTCATCTATACGGTTGGCACGCTGGCCATTTTGATTGCTGACAGATTTCTTTACGTTGCTTGGCATTGATACACTTTTGAAATAAATCGACTCAGGGCGTCGACATTTTCATGCAGCTTGCAGTGTTTGATGGTAGAAATGACAAATGAAAAGATCAAGCTTTGATTGCATCACTTCACTTCATGTTCTTAACCAAGAATTATACTCCTACAAATAAAATAACAATTAGTCATCAATCCTCTGATTTCTTGATATGCAGATATGACATAGTTTAAGACAGTTGCCGTTGCATGCCAAGCAAAGCAGGGTGGGACGAATTTAGACAAAGGAGTGAATCACAGAAATGAAAAGGGGTAAATGCGTGCACAAAGCGCTGATACATGGTATGAGCATGAGGAAAACAGACAAAAAAACGCGATATGGAAACTGTACGATCAATGCAACGATCGAACAATTCTCTAGCAACCATATCCTCCGACTTTGAACTCGCACCTCCCGTGCCTCCCACTCTATCACCGCTCTCTCAATCACAATCACCCTTCACCCCTGTCATGACACTTCATCCCATGAGCGATCATTTCTTTCCTTTTCTAGGGAGTAAGCTCTTCTCTCCTCTCCCACCCCTCCTCCTCCGAATACCTCCTGTCCTCTGACAGCCATGCAGCGGCGGGAACGAGGGAAAAAAAAATATGTTCCGTTACACTAAACGTTGTGAACCGTTGCGTAGAAACACGGTCTGCTTGCGGGCGGCCGGCCGCCGGGGCCGCCCGGCCGGGCCGGGCACCAGTGACTCAGCCAGGAGTCCGTCGGACCCGGCGTCGCGGCGTGCGGACTGAGCGGGCTCGGAACCGGTGCCAGGGCTCAGAGTCGGAGCTGCCGCCCGGGCCGGCCCCGGGCTGCAGTGCCGGCACCGCCGCTGAGTGAGCCTCCGAGTCGGCCGGCGCCGCCCGGCCGCAGGGCCCGGGCCCCTGCCACGCGGCCGGGCCGGAGCACGCCGTATACTATCATGCCACGGGGGCCCGGGAGGGGGTAATGATGGCCGCGCCCCGGCCGTCCCGGTCGGACCCCGGGCCGCCGCCCCATGCCTCAATGCCGGGCCGCTGTCACCGACGGTTTCAACTCAGCCTGTAGCAGTCACACAGAGTCGGATGCTGAGTCACAGCCTGGCAGAGTCGCCAGCCGTACGGTAGTACGGTACGGTACTGACGGGGACCGTACGGCCCCAGCCGGCTGAGCCGCGCCTCGTTCAGCCCGCCAGGTTCCGAAAGCTTCGCTGTGAAGCCTCTGATGAGACTCAGACTCGTGACGAGTCGCCTGCCATGATCATCCGACCGGATTGTCCCGGCAGTGGATATACCACGGCACCGTGACTCGTGACACGAAGCGTTTTTAAAACGGGCAGTAATAATAAAGATCCGAGGCTACAGTAGCGGCTAGTAGTAACAAGTAAAGCAAAGCGTTCTAACTCAGAGCTCCCAGTCACGTGCCCACTTTCCGGCCTCCCGTTGCCCGCGGCCTCGTTCAATATCCTGGGAGATACCGGGGATAGCGAGGAGATCCGAAGGAGATACCGCTTGGACTCCGGAGATGAGTCTGGACGTTTGACTGTCACACGCCCACACTTCCGCCGCCGCCCCTAGCAACAAGCCTACAGGACTGCCCTTCGCTGCTGCCTCGCTGCTCCCCGGAGGAATCCTCCCCAACCACAACCAGAGCTTAACTTCCCCTCCCTCCTCCCTTTCCCTTGTCCTCTTTCCACTTCCTCCCTGCCTTCCCTGCCCTCCCTGCCTTCCCTGCCTCCCCTGCCTCCCCTGCCTCCCCTGCCTTCCCTGCCTTCCCTGCCTTCCCTGCCTCCCCTGCCTTCCCTGCCTCCCCTGCCTCCCCTGCCTCCCCTGCCTTCCCTGCCTTCCCTGCCTTCCCTGCCTCCCCTGCCTTCCCTGCCTTCCCTGCCTCCCCTGCCTTCCATCATGACGGGCTCGTCACGGCAATGTCTGCCTCGTCGACCTCTCTACACCCCCTCCCTTCGCCCCACACCCGAGTTTGTATTCCTTGACTATTTCGGTTCAAGCTTGCTCGTCTCTTGTCCAGTCTCTGATAGCTCCAACCTTGTCCTCGACTTCACAAGTATCTGCGCCGACGACTCCGAAGGCTTTTGCTGCTGGGCAGATGTCGAGACAAACTACAACAGATGCGCACTTGAGGAAAAGAAGGGAGGGAGCGGAATAGAAAAGCGAGTTAGGCAAGTCTGTCTTGGACGTATGGCGCATATAAGTGAGGCCAATGATGTCAATGCCGGCCATCAGGCAGTAATGGTAGGGAGTGATCGCAAGGATGAAGAGTCTATAAAATAAATCGTCCATTGAGTGGCGGGTCACAATCGAATATCCCCATGCAGAACACCACGCAACAGAGCTCCTTACCATGCTTTACGGAAACCACTAAGGTCCGTAAAAGTCCGGTATCGATACACATTCCTCGTACATGTCATTGATTGTGTTGGAAGTGAAAAATGAACAGAGAAAGCAGGGATGCAATCACGAGGATGAATAACACCATCTGTATCCATGGGAACCCCAGGCCGAGCAGCAATATCCTGGATAAGGGTGTTACACGACCGCTCTGTGATTTCAAAAATCCCAAAAAACACGGAAACCATCATCGGCATCATGACTGCCACACCACAACACTGCATCTGGTACCAGCACTCCACCAGCGAAGAAGGAATGCTCAAGCACGACTCTAGCAGCACCTACAACATGATGCTAGCCAACGTGGTATGCATCAAGACCACCAAGGAGAAAGAGCCAGGTGCCGACATGAACGTCTTCATGTTTGCCGGCTTCGACCCTTCGCTAGCCTTCAACAGCAATGCGCAGGCGGTCTTCGACAGCTTCCTAGGTGTGAAGATGAAGATCGTCCCAGCGAACATCACGGGGAAGAACCTCACCATGGTTAAAACAAATTATGCCAAATCAGAGATAGGAACTATTGGAAGTGATCGTTCTCGTCAGAACTAGGTGTCTTCTTCCCCTTTTGTGTGTGCACCACGTCTGTTTGGGCCACACCAACGTGTGTTGGCTTGCTTTGTTTGGTGTGTGAGATAAAGAGAGATAGATCTCCTTCTGTCACACTCCTTTCCTCTTAGTCGACAAACTCCAGCGCAAGTTCTTGTTGAGCGACCGTCTGAGACACGACTACGAAGTTGAGAGGTTCCTCGCCGGGCGTACGCGTGGACGTGGACAGCAATATCTCGTCAAATGGAAAGGCTATTCTGACGCTTCAGAAACTCCTGGCTTCCCGCAAAAACATCGTCGTCAGCGTTTTTTCAGGAATTCTTCAGATGATGCCTTGGAACAAGCAGCGCTCGACGCCGACGAGTAAGCTTGGTCTGCTTCGGATGGTCCTGCTGACCTCATCGTTCATGAGCAAACTTTTACGTAACATGGAATTCTTGCCGTCGCACAGTGGGAGCAATGTGGTACAATGGATCAAAGTTCATAACACAGACAGACTGCGGCAGGACAGGCAGAAAACCTGTCCTGCTTGTGCTCTAGAAAACGCATTTCCTGATTGTTCCAGTGATCTATCTTGTTATCAAAGCTTGAGTTACAACGTATAGTAAGGTTGATAAAGTTAACCGAGGCTTCAATTGCGCATCAAGAGTTGTAAACAAAACGTTCCATGATCCTCATTTGAAACATTCTATTCCCCCTACCTCCCCCTACCTCCATTTTCTCTTTCCTCCTCCCGCTCTTCTCCTTCTCCCCTCACGCTCTTCTCTTTCCTCCCCCTCCTTCTCTCCTCCCGCTCTTCTCGCTCTTCTCCTTGCTCATGGCATTTCACTCCTCCAGCGTTGGGTCAAATGTAGGACCGGTCATCCCATTGTGGATACCGGGTGTGATGACTGTTCATCTGTCTATTTTTATGGGGTAGGTACCCGAACAAAGGCAACTGGGTAGGGCATCTTTTCTCCGAGATGTTGGGACGCTGCCTCATGTTTTTAAGGGGGAGAGCAGTAGAGCAGTAGAGCAGTAGAGCAGGAGAGCAGGAGAGCAGGAGAGCAGGAGAGCAGGAGAGCAGAGGAGGAGAGCGAGTCCAGAGACAGAGGGACACGGATAGAACGACAGACACAAGCACGATGATGAAGAGGACATGCGGATGGTGTTGATAGCAAGAACGTCAACTCTATCCAATAGTGGACTTTGAGCTTTTCACGGCCAAATTTGATGAGAATGGTTTGAAGAGTTTTATCCCGTTGCACTACAGCTCGAGGGAAAGAAATCATTGACAAGAGGAGTTGCGAAGTGTTGACCATGGGTTTGCCATGCTGATCACGATCAGTGCAAATGCATGACAAGCTGAGCACATTCTTGACACCTTGTTCCTCCATACAGCCGCAGACCCATTCTCAACATATTTCAGCTGGACCCGACAGGATCGGCAAAGTTGGCAGTCATGCCAGAGGTGAGGCTCATACACATAACGACACACGAGCTCATGCTATTGTTTCCCAGCGTTCAGACTGGCTCACCATCAACGGGGTTCCTCTGGAGAGGCGGCTGCAGACAGCGGCCGTCGCAGCTTTCGTCACTGCTCTACCGCTCATGCCGATGAGTGTCATGTGCCACATCTGCTCTCCTTTGCGATCGCTGACGATGCTGGTCAGACTTGCGATTGTCCTGCTCAGCAGGTGGCCCTACCAGCCTCTGATGATCTTGTACCTCACGTACTGGTAAGGGGGAACCGACGGGCGGGTTGTCAAATGACGTGTGATGGTTTCAGTTGCTTCTTCGATGCAAGTCCCCAGACCGGGAGGCGGAAGTCAGAATGGTTCCGAAACCTGGGGTTCTGGAAATACTTCAAGGATTTCTTTCCGATCTCAGTCAAGAAGACTTCGGGTTCTTGTTTGATGAGATTGGTTCGAGCATTGTGAACGATTCGAACGCAGAGCTGGATCCGACGAAGAACTACATCTTCGGGTATCATCCTCACGGCATTATTGGGTGCGGTCTCTATTTTGCTCTTGCTACCTCGTCGGGGTGCAGCCTTGATGAGAGAGCTCTCTCGTTGCCAGGTTTGGAGCAATCTCCTGTTTTGCGACAAACGCTCATGATCCTAAAACTCTTCTGCCTGGTAGGGTAGAAGGAAAACAGAGATATTCATGGATAGAGCAGGAGCGAGGGAGCGAGGGAGGAGAGGGGAAGGAGGGGAGGGAGGGAAGAGTCGGCTCATGTTTTCTCTGAAGGACTCGACCTTTATCTTCTCACCCTCCCAATTCAGTTTCGATTGCCATTCATCCGAGAGGTACTTGGCCGCCTCCCCCATCTCGTATGTGAGCCTCCGTGCAGGTCTGGCTGCTGATGGGCATCTGCGACAGCTCCAAGGAGACGTTTAAGAGAATTCTGTCCAAGGGTCCAGGATCGTCACTGGCTGTAGTAGTGGGAGGTGCAGCAGAAGCGTTAAAGGTGTGAAAGCTGCTCTTGCTGAATTCTGGTCGCTGACTGGTAGCAAGTCCTCACCGGGTAAGATCGATCTGACGCTCAATGCACGGAAAGGATTTGTAAGGCAGGTAAATACGAGGAGAGGAAATCGGGGAGTGCGGGGGAGCGGAGGAGAAAGCACAGGAAAGCGCAGGACAGGATGGAGTGAAAATGAAGCATGGAGGAGGAGGTGCTGAGTTTGAACTTGACTACAGGCGCTGCTTCATTCTGCTTCTCTTGTTCCTGTGATCGCCTTCGGGGAGACCGACGTGAGCTGATGATGGCATACGGAGGAGAAAGAAAGACCAACTGAACTTTGTGTCAGGTGTATGGTGTGTTGCAGAACCAGTTCTTCAAGAAAGTACAAGTCAGACTTCAGGTCTGTCTTGTCTTCTAGAGGAAGAAAGCTTGCTTATAGAAAAGTTTCAGAAATGGTTTGGGTTTGCCATGCCTTTGTTTCATGGCAGAGGAATCTTCAATTACAACTTCGGTCTCATTCCCCACAGACGTCCTATAACCGTCGTTTTGGGCAGGTGGACAACATTTCATCATCGTTATTTTCTTGTTCTCTTCTTCATTATCTCAATCATCATCCCTTCCGTCATCATCATCACCACCATCATCATTATCATCATCATCACCACCACTACCACCACTTTGATTATCACTATGACCACCACTATGACTACCATATCTCACGCCATTTCTTCTTCGTGTTCAAACTTTCATGCAGAGCCATCGAGGTACCAACGAATGATTCAGAGGGGAACCCGATTGCAGCCAAAGGTATGAGAATGACTTTGTTTCTTTCTTGTGACAGGAGCAAAACAGGAGAAAGGTGGCTTGTGGAATCCGATGAGGTGTTTGCTCTGTCGACTTATCGTTAAGCTCACTTCTCGTTGATGACAGGGAAGAGCAATAGTTGCAAAGATTCACGCGCAGTATGTGGAAGAACTTCGCCAGTTGTATGACGAGAACAAAGAGAAGTTCTATTCTCACTGCAATGCCACCTTGAGTGTAACATAGAAAAACTGAAGTCAAAGTCATATGTCATCATTGGGATTTATCTCGATGTCAACACGGTGTCTGAGGCAGGAAGACGAAGATTTGTGTACAAAATGTACTAAAGAATGCAAGCTAATGATCTACCACAAATCACACCTCCCAATAGGATGTATGGACAAGCCATTGTCCAGTTTAAACTTTCCTGCGCACAAGGAATTGATCTCTCCTCTTCATGTACTCCTCGAACGATTCGTTGCTCCTGCATGGAACGGTCACGATGATACTTCACTCCATCCTCACACTCACGGGATGGGGACAGGAGGAGGAACGTAATCATCCTCAACCTTTGGCTCCTCAATCTTCATTTCTACCTTTGGCTTCGGGGCCTCAACTGGCTCTACGACCTCAACCTTCTGCGGAGGAGCCGCAAGAATGGCTTCTCTGTGCTTCAAGTAGTCCTCGAACGACTCAGGGGTGGTCCCCTTCCTTGCCGTGTCCACGAACGCCACAGCCTGTGGCCTCACCTGCTCCTCGTCAACCGCGGCTCGAGGTGGAAGAAGCTTGACTCACCTCCTGCTTGGGTTGAGCTGGAGCAACTTTCTGCTCGGGCTGCTTGACAACTGCAGGAGCTGCGGAAGGAGGCTTGGTGGCAGGAGCAAAGGAGGAAGCAGGCGAGGTAACAGGGGCAGGGGCAGACGAAGGGGCAGGGGCAGACGGAGCGGGAGGGGCATAAGGAGCAGGCGATGCAGCAGGAGCTTCAGTTCTGGCACGAGGAGCGTAGCCTGACGTCGAGTAGCTGATGCGATTTCCAGACTGAGCTTGAGGAGGTGCTTGAACAGGAGCGGGGGCCGGAGCTGCCGCAGCTGGCGCTGGTGCGGCTGCGGATCCTCCCTGGCGTGCCTTCATGTACTCCTCGAACGACATCGCCGGCCTGCCTCCCTCGTCAGCCTCTCCCTTCTCTCCCTCCATCTCAGTCACTCACGGCACGTAGGTCTGCTTGGACTTGGGGTCGTTGGGGTCGATCCTGGTCGAGACCGGGTCACGGGTGTGGGCCTTCTTCTCGCCGCCCCAGCCGGCGTCAGGGAGATCTCCGGCATCCTGAGCTGGCTTGCCCTGCCAACCGCAAGTCAGATCAAGGCAATAGGTAAGCAAGCTCAGCTACCGCAGGTTCATTGTACTGAGGAGCGTAGGAAGCAGCAGGGGCGGAGGCGGGGGCCGAGCGAGCTCCGGGAGTGTATCCGCCAGTGGTGGAGTAGCTCACGCCCCTGCTCGGAGCAGCCGAGGACTGGGGAGCGTAGGAAGGAGCAGCGCTGTACGAGGCCGAGGCAGCAGGAGCCGGGCTGGCCGAGCGAGCTCCGGGAGTGTATCCGCCAGTGGTGGAGTAGCTCACGCCCCTGCTCGGAGCAGCCGAGGACTGGGGAGCGTAGGAAGGAGCAGCGCTGTACGAGGCCGAGGCAGCAGGAGCCGGGCTGGCCGAGCGAGCTCCGGGAGTGTATCCGCCAGTGGTGGAGTAGCTCACGCCCCTGCTCGGAGCAGCCGAGGACTGGGGAGCGTAGGAAGGAGCAGCGCTGTACGAGGCCGAGGCCGCAGGAGCCGGGCTGGCCGAGCGAGCTCCGGGAGTGTATCCGCCAGTGGTGGAGTAGCTGATGCGTCCGCCAGAGGGAGCTGTGGAGATCAATCAGTTACTTTAACTTGGAGTACTTGTCGTGCTACCAGCAGAAGAAGAGCTTGTTTGTTGCTCCGCTACAGAGGTTTGCAAACGCATGAGTATCTGGGAAACGTCTTTCGAATGGTTGTACCTGCTCTTTTCTTTTGAAGGTACTCTTCGTATGGTGACAAGGCTGCCTCTTGTTTGCTTGTCGGCGACGTGTTGGACTCTCCAGCCATCCTTTTCTTCATGTACTCCTCGAAGCTTGTTGCTGGCCTGCTTGCAAGTCACTCACACCGCTCGGCTCAGACTACATGTCTTACGGCACGTAGGTCTGCTTCGACTTGGGGTCATTCCTGTCCAGGTGGGTTGAGACAGGATCGCGAGTGTGTGCTTTCTTCTCTCCTCCCCATCCTGCGTCTGGCAAATCGCCGGCATCCTGAGCAGGCTTGCCGTACGTAGTCGTCTGACTTCTTCCAATGGTTTTCTACCAACATGGTCATGTATCGTCAGAGTTGACAAACATTTCTGTTACAGTTTCAATGACGCCGCTTGGGGCCACATAGTTCGAAGCTGGGATAGAAAAGACGGGTGATCTAGCCTTTCCTGAGGCTAAGGATTGAGCTCAGCTTGTACTACATTTCCAACACACATGCAATACCTTGATTTTGTCTTCGCTTCATATACTCCTCGAATGACTCCGCTGGCCTGTAAAGCCTTGAGTGGAGCTGCAAAGCACCCCACAAGAAGAACTCACGGCACGTAGGTCTGCTTGGACTTGGGGTCGTTGGGGTCGAGCCTGGTCGAGACCGGGTCACGGGTGTGGGCCTTCTTCTCGCCGCCCCAGCCGGCGTCAGGGAGATCTCCGGCATCTTGTGCTGGTCGATAAGAAAGGCGAAGCGAAACTTTCGACGGAGTCTACGAAGAGACAAATTTAGATGTGAAAGGAGTTAAGGAATAAAGTGTAGACAGGGACAAGATGCAGTCTTGACATCAACAAGATTGTTCATATTGACTCACTGGAATACACGATCCCACGAAAGCAGCAGGCGCAGACGACGAGGACAAAGGGGTGAGCATGGCGGCGCTGGAGGCTGCGTGGGTGCTGCTGACTAAAGGTTTTACAGCCAAAAAAAATTATGTTTTACAGCGAAAAAAACTCCGAAACGCAGTTTACAGCCTACCTGTACCCACCATTCTGGAGATGGTTAAGTCATGACCCCCTTAAATCCCTGACAAGTACCCACCCAAATTCAGGTTTAGATGTCACCGAGAATAACCCACCTTGGTCCATGCGGGCGGCTGTTGCCCTACCAAGTACCACAAGGTACCCCACCCCCGGCCCTCCATATCTCGTTGATTCCCTCCCGTCTGGTTTTAGCCAGATGGTATAGTGAAACTATTACTCAACTTGACAGCGACAGCTGCTGGCTCCATCATGTCACGGGGTCCTGACGGGGTCCCGGGCCGGAAGTTGAAGGGCGGGGGGGACCGTCCCGGAAGTCACAGGCCCTTCAGTGTCCGCCAGCAAGCCTACGGGGGTACAGCCTCTGATGAGAGGCCGGCCCGGCCAGTCACTCCCTGTCCGGCCCGTCAGGTGAGGCTCCGGCCGGGACTCGGGACTCCAGACGGTGGCAGTCAGACTTTACTCAAAGTTAAGTGAAAGTTAAAAATCAGTACGAGGACAATCAGGAGACGGTCGAGGAAGTAGCCTGAGGCCAAACGGCGAGAAGAGAAAAGACAGCGAGAACCGTGGCAAACCTATTCCTGCCCGGCCAACTGCTGTCCCCCAACCTAACTGATACCTTCACTTAACTGCGCGCAGGACAGTTCCCCCGCACCATGCCAGCGACATCCTGATCGCTGTGGCCGCCGCCGAAGGAATGAGACTGATCGGACGCATACCGGAACGCACCCGCGATGATGGCAGCGAAGGACAGCGACGAAAGATCCTGGACCGGACTCCGGGATGCGTTTGCACGTCGTCGGACCACCTGAGACGCGGAGTCTTGCGAGGCCGACTCCTCGCCGGAGTCGGAGACTCCCGACCATCTGAGGCTGAGCACGGTGATATTAAGTCACACGGACGGTAAAGGCTCCCGCCCGGCGTGAACGGCGGCGGCCCGGGCCGTCCGGGGACGCCGTATCATCGGACTCAGTACGGTCCACTGGCCACGGGGGGCCCCCGCCGGACGGTGACTTAGCAACTCAAAGCCTAGTCACTCATAATTAAGCGGCGGCACAGCGGCAGTACGGTCAAGTCACTGACGGCGGCGGCCATACGGCGAGACTCGAGAAACTCCGCAACTTAGTTGAATCATAGTACACGGTGACCGTACGGGGAGCTCTTGAACTTATCGGAAGTCGGAAGTTCCCCCGCATGCCCGGTGGGCCCGGCCTGAGCCTGCGGCACTGAGGCAGTGCCCGGCCGCCCGGGTGACTCAAACTGAGTCTGCCCCCGATCAACTTACCGGGCCGCGGCCCGGCCCGCCGCCGGGCGGCGTTGCCGCAAGTTTGTGGCAATGCGCGCTTGAGGATTCCTTCTGCATGCTGCTCCTGTCCCGCCCTTCCTTATTACCATACCTCCTCCGTTCTCCACCCCTCCTCTCATCTATCGTTCACCTGTTCTGCATACATTCCATCTTTCAGGCCCTCCTTCCTTTGAGCCTGAACTCTGAATGCTTCCTTCACATTTCCTGTCCCATCCTCCTCCTCGATCATAGTGTCCTTCCTTTTCCTGATATGATAGACTTCCAACATTTTCTGAGTTAGGTTACTGCTTTTTCTCTGATATGATAGACTTCCAACATTTTCTGAGTTAGGTTACTGCTTTTTCGTCCTCTCCCGTCATCCATTCTTTTCCAAATCTTTTCCGATCTCTGAATTTGCATTTCACCTATATCTCCTTGTTTCCACATCCTTTTCCGTCCTTTCCTTTCAAGACCTCCTCTGCTTTCCCCCCTTCCCTTTCTCTTTTTCCCTCATTTTCTTTCCTCGCCTTCTTTCCTTGGGATTCCTACTCCTCCACTCTTGAACCACCACCATCTCCTCCTTCCAATTGCCCGCTCCAAACTTGTCTTGATACAATCCATACGGCTGGTTACATGAGTGTTCTCCTTGCCATTCTGATTCTTAAGCCAATAATCATCAAAACACTGAACATTTTACTTTACCGATGCCTCTGGTAGTCTTCTTGCGAATGCTTGCTTACCCTGAATGCTCCTCTACACTGTTTCTCTCTGCTCTTATTCCGAATCCCGGCTTGGTAACCTTGCTTTATACTTGCTATCTTTTCTTTGTCTCCCCAACCCTATGCTGCTCGCTGATTTGCTTGTGACTCTTAAAGCTTCTTCCTTGCCTTCCTCTCCAAATACCTTCCTCTTGATCACCTTCCCGTTCCCAGGCAGTGTGTGCAAATCCATCAGGCCGAGCATCAAGATCAAACAGATCAAATTCTTATCATGCACTGATCGTCAGTTGAAGAGAGCACTTTGCATTTTTGGGTATTCGCTGCGTTGTTGTCGGTTCTGATTTCCTCGTTCTCCACACTGGATTTCCTCGTTCTCAACATAGTCATTTCAAGAAGACACTGGGTGGTTCGAAAGAAAGCGCAATGCTGAAAATTATGTCGAAATTGAACACAGTACAATTTTGGGATCAAATCTTCAATGAATAGGAAAAAGAACAGAAGGAGTAACTACGATGCTAATCGAAGACACCTCCTTTACTTGCCAGCTGCTTGTCTGCGCTTGAGGTATTCTTCAAAGGACTCGGCAGGCCTGGTATATCGTTAGAAACTGCTTCACAAAACAAAAAGAAAACATACGGAATGTAGGTCTGCTTGGACTTGGGGTCGTTGGGGTCGAGCCTGGTCGAGACCGGGTCACGGGTGTGGGCCTTCTTCTCGCCGCCCCAGCCGGCGTCAGGGAGATCTCCGGCATCCTGTGCTGGCTTGCCCTGCAAACCATGGGTCAAAGATATCCTCAGGGCCAAGCATAATACATACCGCCATAACAGGGGCAGAGCTGTATGAAGAGGATCTACTAGGAGTGTAGCCTGACGTCGAGTAGCTGATGCGATTTCCAGTTTGCTGCTGGAGCGAGGCTTGATAAGAAGAGAACGATGGAGCTGGAGCCGGAGCAGGAGCTGCTGCAGCTGGCGCTGGTGCGGCTGCGGATCCTCCCTGGCGTGCCTTCATGTACTCCTCGAACGACATCGCCGGCCTGCCTCCCTCGTCAGCCTCTCCCTTCTCTCCCTCCGTCTCAGTCACTCACGGCACGTAGGTCTGCTTGGACTTGGGGTCGTTGGGGTCGATCCTGGTCGAGACCGGGTCACGGGTGTGGGCCTTCTTCTCGCCGCCCCAGCCGGCGTCAGGGAGATCTCCGGCATCCTGTGCTGGCTTGCCCTGCCAACCGCAAGTCAGATCAAGGCAATAGGTAAGCAAGCTCAGCTACCGCAGGTTCATTGTACTGAGGAGCGTAGGAAGCAGCAGGGGCGGAGGCGGGGGCCGAGCGAGCTCCGGGAGTGTATCCGCCAGTGGTAGAGTAGCTCACGCCCCTGCTCGGAGCAGCCGAGGACTGGGGAGCGTAGGAAGGAGCAGCGCTGTACGAGGCCGAGGCAGCAGGAGCCGGGCTGGCCGAGCGGCCGCGAGGAGTGTATCCGCCAGTGGTGGAGTAGCTGATGCGTCCGCCAGAGGGAGCCGAGGACTGGGGAGCGTAGGAAGGAGCAGCGCTGTACGAGGCCGAGGCAGCAGGAGCCGGGCTGGCCGAGCGGCCGCGAGGAGTGTATCCGCCAGTGGTGGAGTAGCTGATGCGTCCGCCAGAGGGAGCCGAGGACTGGGGAGCGTAGGAAGGAGCAGCGCTGTACGAGGCCGAGGCAGCAGGAGCCGGGCTGGCCGAGCGGCCGCGAGGAGTGTATCCGCCAGTGGTGGAGTAGCTGATGCGTCCGCCAGAGGGAGCCGAGGACTGGGGAGCGTAGGAAGGAGCAGCGCTGTACGAGGCCGAGGCAGCAGGAGCCGGGCTGGCCGAGCGGCCGCGAGGAGTGTATCCGCCAGTGGTGGAGTAGCTGATGCGTCCGCCAGAGGGAGCCGAGGACTGGGGAGCGTAGGAAGGAGCAGCGCTGTACGAGGCCGAGGCAGCAGGAGCCGGGCTGACCGAGCGAGCTCCGGGAGTGTATCCGCCAGTGGTGGAGTAGCTGATGCGTCCGCCTGATGGCGCTGCAGATGGAGAATAAGAAGCAGCGGGAGATGATGCTGCCGCAGCTGGCGCTGGTGCGGCTGCGGATCCTCCCTGGCGTGCCTTCATGTACTCCTCGAACGACATCGCCGGCCTGCCTCCCTCGTCAGCCTCTCCCTTCTCTCCCTCCGTCTCAGTCACTCACGGCACGTAGGTCTGCTTGGACTTGGGGTCGTTGGGGTCGACCCTGGTCGAGACCGGGTCACGGGTGTGGGCCTTCTTCTCGCCGCCCCAGCCGGCGTCAGGGAGATCTCCGGCATCCTGAGCTGGCTTTCCTCCGTACGAAGGGGCCGCAGCAGCTGCTGGCTGGGCAGTGGCACCCTGCCTTTTCTTCATGTACTCCTCAAACAGAGATGGCTTCGAATCAGCTGACGGCTCAGCACGAGAGCTCTTCACAGACTTCTGCAACTTGCAAAATCAGAGAACAATCTTTGTTCAATGTAATGACCAACCAGATCCACAACGCCGCTGCCTGCAGAGAACGACGAACCGGAGATTGGTGCAACATATGTTTGCGCAGTCTTGGACCCTGCAGACATTCTCAATGGATGATTTCAACATGTTTCAATTTGCATTACCTCCAGAATTACGTCTCTTCAAATATTCTTCAAAGGATTCAGCAGGCCTAACAGATGTCAGATACTTTCTCAGTCACAACGAACTGCTTACGGAACGTAAGTCTGCTTAGCCTTGGGGTCACTTGGATCCATCCTGGTAGGCTTCGGATCCCTGGTGTGTGCTTTCTTCTCTCCACCCCAGCCGGCATCAGGTAGATCTCCAGCATCCTGCGCAGGCCGATAGGACATGCGGAGGACAGTGGGGGCAGTGGCCTAGCACAATGTCGGCAAGGGATAGCAAGACAATCTTCTGTCATTGTACTTACCGAGGATACATGAGACCCAGGAAGCACAGGATTGACAGTGGGAGCAAAGGCTGCAGTTGGCAGCTTGGAGAGCATGGCGATCAACAAGCGGCGATGCGGTGAGGAATGGAGGGATCGTGGAAGGGCAAGATGAAGGGGATACCCCTAAGTGGGGGGAGGAAAAAAAAAAGAGAAAAATAAGGATTTTGGTGGGTGGTCAGGGAAAACGTGGGGTAGTCAAGTGGGATTCGCCAGGTGGGTACTACCTCTTAGAAGGTCGCGTTTACCCCCTTCCGATTCTCTTTACAGGTCCCAGAAGGGGTTGGTCCTAGGAAATCCAGGGGGTATTTGAAGGGAAGAAATGGGGTCCAAGGAGGTTCACCAGCCTTGATCTCAGCGTACTTTTACCACCTGTACCTGTCTTTTTGGGGTTATGAGGGGGTAGGGGGGTATTGTTTCAGGCTCGCCCCAGCACTAGAATCGCCCCCCCGCCTCAGATGTCCTCTAAGAGGTTCCTACCCCAGAACCCTGCCGATTCCCATCAACCTGCAGGATTTCTACCCCCCTCCCTCCCCCCCCCACCCCCCACCCCCGGGTCTAGCTCCGGCAGGTATAAAGGGCTGCACCTGGTAAGCAGCTTCAAGAGAACCTAGGCCTTCGCCCCCGGCCCAGGAACCCGGGAGTTTAGACTCTTTTGGTCGGGGGTAGACACCGAGGGGTAGAATGGGTACCCCTCTATCGATGATCGACACCTACTACATGTATTTCACCCACCCGTCGGTGAAAGGGGGCCCTTGCAAGCCAAGCAGTGCTGACCAAATGCCTCCCCCATTCCTTTTATGTCTAAACGCGTACTGCTTTAGCTCATTTTCGGTAGTGGGCGACCCTAGCCAGTAGAGACGCTTGTAAGGGATGAAGTACTTTAGGAGGTAGGAGGAGATGGGTACGTGGGTGGGGTCAATTTTTTTCATCTTTTTTTCTTTTTCTTTCTTTTTCTTTCTTTTTCTTTCTTTTTCTTTTCTTTTTTCCTCCTGTAAAAACCTTGGTGTATGCTTTCTTTTTTCCAACGATGGGATAATGGGGGGTAGGGGTGCTGGTAATATTATAACGTACCCGTGCTTGTGGCTTCTTCCTTCTAAGAGAATGACCCCGTGATACGAACCCTTTCCTCACGTGTACCCCTCGTTTCCGCCTTGTATCCCCTGTAAAAACAACCCCACCCCACCCTCGTGATGCCTAAACTATATCCCACCCTACCTTATTTTCAACGACGCGTTTGGCATCCCCACCCCGTCATCAATGCAAAAGCCATGGTCACACCCCCTCGACGACATCGAATTTGGGGGTATTCGCAACCCTAGAGATGGCCTTGGGTCTCATGAATCTACCCCTACCCCCTTTTCGACTTCCATAGACCCCGACCCATCGGACTTCACCCTTAGAACTTTTCCCGAGTCCACCTCAGGTTTCTGACTACCCGTCTCTTTCACCAAAGACTACCCTACCAATCGTCACCTGCTACTCCCGCCGCAATCCCGCCATGCTTACGCCGATGCCATCAGCTCCCATGCCGGGCGCATACGCGACGGTGAGGGGAAGATGCAGATCAAATTCGTTTGCCGAAGATTTGAAAACTTGACTGTTGCCCCTGTGTTATGAAGAAGAAACTTTGTGAAATGATTTGTGCATGAAAATCACTGTTTCTCGTAGTTTCATTTTTTGACGATTCTTGTTGCTCTGTCAGGCCTCTGCAAGCACTATTCTCCGGATGTCATCTAGACCAGCACAAGACGCAGGAGATCTTCCAGATGCGGGCTGGGGAGGGGAGAAAAAGGCACATACAAGAGACCCTGCTTCTACGCAAATCGACCCGGCGGACCCTAAGTCAAAACAGACATACATTCCGTAAGTTGCCTTCTGCAAGATCAGGATGCTTCTTGCTGAAACTTTCAAAACAAAGACCCACGGAAACCTTCGAGGAGTATCTCAAACGCAGACAGAGCTCTGGTGAGTACTGTGATGCAACGCGCCAGTAGCCATGACAGGTGGTTGCCCAGCCCAGAAAGCACCGAATAGCGTTATCGCCCCAGTGTCAGGGCCCTTGCGTGCTGCATCAAGTGGTGTTGTGGATTTGGTGAGTTCGTTGACGGCCATGAAATTCTCGCTGATGCCTGGGTTGCAGAAGTCGGTGGCAAAATCAAGGAGCGAGAGTTCGAACGTTGAGCCCTCGACCAGACAGTATGCATGCATGACACTATGGTGTGACAGTGTGATGGTCTCTCTTCAGGCAAACGGTTTCCTTCGACGAGTACATGAAAAGAAGAAATCAAGGTAAATAATTGAATCTCAACACGCAGTTGCAAAACTTGCCACACTGTTCACACTGCAAAACAACAGGGGAGAAGGCAAAACCTGCAAAGGCGATGGGTGAAGAAATGAGTATATTCGAGAAATACATGCAGAACAAACAGAATCAAGCATCATCAGTAACTGTATGTGTATTGCTATCTCAATCTCCTGTAACCTGCCTTTTTGCAGAATGCACAGGATGCCGGAGATCTCCCTGACGCCGGCTGGGGCGGCGAGAAGAAGGCCCACACCCGTGACCCGGTCTCGACCAGGATCGACCCCAACGACCCCAAGTCCAAGCAGACCTACGTGCCGTGAGTGACTGAGACGGAGGGAGAGAAGGGAGAGGCTGACGAGGGAGGCAGGCCGGCGATGTCGTTCGAGGAGTACATGAAAAGACGACAAGATCAACTGAATGATTCACTTCAGGCAACATCAACAAACTCCAAGCCACAAACATCTACACCGCAAGCTAATCGAGTAAGCTACTCCACCACTGGCGGATACACTCCCGGAGCTCGCTCGGCCAGTCCGGCTCCTACTGCCTCGGCCTCGTACAGCGCTGCTCCTTCCTACGCTCCCCAGTCCTCGGCTCCTCCGAGCAGAGGCGTGAGCTACTCCACCACTGGCGGATACACTCCTCGCGGCCGCTCGGCCAGCCCGGCTCCTGCTGCCTCGGCCTCGTACGGCTCAGAGCTGCCTTCAGCGAACTCCGAGTCCTCGGCTCCCTCTGGCGGACGCATCAGCTACTCCACCACTGGCGGATACACTCCCGGAGCTCGCTCGGCCAGCCCGGCTCCTGCTGCCTCGGCCTCGTACAGCGCTGCTCCTTCCTACGCTCCCCAGTCCTCGGCTCCCTCTGGCGGACGCATCAGCTACTCCACCACTGGCGGATACACTCCCGGAGCTCGCTCTGCCAGCCCGGCTCCTGCTGCCTCGGCCTCGTACGGCTCAGAGCAGCCTTCAGCGAACTCCGAGTCCTCGGCTCCCTCTGGCGGACGCATCAGCTACTCCACCACTGGCGGATACACTCCTCGCGGCCGCTCGGCCAGCCCGGCTCCTGCGGCCTCGGCCTCGTACAGCGCTGCTCCTTCCTACGCTCCCCAGTCCTCGGCTCCACCGAGCAGGGGCGTGAGCTACTCCACCACTGGCGGATACACTCCTCGCGGCCGCTCTGCCAGCCCGGCTCCTGCTGCCTCGGCCTCGTACGGCTCAGAGCAGCCTTCAGCGAACTCCGAGTCCTCGGCTCCCTCTGGCGGACGCATCAGCTACTCCACCACTGGCGGATACACTCCTCGCGGCCGCTCGGCCAGCCCGGCTCCTGCTGCCTCGGCCTCGTACAGCGCTGCTCCTTCCTACGCTCCCCAGTCCTCGGCTCCCTCTGGCGGACGCATCAGCTACTCCACCACTGGCGGATACACTCCCGGAGCTCGCTCGGCCAGCCCGGCTCCTGCTGCCTCGGCCTCGTACGGCTCAGAGCAGCCTTCAGCGAACTCCGAGTCCTCGGCTCCCTCTGGCGGACGCATCAGCTACTCCACCACTGGCGGATACACTCCCGGAGCTCGCTCGGCCAGCCCGGCTCCTGCTGCCTCGGCCTCGTACAGCGCTGCTCCTTCCTACGCTCCCCAGTCCTCGGCTGCTCCGAGCAGGGGCGTGAGCTACTCCACCACTGGCGGATACACTCCCGGAGCTCGCTCGGCCCCCGCCTCCGCCCCTGCTTCTTCCTACGCTCCTCAGTACAATGAACCTGCGGTAGCTGAGCTTGCTTACCTATTGCCTTGATCTGACTTGCGGTTGGCAGGGCAAGCCAGCACAGGATGCCGGAGATCTCCCTGACGCCGGCTGGGGCGGCGAGAAGAAGGCCCACACCCGTGACCCGGTCTCGACCAGGGTCGACCCCAACGACCCTAAGTCCAAGCAGACCTACGTGCCGTGAGTGACTGAGACGGAGGGAGAGAAGGGAGAGGCTGACGAGGGAGGCAGGCCGGCGATGTCGTTCGAGGAGTACATGAAAAGACGACAGGATCAGAGCTATAGTGCCCTGGGTAGTAGCAGAAGTTCTCCCAATCTTTCAGCTTCGACAGCAGTCAAGTTCTCTCAGCCAGAAGACAATTCTCGCCCTGTTTCTGCAGCTGCAGGCAAGCGCATCAGCTACTCAACTACGGGAGGTTACGTTCCTCGAGGAAGGGCGAGAGACGATGAAGGGAGCTCTGACGGTTCCAACCCTCCTTTGTCTCCTTGTACAAGCTGAAATGATTTCCAGATCTAATCTCTTCAGCTCGAAATGAAGACTCTGAGGACGGATCTGTATCTGTCCTTAAGAACTCAAGGCCGGTTCATTTCTATCATGACTATTTATATCAGCGTCAAAAGTCAGGTGTCAACATGCAGGCGATCACACGTCCTTCTTCCTGACTTGATCGTTTGCTTTACAGTCATGGCAAAAATCTCTTCGGGATCGGAACAGAACGACCAGGTCGTGTATTGAGCGAATCTTGTTGCTTTGTGAAAAAAAAGTGCAGGCGTTCAAGGCACAAGCGGCGCAGTGGTTGTACGACAAGAGATACTTCCAAACAGCAAGCACGAAGAAAAGCAATGCTCCGTGAGTGATTTGGTTCAAAGCTGCTGCTCCTGAGTTTTCTCCCAGGGATGCAGAGACGTTTGAAGACTACATGAAGAGAAGAGAAGTCGTGAAATGAAATGGGGGGCATTCATGAGATACAGAACACCCTACTGCTTCCTCTGTACATTTCCAAATTCTTTCACATGGAGCAGGAGTATTCCTCATCCATTGTTGTATTCATTTTGCTCGTCTCTATCCTTCCACTACACAGGTCAAGCTCTTGACCCTAGATAGATGATCGTTGAACAAGAATGTGTAGTTTGTGATTTACCGGGAACATGCATTTGCCTGCCACAGAATGTTTTGGAGTAAACGATTGCGATCAACTCTCGTCTTCTTCTAGGTTGATGCTCTTGCCAAACTTGAGCGTCAGCCTGGCCTTGAGTTCCTTCATCCTCGACTTCACCTGTGCACATGGCTGATAAGTACCGGACGCGGGTCTTGAGGATAGTCTTACCGTGAGGATTTCAGCCTGCAGTTGGTTTGTTTCCCCTTCCACCTCCTCAATACACTTGTCGACATGCCCTTGCGCATCTTCCTGGTTCAGCTCAACGAAAGCTTCTCCGACAGACAGCTGAAGAGGACATCAAACATCTGATAATGTTGAAGAAGTTCAAGTACTTTGACTGGTTCAGAATCATCGAGGAGCATCATAATCTCGTTACTGCAATCTTGCAGGTTTTGGAGGTGGTCCTGCAAAATCTTCAATTGCATCAACCAAGCTTGAATATACCTTCTTGGACTTGATGTCATCCTCCAACTCATGGAATCTGATGTTCAGTTTACTAAATTCGTTGATATCTGCCTGGAATGATACATGGCATTCAGATTGTCAGAACGTCGAACACTTCTGACTTGGTGTTCAGCCATTTGATTTGATATCCTGCTTTCACGCAAGAAATGCATCCAAACAATAAAGCATTGACACGTTGATAGACATGCAATAATGACACATATATGTCATCGAATGACCTCATTTTGGTCATCGCTCAAGAGAGGAGGAACCAGCTTAATCAAGTCACGACATCTCCTGTCCAGTCCGCAAACTCTCATCAGACACTTGGGACTGTCCTTGCAGGTTGTCCCTCATGCTGCTTCCTCCTCCTCTTACCGCCTCCCATGTCGCCTCTCTCACCTGATCTGCTGCCGTCACCTCCTTCTCCTCCCCTTCCTCGCCCGCCGCCATCATGGTTCCCGCGCTTTCTCACAGAAAGTGTAACGATCGTAACGTTTAGTTTAAAATTGTTTTAAAACAACCCTCGTAACGACTGTAACTGAAGGAGGGCAGTTGGAGCATGGCGGGACAAGGCGGCGGCGGCGGCGAGGGAGCACAGGGTGCGGTCGGGGGATCGAGACGAGATGTAGAGAAGCAGGGGAAGACAACAAAGCAGGATGAGGATGATGTTGTGAAGAGAGACATGCTGTCAACGCTCGTCATGCTGCTCACGAACAAACATAGCGCAGAGCTCTATGACAGGCAGGTGAAAACGTTAATGAGAATCAGCAAGGCTTATAGCGACGGGTTCTTCATTGCAGACATTCATAAGCTCGTCCAAATTTTCAAACATGTTGGGGGTCGGGTGGATCAAGGGATGACAGAGTTTGTTGAGCCTCTTTGCGATCTGTTGAACATTTGCTCCAAGCCCTTTGTTAAACAGATAGCGAGCGAGGAATACAGAAACTTTGACTCTTTGAGCGAAATCGTACAAGTAATCTGCTCCTTTATATCGTCTAAGATTCCTGAGATTCAGCTTTCGGCGGCAGCAGCCATGATCGCATATTCAACGACTGACGAAGGGTTGCCCGCTAGCATTAGTTTTCGGAATCAAATTCTCGAAAGCAGCAGCGCCATTGAAAACATCGGACAGGTCTTTCAGAGGGGGGAACTCGACAAGAAGGTACTGCTCCAACTTCTACAGCTCCTGCTCGAACTCTCTCGCAGAAACGAACTGGCAGCGCAGATTTCACAGCAAAATTGTTTGGAGTACGCCGTGGAAGCTCTTCTGCATGGTTTCAAATCACATATATGCGTGATATCGGTAGAGATTCTCTGGAATTGTATGGAGAATGTCCCGTCTGCCGCTGAGCGACTTGGTACCAAGAGGACGGCAGACGTGTTTGCTCAGGTCATCACAGACCTGTTGAAGGAAGGTTATCGATCGCAAGACAAGGAGTTGAGGAATGAGTTGCTGCTGGTGCTGCATTACTTGGCGGAGAAGGTCGTTATCTCCTCTCCATGTCAGATTTCTGATGCTGACTATGTTTCTGCCCTGCAGGATAAAATCCATGAATTCTTTATCGCCAACGGTTTCCTGGAAACCTTGTTGACTACTTCATCTGCCAGCGAGAGTGAAGTAAGAAACGATGTAAAGTCGTCGGTTTTGACCTCCTCGAGCGAAGACTTTGAGATGAAGCGGACCATGATGCACATAATTTGCCTGCTGTCCGAGAACCCAGCTTGCATGGATAGAATCAAACAACACCACTCCTTTATTCCAGGCCTGGTCTTGCACTTGGACGAAAGGTATGTCAACCATCTTGCAAGGAAGAAGTTCTCCCGGCAACAACAGAGACAGCTCCAGATCGAATGTTTGTCTTCTCTCGTCATCCTCGTGCCGAAATTTCCGGATCTCTTCATCCAGCTCGGAGGCCTCGCCATCATCCTCCAATTTCTTTCTGAACAGTCGGAGGAAAGTCTTCGTTCCGGTTGCCTTCGTCTCCTCATTCAGTGTGCAAAGCTTCCTGGCTTCCAAGAAGAGCTTGGAGGGAAGGCTGTGGCCATGATGATCTCGTTGGTAAAGGAGCAGAGCATGCATCCGTTCCATATCCGGCAGGATGCACTTAGCGTCCTTGCTCGACTGTGTGAGAATTGCCCTGCCAACCAGAACATCGTCTCGGCGTTGGAGGGCCTGGATGCATTGATAGAGAACATTGAGTGGACGGTGGAGGAGACGATCAGGATGGAGCCGATGTCTCTGACTGCTGTGGATGCAGTCTGGTGCATCGTGTGCGGGAACAGAGAGAACGAGAGGTTGTTCGAGCAGAAGGGAGGGCTAGAGGCTTTGGTGCTGCTGCTTGACAAGTGCCCCCGTTTCTTGCAATTCCTGGTCGTGAGTTGCATGTGCCAACTGGTTGAGAATCAGGGCCTGCTGGAGCAGCTTAGGACTCTGAGGGAGCCAGTCGCCAACAAGGCGGTGACGCACCTGCTGATCAGGCTGTGGAGGGAAGAGGAAGACTACATCCTGCAGGAGGAAAGGAAAGAGTTGGAGATCAGAGGCGTCAATCTGAGGAGAGAGGAAGACATGAGGTCGGGAGAGCTCGTTGAGCACCTGACCCTGAAGAACCTGCACACGAAGATCCATTCCCTGCTTGTCAAACTCGGTTTTGACACGGCGAGGGACGAGTTGGACACAGAGGAGAAGAAGAAGCTCTTCCAGATCGAGAAGTATCTGCAGGCGCATGAAGCCACTCTGTGGCAGGCGTTCAACAAGGAGCTAGCAGAGGAAGGGATCCGGCCTGTCACACCTGACCGCAGGATTCTGGAGAGGAGGGTCGATGAGAACATGGCAGCCCAGGAGGAGCTCGAGGAGCAACTGGAAAATATGGACGCACAGCATGAGGCGGGAGAGCAGGAGGAGCTGCGACAATTCTTTCAGCAGATCCATCAGGAGGAGCTTGCCAGGAAGAACACGGTGAAGCGAGTCAGTCAGGCCCTGCCGACGTCGACGAGGACCAAGATCATCGTGGACTCGCACAAGTCGCAGATCTATCCCCCGCTGATCGCAACGACAAGAGGGCTGGAGGAAAAGACCAACGACGGGCGGGGGAGCCGAACAGAGAGGAAGGACAACGTGGAGGAGTTCCTGCGGGACTCCGCAACATCGAAGCTGGTAAGTGCCCCTTCCTTCCTTTCGTGTTGCTCCTGCTCGCCTCCCTCCTCCTTCCTCCCTGCGCCATCCCCGTTGATGTTGCTCACCGGCGCTTGTCAGGTGGCATCCAGACCTACAAGTGCAAGGCCGAAGAGTGGGAAGAGCGTTGAAGGCAGTCAGACCCCAGCTGGGGCCGGAGTGAACGCAGCCATCGCATTACGAGCTTCTTAGCTAGCTATCCCCTCATTATTGTTTTCTATCCTCTTGAACCAATCGCGAAGCTACACCATTGCGCAGCTCGTGCTCGACTCGCCGCAGCCGGCTGTGGATCTCGCTGCCACGTCACGTCAGCACCTCCCTCGTCCTGTAGCTGCAAGTTGCCTGACGGATGGCTCCAGCCTCGATGCAAGTCTCAACATCTCCAGGGCCCTCTTATGGTCCTGGCAGTTTGCAAAGGAGCAAACGCACGAGTCAAAATGTCGATGTGCCAGATGAGACCGACGGGGAGGAGTCCTGACCTGATAGCGCTGGGATATCATGGTGCTGTAGGAGCACAGAGTCTGTGCATGATGAGGATCCATCTTGAGCAACGCCTGCATCGCTATCAGGCAAGATGCACCAACGAGTCTGGCAGACCTCGTAATGATATGTTGCCTCATCAATCTCACCCTTCATCTGCAACACAGTCGCGAAGTTGGAACGAAGCTCCAGGTTGTCAGGTATCAGCATGAGCGCGTCCTGGTGAACGATCATCATCGTCCTCATCCGATCGGTCGACTGACCCGAAAAGTCTTGACTGCCAAATCAGCTTGCTTCAAGTAAAACTGCGAGAGAGCAAGACTGCAACGAAGAGATGTCTTACTCTTCTCTCAGAGCATCAGGATCAAAGACCTGTTCCAGGATGTAGCATGGTAGGGGTCGAGGCTCTTGGCGATGGTGAAGAAGTAGGCAGCAGTCTTGCGATCTTTGCCACAGGACCCCAAAACCCTCCCGAGGTTGAAGTAATGATCAGGGTTCTCCGGCTCGATCGCTGCAGCTCGGCTGACGTGCGTCATGCTTTGACAACAGATGAACTTCTCCTCACCGATACAGAGAGACCACGTCCTCCCAATTCTCATCGCACCTCTCAACGACTTTCACCAGCTCAAGGATGACGGCAAGGTCTTGAGGATCTTGAGCAAGAGCTTTCCTGGGGAAGAACAGACGCTGTCTCAGCAGATCAATCTCCTCCATCTAACTTCCTCGCCTGTACATCAGAGAGGCTTCACTGTCTCTCCCTGTCTGTGACAGTAGACATCCATAAAGGTTCATACACTCAGAGTCCTTGGGATTGATCTCTAGCGCACTCCTAACATAGTGCCGCTCAACAACAAGGAACGTGAGAGAGTTCATACCGCAGAAGAGCCTCCGCTTCCTTCCTCTTGCCGATCCCAACCTTGAGAGATGCCAGCACTGTCCTCGCTCCTGTGTGCTTCGGATTGAGCCACAACGCCCTCTGCAGCTCACGGTCTCAGCGTCGCCCTTTTAGCCCCCCACACAAACTTTGAGAAGCTCGTCTGCCTTGAGGATGTCTCTCCCTTTCTTCTTGATGTACTCTGCCTTCATCTGTCCAACAGTTCAGGTGCGGAGCATGGCGGCTCCTGCCAACCACCTGCGGGAGGTAGGAATGGATTTTCCTGCGTGTCCGATTCGCAGGATGACCGTGCTGCTGCTGCGCAGCCCCTATGACACCGGAGGAGTTTGATTGGAGCTTCAAGGATGAGACGTTTCTCTCAGTGGGGGGCCTGAGACCAGTACAGGAGCGTCACGTATGCGAGGATCGACCTCCTCGCTTGTACTCCACGTTTTGGCTACCTCAAGACCAGGAACTCAGCATAGGCCACCAGCGGGAGCGAGTGATTCTGAAAGAGATGGATGGCCCCGTTGAAGATTCGCTCAGCCTCTTCGTAGTCAGGGTCTTCCCTGAGCTTGAGATCAGCGAAAGTCAAGTGCAGGCTCGCAGAAAGCTTGCCTGTGCCAAAGAATGCTGGCAAGGTTCAGCAGAGGAGCCAAAGAAGAGTTGAACGGTATCATCGAGCGGATGGCTCCCTCCGCCCCCGTCAGGTTCTTCCAGTGCACTGCCTGGATGTATGCAAGGTTGTTCGCAGCTAGAGGAAGCCCTGGGGAGATGCGAAGGGCGTTCTCGTAGCATCGTGCTGCTTCCAGATAACGACCCTCGTTCATCCCGTCCTGGGCGGAGTTCAACCATGGCAGAAGACTTGAGTTGCCGCCCTCGATGTCGAGCTTGATGGTGGATACCGCCCCATCTTCGTCTTTCAAGTCTCCAAGGGGATACGCATGGAAGAATCCATGCTTCTGCCTCCGTCCTGCTAGGCTGGGCGCAGAAACATCAGCCGGCTCGAGACGCGAGATCGCGAGCACGAGCAAGAGCAGTCTTGCCGCCACGTGCTCCATCGGGAGACGGGGAAGCATGCGAGAGGAGGACAGTGATCATATCATGTCGCCAGCTGCATGGCGCCGATCGCGTCGGGCGCGCTCCTCCTCGCTCTCCATTGCGCCTGCTCTGACTGCCGCAAACTTGTCTGCAGCCTCGATACTTATTTACGCGGGGCAAGGGAAGCAGGCCTGGGGAGGGGAGGGGGAGGGGGAGGAGGCAGGAGAAGGTCATGGCGAGCTCTGTGGATGAAGGGAGGATGAGATGACGACCTCAGCAGCATGTAGCGGCAGGGCGAGGAGAGGAGACGCGGTGCGGCTCTCTTGCTTCAACCTCTCTCTGCCTGGAAGCCAGAGGAGCGAAGAAGAGGAGAGAGCAGGGGAGAGGCGGAGGCCATTGGTCGGGAGGCTGGTGAAGCCAGGAGTACTGAGATCCAGCTTCTCGTCCATTGAGTCAGAGGCGCACGCTGCGGCTGGGCATGCCAGAGCTTGCAAGCAGGAGAGAAGGTGCGTGTTTGTTCGAACCCGGACCGCTGCACAGTCCTTGAGCCCTACAAGGAGGCTCGACCAGGCCGCAGGCCGCTTGCATGAGAGGGCAGGTCAGAGCCATGCACGGAAAGACGATGTGAGATCGCAGAACCAGAGGAGCCACCTGGATGGAAGTCGGCGAGCGAGAACGAGCCGGCCTGCCGCGGCTTCAAGGGAGGACGAGCAAGCGCTCGGTCAAGCTATGCAGGGAAGTCAGAGCAGGGAAGTGAGCATGAGACTGGAGCCCTTCAGAAGCAGCGAGATCATCCCGCACCGGCTGCTGGAGAGAGTTTCCATCCAAGGGTGTGGGCTAAACACCATCCCTCCTTGTATCGTCAGCTTGAAGCTGCTGACGTCGCTGGATTTGTCGTGGAATGGGATACGATCTCTGCCTTCGAGCATCAAGATGATGAAGGTACAAGCAAGGAGGTGTGATGCTGACCAGCATGTCTTGAACTTCCTGCCAGTCTCTCCGTTGGCTGGACGTTTCCTTCAACTGCCTCACGCATGTGCCCGAGGTGATCCAGACTGGTCCTGCTCTCGTCGCTCACTGACAAGAGCTCCTCCTCGCAGGACATCGGCAAACTGACACAACTGCAGACCTTGAAGCTAGGCGACAACTTCCTGTACCGACTGCCAGCCTCGCTGGATGGACACTTCTTCCGGCTCAGCCAGCTGCACGCGCAGTACAACGATCTCTCAGTAGGTTGCGATGGAGGTGGCGAGGGATGTTGACGACAGACTTCAGCGAGTGCCGAGACAAATCTTTCAGATCCCGAGCTTGACATACCTGGATCTGCGGGGAAACTCGAAACTCCCGGGTATGATCCATCAAGCCAGCACGTCAACAGCAGATGTTGTAAGGGCATTGAGAGAGGAAGAAGGAGGTACGCGCAACTTGAGAGGGCGTGAGGGTTGACAAGCTGTCTTCACAGATATGTCGGCAAGGTCGTTGTCGGATGCCAACATCGTGCGCAAGCTCATCAGGGAAATGAGACCAAATCTGCTCGGGCTGTTCAATCGACTGTCAGCTGAAATCGATGAGGACGAGCGGTGATTACGGATTGTGCTGAGAGCTCTACATGCAGGGATTGTACACGTCTCGCCATGCTCCGGGTACCTCTCCTTTACTTGTATAATGATAGCGTAGAATCAGGATCAGTCGGAGCGAACTCTCCGATTGTAAGTGTAGACACTGGGTGGAAATGGACTGTCGGTAAATCAGCTTCTTGTAAATTTGAACCTTTTCGAAGTTTCTGCAAGGTCAAACAAGATCAGACACACGACAAGACTAGAGCTGAAGATACCTTAATGACGCCCCCAAGCGCTAGATTCTCGATCGCCAGGATCAGGTTGATATAGGTGCCCTTGCTGCTGTCCGGCTCACACGGGGGGAGGTTGAGGCAGAGAGGGGTAGGGAGACGATGGGCAGGGACGATGCAGAGAGTTGTTTCAATGCCCTTCTCAAGTTTCAGGAGCTGAACAAAGGCTGACATGAAGCTGTCGTTCAATCTCGTCCGCGGATCGAACTCCGGCAGGTGCTGGTGCTCAATGTTGCTCGGGCCAAGGGAGGAGAAGTGGACTTTATCTTGGAGGCTGTCTGCTTTCGGGTTGAATCTCAAGCCGCATAGCAGATAGACTTGTTTCACCTTAGATTTGTGTCATGCACCTCCACCCTCCCAACAGAAAAATCCTACCTCATCCTGTATGATCTTCTGCACCAGGCTGAGAGCTACCGACGACGTGCTCTTCTCAACGATCTGTGAGTTGAGGCATATCAAAGACAGCACTGCTTCTCCGCTATCATTGTAAAATGTATCGACGTAGAGGTTAGCTAGAGGATCGACCCCCGCCCATGCTATCGCACAATCCCGCTGTACTCCGTTGTCATGGCGATACCACAGGGTCCCCGTTGATCCTGTCCTCCTTGCTTCCGGAACTTCCTTGTTGAGGAGCTCTCTCAGGAGCATGACGGCCCGCGCGCCCGAGGAAGAGATGTCGGCATAGCCCAGCACTAGACATGGTGCAAGCGCAGTGTCCACCCGAACGCCACCCGCCGCCATGGCGCTGTTTGGTTGCAATCGAACTGAATCCTTTAAACCAGGGAGGAATTTTTCAAGAAAGTGTAATGAGTGGATTTCAATCGAATGAAATCGTGCTGGAGGCCATGCCGGACCACGATAAGGTCTGAGGAGGACGGGGAGAAGGAGCAGGAGGAAGAGAACGACGAAGACTAGTGCAAGGAGGACAAACAAGAGGAGAGACATGGAAGAAGCGCTCGATCGACACGGGAGGTGATATCGAGTGAGCTGAAGATGCGTGGATAGAAGGAATGCGGAAGTGGTCTCGAAGTTGAAGCAGCCAGTCTGAAGCAGCCAGGTAGACTTGGACTCAGAGGATCATCCAGCAGAAAATTGTATCATCAAAGATGTTTGGTGGTAGAAGTTGTTCAATGGCGATGGTTGTCGTGGTTTTGGGGACGGTGGACTTGTCGTCGTCGTTCCGTATGCCACTGGTCGTTGAGCAAAGAATGCAACTGAGAGGAGGAGCTGAGAGGATGAGCGATGTGAAACAGATCGAGTTCTTCATGGACAAGTCAGAGCTGTCTTCTTTTCCTGGTGTACAGTCGGTCGCAGTGGTCGGCTCATGGGACGATTGGCAGGTGCAACAAAGTCTTAAGTATGTTTGGAAAATGACGGTGCTATAGAGCAAGACGGAGTTGCGGCAGGACGTACAGAGGTGATGCGGATGTTTTGTACTAGAGAGCAAACACGGTACTAGTGCGTGAGAAGAGAAAACTTACTGCGGGTCATGCAGGTGGGTAACAAGTCTGGATTTGGCACCTGGAGCTTACCAGTACAAGTTTGTCATCGACAAGGCAACATGGATTTGCTCTACTCAGGTGTGGGTAGAGTTCTTGCCATGTTTGTTCCCACTGACTTGTCTTCTTTGCTCAGCAAACTTCCATCACAGCCAACGGATTCAAGAACAACGTGATTGAAATCAGCCAGCTGGGCGATCAAAAGGTGGTGCCCTTGCCCTAAGGCTCGAAATTCTGACCAAACCATGCAGGACGAGGGTGGAGATGAGGAACAGTCGATGGGTGAGAGTGAGAGGAAAGGTTGGCAAGAAGATGGTATGCTGTTCGGAGTTGTACGGCCATTTGACATGAGGGTTGAAGGGATAGGAGTGTCAATGCAAGGAATGAGATCTGGGAGAGTGGAAGCATGGAAGAAGGAAGAAGCGAAGGAGGAGGAGGAGGAGGAGGAGAGATCATCAAGAGCAAGGTGACTGTGGTGAGAGGAAGAAGGTTTTCACTGATGGAGGAGCATCCCAGCATGTTGGAGCGTAGGGAGCGCCTGAACAGTTTGAGGGCTCGACGAGACATGCTGCAATCTTTGGACGAGAAACTTTCGAAGCTGGAGAACAGGGTGAGCTGTTTTTCTTGTTGCCTTGCTATCACTTGGAACTTGTTTATTTCGATCTGACCAATTGCAAAAGAATAATGGCCTTCAGGCGGTGCAGAAGGTGGAGAGCGTTGAAGAAGAAAATTTGGGCTCGCTCAGCATATCTGATGATGATGTCGATGTTGATGGAGAGGAAGAGATCGATGTTGATGAAGAGATCGATGGAGATGAGCAAGAGCAAGAGAAAGAGCAAGAGCAAGAGAAAGAGCAAGAGAAAGAGAAAGAGCATCAGTATGGCAAACGACAAGATCAACAGCAGCAACTGAAGCAGCAACACCACCACCACCACCAGCAGCAGCAGCAGCAACAACAACGACAACAACAACACCAGCACCAGCAGCACCAGCACCACCAGCACCAGCAGCAACACCAGCAGCAGCAACAACAACACCAGCAGCAACAACAACATCAGCAGCAACACCACCAGCAGCAACACCAGCAACAGCAACAGCAACAGCAACAGCAACAGCAACAGCAACAGCAACAGCAACAGCAACAGAATCAAAAGCTGCGGCTGCAACTGCAGCAAGACGATCAAAAACTTGCCGCGAAGGATGTTGCAGATGCCATCAAAGACCTTGATGAAAATGGGAATGGAGCAGAGAACAAGGAAATCGACGACGACGAAGCAGTCGGCACCCGTGAAGACAATGACGAGGATGTAGAGGATGGGGAGGAACCTTACAAGAACTTGTATTCACTTGAATCTTTATCATGTACTTTCTCTCTGAACCATGTCAAACAGAAGAAAGGATGGGAACGAGTCCCCGTCCAAAAAATGCATGTCGACGATAAAATCCCTTCTAGCACCCTCCAGGTCCTGAATTAATATTTTTTGCTACTGTTTCTGGGAATCAGTTATGATTGCGTCAAGAGCTGACTGTCTTCATTGTTTCACAGATTGGTTTTCGCTCTGATCTCAGCAGGAGGTGTGTCATGTGTTACATGATTGTTCCTGTCGCTGCTGTGGCTGTGATTGTGTCTGTTGCTGCCGCTGTTGTTATTATTTCTGTTGGAAATGATGGTGATAACGACGATGATGTTGATTTTGACAATGTTGTTGATGTTTTGATGATCGGACGATTATGATCGCAGTCATTATCTTTCAACGGGCTTGAAGTCTCAACCGCCAAACTTCTGCTGAAACCTGTGAGTTGAAGAAAGCAGAGAGAGGGCCACGAGCAAGTGGCAAAAAGGCCAAGGAGCAGCAGAAGAGGAGAAGGCTGAAGCAAGCGAGGAGAAGGGCAGAAAGAAGAGGATGTTGATATAGCATAAGGGTGTGGAACGTATTGAGAGGGCTAGGGAGGGAGAAAAGGAGCGAGGAAGAGGACCAGGAACGAGGAAGAGAAAGAGGACGAGGAAGAGGACGAGGAAGAGGACGAGGAAGAGGACGAGGACGAGGACCTCGATAATCTTGTGACAGGTCTTGATGGACTTGATAAATTCTTCCTCCTCCCGCCATTCACCCACCGCCAGCCCACCACTGAAGGATTGGAGATGGAGGAGGAGGATGCAAAACAATTGAGGAGGCGAAAGAGTTGAAAAAGTTGCATGGTTCGTGGAACAAGGAAAGGGACGGAGAGAAAGTGACGGAAGAAAGAAGACACGAAGAAGGAGGCAGGAAGAGCAGGGGGAGCAGGAGATGGAAAGAAATGAGCATCGGGACGACGAGCGAGGACGAGGACGAGGAGTGACAGTCAGTTCTCAAACGTGCACACCAGAGCATGGCAAAGTCTTCACCTCTTCCGACATGTAGGAAGGACGATCGGACACTGCTGGAAGAATTCCTGGAGGCAGCTACAAGGAAGTTTCAGGGAAGTGCTGGGATTCAGGAGAAAGAGAAGCAGGAATGAGATGAGGGACGGTAAACACTTGAGAAAAGGTAGGAGGAGGAGGAGGAAAAGAAGGAAGAGGAGGAGACTACTTAGGGAGGAGGCGGGGAGGGGGAGAAAGGTGGGCGGAAAGAGGAAGGAGGGATCGACCTTGCAGCGGGGATGGTTGAATTGTCGTGCCCCAACTTTGAGAGTCCACGTCACCACCTCTCCTCTTCCGCCAGGACCTCTTCACCTTCAGTCGCCCTCCATGGACTCCCTCCAGCGCTTCCTCGACCTCCCTCCTCCCTCCCTCCCCTCCCTTGTGCAGCAGAATCCCGCGGGACGAAAGGAGACGCAAAATCTTCACTCGAGACCCTGCAATGCCGCAGGTTTGCGCCTGTCAGGCCTGATCAGGAGGAGAGCTGGAGAGGAGCTGGGGAGGGGACCTGCTGGAGCAGGATATCCTGCACTGCCAGCTCTGCTTGCTCGGGAGGAACTTGGGGAGGAAGGCGGACGCTGAGGTAGGCGGAGATCTGGGGGGGCGAGTGCCATGGCGAAAAGAGGGCGATGAGTTGAGAGTGAGGATAAGTAGAGGAAAATAAAATGTCAAACGTCTCACCGGCTGGTCCGAAGGTTGAGAGATGCCGTGGAAGGAGACTGAAGCTTGCATAAGCTTGGAAGGAATGTCGTCTGCTGACTTGATGGAGTCTTTGAGATCAAACCCTGCTAGCTGCTGTCACATGCCGAACAACAGAGTCCTTCACCATCGCACCTGAGAAGACTTCGTCGTCGAGGCTGACATGGCCCGCGGTATCATCCTCCGGAGCAGACGGGAGTGCAAGGTCAAGTTGGAGAGAGAGAAGGGGCTGGCCAGAGAGTGAGAGAGCTCGGGAGTGTTTGATCGGAAATGTTCAAGTTCACCACAATCATTCTCAACAGAACGTCACTCCTTCGGTCCACCCCGTCGTCTCTATCCAGCAGGTAGCACGTGCACTTCCCTTCATCCCTCGCCCCTGCGTCTTCCAGCTGGAGTTGAAAATAGTGGATCAGACGTCTTCCAGCTAGTCCTGGACATGGAGGAGGAGGAGGAGGAGAAGGTAGAAGAGCAAAGGAGCAGACCGGGACGAGAGGATGGACGGCGATATTGAAGAAGTAAGGGAGGGAAAGGAGGAAACAGAGCGAGGACTGAGACAGCGAGCAGGAGCCGAAGGTTGAGTGAGGGCGTGAGAGTAACGGAGCCGAAGAAAAGTCAAGAAAGGAAGAGGAGGAGGAGGAGGAGGAGGAGGAGACTCACGGAGACGGAGAGGTAGAGCAGCCCCGGCAGCTCTTGAGCATGCAAGCTTCGATGTTGTCCGAAGGATTGAAGGAGGAAAAGAGCAGCAACGTCGATGGCTGCAAGATATGCTCGTCTCCTGATGGAGCGGACGGGGACTTGAGAAACTTCTCCTTCACCTCCTCAAGTGTCCCCTGCATCGTCGGGCTGCCGATCTCAAAACAGCTATCGAAGATGATGACAACCTGCGAAGCCAGTTAGCATGAGAAGAAGGAAAGAAAAGGAGGAGAGGACGGGAAGGAGGAGAAGAAGGAAAAGGGAAGTGAAGAGTGAAAGAGGAGGAAAGGAGCGGAAAGGCAAAGATGGGGAAAGGCAAAGGGAAAGGGTTGAGGGATCTCACAGAGACTGGGAGGTCTCTTGCTGATGTTCGATATCTCTGTGTTCCAATTCAAAACTTCTTGCACCGGTTGACGTCATCATTCACCTCGATCACGCTCAACCATGCGACGATGTCACATTTTCCTCCCATCCTCCCGCTGAGCCTCTGCTTGAATGCATGAGGCATCGTCGCCGTGGCATGTTGTTGATTTGATCACCTTGTCTTCGTGCAAAAGCAAGAAAGGATCCTGTTTCCATCCATCTTCTCTGTTTCAATCGTCAGTTTGCAATGCAACCAACTCCGTGTGTCACTCACGAGTATGCAGCCTTCACATCAAAGTGTAAGTGAACAAGAATCGGCTCTCTCTTTTTGCCTTTAAACATCGCAACAAGGTTTGGCGTCAAGTTCTTATTCGGAGATTTTCCCATGTTTGTCTGAAACGGAAGAGTCAATACATCTAGCATGCACTCCAATCGGACAGGATCTTGCTGGAGCACAGGTTGAAATCTCAAATTTCATCTCCATCAAATCGAAACAGACTTGCTTCGATTAGTTGGTATCATGACAAAGCTATAAAAGGTTTCTTCTTTCTGAAACAAGCTTCTTCTTTCTAACACCACGAGGCGCATACAAGAAGCTCCAAACAAACAACCTGAAACGTTTCTGCACCCAGATCGTGACACCAAGCTTCTAACCAACTGAGCATTTTCCCGCATTCGGATCTTTGAGAATCATTGTCAAGGACTGTGAGATTATCGGGGAGAAGTTCCACGGGCCTACCTTCGCTGTCTTTCTGTGCTAACAGACTGAATGGCAACAATTTCACGCAGTCTTACGGAAAACTTCAGACAACAGATGAGGCAGGCAGGGATCCAACCTGAGGATTGTTTCGCTCCTCCTGTAATCAAACAGGGCATCATCTTCTTCGTCGTTGGCATGTTGATGTTCAGCATGCGAGGCTTCCACTGCTTGCGGGTTTCTAAGGCGAACGCGCAGAAAGTTTTCTTGATGTAATCCAACGCTTTGTGGTCTATGGAAAAGATCCGGCAGGTCAGGAAAAGATCCGGCAGGTCACCCAAGGAGTAGTCGAGGATCAAGAAGAGACGTCAGCGGTTAGAAACATGGCAGATGTACGTTTCACCTCAAGTTAAATCGACATCTTCGGAATTGAACAATTCATCAGCCTTGAAGACCTCGGTCACCGGGGTGCTCACAATACTTTCATTGGGCAAACCTCTTGTAGGGATACGCTCTCTAATGACCTCCCGCAAATTTCTACAATCTCATCGCCCGGGAACAGCATGCTGGTGCATCAATGAGGACCTCGATGCTCCAGCACATGCATGGTTCGCTCACCAGGACGAAGATGCGATGCTGTTGACCTGGATATCACCTCAGACTCTTAACTTGCTCGACCATTCCACACCCTCACCTTCACATTGGATACTTTGATCCTCGAGCCATCCTTCGACAGATTGATCCCAAAATCCTCTGCCTGGAACTCCATCAACGCAATGCCCAGGGAAGATCAAGTACGAAACAGCATATTCCGAAACCAACCATTCTCATCCAAGTGCAAATCTTTGATACAAAGCAGCAACAAGCACCTGGCTAGTGTAATCGGGATCTCGGTCTTAAATCACTTGATATGACAACATTACATGCATCATCGTCATCCCATCTTCGAATTTCTACACCGAAATCCTGCTACAGTCCTGAGGCCTTGCTCATCAAACTTTGTACTCAACCTTTTCTTCAGCTCTCCCATCTTCTCCGTCCCTCTTAGCACTCATCCCCTCCCTCAGCTCCCCCATCTTCGTCTGTCGCTCCCTCCCTCCCTCTCCTCGTCTTCATGTCTCATTCTCATCATTGCTTCGTCGCCATTACCTTCATCTTGACCATCTCCGACAAGGTTATGGACCCCACCTCACCATCTTCCATATGCTCTTCACCCCTACCCCCTCCATTCCATGAATATTAAAGGCCAAAATACCCCTATTTACAAAGAATGAATAATTCACACCGGTAGCCAAACGATTGTACCTCTACCCCTATAAATTGGCCACAAGCAATAGAAAAGTACCGGTGATGGAAACGTCCACCCCCACCGTGGTTCATAACAGTTCTACAACCGGTACTACTTCCTTCTCCCCCGGCTCCCCTGCCGCCATCCGCCCGCCGGCTCTCGAGGAACCTTGCCGGCTCTTGGCCATCGCTCCATCTCAACAGCCCCGCTCCTCCTCCTCACAGCTCTCACCTCCCTCATCTTTGCGTCCAGGTTCTCATTTTCTACCATCCCTCTTGCGTCTTTCCCTGACGCTCAAACTATCAGAGGAAATCAGACCCGGGGCTCTGGCTCAACGAGGTCTTGTGCGACTCTGAAAGTGCACGAGTAGATGTGTTGAGGAGCACTGAAAACAATTGGTTGCCAGGTGATTGAACATGCACTTGTTCTGATCTTCTTATTGATGCTGCCTGTCCAGCACTGTATTTATTGCATTGGCGACGATGGTGGCTTTGGTGAGAAAGGGAAGCATGCTGAGAATCCCGCGCACTAGAGGACCTTTAGAAGTTGCTGTCTTGTCCGTCCTTCTTCTCCAATCCTTTGCGCCCTCCTACATCCCCATAGCTGACGGCAGCCAACAATTCACACCCTCAAATCCTGCAGCCGTGAAGTGGAGGTAACAAGATTTGTTGGGACTCTTCTGTATGTAATTAGCTTCTTACTTTTACATTTTTCCAGCTTTCTATTGTCTAATCCTGAGGAAAGCGACTTACGTCATGCATCGTATAAGCCTCGTGCAGACTTCCTGCGATTGCGAGGAGGGTCTGGGTTCAGAATCGGTGGAGCGTGGGGCTCGCCAATAGAGTCGAGGATCTCTTCGGAGGAATTGAAGAAAAACATGCAGACATTGCTGGAGAAGAATCCGTCTGGAATCATGGGACGAGACCTGAGGAGGTTGTACAAAGAGGTCAGACTCCGAACCCTGCTATGACCCTGCGATGTTTCAATTGAGTTTCACGGCAGATGTTCTCAAGGGAATTGCCTCTATCTGACTTCAACGTTCAAAGACCCATCGAATTGATTGAGAAAGAACTTGCAGACACCGTCTACTACACGCGTGAGGTATGGTCTCAGTCGGAAAGAAAACAGATTTTCAAGTTCTTGCAGGGCGATGGAGATGTGAAATATTTCTTGAAAAAGAAGACTTTGGACTCCGGGCCAAGCCCTCTCTGGCATTTGACATGTCATGGAGATGATAATTGCATTTCTGTCGTACCTGGAGACACCAGCTTTGAAGAAATGAAATTACAGGTGAGCAATTTACATACTGATCTCTGGATTTTGCGAATCTGATTTTGAATTTTTGTGAAGGCTTACTGGTCGATATGGTGCGGACAAAATGTTCAGCAGATACAAGAGAGAGAGAAAAAGATGGAGCAAGAAAGCAAGCAACGGTTTGACAGTTACCAAGCTTCTAAGAATGCTCAGGCCAACCAACAATCAAACTCGAATCCTTCAAATCCTTTTGGATCGAATCAAAATCCATTTGCATCTGCATTTGGACAACCACAGGCACAGAGCAGCATTTTTCCTGCATCAGGAAATTCGTTTGGCAATAGCTTAGGAGGAGGCCTTTTCGGTCAATCCAGCCAGCAGCAGCCTCAAAACCCAATGCAGCCACAGCAACAGTCCAGCATCCAGCCAATTTCAGGGTTCCTGACCAACACTCCATCAACAACTGCAAACAGTGGCAACAATTTGTTCTCGGGTGGAATATTTGGATCACAATCTCAGCCAGCAATGCAAAAACAAGAGCCGCTGGTCCCTCAGGAGAATAGAAATGTGCAATCTGGATCTTTGTTTTCGTCGCCGCAACCTTTCCAACAGTCGAATTTGTTCGGATCTTCCACCGCAGGCCAGAGTTCAATCTTTGGGAGCAACCCTCCTGCACCTGCGGCTCAGAATCCAACCGGAACATCTCTGTTTGGAGGTTCCCAGCAACCGGGAGCATCAAACTCGTTGTTTGGTGGTACAAACCCGCCCCAGCCAACTACCACCGGAGGTCTCTTTGGGAGTAACAATGCTCTTGGAGGCGGAAGCGGTGGATTATTCGGAAACCCTGCCAACACAGCATCGCCAACTTCATCGGGCGGTTTGTTTGGGTCGACTATAAATGCCCCCAAACCACCGCAGACAAGCCTGTTTGGAAGTGGAAGTAGCAATTTATTCGGTCAAGGACCTCCTACAACCACGCAGAGCAACCTTTTCGGCGGTAGCGCACCGACTTCAGGTCTGTGGGCGAAACTTTGAAAAACTCGTCCTGATGTGAAAATCAAGGTGTTGGGAACACAGCCACTGGAACGTCTGGGGGATTGTTTGGCAGCACAAATCCTACGTCTTCCTCACTTTTCTCTTCACCAAATAGTAACTTGTTTGGAGGTGACCTTTTGCCAATTGTGTGCAATTGATAGTATCTCACTGACGCTGGATTTGCTTGCTCATCGTGCAGGGTCGACACAATCAGGTGAGCAGATAGCACCTTTTGTCGTGCTTTTGTTGTGTATACATCGGTAATGCATGTGTAGGTGGAGGGCTCTTCGGCGGCAGCATGAATCCGCAGCAACAGCAACAGCAACAGCAACAGCCGCAGCAACCAACAGGATTGAGCGGAGGATTGTTTTCGAGTGGAGCCCAACCCTCAACAACTGGGGGATTATTCGGAGGTCTCTCGCCTGCCCAGCAGAATTCACAGTCCTCCAGCTTCCTCGGTAACACTCCCTTCGGAGGAAATACGCAGGTACGAGCTCTATGCCGTGAAAGATTGATCTGATGCCGAGCTTAGCAGGGTGGCCTTGGTTCGATCTTTGGCTCCCAGCAGCCTCAGCAGCAGCAGCAGCAGCAGCAGAGCACACTGAGCCCTATTCCAAACGGTGCACAGGTCTGTACTCCCTGAATGATATCTATCCTGCGAGTGAAAGACCTTCAGGCTGGTGCTTTCGGCCAACAACAAAATCCCAATCCATGGAACCCAAATCCAACAAATCCTCCCTCCCCCTGGACCCGATAAGATGGGATGTTTAGATCATGAATGTCGCGGAAGTTATGGCTCGCTGAAGAACTTGTAGGAATGTGACAAACTGACAAGCAATACTTGAATGAATCTGTCTATCATGCTTGCCAATTCGTTCAGCTGCAAACCGAATGACAGTACTTTTCCGATTGCGGATAGAGAGCAGTTGACCGTACCTGTGACCGACTGCGATCCTAGAAACGATGCTTTCAAGTTCCACAGCCGCGTGACTGACCGTGAAGGATCACAGATCAGGCTCATCACTGAGTCACCAGGATCGGACCGTTAGCCATAGATCACGGGGGAGCCAGTCACTGCACAGTGTCAGGGCCCTCTCTGCTTTCAAGTTTTAACCTGAGTAGCCCAATCGGATCAGATCCGACGGTCCGGCGGGCGCCGGCCCGGAGGATCCGATAAAAACATTCATCAGTTACTTAGTTACCGTCCGGCCCGGGGGCGGGCCTAACCCGGTGACTGACCGTACAGGCTCAGGCTCGCTGTCTTTTCTCTTCTCGCCGTATGGCCTGTGCGCCGGACAGTGTCAGGGTCAAGCCTCTCAGTCCACTCACGGGGGCATGCCATTGTCCACGCACTGATTTTTAATTTGCTTACTAAGTTACCTTCAAGTTGAGTAAAGCATTCGAAGCCCAAGGCTCGCTCCCGTTGAACCATACAAAGTTGAATTCGAAAATCCGGCCCGACGGTCCGACTCGGCATAACTTACCGTGCCGCGGCGAGTCCCAGGCCGGCACCCGGCCGCGTCCGGGCGGCGGCGCGGCCGGCCCGTTTAAGCCTGAAGTTCGACCGGGCCCGGCCCACTGCCGGGCCCGCCGGACGATTAGATTTATGAAATTTGAGGCGTTTGGCGGGAATGCTGGGATGGGTGCATCGGCTGCGGGGGACGCGAGAGCGAGCGGAAGACGAGGTGCAGCTGACGGAGCTGCAGAGGAGAGAGGAAGAGGAAGACGCCCTCTACGATGACCATGAGAGCGCAAGAGCCTCTGGATCTCATGCAGAGGACGCGCCGCTGGATGGACACGGGATGGATCGGGGTGGCAATACAAACGACTTTGTCAGTGACAACGCGCTTGCAGGAACAGATTGGCAGCTCAAGATGGGGGGATTGTGTTTCGCTACTCTTTCTTTGAGGCACTTTGTGCCGCTGTTTGTAGTCTATTCATTCTTCAAAGGTCCTGTCGCTACTGGGCCCTTTCTCTTCAGAAGCACTTTTGGTCTGATGTGTGGCCTTCTGTTACTGAAAATCCGATCAGGAGGCTTCAAGTACTGCAGCTCTCTTCGTGCTGTCTGTCTGTGCCTATGCATAGTGTTCGACTTGGTATTTGCAATCGTGATGATGAACTTCACTGTGATGGTAATGGACGCTCTGTTGAGGGAAACGAGCCCGTCTAGGGAGGTCAACATTTACTGGCAGGGGACTTACTACTTCTTCTCTTTCGTCTCTGTTTTGGATGTTCTCCTTGCTCCGCTTCCAGCAATATTCCTTCTTCGAGCGCTACACACCTCACGGTACAGCTACTGGCAACCCAAACGCGATGAGGGGTTTCGAAGGCTGCTCAATGCCTTTCTCGTCCGTCCTTCTCTCCTTCCCGATCGTCACTCTGTATCTGCTCTCAGACTCTTAACTCCTATCTGCCTCTTATTTTTCATCGTAGCTGCAGTGATATCCCTAATGGTTGGTGCTGTCTTTCTTGGAGTTTTCGGAAGTTGGATTCCAGGTCAACGCTGCGACACTACTACCATGGGGGACGCTAACTGCTATGTTCTGGACGGTGCATGCGACATGATCGATCCTTCTGAATGTTTGTTTCCTTTTCCATCATCTTTCTTCATGCGTCCAGACTCGGAATCCTCAACAGGCTGGAAAGTCCGTATCCCCATTGAATCATCCCTGCCTCTGAACAGCGGGGGCCGCGTCACGCTAGATCTTGATGCATGGAATGTATTGGATGGTTTCTCTATTCTTGCTCCAATGCTCTTTAGACTTGGAGACGGAAAAATTGATGTAGACCGCAAAAGTTTGCGGCCTGACAATAAGGTTTCAGAGCGCCCGGAGGACTCCATCCCGTTCTCAGTCAACTTGGCAGAAAGCCACACATTACTGATCGACGTCGAAACGGCACGGCCTGTACCGCACTTTGTTGAGCTTGATTTTGCCTTGAAGGAAGAGGGATTTGGCTACGTTTTGATACTTCAGCCGGCTGCTCCGCTTCGCTATTCAGCTCATTACGTTGTCGCAGTACGACGGCTGCGCAACGTGAAGGATGGCCAGTTGATCCAGCCATCCACCACGTTTACGGCTCTTCGAGATGGTTCAGGAGACCCACAACGGCAAGCAGTATTCGAAGATACGGTAATAATTGCCAAAGTATGCATATTGCGAAGTGACGGAACATGCTGTAGGTTTTCGGCACCCTAGCAAGAGTTGGGTGGCAGAGGCAAGAGCTGCAGATTGCTTGGGATTTTCGTACAGGGTCATGGGAAGGGTCTGAAGGCAGGGCGAGACACATGGTACTCGATTCGCTGGAGCAGATGCGTTCTTCCTTCTTCATCCCCAAGTTTGAAGTCCAGGACGTCGTGGCAGAGCAATGTGATGCCGTCATCAGCAGGGGCAGACAAGTTTGGGGCAGAATGAAGATCCCGAGCTACACGAGTCAACCAGGTCCAGGTCATGATCTTTTCACGATTTTTAAAGGAGGTGTACCTATCCGTTCTGGCGACGTTGATGTCCAGTTTGCTTCATTGATTCCCTGTAGCGTGCTCAAGAGGAAGAAATCTGAATTCATCCTCAATTATGGTCACGGGATCTTGGGCACTCGTGCTGAAGCTGTCCAGCAGCGATGGTTGGAAGGTCTCGCAAATCGCACTAATTCCATCTTGTTTGCCGTCGATTTTGCAGGTGGGGTGGAACCCGACGATTGCCATCGAAAATCCTGACTTGAACCGGCAGGCATGTCCAAGTTCGACCTTCCGATCGTCTTTAAGATCTTGCTGAGTGACCTCAGCGCCTTCAAGGTGGTTCCAGCACAGCTGATGCAGAGCTTCGTCAACGGAGCCTGCGGGATATGGTACTTGCGCAACTTGCTGCGAACGAACGCTGCCTTCAAGTCAGCAGGCTCCGAGACCATCAGCAGCTCAACTCCTGCGTACTTTTACGGGGTCTCTATGGGCGGTGTGCTGGGTGCTGGATACACGCTCTCCTCTCCCTACTTGACAAGATCAGTCTTGAGCGTTCCAGGAACTCCCCTTGCTCTGCTACTCATGAGAAGTCTGGACTTCAAGAGCTACTTGAAGATCCTCAAGATCCAGGTTTTACGGCCAACTCACCTTCGGCTTGCGCTGTCTCTCATGCAACAGGTATGAATGATTCTTGTTGAGGACTGAGAGACTTATGCTCTTCCCCTGTCTCTTTGACAGCTCTGGGACCCAGGAGAGTCATCAGGCTGGCTGAGCCACAACGAGTCCTTTGCTGGGAAACGCTTCCTAATTCAGGCCGCAGAGGGCGATGCGCAGGTTTCAATCATCGGAGCTGACATCCTCGCACGTGCGCTGGGAGCTGTTAGATTCCCGTCTCCCCATCACAAATACGGCATATCGGAGATTGCACCAGCAGAGGATGGATACCTCACGGGCGGCAGTGCTCGGGCCCTCTTCACCGAGTTTTACTTTGATGGAGTGAAGCCGCAGCCGCAGCTAAATCTGCCGGCAGCGGAGGAGACGGACCCACATGAGCTTCCTCGTCGAGACGGCAGAGGACTCAGACAGGTACAACCAGTGGACAAGGTCGCCCCTGGCTGACGTACAGACTACAGGTCGCGGCTTTCCTTGAAACGGGTAGGTTCTTGCAGACATGTAGTGCCGACGGCTGCGTTGGACCCTTTCAGCCGATGTCGGCACTGTGACCAAAAGCCCTGAGAGTGCTTCAAAGGAACGGATTGGCCGTCTTGTGTGATCTGCTGTAAACTAGAGTGAGGCGCGAGGTGTGCGGGTTAAAAGTGTGAGAGGCATACTGATGGGGAGGGAAAACTTTTCTAGACAACACATGAAACCGGGAAAATCATCTTGAGAGGAGAAGTCACTACAAAAGATCCTCCGAAAGAGCTGTTGCCACGTAGCAGGCGGTCCAAAACCCAAGGATCACGTAAGCTCCGTTGAGATAGTGTACATCCAGGCTCAAGAGAAGCATGGCACACCACACTGTCATCACCGATGCCACGTACTGGGGATGCCTCAAGGAAAACTTGCCTCCGTAGGGCCACTCATGCGACCATGGTACCTTCTTGCCGTACTTCACTCCGTAATAGATTCCATTTAACCCTAGAGCCTTGTAGCATGCTACGTTGAGGAACTGTCCAGCACAGAAGAGTACAACTGCAAATGCTCTGTAGAGGTTAAAAGTCCACGTCTCCCACCATAGCCTCCCACTACCACCTTCCACCTTCCAAAGCCACAACAGCACTGCAATCGCCTGTATCCCTTTCATTGCTACCATCCACCAGGCCATCTCCCTGCAAGGATCCCTTCCTATCCTCTTGCATCGTCTCAACCATATCTCTGGTCGGGTCCACATGATGAGGTATACGACATGCGGTACCGCTATGGCAGCGCAAGCGGCTGCCGTCCCTGCCATTGCGGCTACTCGGTCTTATCCGTTACGATATCGTTATGACAAGGAACTTCGATGCAAGGTGGTCACATAGGGGATGCGGTCAGTGAATTGATGAGTTCTTGAAATAATTCAAATCAACACATAATAGTTTCAAATTTTGGAGTAAATAATGAGAATCACTTGGCCCGTCAGTCCACTGTGAAGACATTGTTGTATGGCCGAAGATAGTGGGTGGGAGGAGGAGGATGAGGAGGATGAGGAGGATGAGGAGGATGGGGAGGGGAGAGGTTGAGAGAGCAGAGTACAACGGAGATGTCGAAGTTGATGAAGAGGACTGGCAGGGCATCCAACGAAGGGGAAGGAGGAAGGCAACTTTAAAGGGGTAAGGATCCGGGCGAGGAGAGGACAAGAAAATCTTGAGTGTGTACTTATCAGCTCGTGAAGAGGGTACCAGAATTTTATGCACATTTGTGGAGCTAGAAGACTTTGTAGAGGAGGACTTGCGGATTAGAAAGGAAGAGACATATGATCGAGCATGGTTAGGAACGAAACCTGTTGTTCTACCTTTGAGCTGTTTCTAGCTTTTCTTCATGAGCAGAGCTATCCCGAAGCAAAATTGTTAAAAGCTGAGCATGTTCTACAGCACCATTGGAATCGAAATAGTAGAATGATGCAGGGCACGCGAACGTTAGACGAGCCGATAAGTAGGCAATGCTAAGACATTCATTGGGAGTGACAGAAAGACGTTTTGCTGTTCATTGACATCTTGTCCATAGGAATGGGGGCAATGCCATAGGATCATTGATTCTTACTCTGTTCTCCCTGGCCTGTCTACATTGTTCGAAGGGAAACCATGGCAGATAGTTTGCGATCTTGCTCGTTTGTGATGTCCTTGAGATTCCTTTGTTTTTGGGCGCTCATGGTCTCAACAACAACAGTACAATTTTCTTTCGCAGACAGCGCTGTCATTCAAACATCGACATCGAACTACAATAAAAACCTCGCAGCATTCACCTGGCAGCAGGTCTGCGCCAGACGGATGCCGTCAGTGCGATCACGAGGGACAGTGACGTGCGGTCTTCGAGACAACATCGCTCGCGGCATTTCTCGTCGCCTCGACTCCTTCAAGAGCGTCACAAAGCGATTGAATCCCTTCGGGTCGTCGGACAAGGAAGCGGTCCGCCAGCAGTGGCAGGAGGGTCTTCAGTCCAGAAGGACCTCGGAGCCCCTTGTGAGCAAGCCGGTGGAGCAGAGCGAAGGCAGACAGAGTGTTCCCACGATCAAAACCAACCCAGAAAGATCGACAAAAACTCTGTCTGTTGCTGCTGAGAAGAACTTCGATGTCCTCTCGATCGAAGATGACGAGACAGAGCGCAAAGCCAGGGAAGAAGCAGCAGCAGCAGACATGGCGAGAATTCTTGGCAAGAAGTTGATGGCGCAAAGAGAGAATGACCTCAAAGCTGCTGAAGCTGCTCGAATCGAGGCGAAACAGCGAATGGTGAGAACTGATGTATAGAACCCATTTTTTGATATTCTTCTCTGGAAGGAACGTGTAAGATTCCTCCAAAGGGAAGCGTCAAAAACGTTGGGCAAAGATCAAGCGGAGGCTGTCTTTTCGGTAATAGATTCTAATTTGTTGGATATGATGATTCTCACATGACTTTCAACAGGGAATCAAGAGAAATAACAACGGGACTACAAATATCTCAACCATTCAAACTCCATCATCCACAGTAAAGGTTCCGATCATCTTTCTCTTTGCAAAGATCTGAAATTCTTTCTATCAGCTCAGCAAATTGAATGTCTTTCGTGCCGTTAAGGAATCAAACACGAATACGGTGAGCTGTTTGAATCCTTTTTCGGTTTACAAGGCCTTCTCATCGCGATTCAGGACAACGAGGAGGAAAACTTTTCTTCTTCTCCTTCTTACAGCAGTCCAAGCAGTCCCAGCGTCTTGAGAAGCACGCCCCTCTCTTCAAGTGCACAAGGTTGGTCGGAGCAGTCGGAAGAAGCGACGCAAGCAAAGCCGCGGGGTTCCTGGGGCCCTTCTAGATACATCACTCGGAGATATGAGAACCTCGACCCCAAAGCCGGTATGTCATCTCCTCATGACATCGCAAGATTATGACATGTTGTGCGTACAGTGAAGGTACAAGGAAGACACCTCGGTCCTCGTGCAGACGAAGAGGAGGAGACGGCAGAAGGCGGAGAGACATCTAAGAGTAAATGACACGTCACGATTGCCCCTCACTGACAGGGAGGTTGGCGACAGGTGACACTGAGAGCATTGAAGACAAGGAGAAGACCATTGATATGTCGGCGGCTCCTGCTCTGGAGGCAACTGCCCAAGATCTCGTTCCTTCCGATATAGGTTGCATCGCAGAACAACAAGACGTTCTCACTGACCCATGAACAGTGAAAACAGAGGAAAAAGACATGACTGCTACTTCAGCCCGAACTCTTGCCAACTCGATGAATCGTCTGCAATCTCAGAGCAAGCCACAGCAATCGCGGTGGAAGGTTGTGGCTACCAAAGGCGTCGATCTCCATGCAGATGCAGAGGGGACGGCAGACATTGTGGGTCACCTCAAGAGGTACGCTCTCAACTCTGCTCAGCTCTATTCCTCTCTACACGCTGATGGCTCTTTTCACGTCTACTTGCTTGCAGTTACGCGCTCGTCACGGTGGAGCAAGAAAAGGAAGGCTGGCTCTACATCCGAAGCCCGATGGTACCAAGAAGGTAGAAGTTTGAGAGTCTGATTGCTGCGCAGATTGGCTGGGCGAAAATGAGGAACGAAAGGGGTTTACCGCAGTTCATACGCCTGGGAAAAACACTGAAGGGATAACACGATGGATTTAGAGAACAGAACCACTGTCAGCACATTGTAGACTAAGAATGTTGTCATTGAATTGATTTAACTACCACAATCGTGTATAAAGTGTGCAAGCATTGTTGCTTTTGTTGGATTTGAATCCTTCATACTTAGGAGCGAATTACTTTCTTGGAGCTTGCTTTGTACATCTCATTCTTCTGCGAGAGAAGCTTCAGAACAGTCTCAATGTTCTTCCTGCGAAGAGAAAACGTCAGCGAGAATAAAGAGCTGCTATGACAATCTCAAACTCACTTGTTCTTGAACATATCTCCTTCCCCAATGCGCGACACGCTCAGTCCTTTGACCGTCACTCCGTCTCCACTGCTGATCACCGTGAATGCGATATCGTCAACAAACTTCATGAGAGGACTGGTGCAGGTCCCGACAACGAGCAAAGCGTTGGGGTCTACCACCGAGTTCAGGTAGGCATGCTTGATGTCATGCTTATCTCCAGGACGTTTGAAGAGCGAGTCAGCGTTGTCCATGAGCGCATAATGCTTGGTGCTCTTGATGATCTCTCGGATGGCGTCTGCCACCTCCTCTCTGCTCCCCTTCATCGTCGCCTCCACCTCATACACATGCGTCAACCACCCCATGGCGCGGCGGAGCCTTTATGAGAGGGGGCAGTTTTTCTTTAGTTGGTAGACCCGGAGTCGCCTGAATTTATCGCCTTTCAAAGTTTTAAAACCCGAGTCGTAACTTTCAGCCCTCCGAGGGTACTCAGGCCAGGCTCGCCGCCCGGCCCGGCCGGACCTCGGACCCGGCCGTCAGGCTAGCCCGGGCCGCATCACTGATACCAAGGCAGATACTGACTAGTACCCGGGGACCGTACGGCGGTAGTACAGTACCCGGGGCCTCTCCATTGCCGCCGCCGGTCCCGGCCCCGGGCGGCTCAGGCCGGCTGAGTCCCTCATCCCCGCTCAGTCGTCCGAGTGGCGACGAGTGGCTGGGCGCCCGGCCGGGCCGGACCGTACCGTACAGTACGGTACTACACGGTGGCGCGGCCGGGCCGACTGAGACGGCCGGACTGGCCGGGCCGAACGGTCACCGGGGCGCACTGCCGCACTGAGTCGCGGCCGGGCCGGGCCGGCGGTTATCAGTTATCCCGGAGTCCGTCTAAAGGGATTCCCAACCTTTCAGGGCCGCTCCGACCTCACCGTCGGAGCTCAGAACTGCGCCGGCTTGCCAGCGGCCCGGGCTTTTACGGTGCCACCGTGAGTGACTCGATCATGATCGGACTCACGGTGAATGGCCGAGGGTATGAGGGCTGATATTCACGGAAGGAGAAGAGAACACTAGGCTGGGGCCCCTGGGGAGTCCGAGACTGAGACTGATACTGTGCATGATATTCGACAGCTAAAGCTAAACATGCAAGAAGTCGTGCCAATACGTCACGTTAAATTCAATTTCCTGGTGGTTTTCCTTCGATTCAAACGATTTCACCGAACCCACGTACTTCTGCCAACCAGCAGCTTGTCAAATCAAGAAAGTCATGCGCGATCTCACCATTTGCCCTCCTGGTTTTGAACAAACATCCAAGACTATTCGATGCGTCACCATTTGCTCCCACCTGCAATTGGCTGAGTGTTGCGACGGGCAGGGAACGAGCTTGAGCAAGAGGAAGATTTCAGATTTCAGGACAGACCTCCGACTGAACACATCCTGTCGCCTGTGCCCATATATCAATGGTGCATAGAAATTCAAGTGGAATTACATCATATTCGTCTTGTGCATGGAATAATCCTTGTCCAAAGCATCCGATTTCTGAGAACGCTCAGCTCGTAAAACGAAAGCTCTCTGCTCACTTTAGCTGTAAACCACCGAGATGCAAGAATGATCAGGTTGTATTGTTTGGCGAGCGAATCTAGCCAAAGGAAGCACGAATCCAGCTGGGCAGAACTCCCGTGCGAATCCTCCTTCTCGTGAGCTTTTTGTTCGACCCTGCTGTACCATTGCAAGACCGACAGCTGTAAAATTGTTACAAAAGCACGGAAAAAGCAAGATTGCAGCATACACAGTCAAACGCAACAATCTGTACATTTCCGCACTGCAAAAAATCCTCTGCAGGTACAGTCATATTCACAGACACCAGAGATGATAATTTACCCATGCTTCGTATTGCACAAAAAACTTCGAAGGCATTGTAGCAAACAACAAAGTGAATGCGGGAAAGGCAATCTAATATCTGTTGTGTTCCATCACAAAGGAACCAGAAACCTAACTTCGAACTCACAAAGGCACGGGTCCAACTCTGAACATCGAGGTTCGATTGCTAGTACATGGTCAGAGACTTGACATACGTCCCTCATATTCGAGGATTGACAGACTCACATCCACGAATTGGATCACCTTCCTTGCGTGCATATCTAGCAATGTTACTAACCGCGATATGTACAGACTTCGAGATATGAATCAGCAAGGAAATTCTTCAAAAGAATCATTCCGAATACCTTGATGTGCACCCGATGCAGAAGAACAACGCTGATGACTTGCTGCCACCCACGATGATACCTTGGAATTCATCGGGTATAACACTTTGCGCACAAGCCTGCGATAATTCGAGTTACAGAGAATCAGTTGTGTTTGCAATGCAACATTACATTCAACAACAGCTCGCTCTTTCCACAAGCGCTAGAGCCACATATTTCCAAGCACAGAGTCTTGGAAAGGTTCTGAACCATCACTCGATCCAATTCTTTCACACCGAATGTCAAAGATTTCTTGTGAAATCTGAATGAATATCTTCGTTAGGTTGGACCAGAGGCTAAAATGAAGTTTTACCTCAAGAATGTCAATGCAGTTGTGTCGCAATTTGCTGGTGCTGGTCGTTCTCGCATTCGGAAAAGTTTTGTTGGCCTTTGCAGAGGTTCAGAAGCTGCAGAACTTCTGCTAGACCTCTCTGCGTTGATTGCTTTTAACAGCAAGCAATCAATATCTTTCGAAGCGCTTCTCTTCGTCACTGATTCTGCTCCAGCTCTGTTCTGAACTGCCGACGAGTAGGGAGATGCAGAGTTGAGGATTTCAGGATTCAGCAAAGTCGTGGCGTTGTCTCGTTGTTGTACTGTCTTGGAACAAGACAAGCTATAACTTCGTTAACGCAGCTTTCAGGAAATTCAACGACATACTCTCTGTCTGAAGGCGAAGAAACATTCAACGGAGTTTCCAAGGTATTTCTCAACAGACTCCCCCCACACTGTTGAGGACTCATGAAAAACTTAGGAAACAGTAAGTCAGAATCGAACAATCTGGAGAATGCTGGACCTTTGCGTCATCTCTGATCGTTCTGGCTCGAGGAGAAACCAAGGACAGATCTCGTGACGAATGAGCTCCCGTCTCTCTCTGGCACTGCATGTGAAGGGGAACAGCAAGGCTGGCTGTAGTATTGTGTCAGTATATCAACGAAGAGCTTGCAGAACAAAGAACAAGATATTGGGCATCCTTCCAATGACTCTCATGGATTCGAACAGATAAGAAATCGCATTCTTGCACTTCTTGCGTTCCCATCACTCTCACTTACGACAACTATCAATCTTTCTCCCGCCCCTTCACTTCCCTCCCCATCGTCCTCGTTGCCCCGGAATGCCCCAGGCTCCTCGCATGGCGGGAAATATTTCGGAAAGGAATCCGAGTCTGCCTCAGAGCCCTTGTGAGCGACACTTGAGACTCAAGCTTGAACTCGGAAATCCTCTCAGTCTACGGTGCCCGGCCGCCCGGGCCACGGAGGCCAGTGCTCTTACTAGGCCGGGTGATCGGGCAGGCTACTGACTAGTACTTTACTTTGAGTAAAGACTAGTAGTGGGTTGGTCGCCTAAAGATTCCGGTCACCAGTTGCTCAGGTGACTGTAGCTGAGCCTGACTCGCGGCCAGTCATTGCAGTCAACTCAGTCCGATCTGGCACCGTTGTAGCACAACCCGGTCACCGGGTACCGCCAAGGGCCTCGGTCGATTCCCGCAAGGTAAAGGTCACGTAAGGTATGGCAGCCACAACAACAGTTAACATCAGTCTCAATCATCTTTGTGGAAAACAGGTTCAGCTCCACAATTCGTAGATTCTGAGTTCTCACTGCAGACTTCAACGATTTCCCATTGTAATCTCTCATCTCACGACTCAACAAGACTCGCCGAGCTAGCCCGAGGCTCAAACAGCGTGGATTCAAGACTGAGACAGATCTCACCGGAGCAAGCGAGAAGGACAAGGTAAAAATGTTTTGGGCATGTTTAAAGCTACCTTGCAATAATTACGGCGTGAATTGTCGATACTCAGACCGACGAAACTAATGCTTGTGAACAGTATGAAAATAACGGAATCAAAATTTGGTTTATTCGAGATTGACATTCCTAATAGCATGCGGACTTACAAATGAACTTCTTTGAAGGAGACCACCTGATTGATGAAGTCATACTCATGTTGACACGATGGAAAACATCCAACTTGCAAAACACAAGAACAGGAAAATGGCATGTTGGGAACACTTTGGACCCCAATGCAAAGGCGCAATGCATCAATGCCCAGCAGGTTCCCTCAGACTAGGATTCTTGCTTCGTAAACAAACCCACATCTCCATACCCGATCAACATGAGTTGACTGGCGTGAGAAGTGTGGGGGAGAACAATGAAGCTGAAAAGCGGATGTTTGAGAAACAACAGGTGGCAACAACGCACTGCACTTGCGATAACACAGCTGGCAACAAGGCGATCGAGACAAGACAGGAGATCATCGATGAAGACTCAGGCAAGTCACCTTAGGGTAGTGAGATGTTCCTCGACGGTAGACGACAAGCTCCCACTGCTTGCTTGAGCACGAGCGTGCGGAGCAACGGTTACAGATCAGATGTTTCGCGATAAACCGTTACACTTGCACTGAGGCGGACTGCCCGGGCCAGTCCGACTGGCGGGTGACTCGGACTTGCGGCCTCGTCGGAGGGCCTGCCAACGTCCCGGGGTCCCGCCGCCGCCGATCGGACGGACCGTATTGGGCGGAGGCTGAACGGTCCCGGGCCGCAGCCCAGGCTGGCCCGGGCCCTTTCACCACTGTGACCGTCGGAGTCCCACAGAGCGGCTCAATCAGTTTACTCGTGATCCGCAAGTAAGCCAACAAGAGTCACATCTGCCTCTCCTACCCTTTTCACTAGGTAAGAATATCTGTACGGCTCCTGATCGGGCCAATCGATCAAAAACGCAGTGCTGAGAGTCAACCCGGTTCACCCCGGTCACTTCACTCACCTCGAGTGGATCTTTGAAAACCTGTTTCGCACAAGATCAGAACAAAGCAGTCTCGTTTCAACACATGGCTCCGAGAATCGCTCTCACCTGTCCTTCATGCTGAATCAGACCCGATGCGAAGGTCCAAGTCCTTGAGTGGAAGCAGACGCTGAATCAAACACCTCAATCAATCGACAACACGAAGGGCTTCATAAATTCACTTGTCTCCCACTCTCATGAAGAAAGCCGTAAACTTGAACATGTCTTCGCGCGCCATCCAGTGTCCTACGAGTTTTACAGTTTGGTAGGCATCTGGGTACAGGTGAAAGGGTCACCAAATTAGGAGTAGGCCCCCGAAAATGTTCATACCTCCCATTTCTTTCACTGCTGTGCCATCCAACGGCTGTTTGAGTAGGCAAGTCCACGACGACTTGAACCCTCCAAACATCTGGATGCCACACGTCACAGGAACGCTGCTGCTATGCCCTAGCCTTCACCCGTGGCAGAGCAATCCGCACGTGGATATGAGCGCATATCCTCCCACTGCTATCCGGGTCGAACATCATATGTGCTTCATGCTTTGTGGCTAAGAATGCAAAAATAGCCTCCTGCACTGAAGCTGTTCGTAGCGTCATTCTACCTTGTCCCAGGAAAACCTTTCCCGTCTGTTACCTAGACGAGCCATGGCTCCTTCTTTTATCCACTGGATGATCGACGTTGACTCTTCCGTGTTGTGTAAAGCTGGCATGTATAGCGAAAGGAAGTTCCTTTCGCTATGAAAACACAATGTAAGGCTCCCGCAAGTTTGACAAACAGGGCTTGAGCAAGTTCATCAGCACAGCGTTTGGTGTCTTGTCATCCCAATGAATCAGCAACTTGACATCCATTTTTCTCTCTCATCCCCCTTCCCCTCCCTCTTTCGCTTGTCATCAACCTTACCTGGGAAAGCCGTATGATGTCATGGCCGCGTCCACTCTCCAGGGTGCTGAGTTGGAGCCCTCTGGACTAAACAGATAGACTCCAAACAGAGGCCGCAAGTTGAGCCTGATCCAGTCAGGTTCTGTTACTCTTTCCATTCTTCCTTCTATCACAAAGATTCCAATCCCCCCATATCTTGCCCACAACGGCACAATCGACGATCCCACCGTCACGATGTTGTGTCTTCGGAACACTCTAAACATTACGTCGATTCGACTGCTCAATCGTCTTTCCTGCTGCATTCCTAGGCTCTGATTACTCCGCAATCTCCTGGCGAAGTCCCGCATCCTGTCAATGTAGCTGCTTTCCACAAAGTGCATCAAGCTCTGTCCAACCTGCTCGCAACAACCTGTCAAAACTCTCTGTAAAAAAACATCATCGTACTCACGAGGGTTGGGCTGAACACTGATTCGCGGTAGTCGTTCTCGAAGGCGACGCTCATCCTGCATATCCTCCAGCTTGGGAGTTCCACTACGACGATTCGATCTACATGGCTTGTGAGCAAGGCTTCAATGAGGGCCTCCCCTCCGCAGCTCGAGAGAAGTCTACTAGGCCTCTCGGCAGCTTCGCTAGAATCTGCGGATGCATCCGCAAGATCACGTGAGCGGAATTTGTTCACTTCCCTGACATGAGCAATGACATCTGAAAGGAGCTGGGCTCGATTTCTTCCCGATGACAGCTGTCCAAGAGCTGACAGCTCGGCCGGACGTTTCACCGGCGTCATCGCATCCAACTGACCTATGAGGTTGCTCGTGATCGAGCGTTCCTTTGACTTGCATTGTTTCTGGCGTTGTCTCTTCAATGCTCTTCGATCGCTCGTGATGTCCTGCTGATAATGGTCCCACTCGACTGCTTGCATTGGCGCAATGAGCAAATCGATCTAGCGAGATTCGGGTTTCACGCAGCGGTGCATTGAATCCTTGTTCCAACAGCTAGTACATCAATACACATGGCATGATTGTTCTTCGCGACCTGTCTTCAGGCCAGGTCCGTTCACCTTCCCCTGCCTCCCTTCATCGAATCCGCACCCAATCCGCTGTTTGCTGGTGTTGTTGAGTAAAACAAAACAAGGATTAAAAACGACCGCGTAACGTATCCACAATGTAACGGATATGCAACGGCTCTGGACCAACGGACTGCCGGACGTTCGATGGCAGCGGAGGGGAGAAGAATGGCGGACAGGAAGGAAGGGGAAGAGGAGAGGAAGTGAATTGAGGTTATTGCTGAACGCAGTTGTTAGAGGAGGAACCCCGTCGATCCGTAGAGAGCCTGCTGAGATCTCCATCGGACGAGTGGGTACAAGCAACGGTCAAGGGCAACTGAACAGGACTCGGCTGTGTGGCAGGAGACGTTAGAGCCGATCTCCCGCCATGGCCGACGGAGCTGTACCAGAGGACCCAGCTCCCTCTCAAGTAACCGAAGCTGAAGAACCTGGAGAAGGTGCCGTCGTAGAGGAGGGCGACGTCCTGGTGGGTGACGGGGCAGTGGAGGCGCTAGGGGAGCAAGCAGCTGGTACACAAGAAACAGATTCTACTCAGGTGGCGCCGACTGAAACGGGGGATGATGGAGGAGGAGCTGCTCCTGCTGATGCCGTAGATGCCGCGAATGATCAGACCTCGACGACGGACAGGACCGCTGAGGAAACAGAAGGCGCAGGGGAGCCGGTTGAGGCTGAAATGGAAGGACAGGGTGATGCTGGGGATGGGTTGCAGGACCAAGACCTTCCGAGTACAGAGCAAGTGACTGAAGGAGGAATGCCTACCGAAGCTGAAGCTGCAGCCACGGGTGAGGAGTCATCGGCGGAGGCTGTGGCAACTGAAGGTGATGGCGACGTTGCAGCGAATGTTGAGGGAGTTGAAAGAGACAATGGGGACGCGAGCGAGCCAGCTGCAGGGACTTCAGGGACAGAAGCAATGCCTGAGCCAGCAGATCAAGGAGCAGAAACGGAGCAAGGAGCTGAAATCCAGCAAGGAGCAGGGGGTGAGGGTGGAGAAGAACAAGTAACGAGCAACGAGCAGAGCAATTCAAGCGCAGAGATGGCGGACATTACTTATGATGTGGAGAAGAAACGGCAGGAGCGTTCGTCGCTCGGCAAGGAGTTCATCAAGAGGGAGACTGTCTTCCTGCATCACTCCTACGGATGGGAAACCCAGAGGAGAAATAATCTCCACCGCCTCGGGGAGGCGAAGTTGTTGACTTGCGCAGGGAGCACGGTGGTGATCCTTGACCTGGTCACGTTGGAGAAGGAATATCTCGAGGGAATCGACAACGGAGGCATCGGAGCCATCACCGTCCACCCATCAGGGAACTACTTTGCTGTAGGCGAGAAGCACGTGGGGGGAAGCCCTAACGTCTACATCTATGAGTATCCCTCCCTCCGGCTGATCAGGATCTTGAAGGAGGGAACCGAACGTTCCTTCAGTGATCTGCGATTCGACAAGACGGGGGAGATGCTGGCGACAGTGGGAGGCTTCCCTGACTACCTCCTCCATGTGTGGGACTGGAAGAAGGAGGCAGTGATGCTGAGAGCCAAGGCCTTCTCACAGGAGGTCTTCAACGTCTCGTTCTCTGATCGCTTCGATGGAACTCTCTACACTTCCGGGACAGGTCACATCCGCTTCTGGAAGATGGCGCACACCTTCACAGGACTCAAGCTGCAGGGAGAGATCGGAAAGTTCGGCGCCATCGAGCTCTCCGACATCTCTGCCTACCTGGAGCTCGCGGACGGGAAAGTGCTGACAGGAAGCGAGTCTGGGAACCTGCTGCTGTGGGATGGAGGCCTTATCAAGGTTGAGATCTTCACCAGCAAGGGGCAGTGCCACAACGGGATGATTGAGATGCTGTGGCAGCAGGGAGACTTGATCGTCTCTGCCGGCATGGACGGGTTCCTGCGCTACTGGGAGTACCCCAAGATCGACCTTGCTGAGCCGGAGGAGGACGAGCCAAGGTGCACCATCAACCCAGTGAAGGAGTTCCTGATCACAGAAGGCGGCAAGGAGGAGAGGAGGGTCAGCGTGAAGACCATGCACTTGGATCGAGAGGGAAAGTTCAAGGAGTGGCTGGTGCAGGACGACTCAGGGGCTCTGTGGCGCATCGGGACGGGGCAGGAGGAGCTGAGTGCTTCGAAGATAATGTCCTTCCATGCTGGAGGGATCGCGGGCTGTGAAGCTTCTCCCCGAGGACCGTTCTTTGCCACCGCAGGAAGCGACGGGTCGATCCGCCTGCACAACCTTGTGGACAGGAAGACTGTCTTCCAGCAGACGTTTCCGCAAGCTTGCTCGTGCATGATGTGGGGGCCTCTCTCCGTGGACGAGGAAGGGACCATGATCGCTGTGGGGTTCGAGGACGGGGTGGTGCGCATGCTGAAGCAGCTCCGCGACAGTTGGCACTTGCAGTCCGTGTCGAAGCCTCACACAAAGAGGGTGAACATGGTGAAGTTCAGTCCTGACGGGAGGAAGATCGCGTCCTGCTCGCAGGACAACACCATCTTTCTGCAAAACGTGGTGAAGGATGAGAAGGAGGAGTTGAAGATGGAGCCGATAGGCTTCATCAGTTGCAATTCGTCCGTCTCCTGCATGTCGTGGTCGCCGGACTGCGAGAGTCTGCTGGCGTGCATCGACCCGTTCACAGGCAGCGAGGGGGAGATCATAAGCTTCAAGCTGCCTCCTGTAGAGGAGATCAACACCTCCACCACCTTCGACATCACCTCCTCATGCCAACAGAATAAGTACAACTTCGAGAGGAAGATCGTCCTCCCTGAGAAGCCGGCGAAGCCCAAGAAGGAGGGAGAGGATCAGGGAGAGGAGCCGGAGGAGGAGGAGGAGCCGGAGCCGGAGCCGGAGGTCATCCCCAACGGAGCGCCCAAGAGCTGCTTGTTCATGACGGACTCAAGTTTCCTCCTTAGCTTCGACGGGCCGGAGACGAGAGGGGTCCTGTACGAGTGCTCCTTCGACTACAAACACCCACTGCAGGAGCTCACTACCCACACCTCCTCCATCGTCTTCATGCGCCTCTCCCACTCCGGCAGGTACCTCATCACAGGAGGGAGCGACGGCTCTGTGGCCCTGAGAGGCATCGGAGAGCAGCTGGACTCCTCCTTGAGACTCGCCTCCAAGTGCTGGAGGGGGAATCTCCATGGGTGTGACGCGGCCATCACAGGAGCAAGCATCTCCTTCGACGAGGAGGCGCTAGTGTCGTCGGCGGTGGACGGGAACGTGCTGCAGCTGCGGATAACGGAGGACTTTCATGCCTCCATGGCGCAGGTGCTTGCGCAGGACGCGTCCGCCCTCAAGGAGAAGGAGCTGATGGCAGAGGCAGTGAGGCTGGAGGAGCTCAAGGCACAGGCGGAGGTGGCGGAGGAGGAGAAGGTGGAGGACATTGTGGACCCGAAGCATTATTCGATTCAGCAGGAGAAGATCCAGGCAGAGGAAGACAGGAGGAAGGCGGAGGCGGAGAAGAAGAAGGAGCGCGTCCGTGAGACCATCCTGCAGATCCGTGAAGAGTTCGAGCAGCTGGTGCAGGCGAACGAGGCCCTTCCTCCCGGTGAGCGACTGGACAGGGACGAGTTCGAGGTCGATCCTGAACTCAGGATCATCCTGGAGAAGGAGGCGGCAGAGAAGGTGGAGGAGGCGAGGAAGGAGCTGGCGTGGGAGAGCGAGAAGAAGAGCAAAGCTCTGGAAAAGCTCAGGAAGGCCTTCATTGATAACGTAGCAGTAGAGCACATCGTCCTGCATGCTCTTCGCTCCCCGTACGCGGTCCACAGCTTCCGCACCCCGAAGCTCACGCAGGAGCAGAAGGACAACATCGCAGCCGTCCACCAGCTGATCAACCAGGAGGAGAGGAAGGAGAGTCTGGCAGAAGGGAAGGAAGGAGCAGAGGGGGTTGCCACGGAGACTGGGCAGGCAACGGCAGGGGGGGCAGAGGAGCAGGACGTCCGGGACCTGACGGCAGAGGAGCTGGAGGAGAAGGGGGTATCGAAGCAGGAGATCCGCAAGATCCTGCGGCAACAGAGGCAGCGGAAGTGGGAGCAGCTGCTGGCGATGAAACCCGACGACAAGTACGAGGACCCCAAGGACGTGTCGGCTATCCAGCACGCGCAGACGCACATGGGGGACTACAAGCTGAAGACGGACGAGGACTACGTGGTGCCGGAGCACCTGAGGATCGACGCGGAGAAGAAGAGGAGGCAGATGGTCCTGCTGGAGGAGAGCATCCACTCCATCAAGATGGGCTTCAACGACCGTCTGCTGGCGCTCAGGGACCTCAAGAAGCGCATCATCAGCAACATCGAGGCTGACAACCAGCGGATCCGAGAGATCGATGCGGAGCTGGGGATCCCCACCGGGGAGCTCTGGCAGCCCTCCATCCTAGAGCAGGACGAGTTCCCCGAGCTGCGGTTCACCCGCGGTTCAAAGCTCCCTTCCCTCGACATCCCCCAGCAGGAGACGCTGAAGAAGCACCTGGGCAGCGAAACCTCGAGCGTCGTCAACCAGACGAGCTCGATGGATACCTTCCGGTCGTCGGGCACGCACAGCTCTGTGCACGAGACAGGAGGAGCAGGAGGGGGGGGAGGAGGAGGAGAGCTCTCAATCGACGAGTACGAGATGTCCGAGCTCGAGCAGATAGAAGCTCACATCCGCAAAGTGCAGCTGCAGTACGAGAAGGAGAAGATGATAGAGAAGATTGAGCAGACGGTGCAGGCCTACGACGAGGCGATCCGCAACCTGCGGCGGGAGAGGTTCAAGCTGGAGGCGGACATCAAGATGATGGACCTGAGGATGCTGGTGCTGCTGCAGGAGCTGCAGCTGCTCAAGGAGTTCGAGAAGCGAGACAACGCTCTGGTCACCAAACTCAACGGGAAGAGGGAGGAGAAGGCGGACATCGCGTCGAAGATCAAAGAATGCAACGACAAGATCGCTACCAAGAAGCACGAGATCGAGAAGTTGAACCCCAAGCAGGTGATGATGGAGTTTTCCCAGCTCGTCCCCGACTCGAACAAGTTCCATGAGCCCCTGCTGAAGATCTTCAAGAAGAAAATCAAGAGGATGAAGAAGAAGGCCAACGAGGGTGAAGAGGACGATGAAGAGGGAGAGGACGAGGACGAGGACGAGGACGACATGTCGGACTTCGATGAGGAGGAGGAAGAGGAGGAGGAGGAGGAGTTCTGTCCTCCAGGGTGCGACCCCTCGCTCTTCGAACAGGTGTGTGAGCTCAGAGAAAAGCGTCTGGATCAGGAAGAGATGCTGGCAGAGTACCAGAAAGGGGCGGATCAGCTCAAGAAAGACCTGGACGGGCTGGTGAAGAAGGAGAAAATCATCGACTCGGCCCTGCGGCAGACAGAGCAGGAGATCCAGCAGTTCCAGACTTTCAAGCAGCAGAAGTTGAACGAGATCAGAGTCGTCATTACTCTCAAGATGCATCAGATCAAGTGTCTGGTCGAGGATAAGCTGCCTCCCGACCTCTCCAACACCATCGTCTTCACCAACTCTGGCCTGAAGAGGTTGAGGAGCAGGATAGATGAGCTCAAAGAGGAGAAGGAGGAGCTGCGCAAGAACCAGAAGCTGCTCAGGAAGGAGCATGTGAACCTGCTGAAGAGCAAGAAAGTCAAGGAGGAGAGGCTCCGGGAGCTGGAGGCTCGTTCCCGCGATGTTCAGATGTTGAAGTTCGGGCAGGAAGTGGACTTGGATGTGCTGGAGAAGATGGGGGTGAACAAGACAGCGGAAGAACTGAGAGAGCAACTGAAGCAGCTGGAAAAGAAGAACGCCAAGGAGCTACGAGCATGGCAGAAGCAGATCGATCAGGCGGCAGGAGAGCTTGCTGGCGTTACCAAACAGGTAGGATGCTTCCTCCCTCTTACGTCACAGTTTTCATCATCGTCTCCTCTCCTGAGTTTGTTGCTCTTCTCTGTGTTGACTTGTCTGTAGAACACGGAGAAGCTTGAGAGGGTGGCAGAGCTTACAGCAGCTCAGCATCGTTTGGAGAAGGAGCTCAACTCCACACAGTCTCGCATGGTGGCAGAAGTCGGACCTTCAAAGGAGAAGGTGAAAGCTGAGAGGGAACAGGTGAGACAACAACTTTGCGGGGGGGGGGATGGCGAGACTGACTGGTTGCGGCAGCTCGTCAGTCTGGTGAAGCTGCAGGCGAGGGAGATGGAGGCACTCAAAGCAGAGATCAACATGTTGCGACGGAAAGGCGGTCACGTCTACACGCCTGTTGTGCGGCGGGCCCCACCTCCCTCGTCCGGAGAACAGAAGTGACAAGAAGTTACAGAAGCTGCTGAAGCTGTCTCAAGTGAACATGCCCTTGTTTACTGTTTCCCTTCTCCCACCCTTGCAAGCTCTGCCGTTAACAAAGAGCGGTGCACCTCCAACCAGAAGTTGTGTAGGTATCGAAAGCCTTGCAGGGCTTTCTTGGCCAGTCTGGAGAGATTCCTCTGAAGGTGGTTGTGATAGTTTGGATGAACCACTTTGCCGTCTTGCCATCTGATTGTCAAGGGTTACAACTGAGAGTTGAGAACTGTCACAATCTTACTTGAGTGCCATCTTGAATATTCTCTGACAGTACTCCCTCTCAGCAGCGTTGTCTTGCAGCCTGTAGTAGCTCCCAACATCTAGCATCAGAGACCCATAAGCATTCAACGCCGCAAGGTCGTTCTCGTCCATGTCAATGGCACGCTGGATGCACTCTGAAGGAGCAAGAGTCAGCACAGGAGGGAAAGGCGATGGAAACTAGCCTGACGCTCCGATCCAGTCCGAATGAACGTGGTGCTTGAGCATGCCGTACACCACTAGCTCCTTCCCTGACACAACGTTGTTGGGTACCCTTGTCCGCTCGTACATCTTCTCTAGCACGCTCAGCTGATCCTTGATGCCTCCTGGTAACTTGGATGCGCTCCCTTGCATGCATGGGAGATCTTGGATCAAGTCGTAGTACGTCAAACTGTTCAGCTCCCGCTCTGTAGGAGGGTCTAGTCGCGTTTCAAAGACGCCGTTGAAGTCTAGGTTCTGCACACTTCCGTGGGAGTGAAGGGGGGAGGACGCCATGGAGGAGTGAGCCGTCGAGGATCGGCTTTCCGCTGGTTCATAATTGTCCAGGCTCATCTGCGTCCTCCATTCTTTCGAGATTGGACCATACATTGTCAAACAATAGACAGAACCGGCTTCTGCACAGCGAGTGGAGGTGGGCCGATGTTACCTGACCGAATTATCTCCTTCAGTCTTGTCTTGTTTGTATGGTCTGTCTTTCTTAACTGCCTGTACTTGTGTATTTCCGACTGTCTGTGTCTATCAGCCTGTCTGTCTTCTTCTTCGTTTCTTTCTTTTCTCTCTTCTCATTCACTGTTTGTCAACTCATAGCAAACCTTGCTCCGCTTCCGCCAGCATTGCTCTCCCTAGCCCTCGTACCCCTACCTCCCCTGGCACCTCCAGTACCTCCGAACATTATCAAACCGTATCTATCGCCTGCCCGCAACAGCTTCCTCCCCCCTTCTACATTATCTCCTTGACTCTGAAAGGATAATCCTGTACCTTTACCCCATCAGAGATCACTTCTATCTTATCTTTCTGCCCGAATTTACCGTCCCCGTAGGTCCCGCCAACCACGGGATAAATCTGACCACCCCCACCCCTCCATATATCCTTATTTTCACGGGTTCCACTTAGGCTACTGACCCCCCCTGATTCATTCTTAGTGCTCTCAAGGCTGGTCAAACCACATGAAGGTAGAGCCGGGCGGCCTCCGGCCCGGATCCGATCATGGTCCGACCGTCGGACGGTCCGACGGCGGATGATCAGGATGGTGAACACTGAGTCAGCGGGCTGCGGCAGCGTTACTGGCCCGTCAGTGACGGCGGTTTAGTACCGTAGTACTAGTACCCGGCAGTACGGTACTACGCCGTAACTCAGACCGTTCCGGCGAACCGTTCGGCGTCCGAACTCGCCGGGACTTGAAGCCGGGGGCCCCCGGGCCGGAGGCCGGGATCGGCTCCCCCCCCGGGGGGCCCCGGCGGCGGGGCCGGCGGCGGGGCCGGCGCGGGCCCCGCGGTGCGGCCCATTGCGGCCAGTGAGGGCCGGGCCAAGGTGCACAGCGGCGGCCCCGGGGCCGCGCCCCGCGCCGCGGACTCCGGCCCCGCCGTAGTAGCGGCGCCCACCTCTGAGTCTCAGGCTGCCGATCCGACTCGATGATCATGGCGAGTCAGGCCCTTACTCCGTGACTCGCAGTCACCGTGCCCCGCGCACACGGTGCCAGATCAAGTTGATCCGACGGTCCGATCAGTAGCACTGTGCCCGCTCGGTCCGAGCCTGCCTCGCCCGGCCTCAGATGGTGGCGGTTTCAACGGTCGCGTCAAAAGACCCCTGCCAGCCACCCCCCGGGCGGTAGTTCTATGCGGTGATGGTACCGCCGTACCCCCCCTGTCCCCCGGCTAACCCAGAGGCGTCCTACCGTCAGAATGAACCCCACCCCCTCAGGGTGCTTGTCAAGTTGTCCGAGGTACATCACTTAGTACCCCCTGCTTGCGTTAAGTTTAAAAGAACCCCCTCCCCTTGATGTCTAAAAGTCATTATCTCTAGTGACCCCACCCTCCCTCTTCCCACGCCTTTCCTCTTTGTTGCAAGGGTGAGACGACCTACCCTTCATCCTACTACCCACCCCTCCGATCTGGCTGAACCCTATCTACTGCACGGTTTTCCTACCGCCTGTGCCCTCAACTGAACCCTGCTGGCATGGCGGGTTCAGATCTTCGCTACGATGGCGCAAGGAGCCCGCCGAGGAGCGCGGTGAGAGATGCTTGCTGTCACTCCTGACCTTCCCTCAACCCTCCAAGCGTGCAGCCTCCTTGTTCTCTCCCTCTTCGAGCACTGTCACCTTCAGCTCCAATGCTCTCACCCCTTTGCAAAGAAGACGCACTGATACTGTGTCTAAGCATGGAAGGGATGGTTGTTGATGTCGCAATGTCCACTAGTTCACCTGAACATATGCATACGAGAGTGTTCCATGATTACGTCTGCTTGAAACCATGAAAAGCACTTCTCAACTCACCACGATCATTTCCCACTCCAGGTCAAGAAACTGTTGAAAGCAAGGCCATGGTCAGCGAAGGATGTAGCGTCAACGAGACCAGTCGGTCTCGACTCCAAGTCCAACACATTCTCTGGAAGGCGATTCCTCGGAGATCTGTCTCATCGAGACTCTGTGAGAAGCTTTGGTTCTACGTCGATTCGGCCGTCAACAGCCCCGGCTATCCGAAGGCCTATCAGCGCATATACCCCTCATAACCCTTCAGCAGTCCCCGAATTCCCCCTCACTGCTCCGATCTCAACCTTCTCTACTTCAGAGGTGTCTATGATCCGGAGCTTGTACTATGCAAAGTGTAGAGACGTAGGCATCAAGCCCAACACGAATCAGTTCGACAAGTTTTCTTCGCTCTTCAACAACAGGTTCAAGCCGAATGACTTGTACCTTAGCGGATGTGGAGTTGGACTAGAATTTGTGAAGACGCTTGTCAAGATATTTTCTGTTTCGAGTCTCTTGGTTACATGTCAGAAGTTGGACGTGTCGTGTAATCGCATAGGAGATCTGGGAGCAGAAGAGTTAGGGAAAATCCTGGTAGAGCCCGGGGTTCGTTTGGAGCATATTGACATGAGCTCGATCGGCATTGGAGCGAGTGGAGCTTCGCGACTCTTTGATTATCTCGCCCACAACAACACGTATGCTGCATCGTGCTTTCATTGCCGTTGGCTCTGTTTGTTCGCTGATCGTTGCTGCAGGGTGAAGGTGTTGATGTTGGGCACAGCGTCAGGGGACAGGAACATCATTGGGCCTGCGGGAATGGAGTCACTTTCTAACTGCCTAGCAGTCAACACGACCCTTACGAGTCTGAAGTTGGATGCAAACAGCATTGCCCTCAGGGTGAGTAGCGCAAGCGGAGCATTCCTTCATTCTGCTAATTTGCTCTGCCAGGGCATGCGATCATTGGCCCCAGGTCTGCACCTCAACACGTCCTTGCGATCATTGGATCTCTCATCCAACGGCCTCAAGAACAAGGCGATCAAGCTCCTGTCCGACACTCTCGCTGTCGGCGGCTTGACCTCGCTTGACCTCAGTCGCAATCAGATCTCGGACGAAGGAGCGAACTTTCTTGCAGACGCGTTGAAGGGAGACAACATCCTCCAGAGCCTCTGCCTTGACTTCAACGACATCGAGGGGCCCGGAGGGCAGGCGCTCGGACTCGGGCTGAAGTCCAACACTAGGCTGACGAGCTTATCCATGTGCCACAACAAGTTGGGATCCGCAGGGTTGTCAGGGCTAGCGGAGATGTTCCCGATCGTGGCCCCGTCGCCGACGAAAGCAGGAGGGAACGACACAGAGGGATCGTTCTGCATCATGGAAATCTTGAAGCTGAGCAACAACTCGATTTCCAACGAAGGAGCGAATCTGCTCTTCAACCGTCTCCGTGACAACTTCACTTTGAAGACGCTGGACTTGTCTCAGAACGCGATCTCGCAGCATGCTGCAAGAGAGATCGGCAGCTGTTTGAGGTCCAACTGCTGTCTGACGTCACTGAACCTGTCCATGAACAAGTTGCACTCTTTGGGAGTCTCGATGATCAGTTCGGGGCTTGAGCTCAACACAACGCTGAAGAAACTGTTTCTAAGGGATGTAAATATGAAAGATGAATGCGTCGGTCAGCTGGCTGTGTCTCTGAGATCAGGTGGGTAGGTCTGGGCTGGGATCGATGCGATGCTGAGTTTCCGAGCAGGAAAGAGTTTGATTGAGCTTGATATATCTTGGAATGACGTGTCTTACTCGAACAATAACATGGTCGTGGAGGTTGTCGAGGAGAACAAGGTGAGTGTTGATCATGGTCGATGCAACATCCACACATGATGAACGTCTCAGGCGCACTTTGAGTCGACGGCGATTCCCAGATTGACGAAGCAACTCAAGCATCTGTCCCCACTCGCTGACGAGTTGCCGAAAGTTCAGGCAAAGTGAGTGACGTGCATATGGCGGTTGCAAGTCTCACGTCGAATGCTCGTCCAGGATCAACAACGAGATCATGATGAAACAGCAAACTCAGGAAGAAATTGACGACATCAAGCACAAGGTCCCTGCGCCCTTGCTGACACCTCGCCTTGTCCATCTCTTCTGCTCATGTGACAGCAGGCGGATGAGGAGAAGGTTGATGCTCAGGTACAGCTCGACAGCATCCGAGAGGATGCAGAGGCCACCAAGGAGAACCTGTTGAGGATCGAGAAGGTTATGTACCCCTCTTCCTCCCTCCTCCTCTCATCTTCTTGCCCCTGCCCCGGCAGGCCCTGAGTGAGGCGATCGAGTCGTTGAGGTCCAAGGAGCGGAAGTGCAGGGAGAAGGAGGAGAGTCAGGTGACGAGGAGGAGGTTCCAGCGTTGCTCCTCCACTCATCCCAACCCCCCAGTCGCGACTGCTCGAGGCTGTCCAGAAGTCGCACGAGCGGTTGCACGAGAGGCTTCAGGGGCTCAGAGATCGGCTGGCCGAGCAGGAGGACGGCGAGACAGGCGAGCTGCTCGCCCAGCTGGAACAGAGCAGGGAGGGGCTCAAGAGAGCGATGCAAGTGAGTCGTCCTTGCTAGTTGCGAATGCTAGCAGTGAGAGGCTGCAGGAGCGGGATCATGCGCAGGAGCAGCTTCAGAGGAGGGAGGGCGAGACGGCTCAGGACTCGTTTGTGATGACAGCAGCTCATCAGACGGGCAAGGGAGGGGACGACAAGGTAAGCACTGTGAAACTCCGCCCAACGTTCCCTGACTTTCCCGCTGCCTCAGGCGAGCAAGAAGAACCAGGGCAGGATGAAGATAAGTCGTTCGCCCCCTCGATCCCCCAAGTCGTAGCGGGCGACGAGGCCCACTGCTCGAGTTCTTCTCCTCGTGTTTCCATGTTCGCCTCCTGTTTATTCTTTGAATGTTCAAGTCCGTACACAAGATTCTTCGCAGCTGCCATGATCTTGTTCCTCCTCTGCCCCTTCCACTTCCTGTCTCTGCCGTTACCCCCCCCCCGCTCCCATCCTCCCCCCCTCCCCCCCCCACCATCTTCATCCTCTTCCCTTCCCCGATGAATAAAAGTGGTCCCTCCCGCTGGTTCATTTTGAGCGCGGATGCGTCCCATGGCGGCCTTCATGCCGGCGGTGTCGGTGATGATGGCGGAGAGCGCGCAAGCATCGTCCCGCCTCCCAGTCATGGCATGGAGCCATCGCTGCCTGCCCCCCCGTCCTCATCTCCATCGCACCCGCCATCGTCTCCTGTGTCGCGCGCGCCCCAACGACGTCGGGGACTTGGGCCTGGTGAACAAGAAGGTTTTCCTTGATGCGCTGCAATGCTCGAGGCTCGGATGGTTTCGACGAGCAGGACAGATCGACGCATCCAAGGAGATCAGCGATAACGATCTCTACCTCATGCAGCTCGGCCAGCAGTTTGAGCAAGACTGTCTTGCGCACATGTACCCGGAGTAAGGATGCACAACTTGCTCATTCAGAGGATGCTGATGTCTTGCTTGTGTTTTGGACTGCAGGGCGACGAAGGTGGAGAGTGTAAAGCTGAAGAAAGCATGCAAGGAAACGATGGAGCTGATGAGAGACATCGAAGCTGGCAAGGTCGAGCATGACAGTCCTGCCCTCTGTCAGGCTTCTTTCGTGTTCAACGAGGCGGTGGCAAGAGCGGATGTGCTGGAGTACCTCGGAGACGGTGAAGGAGGAGAAGGCCAAGAGAATTATCGAGGGTGATGCTGCATGCATTCAGGAAGATGGGAGCTTGTAGAGATTAAGTGCTGTTCGGAGATGTCAAGGTCAGACTTGTTCGCCAAGTTGCCAGAGGGAGTAACGTGATGGAGACAGCAAGGATTACCTTCTGGATGCGGCATACACCGCGGCGATCTTGAATTTGTCAGGAGTCAACATCGTCAAGGTGTATGAGGAGATTCTGGGAAGGGACGATGACTGAGAGGTCGAACGCAGGCGTCTATCATTGCCGTCTCCATGTCGTATAGGTTGGGGATGGACAAGAAATCTTTGTAGGGGAAGGGAGAGGTGAGAGGCAGAGTGATATGACTTGTTTTGCAAGGTTTGTCAAGTGTGATGTTTCCCAAGATCTCTTTGGCACAGAAGACCTGGTAAAGGTGACCAGACTCCGCAAGTTGTTGAACTCTCAATCTTGCTGCGGCATCGCCAGAAAATTTCATCGGACAAAGGAGGGATCTCCCTATCTCAGACCATTGATGTGCGCTCGCCTGAGATCCAAGTTGGATTTTCTTCTCATGTCTTTCTGCAGATCACCAGAAGTGAAAATTGTCCAGACGCCATCCCGATGCCTTTCTGCAAGAAATGCCCTCAATTTCAGACCTGGTGATTTGTTTACCTCTCGACAACTCCCTCTCTCACGTTAGGAAACAGCTTTGAGAAGGATCTTAAGAATCCGATCTGGCAGCTTCCCAGGTGTGCGAGGTCAAAGATCTTTCCCTTTGACTGTTGACGCTCTTTCCAGGCTCACGGGCAGCAGGTTTGACCAAGTTGCCGCCCATGGCCTCGAGGTCCGTGTCGTCCATCATGTCATCACCCCTTTCCGTGCCGTTGAGATGCCGCAGATCGAGAAAGTCCCGCCCACACTTCTGACGAAGGATCAGCTGAAGTTCTATGAGAGTGTTATGAAGAAGGAGGTGATCGTCGATGTCAGAAAGCTCAAACAGGTAGAGGAGGGAGAGTATCCTGTGAGGTTCTCATTGCTTTTAGCACCTGCAAGAGACGAAGGGACCATTCCTCTACCTAGACTTCGAGAGTATCAATCCTCTGTATCCCTGGTTGCTGTGAGGGGAGTCAACGCCTTTGGTGACCAGTGAAACAGGTTCGACGACCTCGCTCCCTGGCAACCGATGGTAATGTGAATGTGCTCTATGAAAGACAGCGGAATGACGATCGGAGGCAGATCACACAGTTCTCTTTGCACAAACGAGCTGATGTCGACAGTGAGTTGCAACATATGGAGTTTCTCGCCGACGCCAAGTCAGTTGATGCTTCCACATGCTGGAGTCCTAAATCTGCTCAGGGCAGATTTCCGTCTTGATTTATGTGACTATCTCCTTGAGTGCCTTGGGGATCAGGGATCAATCTTTGTCTACTCGTCGTTTGAGAAGACACACTTGAAGGTCATAATCCCTCCTCCTCCTCGGTCAAAATCCTCCCCCGACCCCCTCCCATGCTGTTATCTAACAACCTCTTACGCTTGCAGGCATTCGCTCAGAGGTTCCCCTCACGTGCACAGCAGGTGAAAGCTGACGCATCTTATCATAACGTGTAACGGTTCTTTACAGATCGAGGAAGTGATATCCCGCCTCTTCGACCTCGAGAAGGCAACACAGCAAACCATCCCAACACCTGGCGCTTATCCCTTCTTCTTTCTTTCAGGTCATCAGGGAGACTATAACGCACCCGGAGTTCAAAGGAAGCTCTTCCCTCAAAGTCACTCTTCCCGTCCTCGTCCCATCCTATCAGTCTGCCTACAAGGTCAGCGAGTGTGTCCGAGCGAGTTTTCCTCACCTACCGGAGCAGGAGATGTCCATCAAGAACGGTTTTGAGGCCTCCAGTGCATTCCAGCGCCTTCGAATTGCAGATGCAGAGGTAGGCGATGTTCTGATGCTTCCGCTCTCATTCACCCTATGGCCCTCCCTCCCCTCCACTCCTCCTCACCCGCCTTGTTGTGATGATTTCTCCACCTGTACTTATATCTCGAGTCTCGCTCAACTTGCTCGTCGCCCCCTTTCCCCGCCTCCTTCCTGTCTTCCAGCATTTTGCACCATTTGACCCTGCTGTCAAGGAATCGAAAGAGATCCGCAAGAATCTGAAAGATTATTGTGCCTTGGATACTCTGGCGATGGTCGAGTTGCATTCTGCCATCTTGGCGATCAGTGGGAATTCGGCCAAGTTGTGATCATCCTTCAAACCCGTTTCTTCCTCTCAACTCATGTCGCTCTCTTCTCTCCTCATTCCTTGTCATGTATGCTACTAGTCTCCTCGTCGTAATCCTCAACTCTTCCTGCTCTCTCCTCCTGTTTCGTTTGCTCGTTTAACGGTTCTGTAAAAGTGAGCTAATGTCATCCAACTTGGTTCGTTTCGATCTCATCCATTTTTCTCTGCGCAGAAGCAGCTGTAATCGATTCTTTGCAGATCTTAGGATCTCTTGTTTTCAAACATGTCCGCATACCATCCAACAACATTCCGGTCGTCTGAGCATCCCAAAAGTATCAGGAAACCTGATGCGAAAGCAGAAGTGAAACTGACCTGAAGTATATTGTCGACGTGTTTCTTCTTCTTAGTCTTTGAAAGTCTGTTGGCAGCCCTTAAGTGTTCAAGTTGTTTGCAAGCTTGAAACAAGTGAGATGATGAAGCTCGCTCTAATTTCACCTAGAGCAGATCCGCCGATGCATTCCCTTCCAAGAGCTGTCTCTTTCTGGGCATCTTTCATCTCATCGTCTGCCTGCAAAGACCCAGTGTTAACAGCGGCTCATCTTTGTAAGTTTGTTCACTCAGCAAGCGCTCTTAGATGTTGCTCACCTCTTCTCCTTCCAAATCTGCTTGCGACTGTGCCAGTGACGCCTGGTGCAAATACATGCTCGCAAGATCCTTCTCCTTCTTTGTTGCACTGCGTCGCCGCTGTTCTTTCTCCTCCAGCCGCTTCTCTACTTCTTTTGCCCTCTCTTTGGCCAGGCTCAGCCAGATTTGACCCAAATGGGAACTTTCCTTCCGGGCCTCGTTCGAGATCCGCTCACAAGCGTCAACATCCATTTGCCTGCATGAAATGCTAGCTTTGATCAAGCTTGTGTCATGAGGTCTTGGTTGGGTCTTCTTCACCTCATGATCATTCGGCTTGGATGAGAACATCTCGCTCAACGTGTGAGAAACAGTATCCCTTGCTTCTTCTGCCATGCGGTAGATCGTTTCCTCTTCGCCTTCCTGCCCTTTTCGTCGTCCTCGTCCTGCGCTCTCTAGCGGCTCCACAAGCATTCCCATGATGAAAACTATCAGCAGGAGCAGCCCTCTTTTTGCCCGCGGCATCTTCACTCCCTCCCTGCGACATGTGCAGTCAACCATGTCAGTGCGAGGGGGACAGGATGAGCAAAACCATGTCAGCTCATTTCGCCACTTTCTTCCAGGCAGTACGGACTGCCCGGCCCTGGGCCGGGCCCGGCCGGGCCGCAAGACGGTTTCAGTTTGTCCAAGTCACCGTGCCACACTGTGTCCCTAAAACTGTGTCACTGTGTGTGGCAGCGCCGAAGCCTTGTAATCATTAACTTGAGTAGTAAAATAGAGCGGCCCGGCCGCTTGACGAACTTGCCGAACCTGAAAGCTAGGCACTAGCAGGTGACGGCGGACGGTACGGTACTACTCGGAGCAACTTGTACTCGCCGGTGAGTCGGGCCCGGCGGCCCGGGGCCCGCCGGGCGGCTCAGCTCAGCCTCCGTGGCGCGGCCCGGCGACCGCCGACTGAGTGCGGCCCAGCCAGCGGGCCGGCCGACTACCGTACACGGTACACTGCCGTACGCCGGTACGCCTCTCGGTAGGGCGTCTGCTCGTTCGATCGAAGGGACATGCGCGGTCTTGTACTACCGCCGCCTCGGACCGGCCGACTTCTCCGGACTACACAAACCTTGTAAAATATTTTATTTTAAATAAGTTTTACTTCCGTTGGCCTGTATCGATCGTAAAAATCAAAAGTAAAAAATGTACAAGTCTGTACCCTGTGGAACCCACCGTTTTGTAACAAGATTAAGAATAAAGGTACAAATATACATCTTATATAAACTGTGCGGTACTACACATATTATTATTATTTTTCCTACCCCAAGGCTTTTGAATCCTTCCACCCACCTACCCATGCAAGCCACCCTCCGGTCTATTTCGAAACAGAACCCTCGTACCCCTTGCAAACACCAATCGAACCCCTCATTCTTAAACTTTTCTACCCCGACCCCCCCTATCTTTGTTGGCACCCCACCTACCCCTTTCCGTTGAATCTCAACCCTGCCAGTGCGTCGCGTCTCCTCATCCGCCCCATTGGCTGCAATGCCCAGAACACTTCGCCTTCCCTTCCGCCTTGTCGCCTCCGCTGGAGAGCTCACTTCAGGAGCTGTGAACTCTTTGGTTGACACGTCCTATGCCTATGGCAAGAAAACCTCCTCATTCATCTTTGAAAAGTAAGTTGGTCAATTCTCTCTTGGTTTTGGATGGATTTATAGTATATGCCTTTCTGCCTCTTCAACCAAGCGAGATTTTGGATTCAGCCCCACAGATAGTGTTGGATTTTCTTGTCGTGTTCGATATCTCCATGTTTACGAATGTCCTGTGCCAGCGCGCTGATTGTTAATATCTGAGCATTTCCCTGCATTTGTTTTTCATAACAACCTTCTCATCTCATTCTTGAGTTTCGTGGTAATTTCCAACTGAGAAATTTCCCTTTGCAACAGTAAGATTTCCAAGAGCATCTCCAAGAGCATCTCTGCCATTGAAAATGAATTTGCCACCAAGGTACTTTTTTTTTTTTGCTACAAGCTTTTTGCTCTTTTTGAGCGTTGTTATCCAGACTAAGCCGTACACTGCTAAGGCGAAACCATACATCCAACCGGTCGTTCCATACATTGAGAAGGCGAGGCCATATGTGCCATATGGTTTCCTTGCCGCTATGATCGCAATGGCCATCCCAGTGATGATGGGACTTGCTTTCTTTGCCTTCATCACCGCACCGGCAAGTTTTATTCTCCTCTGTCTGTGCATAAAATCTTTGTTTTTTCAAGGCGTGTGACCTGATTTTTGACACTTTTTTTGCTCAGGTATGGATGTTTTTCGGCTTTGTCACCTCTTTCATTTGGGTCCCTTTGGTTTTTGTTGGTACCATCTTTGCGGTAAAACTGTTCGACAGAATGACTGCAGCAAAACTTACGTTCATGCCAGGGTGTAATATTCTCTTTCTTTGTTTTCGTGTCCACTGTTCGATACTTCTCTCAGCCTAAGGGCAGAGCTATTCTACTCAAGTATTGGAAAAAGATTTCCAGCACTCCGATGGGACAGATGCTCTTCTTCTGTGACACCTCGGCACCAGCTGGCAGCAAGATGTAGAGTGTCTGTGCGGGATGCATCGTTGCTTTCACTAGCTCTGCTTATGAGCGTGTGAAATTCTTGTAACTCTATATGTGACTAAGCTAACTGTGGATCTGCTGCAATGTTACCTGGTAACGATGCATGTAATGATTTGTTTTTAAAACCAATAATTAGAAAAGGGACGATCAGTCTTACTCGAGTCATGTCTTGGTGTACAAACACATCTACAACCTCTTCCCGTGATACTCCGTATGCTGGAATGCAGAATAACCCCAGTAAGTAGAAATCTCGAACGGTTCTCCGATTTCAACTCCTTCAGCAGAAACAGTGGCGATTTGAATCTGAAATATGTTAACAAATATAACACACACAATGAGATACAATACCTTAGTGCTGGACTTCGTGTTCCTGTAATACAGAACTCTGAGACAGTTTTCCATCACTTGCTTCGCTTCCTCCTTGCTCAAATTTGTGCCAGCCTTTCTCATTAGGGGCAAGCAAACATAATTTCCAAAGCTGGTTGCAATGATGTCGTCCTCATACATGGTGCCAATCAAATCCACCGCTCCAAGAAATCTATCCGGAACTCAATCAGAAGATCGTATTAATTCAAGCGTTAAACTCACGGTTTCCCATCACGAAATCCAGCCACAACCAGCTCATTCCAGAGCGGATCAAACTTATTACGTCTATTCCAATGAGTTACGATCTATACATCAAGAAATCTCAAAGTTAATCACCTGTTGTACATGACTCTTCCAAGGTACTGATGGATATCTCGAGGGGTCATGTTGCATCCATCATCATACGCTGAGTCTGAAGTACTGCAACGGGATCAGGAAGAAAAATCTCAGGGGATAGTGATAAACCTCATCTCTCTCAACATGGAGGAAATCTTTTGAAAGTCACTAAGATCTCCACTTGCACCGACAACAGTAAAATCTCCAACTTTTTCCAATCGTTTTACTGTTCTAAATCTCGCAAGACTTCCATATGAGCCTGTGGCAGCTTGTTAGCGGGCCAAGGAGGTATAATCTCGACAGAAATGAAAAAAAGATGGAAGTGATCTTGCTGATATTCTGAAATAAACAAAAGAGAAGACAATAATTTGAATTCGGTACAAAAGACTCACCAAGCGTGTCACAAGCCAGCATCACTCCACCATTGTACTTGATACCAAGAACGCCCGTTCCAGTCACAATAGGCTGCTGTGTGCGGGTGGAAGGCTCAGCAACTGGCTTTGTCTTCATGAAAGGCTGAGAAACAAAGCCAAAAGGCCGGGAGAGAGACTGATCTCCTCCTGGGAGGAGCGGATTGTGTGCACCGAACGCTGCCATCTTGAAGGACAGCTGTCTCAGGTTTCGTTTTAGTCAACAAGAAGACCCGCCTCTGAATGATCATGGACCCGGTGCCCTTCCGGGTTCCCGGCCCGGACCCTTCAGACTCAGTTGGTTCGAATGATTTCATTAGTGGCTCCCCGACGGGTTTTAGTCAATTTTGGCGCTAAATTTTGGTTTGAGGTTCCATGTAGTGCAGCATGGTGGTGGAAGGCACCGGAAAACCATGGCGGCAGGAAGGAACGATACAGGAGGAAGGAGGATCAGAGACAGATACAGAGACAGCTGAAGAGGAGGGAAGGAGGAATAGAAACAGAGACAGAGAAAGATTTGAAATAGAGAATGCGAGAGCGAGTTTGGGCTGGACGGCAGATCAATATCAATAAGTTTGGGCTCTTCTTGGATTTAAGAAGGTGGCTCACACACCAGTCTCAGATCGATATAGACAAGATATACTCAAAAGTAATGTATCAATCTATCGGGCAACACCAGACCAGCAATGAGATCGGACTGTGCAATCCCTTCAGCTCTGACCCTTGTTCGCTACCAGGACGATCCCATGCCTCCCAAACGCAAGGCAGAAGAGGCCTTGGATGAGCACAACCACTCTAGCAGGCGCTCCAAGTCAGAGCAGCAGGTCCACACAGCCTTCCTCTACACCTCTTCCTGACTTGAAGCAGGGGAGCGCCAGTACCCATGAGCCGAATGCAGATGACAACGAATACCCCTGGATTCGACGCATCCGCTTGGACAACTTCATGTGCCATAACAAGCTGACGGTGGACTTTCACAAGTACATCAACATCATCAATGGTCAAAACGGAACGGGCAAGAGCGCTGTGCTGACGGCGCTGGCTATCGCGCTAGGCTGCAGGTAAAACTCATGACAACAAGAAGCGTGTATGTTGTAGTTTGTTTTCCTCTCTTACGATGTGCTTGGTCTGATCACGCTCCTAGGCCTAAGCTGACTGGTCGGTGCGATGCTCTCAAGGACCTGATCGGGCCATATGCGGACAGGAGCATCGTTGAGGTTGTGATTGTACAGTGTAGAGATGATCCTTATCGTGGAAGCAACTCCCGTGAGAACTGGGACTTTGGGAAAGAGGTCATCATCGAGAGAATAATCCAAAAGACAGGCGCCTCAGCGTTCAAGATCATGACAGAGGATAGGACCGTGGTGTCGACCAAGAAAGAAGATCTGATGAAGATCCTACAGCATTTCAACTACCAGATCGAGAACCCCGTGCATGTTCTCTCGCAGAAAGACGCCAAGACTCTTCTGCAGTCAGCGACCAAGAAAAGCTTTTACGACTTCTTTTTCGAAGCAACGAGGTTGAAGAATGCGTATGATCTTATCAACGAGAACAAGCATCTCTCCGAGCAGCTGATGGAAATCATCAACACGAAGGAAAAGAAGAATGCAGATTGGGAGCAGAACATCTTCACGCCAGCCAAGGAGGCGTATGACAGCATGGTAGACGCCAGAAGATTGAGTGAGGAGAAGTTCGAGCTAGCGAGAGAGCTGGCCTGGGCTGAAGTGCATGAGAAGAAGCGTACTGTCAAGAAGTGGCGATCCAAGGCTGAGGTTGTAGAGGAAGAGAAACGATCATTACACGCAGATCTTGAACAGAGCGATAGAAAGATTGAACAACACAATGCAGTCCTTGAAAAATTGAGCTTAAAAATTGTCGAGACGAATAAGGCTACACCTGAAATCAACGAGAGGAAGGCTGCCATCGAGCACACGATCAAGGAACAAAAAGAGGAGTACAACAAGCTCAACTTCTCTCGCAACGAACTGCAAACACAGAACATGACTCTTGAGAAGGATATCGATCTCCTTGAGCAGGAAGTACAGTCCAAGCAAGCTACCGGATCTAAGCCAGCCAAAGTGTCACTGAACGCACTCAAGGTCCGAGACAGAGTCCCTTGGACGCTCAAGGCGGTGATTGATCGATTTGCAACAGGTCAGAAAGGAGGAGCTCGAGGCAGAAATAGAAGATTACGGTACACAAAGACAGGAAGCAGAAGTACAAGTCGTCTCGCTACGAAATGAGCTGAGTCAGGCTGAGGAAGAGGTAAGCTTGCACGTGCAGCCCTGGCTGGGCTGATACGCTTGCGTTGATCACGTGGATGCTGGAGTCTCACTTGGAATGCAGTCATCCATCCTGAGACGAGAACTCGACAGAGATGAGAAAGAACACGACAGGTTGAAGCTCATCGGAAGCGGAGACAGACTTGCATCTTTCGGGCCTGAGGTGAAGCAGATGGCAGAGCTCATCTCACGTAATCAAGCTCGCTTTGGAGGGAATCCCCCCATAGGACCCGTGGGAGCTTACATCAAGCTGAAAGACCAGCGATGGTCCAAAGCCGTCGGGAATGCTCTGGGTCGGTTTGCATCCTACTTTTTGGTTCGCAAGAACGCAGACAAGGACACCTGCATGTCTCTTTGGGAAGAGAAAAATCCCAGACGGAGATCGGACGGGAGGTCGTCGCTACAGTTTGCAAGCATGAACTCCGACCAGTTTGACAAGAACATCTGCCCGTACCGTGATCACAATACTATCATGGACGTGATCGAGATCGACAGTCAAGACGCTTTCACGAAGAATGTGATCCTCAACTTTCTGATTGACACTTGTTCGATCAATGAGATCCATGTGGCTGTTAGCTTTCAAGAGGCTACAGGCATTATCCGCAGACGACTAGAATCAGTGACTTTGTCCAATGGTGTTATGCACGAGATTCGTAGAGAAGCGTACAGCTTGGACTCAGAGCAGCGTAATGTCGATCGCTGGCAGAGGGCAAAGCGGGATGGATCGGAAGTGACGAAACCTGTGTACAGCAAAGCTTACTTCTCCGTCGACGTGTCGGGAGAGGTTGAGAGAGTGAAGAGAAAAATCATCGACACCAAGAGCAAGCTGGAGAGCGCGAAAGCAAAGCTTGAGTCTCTGAAGTCTGAGAGAAGCGAATGGGAGAGAAGAGCAGTGGGAGCTACGAAGGAGCTGAACAAGAAGCAGAGGTACGGAGGGAGTGCTCAAGGCAGGCACGAGATGGAGAGGCTGACACGCGTGAGCAGAGAGCTGCATGAGTTGAGAGAGCAAATCGAAGAAGTGATGAGCGAAGAGAGCCTGAATGTCAACACCGATGGAACAGCTGTCTTGCAGGAGGTTTGCCTTGACTCTCATTGCCTCTCAGTCGTGAGTGCATGGAGCTGACTGCGAGATTGCAGGAGATCGCAACCAAGCAAGATAGCATCTTCAGGAACAAGAAGGTCATAGCAGAGCTGTCGAAGAAGCTTTCGGAACAAGAGGATAGGATCAAGACCTCGATGAAGAACAAGGAGGAAATACAAAAAGAAATATCGGTCGTGGCAAAAGATATCAAGCTTATTCAAGAGGAGCTCCAGGATACTCGAGAGAAGCTTAGCAAGGCAACGAGTACGAAGAACAAGATTTCCATGAAGATCAGCGACCTGGAGGGCAGGCTAGAAGCCGCAAGGAAGAAAGAGGAGGAAGCGGACCAGGACCTGCAGGTAGAGAAGGCATGGAGGAGGTTGAGACCTGCTGACACGGCCAAAAGCTCTACATGGAAGAGCTAGAGAAGAACGCAAGCGACTGGATCGAGAACGAGTTCACTGACCCGAGAGAAAGGTCGGCGGTGGAGGAAGAGATCCGAGCGATGGAGTGAGTATGCAGGAGAGGATGGGAGAGAGAGCACTGATGGAGATCGCCAGGAAGAAGATCAAGGAGATCGAGAAGGGAAGAGACTCGCACGTGATCGAGATGGAGTACACGCGGCTGGTGATCATCGTATCTCACACATTAGAGGCAGTACCAGTGATTTTGATGGTCTGCAGGAATCCGAGAGGAAACGACGAGAGCGGCTGTTCCAAGAGATCTCCGAGCTGTCGCACGTAAGGACTTGCATGTTGATTGTTGACCATCAACGCGTCGACATCGTCGTGACCATGGTCATCCGCAGAAACTTGTGGAGAGCCAGAAACTGAGACAGAAGAGCTTCACAAAAAACAGAAGACTGTATGGGGAAATGACCTCCCAGAAGTTTGCTCGCTTCGTATCACAGAGAGACTTCAAAGGAGAATGTCGCTTCGATCACAAGGAGATGGAGATGACGGTGTGAGACCCTACACAGACATCTCATCTCTTTTCCTTGTGCTGAGCTTCTTGCTTCTTATCCTCTCTGTTCCTTGCATGGCGATGTTCTTGTTGTCTTGGGACCTGCTCCCTTTCGCTGGGCTCTCCATTTCCCGTCCATTTCTACTTCCTGACGTCATCTTACAGCCCGTGGTGAGGACGGAGTCTCGAGAAGAGGAAGCGGGAGAGACAGATGCAGTGGAGATTCGCAACCTGTCCGGAGGAGAACGCTCCTTCTCGACCATCTGCCTGGTAGAGGAGGGAGGCGGGGTGCTGTAGCTGAATCCAATCAGGTACTATCCCTCAACCAGGTGGATTGTGCACCCATCCTAGCAGTAGACGAGTGGGATGTCTTCATGGATGAGCGGAATCGTCGGCTCTCCCTGGACATCATTCTCAAGGTTCTCTCTCTCTCTCTTCTGCGAGCTGCTGCAGGATCAGCCGGCATGTCTGGTCGCTGAACATGCGGCAGGTGTTGGGTCATCGCCCTCTGTCGCAGGCGATCATCATCTCTCCTCACTCCGTCGACGCTGTGGCTGACGGGCCGAAAGTGAAGAAGATCACGATGAGGCCTATCGACCGCCTTCAACGACGGATGGGTTAGGCACATCTCTGGGATCGCGAGCTGCATTCATGTGGTCCGTCCAGCGCCGGGCTCTGTCTCAGACATACGCATGATTTCAGCTACAACACGATGAATACACAACTTGTGTTCTTTTTTAAAGATTAGTTTGCCACGTTAACAGGCTGGGTACGGTGAACTCCAACGAACTCTGACAATAATTATCAGCTGTAGCTCTGTTGTAACTTGAATGTCTACACGCGGCGTCTGTAGCGGACACAGACACAGGCACCGTGCATAGCTGCTCGCCAGGCTTCAAAGTTCTTACTCGCCTGTGACTGCCCTTAAAACGCCGGACTGCGCCAACTATCCGGGGGGCAGCGACCGTCATGCCCTGTGCGATGCGGGCAAAAATGGGTTCGCCACCCAGGCCAGACTTACTTTTTTCCAAGTTTTGGGCCGCATTTTTTGTGCTCCTCCAAGTCACTCCGGCTGCATGGCACTGACTGTACGGGCTAATGCTGATTGTTGATAATCCCAAGCTGTGCACGAAGTTGAATTAACTGGTCAGACGTGTGCCTTATGCCTGCACGTAATGTTCCGGTTGTTGCTTTTTAAAGAGCTTCCAGAAGTCACAAACAAGCAGCTCAGGAACCCTCTGCTGCATTCCCATCCTCAAGGACCTTTAATTTCAGCCGCACTTCAAGCAAGGATGCATTGCGACAAGAACCATTTGCAGCCATGTTGGGTAACCACTAGACTTATTGCTCGGCAAAGAGCGAGAAGACAAGTCTTAAAAACACTTTTAGCAATATAAAATTACTTTTCCTTATAAATATAATGTAAAAATTTGCGGTACCGGAGTTCGTACCTTATCCTCAGGAGTCGGAGGACCGGCTTACGAACATAATTCTTTTCGTGAAGCAGTTTGTACAGATCAGCCGATGGAAACTGTTCAAAAGAAGTGTTTTCGAATGGAGATTGGAATGGGATTTCTGGCCGTGTGGCCATGTGGCATCTGGAAGGGGTACAAAGTGCTGTACAAAAGGGGGTCCAACTCACACCACCCTCCCACATATCTCAGGCTGCGCCCGTCAATCTTATAATCAATTTACATCAATCGTTTTGATTTCAATATCCAATAGGCCTAAGAATGTCCCTACCACCCCCCCCCTCCCTCCCTCCGAACCCACCCAATCACGTGAGATGAAGGTCGATGACCCGTACTGATGAGGTATTGAACCCTCTGATTTCCCATCCAGTATCACCACCCCACTCCCTCACCCTCGTTGTTGACCAGACACTTCAGAACCAACAATGTTTTTATCTTATATATATAACAGTACTATCGTCACGACTTCTTGAGTAATATTAATATAGAATATATAAACACCCCACCCTTCCTTCAACTTCGAGTAAACTCAAATACCGGTCATTTTCTCTTGAAGTGCAGTTCATTACATGAGGTCTCAGGGGTCCCACACCCCATCCCCACCCCCACCATCCCCCACCCACCCCATTCTGCCTTGCTACTGGCGAAGCTGCATGCGCGCAGGGCAAGGACAGAGGAAGAGGAGCTTCTGACGTCTACGAGTCTGCTCGCGTCTTCCCCCCCCTTCCTCTCAGCTCCTTTTCCCTCCCTTTCAACGATCAGAAACAGAAACTTGGTGTGCTGCAAGCACGTACTTTCTCATTCGACCACAGCAAACAATCTTGTGCGGGCACCCTGCCGACTTGGGTGGGAGTACGTTCGATCGTTTACTTCTGTTGGAGTGAGAACCCACGACAAAAGATGCTTCGAGCCCATAAGCAAACACAACTGCCTTGTGGTAATTGAAGCTTGAGGAACTTCTTCATGCTCCAACTTGAAAAGATCCCATCCGGCATGCCTCTGTCCCCTGTCAGCCCGGATAGCGAAGATGGCAACCAATCGAGCCTCGGTCTGCAGAACTCTATCGGCAACGACTCAATTGAGTCCCAAACAAACAGAACGGTGAGATGCCCGTGAATTCGATGGTAGTGATTGAAAATGTCGAACGGCCAGGGCTCAATGGCGTCTGAAATCCTGGGCCAAGGCTGTTGTAACGAGCAGGACTGGGACTACCTAGAGGATGATTATTATACCAACGAGGTAGCTATTTCATTCCTCGTGTTTCAGTAGATAACATGTCCGCAGGAGCGTGAAGAACTGAAGGAGACGGTCCTACAGGAGCATGAAGAGCGGCTGAAGGAGAAAGAGGCTTCGGGTGGACGAAAGTGTGTTGCTTTGGAGATTTTAACGACGTAATCAGATGCTGTCCGACACTGGCACAAGTCAGGAACAGAACTTGGCCGTGGAACTTTCGGAGTCGTTTATGAGGCGATCGACGCGGAGACTGGAGAAATCTTTGCAGTGAAGGAGGTTTCAAACTGTGCCACATGTGATATCTTTTCTGATTTCTCGGCTTCTTAGGTGGATTCTATTTCGATGAGACCAAAAGCAGTGAAATCACTTGAAAAAGAAATGGACACTTTGAGACAACTGAAGCATGTCAACATTGTCCGTTATCGGGGAATGCAGTTTGAGAAGGGCAGATTAAGCCTTTTCATGGAGTTGTGTACTGGTGGAAGCATTTCTTCTGTGCTGGATACATTTGGACCATTGACTGAAAGCATTGTGAGAAGGTAAATTATCGCGGAATGCAGATTCATGTCATGACTATTGGGTTTCACAGGTATACCTGTCAAATGCTCTGTGGACTAGATTACCTGCACCGGCATTGCATCGTTCACAGAGATGTTAAGTGTGCAAATGCTTTGCTCAACAGTGCTGGACAGCTCAAACTAGCAGATTTTGGTGGATCAAAATGGTTGTCTGAATGTTCTACTGGATCTCTACATGGAACAGCAAGGTTGCCCGTCAATTACATGAGTGTCACAGCATTCTGAAGTGATGGTACAGGTATCTTGCGCCGGAAGTTTTGCGTGGAGAGCGCATTGGGAGACAGGTCGATATTTGGGCTGTAGGCTGTTGCGTTGTAGAAATGTTGACCAGACAGGTATATCAAGTTTGCAATGCGTATGTCTTTTTGACGAAGTGGATTTCGCAGTTGCCTTTTGTTGACCAGTTCAGCAATGATTTTACGTTGATGCGAGGGCTTTCTAAACTCGATTTACCGCCTGAACCTCCAGAGAACTTCCCGAAGGATGCTGCGATGTTTGTCAAAGAGTGCTTCGTGATGAATCCGAAGCTACGGCCATCCGCGTACAGGTTGCTCAAGCACTCGTTCTTCAACAACGATGAAGTCGAATCGCCTCATCGGAGGGTCGATGCTACATCCATGTCAGGGGAAATGGGAAATGGAAATAGTTCTTTGGACAACGATATGGGAAGCTTTGGAGAGTCGATGCGTAGATCTTCATTGAAAATGTCTGCTATGCATGGTAGTGCACGGTATCGTTCAACCAATTACGATTCTCTAGTATCTTCAAATGGCTTAGCTGACTTTCTGGATCTGGATGAATCGATCCCGGAGCAGAAGCAGCTAAAAGAGTGGATAAAGGAGAACGATAGAGAAACTTTGTCCTTCGCTGTTGACGACGGCGATGTGGTTCCATCCTTGGGTGCTGTACTTGGAGTTGTTTGGTCCAGGACGGTTCGCTCCAGAGAGGCTGTATTTGTTAATGTAGATATATCGGAAAGCAAGACTCCAGCTATCGAATGGCCTACAGAGAAGATTTTCCCAGCGGATCTTGAACAAGAGTGAGTGATATGATCGCTCATTGTTATGGCTGACTTTCAACGCTGCAGATATGAATGTTTCCTCAAGAAAACCTTTCCAGGCAGAATAAAGAGGACTGCACTCTTCCTTGATGCAGTATTGGTTGTCTCGTTGCTCAAGGCGATATTCGAGATTGCAGTTTACAAGAATGCTCATGATATTGTGAACATTGCCCGAATAACTGGATGTGCTTCTTGGCGACTAATGACAAGAATCCCTGAGGAAGTTTGTGCCAAGGTATTTGCATTCATGGACTGAATGTTAAGACTTGAGCGTATCTTGACCATTTTTCAGATTTTCTTTGGCATGCGATGCTTTACATATTTCTGTATCTTCGTCGTCTTACGATCCACGTGGAATGGGGACGGTGCCGCTTGGTTTTACATCAATCAATTGGGTATCTTCGTTTTCTTCCAGTGTTTCTTGCCATCGCTCACAGAGGTCTTGTGAAGCTAAGGATAGTCTGCTTTGTTGACGTGGATGTTGCAGAGCTGTATCTGGGTTGTTGTGCTGTTCCTCACCCGCTTTCTGGTGGTGATCGATCACTATCTAAAGGGATATCATGCGTTGAATACAGTAAGACGGAGAAGCTGAAGCCTGCGCGATTTCTGATAGTTTGCTGCAGCAGGAGTGGAGGGATAGCGAGAAATCCTTTACTCGGACACTCACTGACCTGGTATAAGAAAGATACAGCCAATTGATTTTCGCTGACTTGGAGATGCTCAGACGCTGTTGTTCTTCTCTTCTGCGATGATAATTCAGCTGCTGCTCAGTGATAGAATGCTCTCACGAATCAAGTTCGCTCTTGAGGTGAAAAGTCGGCGGTTGCCGATTGTAGCTGGTTGAAATGTGTGCAGGTTCGCCGGAAATTTATCAAGCGCAACCCTGGCAGCGAGGCGAAGCAGTTGGATACTGCACGAAAGAGCGCGGAGTATGGGATCAAACAAAGGAAGCACTTTGTGCAGTGAGGTCCAAGGATGTTGTATATGTCAAAGGGGAGATAGGGTGAGATGGCAAGGGAGGAGGATCGATAGATCATTGTACAAAGGGCAGCTGGGTCAAATAGTGTAATTTGATTGAAAGATGTTGAAGAATGCTGTGTGTGTGCAGGCGCAGAAGAAGAAGATTTGACATCAGACAAATATGATCAAGACTGTCTGCATCCTGCTCGCTGCTGCTCGATTGCTTGCTGCAAGGTGGAGAGTGGGAGCAGCGAAACGCAACCTAAGCGGCACAGTGAGGCGGAGGAAAAGGGATGAAAATATTTTTCTACCGGACTCCTCCATCTGCACACGATTGCTGTCAGCAATCCGCTGCGCCTCTAAAGGCCATCCACATCAGATCAAGATCAGGGGCGAGAACGCACAGAACCTTCGAAGTCCCAGCAAGGTCCCTCGGCGCAAGGAGACCACAACCTGACGTCTCTTCCTTGCCCGGCTGTCGCTAGTAGCATTCGTCGGGGTGAACTCTATTCCTCCAACAGTCACAATCCCTCACTCCAATTACTCAGCGACGAACCCTCGTCCCTCCCATCGCCGCTCCCCCCCTCCACTCATCCACTCCTCCACCTCCCTCCCTTCTCCCCTGCCTCCCTCCCCGTTCTCTGCTCATATGCTCATCTACCCCTTCTGACCTGAACGCGGCTCACGATCTCTTCACCAGCACTGAATGACATGCACAGCCTCCCGCTTGCTCTGTCCCAGATGTACCTGACGCGGCGTCATGATCGGAATTCTCGCATCAGTGGCTTACACTCTCCCATCGTCGCTCCCACTCACGACGTACTGCTCCTCAGAGCCGAAGAAAATCACGTTATGCAACTGCCAGTCAAGGGCGTCAGACTCACGAAGCAAGCGAGGCGGAGCGAGAGACTTCTCACCCCCCGCACGCTGAGATGCCCCTGGTAGCGCATTGAGAACTTCCCTGTCTTGCTCTTCCTCTCCTTCTCCTGCTCGTCTGGCTTGTTCCTTCCCGTCTGCTCATTATGTCCCGATTCCGCATGAGTTTCTTCCTCACATCCGTCACGCTCTGCCGCAGCATGCAAGGAGCGCCCTGCTGCCGCATGCTCCTGCTCTGCCCTACTCGGCACGGGACGCTGCAAGGACCGGTGGATCAAGTCGGTGGAGTTGAAGCGGAGCTTTCCATCCATGTCGACCGTCAGGTTGCTGTATGTCCCTTCATCGTCAGAGAGCACAATGGGGCGACGTTGCGCTACTGCCTGGAGGGTTTGGGACAAAAAATTGAGGGCTGGGTTGCCCGAGTCGGTGAAGTGCTCCTGCTCTGACCCGCGCTGCGATGGCTGTGACGGAAGGGCCTCGCCAGTCGCCTCTTTGTCCTCGTCAGCAACAAACTGTGTAAACTGATCCCCGTGGTGAGGGTGGAGGAGGTAGATGCGATCTCTGTTGAAGGAGGCGAGGAGAGACGTCCCCCCTTCATCGTACTTCACGCACGTCACCACCTTGCCCTTGAAGCTCCTTCCTTTGTGGCCGCTGAGATGATGGGGTGACCAGCAGCTGACCGGCTCGACCTCACGGGCCTCGTAGCTCGAGGACGATCCCTTCACGCTCAGCATCCTCCGATCGAAGGACCGGACGACGCTTTCGTTCCCTCCCGTGGTCAGCAGCTCCGGCCGACAGGGGTTTATGTCCATAGTGAGAACTTCTGCCGATCTCTTCCCTTCCGCAAGCCTGCGATGATCGATGAGCACGTTTGCTCTGTTCTCCTCCTCCTCCCCGCAAGACCCTGGACTTCTGCTGTCTACTTGGCGGACTGTGCCTGCGCCGCAGTTAGCAACCCGCACATCGAAAATGAGTCTCACCATCACTGCTGCAGCTCAAGACCACATGCGGATACAGCGGATCAGTCAAGACTTGCAGGGCGCTCTCCGAGTGCCGGATCGTCGGTCTCTCCGAGCAAACTCCGTCGACGTGCGAGAGGAAGATGGTGCCGTCCTTGGAGCAGGACCATATCGAGTGATCCATGGCCCCCCTGGCGAACTCCAGCCCAAAGATGCAGCCGGAATGACGTGTGCTGATCGAGCTGACGAGCCTGGAGGCTCCTGCATGCCAGATCAAGACACGGCTGTTAATGCAGCCCGAGGCGAGAAGGTCGCCGTTCCTGTTGAAAGCCAAAGCATTGACACAGCTGCTTGTACAAGGAGTCAACGGCGAGACAGCAGAGGGGAAAGGACAGGAGGGGAGGGGGGGATGGAATGGGAACCTCTGATGTCCCTCGAGCTTGCTCTCAAGATCCAGTCGAGTTAGAAGAGAATCCGAAGCTCGGCGAATGGTTAGAGTACACCTTGACAAGAATCAGCAGCTCGCATGCTTGAGAACCCACGCTGCATGCGCATTGTTTGAATACCCGCTTCTCTCGTACATGCTCTCTTCTAGATCTACTATCCTTCATCTTCCTTTCTGTTTCATCTAAGTTCTACATCTACTAGAACCCTTGGGCGTCTCGAAGAATCCTCGTCCTCCAGCACCTGCGAGTACCTTGATGGTACCTCTATGTATCAACAAGCTGATCTAACCATCCAAGAGTTTGAGTGCTCATCATCATCGTGTGTTCGTGTTGCTTCTCTTCCTCCCTCTCACTGCTCACCTGCCATCTCGCCGCCGCCATCGCCCGTCTTCCCTCTCCCGCACCGCTCGCATCATCTTGCAGGAGCCAAAGTTTCAGTCAACCCCACATGAGACTTGTACCACATACTTTACTCATCATCAGAGAACTGACGCTCAGTAAGGCATGTCGGGCCGTGCAGCTTTTGTCCGATGCCGGGTGAGCCCGCCTATGAACGCCAACTGTGAGACGCTCAAAGACAACGAAGGCGGATCACGAGGGGTGGGTAGTCTACTATCCCAAAGGAGGGTAGAGGTGACAAGTAAGGGGGTAGTAGCCTCCAGGGAAAACCGTTTTTCACGTCTGTATTTTGTAACGGTCACGAGGTCGACCGAAAACAGAGCGAGGTGGGGGTGGGGGTGGAATTGCAAGGGGGTCAGGGTCACCATTAGGGGAGCAGGGGGTAGTACAAGTAGGGGTCATTTTGTGTGAAAAATTCCTCCAAAGGACCAGTAGGGTGTTACAACGTGCCAATTGTCGGTATGAGGGTAGGGGTCATCAAAGTTGGGTAGGGTGTGGGGGAACAGAACGGCCTCCAATCAATGGCGGCCACGATTGCTAAGTATGCGGCGATGGCAGCGATCATGGCTCCCACGATGGCCTACATGCCACAGGTGAAGTCTATATGACGACATAGAGTAGAGGGGGAGAATAAGTCAAGCAGAAAACATGCGCCGAAGGAGTGGGAGGTAGGCAGGTGACGGGAATGTGAAGGGGTTCCTAGTAGGTTCAAGGATGAAACCCTGAGATGTGAAGTGGAGACATATGAGATAGCCGGCATCCTCTTGTTGGACATTTGATCCGATACAATCGATTCTCTTTGTGCCTAAGACCAATGCATTTCTCATAGAGAAACAAAAGACACCACTAGTAGTGATGTGGGGGGAGAAGCAGGGAAGGTGTCGATGTATACTTGGAAGCAGCACAGTTCAGAGGATGGTTATCTTCCTATTGAGATCCTCATGCTTGATATTCTGTCATGAAGTCTCTTCCCGCAACTGCGGCCACCATTTCCTCAACATGACGCTTCATCCTACAGTTTGCTGGAACCGGTGTTAGCCTCCGCTCCGCTGTTTGCAATGTTCCAGTCGCGCATGCACCCAGACACTCTCTTGCATTGAGAATGTCGGACGATGCTGTGGCTGAGATTGCGGGAGTGAAAGAGGTAACAGCAGTCACATCCTTTCATGTCTCGTGTGTAGCTCACAGATTTCCTCCCGCAGGAGACCGATGGAGAGCAGCGCTCGTTGAAGAAGACCAGGACAAACAAGCGCCGCACTCCTTCCAAGAACAAGAAGCCTCTCTCTGACTACGAGGTTGGCAGCACTGTCCCTGGCAAGGTTGTCTCCATCATGCCGTACGGAGCCTTCGTCGACATCGGCGCTACCACCGACGGTCTTGTCCACGTCTCTCAGCTTGCTGATGAATTTGTCTCGGACATCGAGAGCGTTGTCAAGGTTGGAGATGAGGTTCAAGTGAGGATCACCGAGATCAACGCGGACATCAACAAAGTCTCTCTCAGTATGCGGTCAGAGAACGCTCCCAGCCGAGGGGAGAGGAACGAACGCCGCTCGGGTGGCGGCGGGAGGTCCGAGCTTCCAGAGAAGTTTAAGAACTTCGATGACAAGGAGTTCATCAAGGGAACTGTCGCAAGCTTGATGGAGTACGGAGCGTTCGTGACCATCGGCGAGGGTGTCGACGGGCTTGTCCACATCTCGCAGATCTCCGAGGAGCGAGACACCAAGATCGACAAGGTCCTGACCGTCGGCCAGGAGGTGAACTTGACGTTGCATGAGATGCTGGGAGTGACTGCTGGCACAGGTGAATGTCCGCATCATTAACTTCGACCAGAAAAGGAAGAGGCTCTCGCTGTCCATGAGGGAATGGAGGGAGCCTGAGGTTAAGCCTGAGGAGGATGAGATCAGAGGCTACATCGACGAGGTCCCAGCTGACGCCAAGGTGACCCTTGTTCTCGATTAAGTCGCTTCCTTTCTGACTCGTCCTTCTCGCAGAGCGCTTTCCAGATCGCTTGGGAGAAGGCTCAGGCTGCAGCGGCCAAGTAATTTGTTTCGCGATTCCTATGATACCTCGTCGTCGGAGAGCTGTAATGTCTTTCTTGTTTTGCCACTACAACAGTGGTAGTGCTTGTCTTTCATTGAATCCTGCAAACATTGAATTTAACTCCTCCGCTCCCCCATCCCAGCTGTTCACTTGAACCCCTTGGCTGGGCTAGAGCTTCCCCCGCTTTTCTTCTTAGCTGCTCTCCTTGATGCACGATTGCTGCAGACAAGATCATATTGAGCTGGAAACGATTTGAAGCCTCACCCTTCAGCCGCTGAAAAATCGGAGAACGACTGACTCGCGACCGGTTTAGGCTTTGCCTGCGGATCCTCAGTTTGAACTTCCGGGATAAAAATGGGGAGGGATACCTCAAAGAGCGAAGGTTTCAATGCTCGGAGATCTCTCTCCACAATCTCAGGCTCGTCCAGCGCAGAGAAGATGTACTTGATGGCATCCACCTGCTCGAGCCAATCACGTATGGAAGGATCGACTGGGTCAAAGAGTACCTCAACGGGCTTGAGCTCGGGGTGCCAGACTCTCAACATCAGGATGTATCTCATCCTGCAATCATGGCTCATGACATAGCTACTCGAAACAGCCCAATGCACCGATCAGCAGAGTTTTCGGCTTCATGATACAAGGAAGTGTCAAATACGAGCACTTCCCCATTCTTCCATTCCCTGACATGAAGTCAAGATCTTGGTGGCAAGAAAAAAATGAGTTTTGCCTCCGATCCTTCCCCACAGCAATCCAGCATTGACCTTCAGGAACATCCAAGGCGAGATGACTGAAATGGTACAAAAAGACATCTCAGTCGCGCCCAGGCAGCAAGCAAATGCTGACTAATCACCTTGTCAGCGCGAAATTGCAGTAATCGGAGTGTGGATTGATTTTGCTACGCATGAAGTTAGATTGTCATGCCAAGCAACCCCATAACTTGCCTCTTGGGAGTCATTCTTGCAAAGAAAGCCTCAATGCAAGGAATCTTGCGGGCCGTGTTAGTATGATCGGTGCACAAACTTTCTGAATGCACCTCAAGGTCCTTCAGGATCTTGGTGGTCTTAGGGAACAGATGCACATTGATAGGATCCTGCTCAAGAAACAAAATATCAGATGTCTCCTTGCAAAATGCTCCAGCTGACTCACCCACACGCAACGATCCATGAGCGCCAACGTCTTCCAATCAGGACCATAGCTCTGAGCTTTTGGGGGGGGTTACGAACAGTTCAGTGTGATGAAGAAGGAGACAACCAGAAGTGGAGTTTGCAGCAGTAACCCACACATTGTTTCCTTTGGTCTCTAATTCATCCTTCGACTCGATGGCTACTTTCTGGCAAGTGCTTCTTGTCACATTTCGCAGAAGCCGCTACGACCTCACCTGGAACTCCTCTTGTATGATACTTGCACAATCTCTCAGGTTCTTGGCCCACTCGAACTCGTACGGATCGTAGAAAGTCTTTATCCCCAACCCCTCTATGTATGAGTTGCACTCCTGGTACGTGTCGACCTCCTCCACAAACTCCTTGTGCAGGAACTCTTCATCCATCCGCCTCCACGACTTGATCACCCTTGACATCGACTTCGGGTTGAACTTGAGCTTGAGAACTTCCTCTACTGCATCCGCAAACTGGATTTGACTTTGAAGCTGGATGATAGAGGGAACGGTGAACCTCCTAGCCGCTCGCAAACGAGGAGTGGCGACTGAGAACCCTCTACTTTGTGCTGCATGACAGGATTCGGTCGTTTTACCCGCCGTCACGAAGCTTCTGCTGAGACCAGGGACGAAAGCGGTTCTTCTGCTGGTAGAGCCGACCATACATGTTCCTTCTCTCTCTCCTACAACTTCTCCCATCATCGCCGCCACTCCCATTACCGCCAGCACCGCTGCGCTGCCCATGGCCACCATTTGCGATCCACCCCTACCTCCCTCTGTCTATCACCCCACCCCACTGGAGGGGATACGTTTCCAGTAATCATTTTTAGCCACTGCGGCCCCGTGTCCTCCTAGATTCATCATTGGGACTAGGTGGGGATGTGGTCGTCCGAATGGGCCAGGTCTGCCTCAGATCATTGAACCCTTTCCGGCATAAAAGCACCTCGCCGTACCCCTGTTTCTGATCCCGTACCCCTCTATTTCAGCTCAAAGTAGGGGTACTCTAAGTACACCCGTGAGAGGCATCTTCAAATCGGGGGTGGGGTGAAGTACGGGTAGAGCAAAGATACCCCTTTGTCCCCGGTCAAAGATGGGGTGATCGAGGGGTAGTCAATCACCACTCGATAGGCTTGCGGGACACCGACATGGTAGCCGGAGTGTCACGAGGAGGCAGCGATGAAGGTGAGGAAGAGATGGCGAAAGAGTCATGAGGAACAAGCTGGAGCAGGAGGGAGCAGGAGGGAGCAGGAGGGAGCAGGAGGGAGCAGGAGGGAGCAGGAGCAGAATTCATTTGGCCGGAAAAGCACAGTCATATCCCCTGAGAATCAACGGAAGTCAAAATTCAATTGGTGTGAGATGTAGACAGCAAAATTGGGAGTTGAACTTCACTTTCAATGCTAGTACTGGATTATTGCCGTGCAATGATGGCTGAATAAGTTTCATAGTACATGTACTGGAGCTCTTCAATATTCCTCCTGAAGTCATGGAACTTCCGGACGAGGATCGAATGAAGTTTGTCAAGTATGCCTTATATCTTCCTTTGTCTTGAAGACCTTTTTACTATGGATTCAGCTCAGTTGTAAAGTCTTCAAGGAATCATCCAGACAATAGCCATGCACACCAAGGTAATACCCGGAGAAGGCAGAGGGACTGGTGACCTTTCTTCAGCTCATATTCCATGGTGGCAAGAAATGGCTGTGATGATTGTTATGTTTATTTGGATGGGAATTCCTCCTTTCATCTTTCTCGGTTTGATCTTCATGCCTTTCTTCGGCACATGGAGTCAGACAGCTTCTTTCTATTTGGTGAGTTTCGAAACCTCCAGCACAACTGGATCAGCCGTATCGGCGATTTACAAGGATGCAGGCTGTATTCATTCTCGGACATCACCCCCTCCCAACGATGTATGATTACTTCAATCGCTGTGGCTTCACCCTCTGGCTGTGAGTCCCTGAGTTCATGGAGCGCCAAGTTGATGATCCGTTTGAGTAGGTATCGCTACTTCTCCTACCGAATCGTGTGGACCAATGACGCTATGGAGCTTGCGCGCTCCTGTCCTGCATGGGTTGGTGAGCAAAACACTCTGTTGCATCGTCTTCTGGCTCAAAGTCTGCCAGGAGCGGCAGGTCCACATGGGGTGATGCCTTTTGCGAACGTGCTGTCGATACCCGCGATCAATTCGTTCGTGAGTGAAGATGAGACTGAGGTGTTGGTGATTGAATCACGATCAGGTCGGCAGAAAGTTCAAGGGGGCGACTGCGAGTGTTCTTAAGCGAGTGCCGTTCCTAAGGCTTCTTTACTTGTTTGGTTGTGTTGATGTAAGCATCGTTTGAATCTTCGAAGTTCTTCTGATCAGTTATCAGGTATCGAGCAAGACTCTTACAAAGACACTAAAAGAGGGATATTGTGTGGGTCTAGTTTCAGATGGTGAGATGTGTGCCACCTCGTGCGATTGAGGACATCTTTCCTGACATATTTGCTTGCTCGAACGTAGGGATCGCGGGCATTTTCAAGTGCAGCAAGAATGAGGAGACTTTGTATCTAGCCAACAGAAAGGTCCGTACCTGCTCCCTTGTGTCGTCATAAATGACTGCTCTGCTTCAGTCACTAGCGAAGTTTTGCCTTAAGAATGGATGCCCCTTGATTCCTGCGTATGTCTACAAACTCGACAGCGGCGTTTGCTCACGCTCCTTATCAGATTCTCCGTGGGAAACTCGGAGGCGTTCAGTCTGTGGTTTGACAGCTTCGGGATCCTGGAATGGTTGTCGCGCAAGGTGAAGTCCTTGTGATCGTTTCCGGGATGTAAGTCCTCTCATGCTCTTTCCAGGCACAAACAGCTGTGTTTGTCTTCTGGGGCCGCTTCTTCCTCCCCATCCCGTGAGTCACTCGCATACCTTGTGCTCTTGCTCTGCTATTCTTCTTCCTCACCCTGCACCATCAGGCGGAGAGTGAACATTACTCTTCTCTTCGGCTCGCCCATCATGGTCCTCTGAGATGAGCTGGTGGCAGCTGACGCGGGACTGACGTCAGCTCATCAGGTCGAGAGGAAGGAGCATCCAACCCAGGAGGACATTGATGAGCTTCACAACCGGCTCTTGGCTGCCACCAAGGTACAGAGTCAAACCTTGGACCGATACTCTCGAACTAACGCTGCTTCTACTCTCCCCCCTCTTGTCCCGTCCTCCTAAGACCATGTACGATGCGCACAAGCACAAGGTTGGCAAGGGTCACAAGGAGCTAAAGATAATTTGATTGCCTTCCGAGTAAATTTTGTTGATGTACTTCAAGGCTGAAGGCTCCTCTCCGTAGTAGATCGCAGCCTTGTCTGCCTCTCTCGGCGACAAAGAATTGGCACAAAGCTGCCGGCAGCCGCGGCCCCGGGCCTGCGGCCGCGGCCCGGCCCGAGCGTCCCGGCGCCGCCCCCACTTCCGCCGGCCCCTGCCACCCTGGCAGTGTTGGTCCTAGTGAGATTCAGTCATTTGTTTAGTTAAGTTCTTTTCGGATCCGCCTCGGGTGTAATACTTATCGAAAATATTGAAGGCAGCAATATATTGACAGTTAGATTAGGCGAGACCTCTCCCTTCTTGCTGCTGCCCTTGTCACCTACCTGCAAACACTTTGCTGAGAAATCATACCGGGAAGGGGAACCAAAGAAGGAAGAGAAACGAAGAAAGTTGCTCGACAAGGTAGCCAAGCTATCCTGATAGAGATCTCTCCCATGTCTGTCATGCTTCATACAAAGTCGTCTAGCTAGCCATGACTGTCCTTGCAATCTCCCGCTGCTCTGACCTTTGTTCGCTACCAGGACGATCCCATGCCTCCCAAACGCAAGGCAGAAGAGGCCTTGGATGAGCACAACCACTCCAGCAGGCGCTCCAAGTCAGAGCAGCAGGTCCACACAGCCCTCCTCTACACCTCTTCCTGACTTGAAGCAGGGGAGCGCCAGTGCCCATGAGCCGAATGCAGACGACAACGAATACCCCTGGATTCGACGCATCCGCTTGGACAACTTCATGTGCCATAACAAGCTGACGGTGGACTTTCACAAGTACATCAACATCATCAATGGTCAAAACGGAACGGGCAAGAGCGCTGTGCTGACGGCGCTGACTATCGCGCTAGGCTGCAGGTAAAACTCATGACCACAAGAAGAGTGTTTGTTGTAGTTTGTTTTCCTCTCTTACGATGTGCTTGGTCTAATCACGCTCCTAGGCCTAAGCTGACTGGTCGTTGCGATGCTCTCAAGGACCTGGTCGGGCCATATGCGGACAGGAGCATCGTTGAGGTTGTGATTGTACAGTGTAGAGATGATCCTTATCGTGGAAGCAACTCCCGTGAGAACTGGGACTTTGGGAAAGAGGTCATCATCGAGAGAGTGATCCAGAAGACAGGCGCCTCAGCGTTCAAGATCATGACAGAGGATAGGACCGTGGTGTCGACCAAGAAAGAAGATCTGATGAAGATCCTGCAGCATCTCAACTACCAGATCGAGAACCCCGTGCATGTTCTCTCGCAGAAAGACGCCAAGACTCTTCTGCAGTCAGCGACCAAGACAAGCTTTTACGACTTCTTTTTCAAAGCAACGAGGTTGAAGAATGCGTATGATCGCATCAACGAGAACAAGCATCTCGCCGAGCAGCTGACGGAAATCATCAACACGAAGGAAAAGAAGAATGCAGATTGGGAGCAGAACATCTTCACGCCAGCCAAGGAGGCGTATGACAGCATGGTAGACGCCAGAAGACTGGACGAGGAGAAGCAAGAGCTCGTGAGAGAGCTGGCCTGGGCTGAGGTGCATGAGAAGAAGCACGTCATAGACAAGTGGCGATCAAAAGCAGCGAGATACGAGGACAAACTACAAGATTTGAACGTAGACCAAGCAACGAGCGATGCTACCATGGCAGAGTGTGACAGTGCTGTGCAAGACTTGATTGCCAGACGATCGGAGGTAGATGAAGCCTTAGCCAAGATCAAACAGAGGAAGGCTGACATCGAGCACACGATCAAGGAACAACAAGATGAGTACAACAAGCTCAACTTCTCTCGCAACGAACTGCAAACACAGAACATGACTCTTGAGAAGGATATCGATCTCCTTGAGCAGGAGGTACAGTCCAAGCAAGCTACCGGATCTAAGCCAGCCAAAGTGTCACTGAACGCACTCAAGGTCCGAGACAGAGTCTCTTGGACGCTCAAGGCGGTGATTGATCGATTTGCAACAGGTCAAAAAGCAGGAGCTCGAGGCAGAAATAGAAGATTACGGTACACAAAGACAGGAAGCAGAAGTGCAAGTCGTCTCGCTACGAAATGAGCTGAGTCAGGCTGAGGAAGAGGTAAGCTTGCACGTGCAGCCCTGGCTGGGCTGATACGCTTGCGTTGATCACGTGGATGCTGGAGTCTCACTTGGAATGCAGTCATCCATCCTGAGACGAGAACTCGACAGACATGAGAAAGAGCTCGACAGGTTGAAGCTCATCGGAAGCGGAGACAGGCTTGCATCTTTCGGGCCTGAGGTGAAGCAGATGGCAGAGCTCATCTCACGTAATCAAGCTCGCTTTGGAGGGAATCCCCCCATAGGACCCGTGGGAGCTTACATCAAGCTGAAAGACCAGCGATGGTCCAAAGCCGTCGGGAATGCTCTGGGTCGGTTTGCATCCTACTTTTTGGTTCGCAAGAACGCAGACAAGGACACCTGCATGTCTCTTTGGGAAGAGAAAAATCCCAGAAGGAGATCGGACGGGAGGACGTCGCTACAGTTTGCAAGCATGAACTCCGACCAGTTTGACAAGAACATCTGCCCGTACCGTGATCACGATACTATCATGGACGTGATCGAGATTGACAGTCAAGACGCTTTCACGAAGAATGTGATCCTCAACTTTCTGATTGACACTTGTTCGATCAATGAGATCCATGTGGCTGTCAGCTTTCAAGAGGCTACTGGCATTATCCGCAGACGACTAGAATCAGTGACTTTGTCCAATGGTGTTATGCACGAGATTCGTAGAGAAGCGTACAGCTTGGACTCAGAGCAGCGTAATGTCGATCGCTGGCAGAGGGCAAAGCGGGATGGATCGGAAGTGACGAGACCTGTGTACAGCAAAGCTTACTTCTCCGTCGACGTGTCGGGAGAGGTTGAGAGAGTGAAGAGAAAAATCATCGACACCAAGAGCAAGCTGGAGAGCGCGAAAGCAAAGCTTGAGTCTCTGAAGTCTGAGAGAAGCGAATGGGAGAGAAGAGCTGCGGGAGCTACGAAGGAGCTGAACAAGAAGCAGAGGTACGGAGGGAGTACTCACAAGCACGAGATGGAGAGGCTGACACGCGTGAGCAGCGAGCTGCGTCAGTTGAGAGAGCAAATCGAAGAAGTGATGAGCGAAGAGAGCCTGAATGTTAACATCGATGGAACAGCTGTCTTGCAGGAGGTTTGCCTTGACTCTCATTGCCTCTCAGTCTTGAGTGCGTGGAGCTGACTGCGAGACTGCAGGAGATCGCAACCAAGCAAGATAGCATCTTCAGGAACAAGAAGGTCATAGCAGAGCTGTCGAAGAAGCTTTCGGAACAAGAGGATAGGATCAAGACCTCGATGAAGAACAAGGAGGAAATACAAAAAGAAATATCGGTCGTGGCAAAAGACATCAAGCGTATTCAAGAGGAGCTCGTCAAAACTCGAGAGAAGCTTAGCAAGGCATCGAGTACGAAGAACAAGATTGTCATGAAGATCAGCGACCTGGAGGGCAGGCTAGAAGCCGCAAGGAAGAAAAAGGAGGAAGCGGACCAGGACCTGCAGGTAGAGAAGGCATGGAGGAGGTTGAGACCTGCTGACACGGCCAAAAGCTCTACATGGAAGAGCTAGAGAAGAACGCAAGCGACTGGATCGAGAACGAGTTCACTGACCCGAGAGAAAGGTCGGCGGTGGAGGAAGAGATCCGAGCGATGGAGTGAGTATGCAGGAGAGGATGGGGGAGAGCGCTAATGGAGATCGCCAGGAAGAAGATCAAGGAGATCGAGAAGGGAACAGACTCGCACGTGATCGAGATGGAGTACACGCGGCTGGTGATCATCGTATCTCACACATTAGAGGCAGTACCAGTGATCTTGATGATCTGCAGGAGTCCGAGAGGAAACGACGAGAGCGGCTGTTCCAAGAGATCTCCGAGCTGTCGCACGTAAGGACTTGCATGTTGATTGTTGACCATCAACATATCGACATCGTCATGACCATGGTCGTCTGCAGAAACTAGTATACAGCCAGAAAATGAGACAGAAGCACTTCACGAAGAAACGAATACTGTATGGGGAAATGACCTCCAAGACGTTTGCTCGCTTGGTGACACAGAGAGGCTTCAAAGGAGAATGTCGCTTCGATCACAAGGAGAAGGAGATGACGGTGTGAGACCCTACACAGACATCTCATCTCTTTTCCTTGTGCTGAGCTGCTTGCTTCTTATCCTCTTTGTTCCTTGCATGGTGATGTTCTTGTTATCTTCTGACCTGCTCCCTTTCGCTGGGCTCTCGATTTCTCGTCCTAGTCCAATGCAGCCCCCTGACGTCATCTTACAGCCCGTGGTGAGGACAGAGTCTCGAGAAGAGGAAGCAGAAGAGACGGATGCAGTGGAGATTCGCAACCTGTCCGGAGGAGAACGCTCCTTCTCGACCATCTGCCTGGTAGAGGAGGGAGGCAGGGTGCCGTAGCTGACTCCAATCAGGTACTATCCCTCAACCAGGTGGATTGTGCACCCATCCTAGCAGTAGACGAGTGGGATGTCTTCATGGATGAGCGGAATCGTCGGCTCTCCCTGGACATCATTCTCAAGGTTCTCTCTCTTTCTCTTCTGCGAGCTGCTGCAGGATCAGCCGGCATGTCTGGTCGCTGAACATGCGGCAGGTGTTGGGTCATCGCCCTCTGTCGCAGGCGATCATCATCTCTCCTCACTCCGTCGACGCTGTGGCTGACGGGCCGAAAGTGAAGAAGATCACGATGAGGCCTATCGACCGCCTTCAGCGACGGATCTAAATCGTTGAGGGCTACAGTGACGTGACTGCTGTTGTCAGGTCTGCTATCCAGCTCACAGGCTGGCTGGCTTGATTGAGTCAGTCTACAGTTGACTTGTTAGAAATATCCGTATGATGAATAAGACTGAAATCTAGCTACATCGATCTCTTGGTGATGATACGTCGATTGTAGGTCATCGACCTGTCATGCGTGTCTGCAACTGATGGATACTGAACGACCTGACAATGTGACCCTAAAGCCTACTGTTACCCTCTATCTCCTTGTGG